CGAGGAGAACACGCACCTGCATGAGAGCCTCAGTGCTCAATCCGATGTACCCAAGGATGCAGAGATCAAACCCCAGGCTCCGGGGGCGAGTGACAAACCCTCACGCCAGAAAGCCGGGTCTAACTCCAGTGCTACACTTGAGCCCGAGTCACGTCCTTCTCAGCAAGCGACGGCGGTATCTAGGCCCGGACGAGGGAGTGCGTCTACAGCCGCAGGATCAAACTCACCCGACGAAGACCCAATCGACCGCCTGCCTGAAGCCGAGGCTGCTATCCTCAGACGCCAGATCGACTTACAAACAAAAAAGCAGAGCATATTCGCCCTCCTACGATTTGCCACGAAGTTTGATGTCGTGATCATTATCATCTCCATCATATGCTCGATAGCATCCGGCGCAGCCTTACCTATCATGACGATTGTGTTTGGAAATGTGCAGGGAATATTCACTGATTATACGGTCCTGGGCCTGATGAGCCTCGACGAGTTTAAGGGTGTGATCGGTCATTACGTGCTGTATTTCGTCTATCTTGCGATCGGCACATTTGTGGTCACGTACATCTCGAGTCTCGGTCTTCTCTATGTTGGTGAAGCGATCACGGATAGGATCCGCCAGAAGTATCTGGAGAGCTGCCTGCGCCAGAATATCGGTTATTTTGACAAGTTTGGGACTGGAGAGTTTGCGACCAAGATCACTGCCGATACAGTCACCGTCCAGGATGGCATTTCTGACAAGTTTGGCCTGTTCCTCTCCTCCCTATCCACCTTCGTCACTGGTTTTGTCATTGGCTATGTGTATGCGTGGAAGTTCGCATTGATTCTCACGGCAACTCTCCTCGCACTCCTATTGAACGGCGCCATTGCCGCTGTGTTCATCATTAGATATGATACACCGATGAGGGAAAACTTTTCACAGAGTGGAACCTTCATCGAGGAGGTATTCTCTTCGATCCGAGTCGCGATCGCCTTCGGTACCCAGGAACGCTTGGCCAAGCAGTACTTGAGCTATCTTGGAAAGGTTCGGCTATGGGGCATCAAGCTTAAATATGCGACCGCTTTGATGACGGCAGGCATCATGTCGCTCACGTATCTAAACTATGGATTGGGCTTCTGGCAGGGATCTATCTTCATGGCTCGCGGCGACCTGAAATTAGCTGACATGATTATCGTCATGATGTCCATTATGATGGGGACGTTCAACATGAGCGTCATCGGGCCGTATTTTACGGTCTTCATTGGCGCTCTGTCGGTAGCTAATAAGATGCTGGCCACGATCGACCGTGACTCTCCGCTGGATCCCTCAACTGACGAAGGAAGTAAAATCGATAATCTGGAAGGACATATTCGTCTTGAGAATATCAAGCACATCTACCCGTCCCGAGCCGATGTTACTATTCTCAACAACTTCTCCCTCGATATTCCAGCTGGGAAGGTGACCGCTCTTGTGGGGGCTAGTGGTTGTGGAAAGAGTACGATTGTCGGGATAGTCGAGCGGTTCTATGAACCCGTTGAGGGCAAGGTGTTTCTAGACGGGCACGACCTCTCGACCCTTAATATCAGATGGCTTCGCCAGCAGATGGCACTTGTTGGGCAAGAGCCCACTCTCTTTGCTGCCACGATCTCTGAAAACATCAAGTTCGGTCTCATCGGCACAGAGAATGAGAATTCAGACGAAGAGAAGCAGCAGGCACTTGTAGAGGATGCCGCGCGGCAAGCAAATGCTCACGACTTTATTATGCAGCTCCCTGACGGATATCAAACCAATGTCGGCCAACGTGGCTTTCTTCTCAGTGGCGGCCAAAAGCAGCGAATCGCGATTGCAAGAGCCGTCATATCTAATCCCAAGAGTGCGTACAAAACCCTTCAGTTGTTGTGGTTGAAAAAATTAACATGGACCCCCCAGTTTTGCTGCTCGACGAAGCTACATCGGCCCTGGATACAAAATCCGAGGGAATCGTACAGGCCGCGCTCGACAACGCCTCTACAGGCCGCACTACTATTACTATCGCCCATCGCCTTTCAACTATCCGCAATGCTGATAACATTGTCGTAATGAGCAAGGGAGAGATTGTTGAACAAGGAACCCACAACGATCTCATCTCAAAACAAGGAGCATATCACGCTCTGGTCACCGCCCAGACAATCGAAGACAGCCAGAGGCACTCTGTAGCTCTATCTGTCGAAGAGACAATCTCTAAAGAACAGGAGGTCCTCAAGAGAATATTTACATGCAAGGAAGGCGTATTGGTGACCACAGAAATCGAAGTTACTGAGAAAAACATGCTTACTTCGGATGGCATGCTCAACAATATCGAGGAGGTTGAGACTGGTATCGCTAGCCAAAAAGCCCCGCAACATACTCTGTGGACGCTGGTCAAGTTTGTTTCTCAGTTTAATCGGCAAGAAGCGTTCTGGATAGTTGTGGCATTCTTCTTCTGCGTATTATGTGGTCTCGCCACCCCTGTTCAAGCGAGTAAGTCACCCCTGAAATGCTGGACAGACCACATGGAAAACTGACGGGAATATTTTCCTAGTATTCTTCGCGAAAGAAATTGTAGTTCTCTCGGATGTGGAATTGCAAGGAGCTGACAGATGGGCGATCCAGTCCCGCTCGAACTTTTGGTCTGTGATGTTCTTGATGCTTGGTCTCGTGCAATTCTTGACCAATGCCGTCTCTGGGAGCCTTCTCGGCTGGGCGAGCGAGTATCTCATCCAAAGGCTCCGAGATAAGACGTTCTCCGCCATGCTGCGACAGGATGTAAGTTACTACGACGAAGATGATCACAACCCGGGAGCCCTCACGGCATACGTAGCCATGGAGACTACCCATGCATCTGGTATTACCGGATCTGCTCTCGGAACCATCATCCAATCTGCCGCCAACCTAGTCGCCAGTCTGGTCTTGTCCCTTGCTGTCGGATGGAAGCTGGCCCTCGTTGTATTCCCCGCCGTTCCTCTGGCCGTCGCATGTGGTTTCTTCCGCTGGTGGGTACTTGCTCGCCATCAGCGTCGGATCGAGACCGTCTACGCCGAGTCAGCAGGTTTCGCCAGCGAGAGCATCTCCGCCATCAGAACAGTGGCATCCCTCACACGAGAGAAACAAGTCGCTGCCGAGTACGAGAGGTGCTTGATGGAACAGCAAAAGAAGAGTATCAAGTCAGTAGCGAAATCGAGTCTGATTGCCGCAGCGGCCCAATCAGTTCAGTATTTATGCTATGGTCTAGGATTTTGGTATGGCAGCACTCTCATGGCCACTTTCGAGTACAGTCTATTCCAGTTCTTTGTATGCTTCATGGCCATGATCATGGGCGCATCATCAGTCGGGAGCTGTTTCTCCTTCGCGCCCGACCTGGCCAAAGCGAAGTCAGCGGCTGCAAAGCTGAAGACGCTGATCGAAGACTCAAAGCCCCTGATTGATACCTCTGATGACTCTGGCGACACTCTTACCGAGGCGGAAGGGTATCTAGAGTTCAAAAACGTCATCTTCCGATACCCGTCGCGGCCTCACGTACCAGTTCTGCGTGGCCTCAACCTGAAGGTAGAGCCAGGCCAGCACATCGCCCTGGTGGGAAGCTCCGGATGCGGGAAGAGTACTACCATTGCGCTGCTAGAGCGGTTCTATGACCCCTTGGCTGGGCAGGTCCTGCTTGATGGAAAGGATATATCACTCATCAACATTAACGACTATAGATCGCACATTGCCCTCGTCAGCCAAGAGCCAACTCTATTCCAAGGGACAATCCGAGAAAATATCAGCATGGGCTCCGCCAAAGACTTGACTGACGAAGCTTTGGAGATTGCTTGCCGTGAGGCCAATATTTACGATTTCATCCTATCTCTCCCTGAAGGGTTCAATACTGTCGTCGGTAGCCGTGGAGGACTTCTGTCAACGGGGCAGAAACAGCGCGTCGCCATTGCCAGAGCATTGGTGAGGCAGCCCAAGATCCTTCTCCTCGACGAAGCTACCTCGGCGCTGGATTCGGAATCGGAACATGTGGTACAAGCGGCTCTTGACCGCGCTGCAAAGGGGCGGACAACGGTCACCGTGGCGCACCGGCTGAGCACGATCCAGCATGCAGATGTCATCTACGTTTTCGACAAGGGGTGTGTGGTAGAGTCAGGTACCCATTCAGAGCTGATGGCACTGAATGGGGCGTACGCTGAGTTGGTGAGAATGCAGTCTTTGGATCAGAAGGAGGAGAAAGGGGTGAGTTCTGCTTAGGAACCTGCTATAGGTGTGAGCAGACTGTATAAGAAGAGAATCGCCAATCTTTGTTTTCACTATCGATCATTTGAAGCAATAATAGTTCCACTTTGTCTCTGATAGCTTGTACTAGATATTATATAGATGATTACGGTCGACGTGCCATAGCAATCAAATTTTTGTTGTTTGTACATCTCCCTAGAGTATCGTGTTAGCATGTAATGGGCTGGTTGATCTAAAGTTCATTCGAGATTATCCAAACTAGGAGACATATTGCCATCAGGTATACACACGTATTCGCATCCAGGGCGGCAGACACCCTCAGGTATCCAATCGGACATCTCAGTTCCGGCGATGAAGTTTTTCCAGAGAGAACAAGTTTGGAGAAGTTCTGGAAAGGATGGCACATCTAACAAAGGCGAGCATGGCTTGCGTTGAACATGAGAACGACATGGCGTTGTGGGTTGGATGTACGATCTAGTCTGTGCAGAAAATTATTAAAGATGTACTATATTGCCCTCACCAGAAAAGAACGGGCAAAAGTATTGTGTTCAATGAAACAAAGATAAATCATCGTATGGGATTGGTTTCATAATTAGATTCCATTATCCTATTAAGTAGAAAAGTACCTCGACTAATAGAACAATCTCAAAAGCTACAATCCATTACATCCCATCCCCTGTTAAACTCCTCGTCACCCTCTGCGTGGGGAGAACATCGCTCTTTCGGACAAGAAGAAGAGGGGAAAGACAGGGCGCGCCTCATAGAAACGAAGTTTGAAATCCGCCTCCCCGTTCCATTAGAACTGGTTCTGGCTGGCCAGGAGAGCTCGGCGCTGGAGCCTCCTGCTCCTGCAAGGCCTGCGGCTGGGTGTAGGAGCAGGGGTGACATCGGCCGAGGTTGACGACGCCGTGGTCGAGGCGGGGACGGTGGAGGACGAGGCCGGGGTCGTCAGGGTGGCGAAGGTGGTGGGTGTGGTTGATGAAGCATCTGAAACAGGTGTAGCGGAAGACACGGGTGTGACAGAAGCAGAGTCGGTAGCTGAGGGGGTAGCTGAGGGGGTTGCGGTCGAGGAGACAGGGGTGGTGGAGCTGACAGCCCCAGGAGACACACTGATGCTATCAATGTAGACGCTGGCGAAACCCGCGGCGTTGCAGTTGATCGAAATAGTCAAAGAACCGGAAGTGGAGCTAGGGACTATGGTGCCGGACAACTCGCTCCACTGAGTGTTGGGTGTAGTTGTGAGAGGGAATCGATCAGTGTTGGCAAAGTTGTTTCCGTTGAAGTAGGCTCTCACACGGCAGCTATCATCAGGTGATGCTGCGAGGACGAGGTAGTGGAACGAGATAGTGTAGGGCGAACCAGCAACGAGGTTATGAACAGTACCAGAAATGGAGGTGATAGGATTATCACGCTTCTGCACAGGCGAGGTCTCAGTGGTATCATCGTCATTTCCCCTGGTCGACAGCTGGGCAGCGCCATTACCATTGTAACCATCGTCACTGACCCAAGAAACGTTTCCACTGGTGGTGTAGTAAGCCAGACCAGCCGCGAAGTCCGCGTTGTCGATGTACTGAGATCCGGAGGGAGTGGCTGACGGCGTCGTAATATCGGAAGTGGCAGATGGGGTGGTGGAAGATCCTGCATCCGCGGTAGAAGCCACAGGGGTAGATGAGGCATCCGTGCTTGAGGCACCAGCAGTTGAAGATACATCTGTGCTAGAAGCCAAGGGGGTGGATGAGATATCCGTGCTTGAGGCTCCGGTGGCCGAGGGAGTGGAGGATGCATCTGTGCTAGAGGCCGCAGCAGTCGATGAGATATCGGTTGAAGCTGGGGTAGAAGAGACATCAGTGCTTGAAGCTCCGGTGGATGAGGCCGGGGTGGATGAGGCATCTGTGCTTGAAGCTCCAGGGGTGGATGAGATATCCGTGCTTGAGGCTCCAGTGGCCGAGGGGGTTGAGGATACGTCAGTGCTAGAAGCTGCAGCAGTTGATGAGACATCGCTTGAAGCTGGGGTAGACGAGACATCGGTGCTTGAAGCGGCAGTGGATGACACATCGGTGGAGGAAGCCGGGGTGCTTGAAGCAGCAGTTGATGACACATCAGTAGTTGAAGCGGCAGGAGTAGACGAGACATCAGTGCTTGAGGCTACAGTGGATGAAGCTGGGGTAGATGATACGTCAGTGCTAGAAGCTGCAGCAGTCGATGAGACATCGCTTGAAGCTGGGGTAGATGACACATCGGTGCTTGAGGCGGCAGTGGATGACACATCTGTGGAGGAAGCCGGAGTGCTTGAAGCGGCAGTGGATGAAGCAGCTGTAGACGACACATCTGTGGTTGACGCTGGGGTGGTTGATGCTACACTAGTAGAGGGGCAGGCAGCATCTACCAGAACCTTGGCGTTATCGAAAGCGATGTACGCGTATGGCGAGGATCCGGTGCTGGTGCATGAAAGCAGGAAGGTGAGTTCGGTGCTATCAGCAGTGGGTGTCCACGTAGCCTGGAAAGTCTTCCACCCCGTGTTTTGGCTCGACGTGTAGACCGTTGATGGGGTAGAGGAGATGACGTTGGATCCGTCAGACACACTAAGCTGGCACGTCCTCTGAATGGTGTCAGGGGCCGTGGCGCCGTTGATTCTATAGTCAATTGAGATGGCATGTTGACGTGCGGTAAGTCCGGACACAGTTTGGCTGAATTCGACAACCTCGGTACCGGAAAATGCACTAGGAACATGGGTTAGCCTTGAGATGAAACATGAATAGGATTCTTGAGACCACTTACAGTGAGTAGGCTCCGTCGGTGTAATCCCAGTTGATTTGAGTAGCAGAGCCCTGGGTGACATCCCAGTCCGCTGGACCGGTTTCAAAGGAGGGGTTGGAGAAACCGTTCGTCTGGCAAGCCGATGGTGCTGTAGAAGACACTGCGGCCGGAGTAGACGAAGCTGCGGTTGATGAGGCAGCGGTCGATGACACATCTGTGCTTGAAGCGGCGGTAGATGAAGCTGCGGCAGTGCTTGAGGCAGGGGTGGACGAGACATCTGTGCTTGAAGCAGCGGTGCTTGAAGCAGCAGTGCTTGAAGCAGCTGGAGTGCTGGAGGCGGCTGTAGACGAAGCAGCGGTAGACGAGACATCTGTGCTTGAAGCGGCGGTGCTTGACGCGGCAGGAGTAGACGAGGCAGCGGTAGACGAGGCGGCGGTGCTTGAATCAGCAGGAGTGCTGGAGGCAGCCGTAGATGAAGCCGCAGAAGATGTGGATGCTACGCTGATCGTGGACGCGACCGTAGAAAGGCTGGTGGTGGTTGATGGTGCTGGGCAGGTGGCGCTCAGGAAGAGCTTGAAGTCATCCATGTACATCTTGCCTGTGGCGCTTCCACTGCTACAGCTGATGGTGGCGGAAATGTAGATAGATGAGGCCTTGGGGGTGAAGCCGGTTGCCTTGAGGTTCTTCCACCCTTGGTTAGAGCCCTTGGTGAACACCGTCGAAGAGACACTTGCGAGCGAATAGAGAGTGCCAGTCGAGCTGGTTGCCTGGTTCAGGGCAATAGTACAATACCTGTAAGCAGTCCCGGAGTTGGAGTCGTCAATATCCACTTGATAGTCAAACTCGACATCGTAGGTGGATGAGGTCGACAGTCCGGTGATGGCCTGCTTGGCAGTAATCTTTCCATCCGTGAGGGTGTCCGATCTAGTAGAATGAGTCAGTAGCTGTGTCTTTACGTGCCCATGGCAGAGTGAGAGGAGGGATGTGGCCAATGACATACAGGGAGAGGAGACCATCGGAGTGTTGAGCCGACGACGAGGCACGGTTAGCACCATCAGTGAAAGACCATCCGGTCAGTCCACTCTCGAACGAGGGGTTCGTGAAAGCGTTCTGCTGGCAGCAGCTTGCGGTGGTGGAGATGGAAGCGTTGTCGAGATAGGCAAAAGTTCCGTCAGAGGTCGAAGAGCCAGAGCAAGAGAGGTACAGTCCAATCGTTTGGCTCCCGCTGGCCGTCGCGGTGAAAGTTCCAGTCCAGGTGCTGAACGCATTGCCAGCACCGGAGCTGGTGAAGGCCTGGTTGGAAATGGAGGCAAACTTATTGGCTGTGGTGCCTTGGTACATGTACAAGGAACAGGTCTTGGTATTGCCTGCCTTGACACCGATGTACCGGTCAATGGAGACGACATACTCCGCGTCCTTCACCAACGTCACACTCTGCGTCACGGTATACGTGGTTGTCGACGAGGACGTGACGGGAAGGTTACTATGAACGGTTAGCACATTGGTCGCTTCAGAAAGGCATTTTTGAACATTTCACTCACAGGACATAGGAGCCTTGGGTGCTCTTGCTTGAGGACAGACGAGCACCGCCGGAGGGGCTGGTGGACCAGGGGGTTATCGCAGAGTTCTCGAAAGATGGGTTAGAGAACAAATTGGGCTGGGTGCAGGTGACAATGGGGTTGTCGTTGGCTGCCACCGCCGGAACTGCCAAAGCGGCAGCGGCCAGCAGGCCATTGAAAAGCGGTGCAGACCGCATGCTGAGAGAGCAAGAGAGTGGCTGAACCTAGAAGACGGTTCAAAAAAAGGAGTGTGCGGTCCAAAGGAAGGAAATCAAGGGTTGGAAAGAGTGTGTTGCGTGTGAGCGAGTGTCTGTTGAAAACGAATGTACGGCTTCTTCCCTGTCACCAGCGGATGCCAAATGCCAACACCCAGAAAAAGAGAGCGTGGGTGGAAGAGAAAGGAAGAGAAGACACAGAGAGATGCTCGGAGCAAGCTGGGTATGTATCAAGTCCCAAGTCTGCTCCATCGCCTTGCGCCACCCAAGCTCAGCATCTGATAGTCAACCTTCGCTAGTAGTTAATGCTCAATGGCTGCAAGCTATCGATTTTCAGCAACGCCACCCCAGAGCCCCATCACTCATCCCCGATAGCGGCATGCTGCAGAAACGCGTTCGACATGTCCCGCTGTGTCTCACAACCCGTGCCTACCCCGTGGCTATCCCTCATACTCATCCCGAAGACCTCGCAACACTCCACGCTCACTCATCGTCGACCGACACATGCTTGGGCGAAGCGTCTTGGCTCGATCGACACGGCCGTTGGGGCCAGGCGGCAGCAATGTTGCCAAGCGGAATGAAGCATTTGTACCGAGGTCAATAGCGCCCAGTAAGCATAACACTAGTCAGGAACAATATCGAACAAGAGCCAATTTCTTGGTTACTCCGCGGCCAAGTCGAGACCAAGGGGTGGGCCGGCTGCCATGACCCAGGAGTATGGCACACATAATGAACTCCTCTAGAGCCAATATTCTGGCGGGGCTTCATGCCCTCTCGGCTCTGATGTTGGCGATCGGATAAAACGGCCCCCTGAGTCCTGATCAGGACAAGTCAATCTTCTCCGGCTGCCGCTAACCTAATACGGCATAGCGTCGAAGGCGGCGACGAACTAACCCAGAGCGAACTTTGAGATTCAGCCTCGGCCTCACCATCGTAGACCTACCCTACACACTTCAAATGTCGCAAGTTCAACTCATCAAAAGCAAACTTTCAGATCTCATCACGGTAGGCTTAGTTTTTAATTTGCCGATATATTCTACACAAGGAGCTAAATCAACCAAATACATGGAAGCCATACGTTGTTGTGGCAGTGCATTCTCCAACCAATAGTTACAGACAAAACAATCACGGGGAGTATGCTATTCGAGGCGCCTGCGTCTTGGAGTGTGATATCTGTCTCCAAGACCTCTTTATTAATATCAGAGCCATAAGAACTTCGCACAACATTACATTAATTACCCTTTTCAGGCTTATATCATGATATGCTACACTGATGTGGTAGAAGAATGGTACAGGGTAGCAGTCGAAATTCACGGCCCTGCTGACAAAAACCCGAGCCGTGCACTTCTCTTTCCACGCGAAGTAACAAATCACGTGACGTACCGCTGAACTCACCGCTTCCGCTATCCCGGCAGAAAGCCCGAGTTGTGAGATGGTGTTGTTAATGCCTGTATCCATCGCCTGCTTCATCTTTATGCCAGTGTGGAAGGATAACTTCTTGGTCTCGCTCAACCTGCATCACGTTGAGACTTGAGATAGGGGTCTTGAGGCCCAGATTCAGCCAGAACCGCCGAGCAAGCTAGCGTCACTTTCGGGGGACGATGCAGGGATTCCTTCAATCTCAGGGTCGCTATATCCAGGGGCCAGGGGTATTCGCGCTCTTCTGTACCCCCCCGGGAAAAGCAGCGCTTAATAAAACTTCAACTTATTTCCGAGAGATGGCTATCGTGGAAGGGTAACAAATCGTTACTACTCACTCTCTCGCTGCCCTACACAGAACCTCATCTCCAACGAAAGTGGTACATCTGACACATCTTGGCCTGCAGGATGACGCTTGAAGCAACCATTACATTGGTGCTCATGCACCCAAAGTCAGCCTCACATTCTGTGTTGGCGCCCAAGGTAGAAAGGCAGTCAGCTTGAGGCTGGAGCCTATATTAACATGACTAGGCCTACAACAATGTTCCGTCTCCAACGCAAAACTGCGCCTGTAGCAGAAGGATATAACCTCCTCGGCAATCTGTCCCTCAGATAGCCAACATGATCTTCGCTGCCTGCTTTCTCTTGTTCCTCAACTTCCCGCCCGCCGCTGCGGCGGATTGGTGGGATGATTTTTCCAATAACTTCGCGACGGATCTTGCCCCGCTTCTTTCGCTCTTTGGTGAGCAGGTCACCAAGCAATTCCTCAGCGAAAGCATTCATTTCGTGGACTATATCATCTTCGCGATGGCCCCGATCGGAATACTGACGGCTGTTGTCTCCGTTATTCGCACTTGTGGTAGCCCATCGCTGCGTGCCTTCGTTGGCAGAGCGCAGGAAGGGAAGGGAGTCGCCGAGGCTGAACTGTGCTCCTCTACGAGTCGGGATGTTTGCGAGCTTTACAACAACGGTGGAATTGCGCGCGTCTTCGGGCGTCCAAAGATACTCGAGATTATCTTTGACCCGGAAGATCCAGATTTCCAGAAGGAAGCAGGGATCTACACAGTCAGGGACTACTTAAAAACTGAAAAGAGTGTATGGGTGAAGGTGAAGCAGTCTGGTGTCTTTGCCGGACCTACCACCGACGTGGAGTCTGGTCCGCCAAAGAAGTCTGCGTATGTAGACGGTGACGTTGATTTGTTCGCACCAAACCTTTCTCTCAATGTTGGGATCAAACGACAGCATACACACGTTTCCTGGATCGTCGCCGGGATGGGATTTCTTATGCAGAGTGGTGTTATGTTGTTTGCAGGCATTGCGACATACTACCTGAAGTGGGAAAAGGACGACAAGCCTCCAAACAGCTATTCATGTCCTATGACGTTCGCCGGTACAATTCTATTGGGAATTGGGACATTCTACTGTGCATTTCTCGTTGGCGAGAGCACAGACGAGCAGTTTTTTATGAAAAGAGACCTACCCAGCCCCAAATCTAAGCAACGTCCAATCATGATTTGGGTGCAGCCTGGAGGCCAGGTTCTGGGTGATCAAACCTTTGATCCCTTTTGCTACAGTGATGATGGAAAGCCATTGGAACAGTACGTCACGTCGTGGAAGAAGCCATCAGTTGAGTCGCCCTTCCGCGTTTGGGCTGCCATCGGCGTTACTATGCTTGGTTTTGTTCTTCAGTTTACCGGACTTCGAGGTATACATTCCGCAGTCTCCTTGGCCCAAATTGCAGTAGTTCTGGCGATGAGCATGATAAGATCGTTACTCCGTACGCAACGGTTAAAGCTTGAGGACAATAAGCTTGGAGGATTTCCAGATCAAGTAACCGGGTACGAGCTTGACTGGCTTGCGTTGCATATTGGCGAAGCAGATATTCAACAAGACCTGAATCCACCGTCTCGCCATTCTCGGTCGTCTTCTCCATCTGTGAGAGGATGGACATTGCCGCGGCTTGAACGGCTCTCATTACGTCCTCCAGACCCCCCTTCACCAAACCGGCATCGTGAAACTCGATGCTTTTGGAAGTTTTGTGGTATTTCGAGCATGAAAAGTATTTCAATATCTAAGCTAGCTTCTGGAACTCGGGATTTTAATCCTGCTGCAAAGATCTTTGCTTATCGGACTCGCCTGGGAGATCTGACGATATCACGAAGCAAAAGATCGAGAACTGCCACTTCTGCTGCCAATTTTCATATCGAAATGGTTGAGGTTCGGCAAGAGGCTCAGCGGCTTGCTGTTGCTATCACAACTGTTCTCAGCCTGTTATTTCTAAAAAGGAACTCTAATCAATGCTTGAGTTGGGGGCTTGAGTGCTCCATCTCATTCTCGCAAGGAAGTATTACAAGGACCAAACCCTATGCCGTATACTTGAATTTTTTTCGCGACACAGAGAATCAGTGGAAATTCGACAACAACATGGAGTTGGAATCCGTTCTTGGGTTATGGGCTTGGTCACTAATGTCTGACCGTGCAGTGGAGAAGAAAGATGGGCTAAGTTCTCTCATTCGATCCCGAGCCCTCGAGGTTCCGGCGCGGCGGATCGTTTCAACCGCCGAGGAAATCGAAATCCTTGAGGCATGGCTACCTGACAACGTCTTCAATCTCAAGGAGCATACCTTTCATTCTTGGGCTACACAATCTGAGCCGGGTAGCCTATGGGAGGAGTTCGACAGTAAGTACAGGCCCTTCCGGGGCCAACTAGAAGGAGACATTATTCAGCCATCTGTTGTTCGGTTTTTTGGCTGGAACATTCATGTTAGTTCGAATTTACAGGATCGATACAGGGATTCTGGGACGTTGAAGATGTTTTCCGCTCGCACGAGCGGCACCCTTGTGTCTTCTTGTGCCCACGAAATTTTCGCATCATTTCTCGCGAGCGTTCTTGATAAAGCCTCTGAACGGGAAGATGCTAGAATCGAAGTAGACGATCTGGACTTCCGTCTAAGAAGCCCTCTAGTGGACAAAGTGGTTAAGGCATTCACCGACAGTCAACTAGGCTCGACCGAAGAGGCAATGTTCTGCGTCTTGCCACCCATTATATCTAGACTTTAGCTTCCCTCTACCCCGGCATACTAAGCGGCAGCAAAGAGAAGTGTTGATAAGTATCGATACAAGAACGCCTGAAGTGATGCTAGGGCGGTATTGGAATGGGCGTCGGATGTCGGCGTAAACTCACAACCTCCTTTCTGGGCGTATGGTGAAGATGAGGGCCTGATGAGAGGAAACAAAAGCTCGGCTGTTATTGCTCTGGCTGAGTTATTCCGATGGGAGCAGGCCATGCTGGTAGAAGAAGACCTAACGGGAATCTTGATACACATCACTCTCTCAGCCACCAAATATATATATATATATACATATATACGTAAGAGAAAGAGAGTAGAGTTCAACAGCAATGGAAGCTGCCAGAGCCTGACAACTCAACACAATGAATATATACATATATATCGCCACCAACATGACGCAGCAAGAAAGGAGCCAAATACTTTCTATGGCGACAAAGAACGGTTGAATTTTCAAAGTCTAATACTTTTCCGGCTTCCGTGCTAGTCCTCCATCATAGGTTTAAGAAGTCAAGGCGTAAATAAATTCTCGATTGTGCCGAGCGGGCCTGGCCGTGTAAGTCAGCTCATTTTTCACCCAATCTTCCATCACGTGACGCATTTCGGGGTCAAAGTATTGTCGTGTTCACTTGAGGAGGCTATTTCTGGAGTTTGGTCGGAGCTGTGAGCTTGACGATGCTTTGGGCATAATGGACCTTGAACAGAGGGCATTGTAGTAGAGATGTGAGTGCCATCGAAATTTCGTTCATCGTGGTATCTCACTGGAAGATCTCGTTGGCAGCCCCGATTATGCTCATGTCGAAAGAAATCAGATGAGACCTGCAAATTGGGTTCGCTCAACGCTTTGATAGGGGAAGATTTCACACGCACTCATAGAGTATTTGAACCACCTTGTACCGCAGGCCATGCTAGGGGCGCCCCTGCCAAATGAGAAGCGATAACGCGCTTCTTAGAACGAACGAACATTCCTGAAGCCCAGCAGAGAGTTAGTAGCGTAAAATAGCCCCGTTTAACTTGGAAGAGGGTGGAGCTTGATTTGATTTTTGAGCCCACAGATATGAGGGAACAAGAAGGTGAACTCTCTGGTCTTCGTTCAATGACAGCCTTCAGAGTTAGTAAATCCATAGAACACAGCGCTGCGTTAGCCCAGAGAATCAGCTCGTCAACCTTCTGTGCTGAAATGGATCTGGTCAAGTTTCCAGATATCCTGTTGTCACTTCTGGACATGTGATTCCCGCAGACCGATGTTACAAGTTAGTCTCGTGTCAGTCATCAAGAACATACTATCAAGGACGCGGTGAATCTTGCAATAATCCTGCTTTGATCGATGTGGCTAACTTCTTTTAGCGAGAATACTGGCATGTTTCACATCCTGGTTTTGCAGACCAGCTCTAGCCGCACGCGTATTCATTAATTCTGGAAATTGAAATCTTTTTTGGCTTGTATTAAAAGTTGAGAATCAAAGGTGAGCCCTGAGGCGAGATTAATTTCGAAAGGAATGACAGCTATTGCACATGTGGACTCCTAAAAGGTCCTGGCAACCGTTTACGAGGCTCTATGGCCTTCTCACACGCCGGTAACATCTCCTCCGCTTCGTTGTACGCATTAAGAGCGGGTTGTGGTAGGTGTGTAGAGGCGGTACCATATGTCGTAGGCGAACCAGGACAGGTAGTAGGCCAATATCTGGTAAGGTGTTAGCTCAGGCGCTTCGGTTGATAGGGTGCAGAAAACTAACGGTGATGAGCACGAGGCCAAGGAAGTTTCCGATTCCAAACGACTGGGACATCTTGGTTCGATGTTCCTTTGCAAAGTCTAGGTGGCACGACTTTCCCTTCTAAGCAGTCTGCCTAGGTGTTGGAGACTGTGGGTTGTGATAGATTTGTGGATGTTGCGGTGGAGGCGGATGTAAGCTTGATGGAGGAAGCGGTATGAAAGAGAGAACGATGAAGACGAAGAGCACAAACAAGAAAATTCAGATTCTAGCTGCTTCGATGCGGAAATGTGCGAGAAAAGGGGGCAGGTCAGTACGTACCTCCGTACCTCCGCACCAAGTGATTACCACCTGACCGCCAAGTTACTGCCAGGTGAGTACGCGTGGGTGGACTTGCCTAACGAAGGTCCATATGGTGGCAGGTGTAGTAGGCCGTCCTCTCAGACCGAATCCTCTCCAGCACTCTTGGAAGCTACGCATTGCCGACAGTTGGAAGGTTCTAGTGAATTCTCCTCCTCCCCACCTCCACCCACGACAGACAACCTTCCCTCTCGAAGGTGAGGCTTCAACTTCCTGTCTGCCCATCTACTCCCATACGGTAAACTGGGTACAAACCTTTTGATTTCTGGACTTTGCTGACCAGAAAGATCACCACCTTCGACGTTTTGTCTGAAAACCCAGAGTTCCGGTTGGATAAGGGACTTCAAGAGTAAGACATCTATCATCTGAACTGTATCTCTAACTGCTCAGCGACGAGGCTCCTCCTAACAGGCTCATAGATGTCAAACCGCTCGACGGAAACGAAGGCGTCAAATCTTGCCTTTTAAAGTGCAAGCTTTGAAACAGCGAGGGGCGGGGGTCGGCGAGCAGGCCGATTGCCTGGGTCCCCCCCCGCCCAAAGCAGCATAAGAAAAGACTCTCGTGGCCCGGATGCCTCAACGGCCACCTCCCCCTTTCGCAGCCTACGTAGACCTAGAAGGTCCTTCGAGGGACCGAGAATGCGATTTTGAGCCGCCATTGAAGTACGCAAGGGCTCCCGTTGGCGGGCGGAAATGATGATGGCACGGGTGGTGTCTTCGATGACTTCCTCCCACCGACCGAGATGGGGCCTAATGGGCCCAGCCCAGCCTACAGGGCCGGGGAAACTTTGCTGTCAGAGACATCCAGTGTTTCTGGTTCGTTGCTGGCTTGGGAAATTGCTAACCCCTTGTGCAGAATTGAGCTGAGAGGTGCTACACCCGCGTATCCGCTGGGTATCCCAGCACTTCTTCCCTTCTTGAGGGCAGTGTGACGACGCAAGAAGTCATGGCAGGCTAGACATACTGGTGTGAAGATCGTCCAGCAGATTCCCATCCTTATGGGCTGTGCTGTGCTACGACGGAGTTTCAGTACAAAGTAATCAACAGCAATGGAAGTTGCCAGGCCCGACATCTCAACACAACGGAGACGTTGCTGGGCTACCACATCTCAAGGGTTTGGTTGACTGCATTGGCCAAAACCTGAATGACGACCAGACCAAGATTCGAACAGTGACCAGTCTCGCTATCGCCGCGCTGGCCGAGGCATCCCACAATGTGTACATAGATATGCCCACACATTGCGGCCAATCATGATTGCAATGGCACAAGAGCAACAAGGAGCTGTTTTTGAGCTCATTTCAGGCTCCGAAGTGATGCAAATGACGGTACGCAACCTCCTGTGATCGTGAATTAGAATGTTGCTGACCAGACCTAGTTCCGACCAAGACCTCCGAACGAACGAGGCGTGCCAGCAGGGGGGGGGGGGGGGTTGCGAGCATCCCATTGCGACCAAATACATACCGCAGAAGCCGCAGGGAGGCCAAAGCCCCTATGAATATGGAAGAGAGCTCGAGTATAAAGTTAAAAACAACAATAGAAGATGCCAGACCCGACATCTCAACACAATGAGTAAAAGCCCCTATGAATAACCGGGGAAGTTCACAGCCTAAGGTAGTGCAGCATATCCACGACGGGGTATCACGCCGACGGCTCTGGTCATCGAGGTGACCTGTTCACATCACAACGATGATCAGTTCGGGATGTTGGGAGGAGTCAAGTTAGTTCTACTTGATAGATTGATGCAATTCAACTTTTAGGCTGATCAGTCTGGTCCCATCAGTTCAAAATCATTACGCATTTACGCAGGATTATCATCGATATTGAAGCCACCCAATTTCAGCAGTTTGAAGGAACACTACCAGAGTCACAGTCCAGAGAATTACCTCCTTTCCAGGTTTGGGCACTCAAAAAAGAACGACGGAACTCGGTTTCATCTAATATTGAAAGCTGAAAGGAATCAACCACGACTGTTCTTGCGAATCGGTATTTTTCAGGACTGCCTGATTTTTGAATGGATGGTCAGGGAACTTCCCTCTGCTTACGATCTCAAAGAAGAGCACGACCACTTCAATATTGTTAATAGAAACCGGACAGGGAGCTCAACGATGAAGACCTATCGACCGAGGCCCAGAGGCTCGAATGCCTAGCAAGCCCAACAGGCTCCGAGCCCCCTAGCAACACCCGAGGCAATGCTGCTTGGCTGGTTCGCCACGAGCAGGCACACAGACATCGCGATGTGGATTCTGCGATGCTCAACTGAGGGCATGGTGGAAGCGGCTGGATTACGTCCGGGTAGAGAAGGATAAGCCCATCCGTTGGGTTGGGCTCTTATTGTTATTTACTGTCGCAACCCGCCCGGAATCATATCGAATTCCAACAGCACCTCTGAGATGTCTTTTACCAACGGTCACATGAGTGGTCAATACTGAATTAAAGCTTTTGAAGATGGGTTCTTCATTTCCGCGTTTGGCTATCTTGACGACGTGTACTCATATGTTTAATACACAGACAGTTTCGCCATACTTAATTTCATGTCCGAGAACCTTCCTTATTGGGGTGCAAGAATTACTTTGAAAATTTCCTTGACGTCTTTCAACTTCCTTGTCAAGGTACTTGATCCTGGTTGTACTATCATCCGAGGCGGGATGTGTTGATGCGCAACCATGAAAAATGAGATGGATTTCAGGGTGAAACAACATGGCTGGGTCAGTTCTAGGATTTCGCCAACGTCTTTGCGTCTAACATGAACATATTTTGAGCCCTCCCTGCCAAGTTATCTAAAGGGGCAATCGAAGCCGTGAAATATTCAGTGATGATAGCTCGGTGACCAACGTATAGGTGGTTCTCGGGGGTTTTCTAAATGGGGAGACGCGCGAGGGCCGGTGCAGGGAACAAAACAATGGTCTCTTTGATTTCACTGTAGATATCGTGAGTCCCCTACTGTCGTCAGGTCCGGCAACATACGATGACTCTCCTGTGTCCTTGTTCTCATGCGTTAGGGTTGGATGGATGCCATATACACGGGAGGAAAAACACAATGTAAAGTATATATATGTGCAAGTCTATGCTGGCATGTCTATGTTTACTCATATAAAATCTGTTCATCAAAAGCAATCGAACTTATCATAATCCCAGAATAATGCCCGAGGGTATTGGTGGCCTGCTCCCTGAGCCTACGTGGGTGGAAGATCCCACCTGGTTGCTCCTGCCATCCCAGATACCTCCCCACGGCTGGTTGCCGCTGAATTCGGCAAGACGTGCGGAAATGTCCCGCGACCGTTTGCTCTCGCCTGTTTCGTCACTGCCTCCGTCTTCCGCGGCTTGTTGCACTTCCTCGCCTTCCTGGTCGACGTGGGCGCACGAGTGTAGCCAGCCTTCACGCCGCCCGTCGCACGCCGTCATTCTCCGCCCAGAGAACCAGGTGTCTGGAGGGGTCTCGGCTGCCTCATCTCCATCTTCCCTCGGCTCTCCTGGCCGGTTCTGGCGGCCGGAGAGAATAGCGAGTTCCATGTCAAAGTTTGTATGCCCTGAGGCTTTGGTCGCTCTCCGCGGGATAGTTCTTGAGCCTACGGAAGAGGTCGCCGGTGGCCATTTCGGTTCCATGGATAAGGTAGTACCCAGCCAGTTCCAAGCCAGTCTTTTGGTCGGATTGTCTTCGTCGCCGATTGGTCTTCGAAAGCCGGTACGGGACGAATTCCGGCTCAGGGCGGGATGACGGTGGTGCTCAATGAGGATGTTGAGGGCAGGAAGACACGAGCATGAAAGGCCGATGGTGAGTTCGAGTATGCTAGAAGATTTGGACAAGTTAGGACAATTGCGGTCTTTGAGTTGAACATTACAGACTTACGTCAGGATATCTAGCAGCATGAAGTCCGACGCAACGTCCTTCGACTCGAGATATTGTATAAGCTTTATCAGACGATAGATCGTGACGGCGGCGGCAGTGCCGCCTGCCCCCAATAGGAGAATCATCTTGATCTTCTTCCGCCAATTGATGCGCATTTTCCATGTACTCGGAATCGGGATGAAAAAGATCAACGAATCGGTGGCGATGGCGAATGCGACGTCGACGACTAATATGATCCGAAGATCCAAGCATTCCCCTGGGACGGTTGGATCCCAGAAGGCACTTGGCGGGCCACATAGGCCGATCTTGAGGCCCAGTATCGGGATGTAGGCGATGAAAAGCGCGAGGATGAAGTAGTAGATTCCGCGGGCGAGCTTTGTGTTGACGGCGAAGACACGTGCGAGAAGGAGGAGAAGGGTAACCTTCGTGAAGAATGCGGCCGGCTCGTAAATGATGGATGTAATATATAGCCACTGTTACTTGGTTAGCTACGGGGTAATGTTCAAGGTAGAGGGTCTGCTTACCTCGAGCATGGAGGAATACTCGTCCACTGGTATATCCCAGGAATGGTGGCCCAAGCCATAACGGATCACTACGTTGTGTTAGCCGACAGGAGCATTCAGGAACAGCTTCTTTGGCGTACTCATTGCAGAAGACGCGCTTATTACGATCAGCAAGGACTGCGAGCGTCAGCATTACCGTCTTCGACGTCTCATGTAGGTTGGAATGTACAAACCCATGATATCAGGCATGTCACTATTTATCTCCATGTTAGCCCCCAAGGTGATCTTGAATTGTGCGCTGGAGTAGGAACAGGGACGTACAATCTTCCAGCAGGAACCGCCGCGTAATGCGCAACTTGACATAGAATCGGATCGCAAACAGGATAGTTGACACGGCCAGACACACAACGAGAGTTGAGACCCCCCCAACGCGACCGGCATCAGGCGGATTCTTGAGGTTTGGGACGACGCCAGGTGGCGGAGGGAATGCACCAGGGTATTTGCTCGGATCACCGCCATTGAAGCCCGATACCGCGCGTGCGACCAGGCTGGAAAGTGGCATAGTATCCTCTACGGGAGAGGCCAGTCGATTGAAACGTGGGCTTCAGACCGTGTCGCAGGCCCTTGGAGATCGTGCGAAGGAGCAGGATATCGGATAGTTGGAGGCCCAGCATTGAGCCAAGCCATGGCGAGCAAGGGAGGCATGCGGGAAGGGTGGCAGTCCTCAGAATAATGAAAAGAACAAAGGCGCTCAGTCAAATACCAGTCGTTCTGGGTTCGTCGGGACCGCCTGGCGGCTTATGATACAGCAGACCAAGCCATCGAGGCGGCTGAGCCAATCCGGGGAAGCGGATTTGCGCCTAGATGCAAAGAGAGTTTGAACGGCTCTGGGACTTGACCATGGTTGGCGTCACACTTTGGGGACGCCGGCTGACGGTATACCGGCTGGCAAATCATCAGTGGAGTAAGTTCTCCGCTCGCTCGGGAATAAGGGAGTTGAGCTGTCAAATCAGTCTTATTCTCGACAGCCCGGCACTCGTTCTTACCATCCACTGACAACATGATCTCAAGTAGGCCGATATCCCGCGGGGAGTTCAAGGCACGCTTGCTTGAGCCTGACCCTGATCAAGCCAGGTGAAACATCTTATGGCTGGGCTCGATCTACCGCACCAGCTGCCGTTTCACATTCCAACAGAGGTTCTTAAGGAAAGGGACCGGTCCTGGATAGGCAAAGCGCAATCTCTTGTTGGATCTCGACCCGACATGGGCTGCGCTGACACATGCTGGGCTCCGCAGAAGCTGACTAGAAGCTCTTCGTGCCACCTAAGTGGCTGTGTCCGTTGAGTACGACGATCTGCCGGTTTTCCGCGGTCGGCCGCACCTAGGTTTCTCGATGCTTAGCTTCAACAAAGTTAGGAATGCTGTATATCAAATAGGGGTAAGCCACCGGGACCTTCCGAGGTATCATTGTTAGCTAAATGGGGGAGTGGCTTTTGCCAGTCGGGCTCGAGTTCATCCTGAATCAAAAGATGCGGCATACTGGCCTTATTCTGGGTATTATTCATCCTAAGTACTGCGTATTGCCGTTGTGTTGAGATGTCGGATCTGGCATCTTCTATTGTTGTTTAGCCTTACACTCGAACTCTCTCCCGTACTGTGTAATTCTTGCATCGACTGGGCCGTGAGATAGGTATTTTCAGCTACAGACAATTGATTAGCTTCAATACTTGAGCCAGCCAGTCTGTTACTTTGGACAAGAGCGACGTAAATACCATTGAGAATCGCTGCGTCAGGCCAAAACTGGCACGGGGTGGCCCAAGTTAGGGAAATCGCGGCAACTAGAGCAGAGATCTTTCCGTATGCTGGTCAGCAAAGGAAACCTTCATTACCACGCGAGTGAAGGCTTCGTGGTTCCACTAACGTACCAACTGCTTGTCGATCGATAGGATAGGGGAGAGGTCATGCCAGTAAGTTCTGTGATCAGGACCTAAAGCATCCGTTCGGCATGACGATTCGGGTAGAATCATGGAGAATCTGGAATTATCTTCGCTTTGCTCGTGGAAAGAGCCGAGTTCGATCGTTTGGGCTTCGTCGACGAAGTGGCCCGGCCACGAGGGTTCCTTTCTGTCATCGTGTTAGTAAAGACAGAACTAGGTGACCACTATCTTCCAACCTGTGTTCGGAAAAGGGTTCGAGTATAAGGTTAAACAACAATAGAAGATGCCAGACCCGACATCTCAACACAATGAATATCTAACCTGCGTTCAGCCTGAATATTTCAAGGCATAGGTGGTAGAGAGTAAAGATGAGAAATTGACAAGGGATCGAGGATCTGAGGGAGAAGAAGAAGCTGGAGAGCTGCCTGTCATGCAGTGGACGAAGGCCGCTTATGATTGCCCAGTAACCAATCTTCGTTCCTTCCAGGTTTGTGGGAGGAACATTACTCCATCTACCTAGGTAAGCGATGCCCGATTTAGGTACAAAGTACTTCTTGCCTCCCACATTGACGTCTCCTTTGATTGAGTCACGTGCCACCACTTATCGCCAACAATACCAATTCCCTTCAGCAATAGGCTACATGTTTCAGCTGCAAGGTTTACTGGGCGGTGAATATCTTAGCAAGAATCAAAATGGGATCCATCCATGAGGACAGGCCTCGATGGCTTTTGATAAGCTGGCCAAAGTCTATGGCATGAACGAAGATCGGTCCTCACGGCAAAGACATTCGAGGGAGACCGATAAAGTACAGAACTCATACATTTGATTGATTTATCTTACATCTAGAAGCAATTGACTGATTTCGATTTGTGCCATTCCCGGCACTCCTTGTTCAAATAGCAAAACGACCTTGAACTCCATAACAAAAGCCTAGCATGGCTTGACACACCTGCAAGCAATAGAAATCAAAGGACCCCCTCAAAGAAACGACACACACATTGAAGTTGATAAAAAAAGAGCTTAACGGAAAGGGCCCATATCATCCAGGGTATCCTGAATGCGACGCCAGAAATCAGGCATCCCCCAGCCCGTGATCCAGTAGTTGTCATTCCAATCTTGCCCGAGAATGAACATACCCTTCTTCAGGACCCGATTTTCGTTCCAAAACCCCTTATGGTGATAGACACAGGTACCGGGAGGGTTTCGCCGTGTTGGGCTGTCGTCTCCTTGCCGGAAGACGGCAGGCAAAAAGTCCGCCGCGCGGATGAAGTTCAGCTTGGTCAGATTGCCGGAAGGGAAGAGGATGGCATTGGGTGGTCCGCCAAACACCGTCATTCCATCGCCCGAGTCCGACAGCTGCTTGAGCTTACGAAGCAGTGCTAAGACTCTCCCCTGGCTTGTCTGCTCTTGTAGAGATCGTCGATACGCCAGAGCAACCTCTCCCATTGAGCCTGTGACCGTGTCGATGTCCATGGGGGTCGTGGTGACCCACGCCATGTTCTGGATGTAGACGCCAGCCTTGAGGACGAAGTCTGGCATGCGGGTTCGGAAATCAAAGGCACCAAACACAGTGATGGGGCGCGGTTTTGGCTCGCAGAGAGCGGTCGCGTGAATGAACAAGCCGAGGATAACGTCGCTTTCGCTGACCCAGAGCTTATCTGGGTGGCCTGGATTGGCCCGTTGGATTTCAAAGAGAGCTTGGTTTCGAAGCTTCTGAACAGCACGTCGAGGAAGATATACTGTGCGGTTGACTGGTTTCTGTGTACTAAAGTAACCAGCCACTTGGTCCCAGAGTATATTGAAGACGAGACGCATGGTAGTGCATCCTCTGCTTAAGCTGCTCTCCTGGAAGTGCACCTGATCACGGGCCAATGCAGATTCACTGGCTCGTGCGAGGAGGTCATGTTGTACTCCGAGGATGGCGGGCACGGCGCGGTCGCGGCCGGCTAGCATGTGAGACCAGCAGTTGAGAAGTATCTGGACTCCAGTGCCATCCATCAAGACGTGTGGCCAGGCGAGGGACACGAGAGTGGCATCTGTGAAGCAAATAACATGAAGTGCCAAGAGCGGGACATCGCCGTCGAGGTAGGCAGAAAAGTCCTTTGGGACATCTGGGCTCGCCGAGAAGTCACGGAAGTGGTCGGCACCCGCCTGGATGGAGCCGCGCTCGCCTGTAGGCTGTGGGAGCAAAGACCCGAGGGGATGCTCTCTAAGCTTAGATCGGATCATCTGATGCGAGTAGGCGACAGTTTTGTAGTCAGCAGTCTTGGTGATTGGAACGTGTATCTCAAGTGTTGGTCGCTGCTGAAACTTGGCGGTTCGAAGTCTGCCACCTAACTTGCGCCAATCTCCGTGCTCAAGAAGGCGACAGAGCGCTACGTGGAGCAAATGAGCGTCAAGAACGTCATTGAACTGTAGCGTGTAGGTGTAGGTTTCTTTGAAGCCAGGATGGTTGTCGAGGAAGTGAAGAGGATAGACCTCGTATCCAGCAAGCATGCCCTGGACTCGCTCCGGGCCTACTCTTTCGAATGGATTTCCCTCAACGAGGTGATCCGTATTAATGGAAGGCCGCATCTTGATGGATAGAAACAAGTATTCCTTGGTGTAGTGAAGAGGATGAGGAACACGTGAACAGACGAAAGTCGCCAAGTGAATCTTGGGTGGCAAAGGTTGTATCAAAATTGGGAAACGAAACGAAGTGTCACGCCTTTTCTTGACGAATGAGTCCGTTCGCGAGACCTAACTCGCCGTGTTAAGGTTGAGAAGTTTGTCTCACATCGAACAGCACACAAACGGCTCACCTCGTTGGTCCCTTCCTTGTAGGGATCAGCACCGGTGGGTGCTTCACTTCTGCAAGCAACGGCAAACGGGTGGGAACTTGAACTTAAATGTCGAAAGCGTGCTGATTGTCAAACTTTGAGGAATGGAGAAATCAGTATGCGGGAAAGGGAGCCAGAAGCGTTGTGAAGTGGGTTGTTTATGTCTCAGACATTCTTCTGCAGGTGCAGAATGCAAAGGCAGCTTGGGGGAGGGGTGAGTCACAGGTTTTAAGGGCAGACGCCCCTCGTCGGATGCGGTGGCCGCCTGACCAGACTGCAGAAGACGCGAGCTGTGTGTTGTGCCGTGCGGCAACTACCTTATTGTTTTCTCACCTGCCTGCTGGCGGTCCACCCAGGTCTGTTGACAGCTGCCGAGAGAGTCAGCTGCTGGGCTCACATGCTTGCTTCTATACGATTCCAACCAAATAGGTCAGGTACCTGCCAAGTATCTCCGTAGGTAGGAGGTACCAGATAAGCATGGTCAAGGTCTAGATAGTAAAGGGGGCGTGGGCAGATGAAGGCTGTACCTGAGACAATCTGGCACTTGCATTCTTCTGGTTTGGTACGAATTGACCACGCGTAGGTGCACTGAAGATGATCCATATTATTGATTCCAAGACCTTGACCAAGACTACTTGAGTGGTATCTACTAGTGGCCATACAAGACATCATTGCACGTGGCTGCGAGATCCTTCAGGCCCGAGATTGTCGAAATCTGAACTAGCTGCCTATCAGACCACAATTTTACATTTATATATGTAGATGCCTGATCTAAGCATTTAATTGGAAGGACCTAAGTGCCTCCCCGGCAAGTTGCACCGCGGTCCCACGATTCGTCTCTCACCTCCACGAACGGGTGGAAATGGCTCTTTCCAGCCACTGTATCTCTGAAAAAGGCCTCGAATTTCGATTATTTCTTTGGGGAGTAGGTTGCCCTACAATTTGGAAACGGCACCAATATCCTAACTGAGTGCGTGGATGGTGATGAATTGGTCATATACTTGCTCGTAGCTTCATAGCATCTACCCCGAACCAGACATCTATTCTGTCAGGGACCTTCATAAGGTGTGCTCACTGAATGCCTCCTTGTGTTCATGCTGAGAATAACCATGACTGCTCCATATCTAAACTTGACGCCCATGTGTGCTCTAAAGTAATATCCATGGCCCCTACCTGCTCAAGTAACCTGGGGTACTTCCGCCATCACAAGCAATAAAAGAAGCGACCGAGTGATTTGTATGATATACAGAATGGAAGTACTGGTTGATACAAGAAGGGAAGGGGATTTCCACAAGGGCTCCGCTGCGAAGTCGGTAGAGACAAGTGCCCATGAGGGTTTCTAGGGGAACTGCCCTTGATGCCTAGACCCATCACACGACAACAGTTGCTAATCGTCTTCGTGTATCTAAGTAGTCCCACAGGTACTTCTCACCCCATTCTCACCTCGCCGGCCTTGTTTTCTCTATGCGTTGCAGACCCCTTTGCATTGCAAGGCTTTTCTTTCTTTCTCGTCCCTCCCCCAGCCTCTCTTCCCCCTTCATCCTCTCTTTTCCCCTTGAGCTTCCCACCTTTCTAAACCATACCCTCAAGCACCATGGCTCTCACAAAGGAAATATGGACCCGGGTCTTTCAGTACCTGAGAGACACTGAGGATGGCCAAAAGGATCTACACGCTGTCTCTCTCGTCTCACAGGACTTCTACCAGCTCGCCTGGCCCATCTTGTACAAGAACATTGCCTTCCCTGCCGACTCGTTGAAGCTTCTCAACACCTTGATGAAAATGCCCTTCATAACAGACCTTGTACGCTCTGTGGAGCTGACCGACTCCCGCCCGGCGGGATATGTTGCCCAGGCAGATCGACTGGCAGACATGACAGTACGAAGCCTGCAGGTTCCCCCCAGACTCAAGGCCCGTCTCGAAAGCCTCGTTGGCGAGTTCTCCTCTGGTATATACAACGGCACCCCGACGTTGATTCTAAGTCAAACACGCAATGTCGAACGTCTTACCTTGAAACTGGACGATCCCTGCCCGGACCTGATGTGGCTCATCAGCGGGTCGGAGGACGTCGAGTTGCGCTGGGAGCCAGTGCAGCGCTTCCTCTTCGAAGTCGACAAGCTAGAGGAGGATGAGGAACTCTCAAGCCGGTTCACTCTCCCCGACATCATCCCCCCCGAGCCAGAGATGCCGTCGGCCGTGGACATGGCCCGGTATCGCATGGAAGCCTACCAGCACTACGGCTTGCCATTCTTGACGGAGCTGACCCTCATCCACCCCAACGACGGTCCAAAGATGAGCGTTTACCACCTTGTTCCCCTAATGACACACCGGGCTCTGCGAGTCCTATCCCTCAAGGGCGTCTCGTACGAAGCAGCCGACGTGGACTCCATGATGATCACGCCAGTCCAGGCCAACCTCCACACCTTCAGACTCTCAGATGCCCTTTTTGACGGAGTGGGCATCAAGGACATTTTCCAGCGCTTCCCTTACCTCAGAAGCCTCGAACTGAGCTCGGGCAGCCCCAACAAGGCCGACCCCGCGGCCCGGCACCCGGTCAACTTCCGCGAGCTCGGCGACGTGTTGACGAGTTTGGCCAGGCACCTCTATGTACTCCACCTCGACACAAGAGCTTTCCGAAAGGAGCCCCCCCAGTTCGGGCTCATGTATCTGAGCCGGCTCATCTGCGTCAGGAGGCTGGTCATCAGCACTGACTGCCTTCGCAACTACGACCCCTCGGTGCCGAAAGGAGAGATGTGGCGGACCATGACTCGTGACCTGCCCCTCCGGCTGCAGGAACTAGAGTTCCTAGAGGTGGATATCGAAAATTGAATCGATCAGGATTGGATCTTTCCTGTCTCTATGAGAGAAGAATGTGTTTGATTTTTCAGGAGTTCGGGATGCATACTGCGTCGGTTGGTCATGGTCGCATATAAGCTGCTTACTCTGAATGAAGTTAGCTTTGCTCTCATTTTAAAATCAGTCTGCCCTTTCCGTAGTTCAACATGTTGACGAAAGACTTGGGTGGATATGTTGCTGGAAGACAAGGACGATGTATGTGGTCTGATATGGCAAGACCACCCTCAACCTGAGATATCCGGTTACTTTTTTTCAGCAATCACAAGTTCTAGGGGACATTTCATTCACCTGTCAAGGCATCTAAAAATCCCGAACCCATCTGAAGGAGGATAGAAAAAGCCTGGTAGCACCAAGGTGGAACAAGATCCAAATGTATTAGCTATTAGATAGCAAAATGATGCTTCTCATCATCTCGTGAAAATACGTGATCCTAAACTCCAGTCCATAACACCCCGCCACCATGACGTTTTATCCTTTATACCCAATGTTTGTGTCTCACAGAGACAGTTTACAAAACATAACCAGTCGCTACCATGCCCTGTTTCCAGCACAGACCATACATGCCAAGCCGCTTCTCTGAAGAGGCAAACCTTTTTGCGTTTCAATCAAACAACTCCCAGTATTCTTTATTTAAGGGAGAAAGTCGTAGTTCTCGGGATGGTGAACAATTCCCACTGCTGGCTCCTTTGTGATCGCCGCCATGTCTGGGTTCCAGGCCGAAAATCGTTTGCTGGATCTTGCGTCCTCAGGGACGGGTTGGTAAGAGCTGTACCTGGAAGTAAATCCAGGCGAGTAGCTGTACGCCGGGTGAATCTCCGTCTCCGAGTTCCTGGACGAGGGGCGAGAATTGTCCCCAGGGTTGAGGAAAGCGCCCGTGGACCCTTGAGAGAAGGGGTTCAGAGCAGATGGGACCGTCGGAGGGTGCTGGGGAGAAAGTCTCGGGCTCAGACGAGGTGGGCTCGGTGTAAGTGACTGGTATGCACCGGCAGAAGGGGCAGCATGGATGGCTGCGGGCGCATCGAGTTCGGCGGGGATCTGACCTGGCGATGACGTCTGACGACCACGGCCACTAGGAGAGCTATTCGTCGAGTCGGGGACGCCGTACGACCACATTGGGGGAGTGTAAACCCCGGTGTTTAGTGGCCGAGGTGCATCGAAGGGGGCGAAGATGTGCGATTTGGGTCGCTCAGGCTGGTCGATGTGGAACTCGTCCTCGCTATAATTTAACCACTGGTCAGACAAAATCCCCAATTCTTCGGGCAGAGATCCTAATCATACCTAGCTGGCTGCCTTCCTCTGCTCTGTGGGTTGGAAAAGAGGTCCCCTGGGCTGGAGTCTCGTTGCCCGCGCTCTGATTTGCTGCCTGAGCGCATAGGTGGCTGCGAAGACGACCGGGCGTGCTTGGCTTGCGTAGGCGGTCTCAATTGAGATGGGAGTTCGGCTGTGTCTCTGGGCTTTTCTGGCAGTGGAGGCCCCCACTGAGACTTGCCGGTGGCTGCGTTGAGGTAGTAGCTGGAATCAGACGGTCAGTACATGTAGCCCAGGATTCCAATTGGCGCAGAAGGAGTGAAACGGCATACAAGTGGTGGTGCTCTTCGCTCCAGTGAGAGGTCCATCCAGCGGGAAGGGGGCTTTCTGTCGGAGCATTCACATCGTGGCCGGGAGAAGGCACAGGCTGTTGCTGGGAGGCTTGCTCAGGTCTCTTCCATTGCGTGATGTTGGTCTCGATATTGACGAAATACCTAGAAGAGACCACGTTAGCATCCAGGGAACTATAGGGGACAGGCGAGGGAAGCATACCATCGCTGGTGCGTCTCGCTCCAACCGACCGACCAGCCCTGAGGCGCCTCCGGAGGCGCTGGTCGCGATGCAAGTGTGACTGCTGGCTGAGAATCCATGGTGGGTGAGAATAAAGGGGTGATGATGCAGATCACGACGAAAGGTGGCAAGTTGGGAGTAGAATGACGATAACGAGGGGTCGATCAGTCGAGCGGCGTTGGGCATGTTTAAACATTTCGATCCGAAATAGCGGCATGGGGCGTGAAACGGCATGGGCCATATGATGCATGCAGACACACCACCAACACACGCGGCATCCATGGATGCCGTGGATCCGCTGGCTCGGGTACTGAGTTCAAGCCAGGACGAAGAGCCGTTGCTTGGGCATAAGCGTCGACCCAAGCCACAGTGAGCGTCCGCAGTCAGCAGGAGTGTGGCCAATCCCAGCGGCGAGAGCCACAGAGACACTCAGCACTCCCTGTAAGCTCACTGTTGAGCCGGTTGTAGGGGCTGACGTGCATTGACAACCGTCTGATTATTGGAGGCCTGCGTCAGGGCTATTGACCGACTTTCCCCATCAACCTGCTGCGGCATCCACCCATTCGTCACCCGTCGACGAGGACACATCCATATTCCCCACAGGCAAGACAAGGCAAGAAGACCCTCGTCGACGCTACAGCACGTAGCCTCTCGGCAGCACCGCTAGTCGCTTGTTTGAGGCACTGCTGAGCCCTAGCTGTGCTAATTATGGGTGGTGGCCGCCAGCTTGTCTGACAGCCACACTGACACCATTGGACGCCTCAAATCAGCTGAACACAGCTACTGAACACTTCTATTACAGCTCTGTTGCTGGCAGGTAGCTTCCTCATATTTCTGCCCAAGGAGCGGAGTGATTAGGCTCTCTTCCCAGCCTATTTCCATCCCTCCTATCACATTTCCCGGTGCCGCCATAGCCCTAGCAGACAGCCAGACCAACTGTGAATGGCGATCGCGAAGCTGACATTCCCGCCATTGGGTAGCGTCCGGTCCGGCTGTTTAGGACAGTCATCACCCATGTTATACGACCTGCGCGCTCCTTGGCTCCCCAACCATCTTCCGTTCGCAGGTGTTCGTCGCCGATCGGTGCTGTGCCTCAGCAAAGCCGCTTACCTCGATGCCAAAAGTCAAATTATACGTCTTCGTATTTACCAGCGTGCGTACGTGAGGTTCTGTGGTCTTTTTGCGCCCATTCGGACCGTGGTGATTGTTGACGTGGCCCAACAAGCCGACTCCCACAAGTACCATCAGAGGGCTGATGTTCACTATTATTATTACAGATGAACGAATGCATGCATTTCCGAGTTGCCGAATCCATCGATCGCCTCAATGCTACGTTTCTTCTTATTTTTATTTTTTTAGTCGCTAAAATGTGCCATAAAAAATCCCCTAGCCGCAACCATCTCGTAGCCTCCCGCCGATAATCGAGGCCGGCCGGTTGGCTTAGCAATAACTTTGCAGGGGGCGCTGTCAGCAAAAGCGAGCCAAGTGACCTGAAGCCGCGATCCTGGTAATAAAGGCCGCAGCGGACTCTCCACGCCGGTGCGAGCAGATTCTACCTCTTTAGGAATGTGGCCCGTATTCCAGACATGCTGTCCAATGGTCCCTCCATAATTACCCCTGAATATCAGAGTTGACACATCGACCTAGCAAATACGAGCGAGAACACGAACCGAACAACTGTCACTCCGAAGTTCAATTGTAGATAGCATCCCGTCGTAATCAAGTCCCACAAGCTGCCAACAGCAAATCCCTCACGTCTCTGTAAAATGTCCAAAAAAATCTAAACCATTTCCAAAGTGAGATCATCGAAAGACGCCTGCGGCCACCCATTAAACTCCCTCGATGCTGATGCCCTCCCATGTAATACTCGATCGCCCCCAACTCACTAGCAAGGACGGGGCGTCAGTGTTCCCGTCCGGCCGCCACTCCAAAGGCAGACCAGATAGTCAAATCCATTCGAGGCTGTGAATGGGCAGGTCTTGACAGCCACCACCCGCCCCAAGCATTCCAGGCTGTGTTCAATGCGAGTGACAGATTCTCTTTGACCTCGCCAAATGATCTTGGAAAACAATCGCGGCCCCTCGGGCATGAACTCTCCGGCCTGAACTGGTTCAACTGCCATCCGCGCGAAGCCAATCGAACGTATCCAAAAGCTCGAGATTGAAGTCTAGCTGGGTATGGAACCCCTCCCATTCCATCTCCTTCGCCAGCCAACCAGGCCCCTCGGATTCGACCCTCTCAGCAGCATTGAGGTGCTCATTCAAGACACGCTCGATGATGACCTTGCAATCCACACACATGTCGCCGTTAGCTGCTGATGGATGGACCCAGTCGAGGAACCCAACCAGAAGGCTGAGCTTTTGCACAATGCTGGAGCGGGAGACACGCGGGTCATTGGAATGGGGGCCGTTGAAGGATGGCTGAAGGAGCTCCTGGCAGAGAATCCCTCCGGCAGGTACGGCGTACGCAATAACCTGGCGAAAAGATGGATGTTAGTCCTGAATATGTTGACCTTGTTCCAAGGTACATGTCAGAAGGAAACAACTCACGAGCCACTCAAAGTGTTGACTGGTCGCGGCGAAGCGATCCTTGTGCGTCCAGAATAGGAGCGCGACAGAGAGGAGATCAAAGCTTGTAAGTACGATATCTCCCATGTCATGACTACTGGGTGACAAGCGGAGAAGACGATCTGCGAAGAACAAATTCTGAAGATGCTCGAGCTTGATCATAAGTTGCGAATGCAGAATCGAAGTAGCGACCGATGGATCGGCAACATTGCTCGGGTAGAAATGGAGGGCGGGCGGGAAGTCGGCGAAGACCGCGATCTGTTTTTCTCGTACGGCGCTGTGTTTTCCCAGTAATCAGTCAAGACGCATCATGCTTTGTTTGGTAAGGGGGTCTACAAACAGTATTTGCTCTCTTGGGATGTCTTGATCAGGGACGAGTGCCATCTCGAGAAGCTCATCCCGAACCACGGCACAAATATAACGAGCTCGGATCACAGTGGCCGAGTACACCGCGCCGTCTGTGTTCCAGCCTTTGCTATCCAACGACTCTGCCGCACGGCTGATTGTTTCTTGATCCATTGATAGGACCTCATCCGGCAAATCGAGCAGGAGGGACGTCGAGCAATACCGGCGGCTGATCAGGGGCGGGCGGCCAGTGAATGCGACGGAGAGTTTGTCCCCTGAGAACACCTGGGCGAAAAGCCGTCGTTTGTTTTCTGAGCAGGAGGATGGCCGGTACCCATCTGGGTTCTTTAAGACGTGGAGACCTAGGTAACTCAGCATTGATGCCGTCGCGCCGGTCACGTACGCGCAGGATAGATCTATTCGTGTCAAGTATCAGTCCTTTGCCAGGGAGGTTGTTTTGGGCTTGTGTAACCTACTTGCGTCGCCGTCGAAAATCGAAAGAAGTGTTCCCTGTCGACGACTTATATCCAGTAAAAGGTCATTCCCAGCAGAGAAATACTTGGATAGCTCAACACAGTAAGTTAAACAAGTCTGGGATGCCTCATGGTCAGGTCGATCATCAAGCCACACAACACGGCGTGTACGCATGGCGTTGATGAGGTCCCCAACACGCTCGAGATGAGCCCACAGCAGTCCAAGCGATTCCCATCTCAAATTCTGACCCGTGAACTGCTCTATATGATCAGTGGCACTGGTGTGTACGTCTGGTAAAGGATGCGCAGTGTTAGCACACAAAAACTCGGCAACAGCTTCCAGGGTGGCCCTTTCGTCGTGCTTCGCAAGAGTTCCAAAGATCTCCATGACAGACTCGCTGACACGGTCAACACCCAGATAGAAATGATCTTGGATTTTGCGAGGTGTCTTGGTAAAGGCCATGTGGGCACTGGACTGTCCAGGGAGACAGCTTAACACATATATTGCCATCTCCTGAAGGGGCAGAGGCAAGTCACTAAACTTCACTTCTCCCTGTGCCACCCTGGGGCCAGCTGCATGCTGACTGTAGTCCGGAGTTGAACCATTGACCATAGAGAGACTTTGTACTGTTTCTTCCAAGACGCTGCTGAAGCTAGTAAACCCGAGATAGCCTCTTCTGACAGGGGCTCGGCGGCGTTGCGGGCGTCGGATACCGTGAGGCGCAACCTTGGACGCAGGCTTCGGTCTAGCCAGTGAGACCTGTTGAGCTGGCGATGCTGACACTGAGGAAGAAGGTAAGGCGCTCTCCGAATATACACACTTGCTACCACCTTGTCGTCCTCGAAGACATCTCTTGCAGATAGGGCGCGTGTGGTCACACGCAACCTTCCGTGCCCTACATGGATCACAAGCCGCGGGTCGGCCGTTCGGGCGACGCAAATGTCTCGGACCGCTTTGATCCATTGGCTCGATTCTAGCACAGTTTATTCTGGCATTGGTTCTGGATCAAGCTCAGGAGCGAATAAGCAGGATGCAAGAAATGTATAACATTCGGAGTCGGAGTCGGAGTCGGCCCGGATTTGCTGGTCAAGTGCCCCACCGGATCTGAGATCCGAGCATTTTCCGGCTCTTGGACATCGCGCCTCCTACCCTATATCTGCTTGGAGATCTACCCAGCTGCCTCGAATTCCCTACTACCTCAATAGCTTTACAACGCCGTGATAAGAAGCCATCGGCTCGACTATTCCTCAAGAATTCTTCAGAGATGATAATACTTGCAGATATAATCTTTCAATACATGTACTCTACCATCATACCCAACGACCCCAAAGTCCACCATCCCTGCGCTCGACTTCACCACTTAGAACAAAACATAACGTCGAGATTGAGTTGGAACCTCGAAGCTGTTACAACACAATTGATTCAAAAGTCTGCAAGAGTCAGTCTTCAAAGATTGCTTTTCGATCAATGGACTGGCAGGCGAAAGAAGACGATAGATAAGTGGGCTTGAGTTGCTAGGTGCTCTGCACAGAAATACCCCATGTTACAGAAGAAAGGCCCCTATTTACTGATTTCAGGTTTGATATTGGGTAAATTTCCTGGACCAACTAGTCATGAAGGTGGGAAGCTCAGCGGATACCCCTTTCGCTCCCCATCATCGGGACCGGTAGTTTAATCTACTCGGTTTTCCTCCATCATGGTGGACGGCTATTCTGACATGGATCGATAGGCTTGTTCACGAAGACAGCAAGCCTACGAGAAGTCTAGCTACCCAGAGGGATCTTGTTCCCCCTTAAATCTAGGACCTGAGCGAAGTACACGAAATAACGAGGAAGTCTATGAGCGTGCAAGGAAAAGGAGTGTATGGCACGATTTTATCTACCGTGAGGTGTGTTGAAGCTAGGGGGAAAGAGGAGTGGGTGATCTTGCAGTAATTCTCGCCGCTCAGCTATTGTTGAAGGATGTCATGTTAATCCCACAGAAGGCACCACAGATTTGAAGCATAACGAACATCACGACATCGATGACGAATAAGGGCTAGCATCACGGACGGATCGTCCACGAAGCGGACCGCCATAATCCTCAAAGAAAAGCGATTTCGACACCGGAAAAGCCAATATGATAGACGATCTACCGAAATGGCCAGTTGTTCTAATAACGAACTGAGGCCAAGAGGAAAGAAGATCGAGACTGCACTTGAGATGTAGTAGGGCCTGGAGAAAGCTCATCCCACGGTGCCCATTATAATGTAACCAAGCCCCTTAGGAGGAGTGCTGGGCCCTCGGCATTCGACAATGGACAACTCCTAAGGGTCACCTTGGGTTTCCTGAGTAACCTAATATGAAATTTAAACCGAGATGATCGAAAGTATGAGGTGTCTTTAGGGGTGGCTGGCTGGTGGTGAGTTTCGGGATGTTAACAACAATCCCGGGTCTTAGCGTTGAGAGTATTAATATTGCATATGGCACAGAGTCTTAAGTACGTCACATTTCAGGAGTCTTGGAATTTGAAAAATAATCTTACTTTCCGCAAGGCTCAGTGTTGCTCCTACAACGCCGATCACAAAAGATGCCTGAGAAGTGTTTGGCTTGATTCCCTAATTTTATCAAGCGGTCTGTTCACTGTTCCTTGCTGTAGCATCTTGCTAATCTTTGGGTAGGGTCGGCTTTGATATTGGAACTTAAAAAACCGCCATGGGAGCAATAAAAATATCATGATGGAAAGGGTAGTCGCCAGAGAAACCCCTTGGATATCTGATCTAGCACTCCTGTACTCTGAAAGGATGAGACAGCAAGACAGCATGTTGGATTGCAAAATCAAAATTTACAGGAAAAGAAAAGCATGGCTACCATAGCTGCGAACTCAAGCAAGTATTCCTCCCTACCCAATGAAGCTACCCATGTCTAACTAACACAGGGTCTCAGATTTGCCCAAAGGTAGGGGCGAGGAACCACCATCTTTAAAATCCCAATTCTGACAAGTTCCTGTTCAACCGGGCTGCGGACTCGTCCCTTTCACCGTCACGCCTCTCTTCGGGCACGAGACCAAGAAATTCACACCTTTGTGTGAGGTGGCCAGGAAGGATGGAAACCGTCAGCACTTGGTGGGCAAAGGCGTCCCTGAAGCCACGAATAGCACGTGGAGTCATGACGGCATGAAAATCCAACGCCCTGCGAAAAATATCGTCATAAAATCGCAAGGAATCACCGTCCAGATTTAATGGACCTGAATCATACGGCAAGATGGTAAGTTCGGATCCGACAAGGAAGGAGGAGAGGAATTCTTGGAAGGGATGCGTTACAATGGCCCGATTCGTGCCGAGAACGGCAGTCAGCTGTCCTGTTCTCTCGTCGCAAAGAAGATTGGTGCAAGCTATGAAACGTTAACAAGATGACAGACAAGGCGGGACCAAGGTAAATGACTTACAAAGACTGCCATGGGTTAAAACCCTGTGATCAGGGTTCTCAAGCGCCTGCACGAGACGAGGGATGCCACGGCGCACATAGTTGAGGATACGGTTCCTCAAACCATAGAGTCTCCAGCCATCGATGATTCGACTCTCATCGGCAAGCTGAAGCCTACTGAGAGCCGAACAGGTCAACCAATCCTCAAGGGAGGTACACGGCTGTCGAGGTCGGATGGGAGCGGTCGAGCTACGGATCTCCCCCCTGTCTGTAAGCGTCACGGAGCCCCACCCCGTAACGGTGTCCGGGAGACGCCATGACTGGAGCCTTCGGAGGACTCCGGCAATGTCATGAAACAGGACATCAACTTGGTGATTGCCCATCCGGTGAAATACGGATGAGACCCGGCGACCAGGCATGGCTTGCTGCAACACAATGCCATATCTTCCCATCTGCGCGTACCCGTAGTAGTCCGGAACGAGAGGACCCCGGCCACTACCCAAAGCATGGGACGCCAAATTCATCGAAGCAGCTTGGGAAATGGCGGTGCCATATCTCTGCGGCTCTGCTCCCTCCCACCAAGTAACCAAAGCCATCAGCTTTGTCATATTACCTGGCATGGGTTCGCAACCAGTTTGGAGACCCCCCTCACACCATTGCCGATCAGGGGTTGGTCTGGCAAGGCGAATCTCGTACGTGAACTCGGTTATACCAGCAGCACCGTATCTGATACGAGTAGACAGACGAGTTTCTCGGACCTACGATGAAAGAAGAATAGGAATGGTCAGCACTCAGTTTCAGAGAACAAGTAGAATTTCAAGAGGAATAGGATTGGAAATTTCTTACCTCCAGGCGGAAAGAAGTGTCCAGATATGTCTGGACAAGGGAAACAATATTCCCATCAACTGGTGCACTGTCCATCTGTGCACTGTCCATCTGTTCTTTGTATGACGACGGAATGGTTGTTGAGGATGATGAAAGATTATCTTGAAGAAGTTGGGATCTGTCTGAAGTAACTGTCTGGAAATAATAGATGGAACTGAGGGATGTGAAGGTTAGACTACAACACAGGAGAAGAAGAGGACAGACAAGGTTTAAATAGGCCATGGAGGACTCTGACTCGTAGTATCGAAACAAGGCAGGTGGTGTCCGAGGCAATCGTGATTAACTGTTCTCTTGAGATGTGGAGGAGGATTTGGTGAATCAAGAACTGGTATACATGTCAGAAAGTATTCTAGGTACCTATCTACATGTCAAGCCTAGATCGGATGGCGAACTCCAGAGCTGTATAGGGTGGGCACATTGACGAGTGTATACTTGAGAGACCTCCCAACTACGCCCTCTTTGACAGTGACTGGATACTGAGAAGTGTCACAGGTTGCAACAAATGATGCTTTTCGCGCTCGATGAATCGGAGACATTGGCAGTCAGCTGTGGGAAACGTGGGCCAGGATTCAAGGGCTCCTTGGCACGGGGCGACGATGTGCAAAGCAGGAGCTTGGACGGGCATTGAATCACTCCCACTTTCAAGAGTCCAAGATCTTTGTGCATAGATGACCATGCAGAGGATGCGGTCGTAGTCGAGCCATGTAATTACTTCACGGAAACCGCACTGGCGGAATGCAGTAGGAGAACAAGCCCAGCTCTGGAGCATCATATGAGCATTGGCCCCGGAAAGGTCATGCCCTTCTCTAACTCCATCACCAAAAAGTATACGCCAATGGAACACATTGATTTGAATACCGTAGCAGATTTTGACGCTTCAGAATAATTGTGGTGGGCATAGAGATAGGAGGGAACCGCCGCAATGCGCACCCAAGAATTGGAGATTTCAGGGTCGAAATACAGTTACGTTTTCACTGCAGGTTTCATTTTCCACGCAAAGTTTGGTGTGATCAATTTGTCAATTTGTGCCTTTCCCAAAGTCAACTCTCCGTCGTCGTCATCCTCGGTTGCCCCTTTTCCCTCCCGTGCCTTTGTATCCATCATGTAAATCAGTCACAGACCACCATGCCTTTCCTGCATTTGATAACAAGCCCCCAAATAAAGCGAAGACAACAAAATGTCAAAAACAAAAAAATCTTCAAGATTCTTGAAAGAGACAAGGTTGGGTCAGAATAGTTTAGGGCCAACATCATTTCATCAAAGATGATGGGACGCAGACGCATCTCAAGTGAGATGGTCAAATGTCAGATTGCCCGTACATTTCATCACTCCCAACAGATATAAATGTATCATCACTCCAAACAGACATGAATGTCTCAGCACCCCCAAATGATATGAATGAGCAAAACCGCTCCTAGAGATTAGCAGAATAGAGAGGGGAAACCCCGAGCAGACAGATATGGGGGGAGATTGGGGAAAGGGGGGGAGGCTCGCCCTGCACCCTTCTTATTTTTTTGGTGGGAAAAAAGAAAGGCAGAAAAAAACCCGGCGGGAGCTGCTGGAACAGTGAGAATGAGGAGCGAACAAGACATCAAAGGAGGCAACTCACTTTGAAAAGGGCCATGATTGCGGCCGACAGGAAGAGGAGAGACACAAAGGGAAAAAAGTTATTGGTATTCATTGTTTTGAGATCTCGGGTCTGGCATCTTCCAATGCTGTTTTTGTTGTGCGAGTCAAGCTGCTCGAACTCTCATACCCCGACAAAAGTCATGAGAATTTTTCTGGCAAGAATGTTAGCAGTGGACAGATGGAGAGTCAGAGAGGATACTTGCCTATCTAGGAACCTAGTGTGGTGTGGTTGGCCATTACGCCTATACATAATGTTAGCATAAGATGGGGGAGTGGTCGTACTTCCTATTCATCTTGATTTTTTTGGAGGGAAAACAAGTGATGAACAAAAACCCATGACCGCTCTAGAGAGAATGTTAGCATGAGATGGGGAGGACAGATACTCACATACTCCTCTTGATCTTTTTGGAGGGGGAGACAAGAGGCGAAACAAAAACCCCCTACCGCCCTGTTCGAAGTTAGCATAACATGAGGGAGGCGTGGTACTCACCAATTCCTCTTGATCTTTTTGGAGGGGAAGACAAGAGGCGAAACAAAAACCCCCTGCCGCCCTGTTCGAAGTTAGCATAAGACGGGAGAGGCGTGCCACTCACCTGTTCTTCTTGATTTTTTTGACGGGGAAAACAAAAGATGAACAAAACCCCTACCGCCCTATTCGATGTCAGCATGATGCGGGGGAGATGTTGTACTGACTTGGATTCCTCTTGGCTTTTTTTGGAAGGGAAAACAAGAGGTGGACAAAAACCCCTTACCGACCTGTTCGAAGTTAGCATACGACGGGGTAGGGATGAGGCGCACCTGCGTTGCTCTTGGATCTTTTTTGGAGGGGAAAACAAGAGACGAACAAAAACCCCTCGCCCTGTTCGAAGTTAGCATGAGACAGGGGAGAGGAATGGTGCGCACCTGCGTTGCTCTTGGATCTTTTTTGGAGGGGAAAGCAAGAGACGAACGAAAACCCCTTACCGACCTGTTCGATGTTAGCATAAAACGGGAGAGGAATGGTGCGTACCTGCGCTGCTCTTGGATCTTTTTTGAAGGGGAAAACAAGAGACGAACAAAAACCCCTGGCCCTGTTCGATGTCAGCATAAAACGGGAGAGGAGCCCAACTTACCTGAATTCCTCTTGGTTGATTTTTTTTTGGAGGGAAAACAACAAGAGGTGAACAAAAACCCATCGCCTCTCTATTCGATGTCAGCACAGGGCAGGGGAGGATTGAAACTTACCTGACTCCCTCTTGGTTGAATTTTTTTGGAAGGGAAAACAACAAGAGGCGAACAAAAACCCCCTTACCGCTCTGTTCGACGTTAGCAAGGGGGAGGGGTCATACCTACCTGGCTGGGCCTCTTGGTTTTTTTTTGAGGGAAAACAAGAGGCGAACAAAAACCCACTGCAGTCATGTTAGTATCAGTCACCTTGAACAGGATGTTACGTACCTGGTTGAAGACTCTTCGAGGGTTGGAGATTATGCCTACACAGGATGTTAGCATAAGAGGGGATGGAGGGGATACTTACCTGGTATGACCTCTTGATTTTTTTGGAGGGAAAACAAGAGGCGAACAAAAACCCGCTAGTGATGTGTCAGTATGCAAAGGAGAATGGAGAGAAGGAGGGCACTAACCTGGGAACCTATGGAGGGTTTGTCCAAGTCTGTATCTATACAACGTTAGCATGAGACGTGGAGGGTGATCACATACCTGAAAGTGTTGGTCTATGTCCGCACCTATACAATGTCAGCATGAGATGGGAGGTGAGGGCACTTACATGTGGAACCAAGGAGACCTTGGCCAAGATACCTTCACAAAAGTTAGCATGACTGGAGGGGAGGGGGATACTTCGCACTTCTTGGTTTTTTTGTGCGCGGGAAAACAAGAAGCGAACAAAAACCCGCGGGCATTTCGTCGAGGGATATTTGTTTCTTGGAGCGGCGGGTGGTTTGTCTCGCGTTGATGCGACGGCCCTGTTGGTGGTAGTGCGTTGCACGAGATGTGTTAGCATATGCCTTGACGAAAACGATCTCAGAAAAGGAGGAAAATTGTGAACGATCAGAGTGTACTATCTGAATTTGGAGGCAAGAACTTGCAACTCCACGACAAAGGTGTGTTGCAAGCAGCCGATGGGCTTGCCGAAAAGCTTTTATAATCATATGAAAAGAGAGATGGTGGAAGGGAGAGGAGAAATAGTGAACTCACAAAAAAAGAGGGGGGACCCGAAGGCCCCGATGAGAATGAGAGAGCGGAATGCTCTCTTGAAGAAAGACCTGGATAGACAAGAAACGTTAGTGAGTGTGAAGAGAGGAGGGGGAGTGGATGGTATAGCAAAGCCATTGATGTTTGATTGAAGCTGAATCCTCGTTCAGGTGAACTGATCTCTTGAAAAAGAGAGACCTGGAAAGACAAGTGTTAGTGAGTGTTAATAGAGGAGGGGAAGTAGAAGGTGTAGCAAAGCCATTGATGTTTGACAAGAGTTGAATGCTTGTTCAAGTGAAGTAGTCTCTTGAAGAAGACAGGCCTGGAAAGACAAGAGTTAGTGACCATCAAGAGAAGAGGGGAAGGGGAGGTGTAGCAAAGCCATTGATGTCTGATAGGAGCTGAATGTCTGCTGAGAGGAAAGTGAGAAACGGAGTCCAGAGGTGAAATTAGCTCGTTCTTTCTAGCGTGACTGGTTCCAGCGGCTTCGCTAGGAGGACGCAAATGAAATCTTGAGGTCAGAGAAGTATATTGGGTGAAAACAGCTGCCCTTGGGCTTTTTTTTTTCCAAATCGTGAGATTTCTCAGCAATTGTTTCTCATCATGCCTCGAAGAAAAGTTCAATATGAAGAAGCCAGTCATCCGCAGAAAGAAAAGAAAAGGAATGATCAACAGAGGTCAGAGTGTAGTATCAGTTCGATCATGGGGTTGATCAGTGATATTGTTCTCATCATGCCTCGAAGCGGAATGGTGCCCAAGAACTGGAAAACCTGTGTGAAGAATTAGTAGAATTTGAAGAAGGGGATAAGGTAGGATAGGGAGTTGATGTGTGCTTAGCAAGTTTTATCTTGATGTTGTGTCTTGTTTGCGTTGCAAGGTCAGGTGGTGGGTGGGAAATGGAGTAAGATATTGAACGGGACAGAAGGAAGCACAACGCCTAGGGAAGAATTAGTAGAATTTGAAGAAGGGAGTGAGGGATGATAGGGAGTTAATGTGTTCTTAGCAAGTTTCATCTTGTTGTGACTTGTTTGCGTTGCGAGGTCAGGTACAGGAGGTGGGTTGGAAACGGAGTAAGATATTGAACGGGACAGAGAAGGAAGCACAACGCCTAGTGAAGAATTAGTAGAATTTGCACAAGGTGGTATAGGGAGAAGATTTTTCTTGGCCCAATGTTGTTCGATATTGTTTGCTGTCTGCGTTGTTGCAAGGTTATGTATGATGGGTTAAAGGAGAAGAGAAAAAGTGAGATGTCGACTGATACTGAAGAGGTACTGAAGGAAGCAGAAACCCTAGTGACAAATTAGTAAATTGTCAAGGAATAAGAAGAAAGGGAGGAGGGAAAGAAGGGGAAGGTTTTGTATAAAATGGAAGAGACCAAGTGTGGTTGTCACACGAGGAGAATGATGGTTTGGTGATCGATAGTGCAAGACTGTATGAAGCATATGGTATGGTATGATGGTTCTGAATCTTCAAAGGCTTGAAGAGAAGAAGCTGATACTGAAGCTTGTGTGTGTGATGATGATGGAAGAAGGAGAAAGATGTAGTAGAGGTGGGAGGGAGGAGCTCCTTTTATATGTTTCCCAGGTCGCCAGGAGCTGGCTCGAGTGATTGTGAGTCACTGACAATAGAAGTGAGAATATACTGAGAGAAACAATAGTGAAAAGCTGCAGCTATGGGGCAAGCCTCGTTGAATTTACCCAAATTGGTCACTTGGGGGTACTGATTGTTGGGGCGGCGGACGCCTGGGTCAAATTTCTCGGGGTGAGAAGGATTTCACCTCCTCCATCTACAGCTGGGCAGCAAAAGCAGAGATCTGAGCCTGTAGAAAAGGAAAGTTTAACTAGTATTGGGCTTGGGATCGCTCCCACTAGATCGGATTATGATATTAAGGGGTAAATTAAGTATTAGACCTGGCCTTTTTTTGAAACGTAGGAGTAGGATATAAAGCTCTCCAAAGTTGCGTGGGAGTTGGATATACTAGAGTTACTAGAGCACCGAGACAGATCTAGAACTCTTCCACAGCTCAAAGACAAGACACAGACTACAGAGAGGACTTCGTGCCCAGGCAGGCCTCATGAGTGCCTAAGCCAAGTGAGCAAGATTTCGTGGGTTTGGAATTGCCATGAAGCCCGCTCAGCGATATTCGAAACTGCATTATTCAATTCATCAAGAATTCCTACATCTGGGGAATTGGGTATGCGGGTGTGGCAAGCCGGCGGATGATCAAGCGCAAGCGGGTGGGGAAAGGGGGGTTGGGTACGAAGGCGGACACTCGCCTGACGCATGGCATCGCCCGCTCCTGGTGATCCAAGGCTAAGAGTGAATCAATGATACTACGTTCCTAGATCTCTATGAATGGGTCTGGCTCCTCAAAGGTATTGCACCAGGGAATTCACCATTGTTTCCTTTCATTGAACCGAGGGATCAAGAGACCTTCCCCATTGCCAAAAAGAATGACTACGAAAATCCCCTTTCAAGGAGCTCGATGCAAGCATTCAACCAATGTGAGAAGATTGTCAAACGACATGGATCTAGAAATGGTTTCGAGAGACAGGCGGGTGCCCTTCAGTGTGGGCAGACTAGGGCGGGGCGAATTCCCTTGGAGGAAATCAGCCGCTTCCGTTTTTTGGGTGGCTGAGAGAGACTTAGTACCTAAGCCTGCCTACAACTTCCAAGTGACAAGAGTACTGCTACGAGGTCAGTGATAACGCCGTGTTGCTTAGTTACGTCGAAGAGAGCAATCACAGTCACCGGAATGGGAGAGGCCCAGGCTAGACTGTGAAACATTTCTACGATAGTACCATTGACTATGGAATCAGATCTCGACGCTCCTAGGCGTACGATGAGAGTAGGAAGAATAGAGGGGAGGGGTGTGTGTTCAAATCATCAAGCCATGGGTGGGGTGGGAGTAGCTTCTGCAGCAAAGCGCAGGTGAAAGGGCATTTAGGTAAATGGAAGGTAGGTAGCGGATATCGAAAAGACGGTTGGCTTTCTTATGCAGTATTCACGCTGTGGTAATAAACAAGTGCTCTACATTCTATTGCTACCCTTCGTCACGGGAATATTGAGTTTGAGTATCTCCCGAGTGTATCAGATCCTAATGTCCGTGACAAAATTCTGAGGGAGGAACTGCGAACACACTGGCAATCTTAGTCTACAGGCAAGTGTCCTTATTTACAACCCCTAAAATCACGCTTTGCATGCGTAGATCCTTGGAAAGAGCTGTCTGAAAACCTCGTGAATTTTCCCGCCTCGAAACCCCAGTTGTGCAGGCTTCTGGTGTAGAATATGGACTACGGGTGCAAGAGAACTTCAACGACCCCTAGAGAAAGTTGCAAAAAGGTGCTAGGACGGTTCTGTGTGGTGGTGGATCGTGCTACACTCGGGGCCATTATATTTTCGTCGACGTATCGGTTCTGGTGAAGAAATTCTCGCTGTCTCGTTCGGCGGGAGATCGTTTGCGCTTTCGAATCGATGCCTGTTGAGAATCATGTTAGTAATATTGACTATTGGTTTGGGGGTAAATTCAGGATCAGGTCGTGCTGGCAGTAATGCCAATATTTGGCCATGGACATCATAGGTAACAAGAGTGTGGGCAGGAGTCGAGGACTGGTACGTTGGCACGCAATTAGCGTACAGTGCCTTCTTTCCATCCATAGAAATCTGCTGACCAAGCACGTGCTCGCCTCGCTGTGTTCACCTGTGACACCACCTGAACCCGTCAAGCCTGGTCTGTGGGCAACAAATATTTTATCAACGGAAAACCGCTATGAGCATTAAGTTCTGGTTCCAAGATAAATCTCGTTTATCTTCAGTTCTGCGGTGGAATATGCTGTTTGCCGGGAAGCCTTCTTTTACTAAACCTTTTCCCCTGACGGCCCACACTCGAGAGCTTTGGAAAGTCGGAGACCACACGACCATTTCGCTTTCCCTAACCCCGTGGGCGGTATTCTCGAATCCTGTGCTAAATAACTGGATGAGAAAAGAGAGAAATACGAGCTAATGTGTTGCATTCTCTAGCTTTGCTGTCCCTGCGCTGAGGGCGCTCAGATAACGCTGCGAAGATTCGTCCAGAATCCAGCCGAGAATCACCATACAGCTACCCCATCCAATCTTCTTTACTTGCAGGGTTTAGCTGACCTAAATTGTTACTTACTGTCATAGGCTGCCACTGCTTTCAGCTCGGTCTCGCCCCCGAAGAGCACAATGCGCCCCTTGCGAGCTCCTGTTCCGCTGATGCCGCCCCCACGAAGGCCAATCTCCGATGAGAGTGTGTTGTGATGATTTCAACATCTAAGGGGTCCGAAGTTCGTTCTGAAGTCTGGAGTTCTGGTTGTTGGCAAATAGAAGGGGCTTCATCCTATCCCGAAAGCGTGTCAGGGGCCATTTGATACTTTGGGGAGACTTCTGGGCGCACAGAAAGGCTGGAAATATTCTCGAGCTTCATTCGGCGGCTAAAGCTTGGTCCATCATAGTCATATTCTCAAGTAAGATGTTCCAGAAACTGGGTTCTGTTTCATGCTGCGAGGTGTTGCAGGGAGAACCTACCCATCATGTATAGGCCTTTATCACCAAATCGCCCGCATAGCCGTATGAGTTCGAGGGACCAAAATACGAGCACTTCTGAAGGACTGCAAAATACTCAGTCAACTGCCTATTTTGCGAAGCCATCTTGTGGTAATTCCTGAGGTCCAGATCGAAATAATAGCACGGTATGTCTGTGGTCATCATGGCCCCCACTTGGACAACTTGAACTGGCACTTATTCCACCTTCTCGGGTTCAAGAAGCTTTAAAATATAAGTTTAGCCGACTCCCTGATTCGTATGACTATATACTTACCTTCGTCTATCTGGCATATGCAATGATGGCGTTACTCTACGAGCCTGTTCCTAATTCCGAGGACACCTGGGTTGAATGCTTATGAGATATCGCCAGATACCGTATGGCGATTGAGGATAATGGTTTCAAGCATCGTGGAACCTGGATAGGAGTCGCTCGACAGTGGCACAGCTTCGCTTCGTAGAAGGGACCATCAGTCAGCCAGGCAAGCTTCGTCGCCTCGCTCTCCGTGCTTGGTAAGGGCGTGAAAGGCGCCCCAGAATCCGCAGTGAACCTGAGGATAGAATACGGGTGAGAGGACGATTGATAACAACTAAAGCCCTTCATATTTTTGTAGATAGCTACAATATTTCAGGCTTGTTCAATATCGAAGGCTTTGTAAGCCCAGGTATATGCGGCAAAATTATAGCATGCAATGCAGAAAGAACGGTGTGCTATCCAAAATGATATTGAAATCTATTTCGTAGATCTTCTGAACAGATCACCTGGTCCATTTCTAAGCATTATTGCGGTTGCGACCCAATTGCATCACCTTGCCACTACCCAAAACATGACTGGTCCTTCTGGCCATCTCATCCCGATACAACAGCTTTCCGGATCTACTAGGCAGGTCAAAATAAGCGGAGGGAGAATCAAATTCCCTCCGAAGAATTGGATGTCTCGAGGCAGCGTGTGCGTAGCAACGAGAACGAAGCTGATTCCTCCATCGGGCGAGAATGGCCAGAGACACCGCTGAAGGACAGAGTCGCCAGAACTTCATCAACGATGCCCCCTTTCAAGGCCTATCAGCGGATTTCATTGATAGCATTTCGTGAGTGCCTATCGGAAAGGGGGTTGGATCAGTATAGATTGTGTTGGCCCCGTCGACGAACCCAAGCTGATCAATATTACTATGAAACAGGAGTATTAGTATCTCTACGATGTAGCAGTAGAATGGGGGCAAAGAAACTTTACACCTGCCAATAGCATAATACCCAGCCGGGTGCTCCAGTGTCAAAACTGTGTAGACATGGCCCAACACGCGGCGGAGCCGAGTCGACTCTTCGATCGACTTTGGACAGGGTTCGGTTTATTCCTTTCAGACTCACATATTGGCTTGATATGTCTACTACAGCCTCCTAGCGAGGAGTCTAGCGATCTCGATCATGATTATTGCCGTGACACACGCAGCCAAGCCGTAGTCACCCTAATCGAAACGCAATGTCGAGGCGAAAGGTTCGTCTTCCGAGTACGTCGAGGAGGATTTGGCGTCTTATTGCAGGGTCGGCAGGGCAGTGTTGCGCCAGTGGTAGATGAACTCCGCGTGCGACGACTCTTCCAAGAATACATCTTTCGAGGCTTCGGAATGATATCTGCTTAAGAAACACGACAGTATGCAATAATGGCAGTAAATGGATACCAATAGATACTTCAATTGCCTTCTTTCTCGCTTCTCTCAGAGTGTTCTTGGCCAGTCTAAAAATGGCCGCGTCATATTTTCCAGGGGCTTCTATTCGGGAACTCGGAGGACCGGCTTGGGAACAAACAAGACTCGAGGCCTTGGGTGCATAATTCGTGGATACAAATGCGTCGATAAAAAACAAGAACACAAGAACTGCGAAGCTGATGTTGCTGGCTCGGTACTCTTCAGGCTGTGCGGGGGTAGAACTTGGTTTAAAATCGGGAAGTGGAGGGGATCGAGGGCGAAACCTACCATACCGTAGAAGCAAGTGCATCTTCAGCTAAGCCTGCTGGGTACTTCCCTATGGCTTGCTCTGTAATCTACCCATCAAAAATTACTTTGAATTGATACTCTTACTTATGACTCCATGTGATTTTTAATATCTTCGGCCTACCCCAATGCCATATGCGTAGACGAAGCTCTTGAGACCAGGACCCAATCCTAGGGACAACTCCAAGATCTGATGCATTCGGGCATTGGCATGCTCATAATAGAATCATGCCGCTATACTTCCCAGACAAATTACCTTAAGTACAGCAGAAGACCCCCTAGTCAACCGACTGGGGCCATGGCCACTGAAGGCTTACAAAATGCTCCTAGCAAAAGACAAGGACTAGTGTATCACGATGGATGTAGGAGCTTAGCGTCGCTCTTCCCCGTCCCCTTGGTAACAGATCCCATTGGTCCTGACACCATATCTTCATCTCACTAGGATGCCCAAAAAGGATTTCTGATCTCTTTTTAACATCCACTCTATCGTAGCTAGTATATGAATCCCCGTATTCTCGAGGAAGAGCCTGTCAGGAGCTCTCTATCCAGAGACCATTCGAACGGTCGACTCGTTGCGGTCCTTGAGGGTGATGCAGTCACGTGTTGTGGTCTTCTCCGCGGTATATTCCCCTACTAATTTCGCCTAGTGAGGAACGGTATTGGTCAGAAACTGTGTTTGGGCTTGCTCACCTCGTACATTGATGTCAGAAAGGCGCAGGAATCAGGAATAGAGGAAGGCAGCTGTACGGCAGCAGCTCCGAAGAGAGCCACTCGTGTCATAGCTATTTGGCTACGGTGCAGCACAGTGCTCTCACAAGGATGGACCTGACCAAGTGTAAAATAACAGCTGGATTGATACGGGTGGGTAGATTACACAGGGTCTGTCTGTTATGCAACCCTTTTGTTGTTCACTGGCCGTGGGAGGTGGAGCCGCCACAGGCCACTTCGCGGTGGCGCGGGTTCCCTCCCCCTTACCGATGTCCTGCATTGTTGTGGCTGTTAACTGGACTGAAATTGAGCTGACGCGCCTGCCATATTTTCAAGGCCGTGGGTCATTCTATCCTTCCCTGCCCTTAGCTCCGCTCATCAACTTCATCACTTCTCCGCTTGAATCCCACACAGCGACAAGTCTTCCTCCTCGCATCCCCAAAGATCAACCCCTAAGACTCAATCATTGAACCCATTTGGACTGAGAATTCATATCCCTTCTTACGCCTCGCTACCTCACTCATATCAACCAGTCCACCACAATGGGCATCTTCAGTTCCAAGTCGACTCGTTCGGCTACTCCCACCGGACATGGAGGCAAGGCCGACGATGAGCATCCCCTCACCCCCTCCACCAAGGAGACAAAGGCTCTCAACGGAGGCAAGACCAAAGATGACAACTCCACCCTCCAGATTTCGGAAGCTGATGAACCAGGTGGCTCAGTGAGTGGAAGTCATCCGAAATCCATTGAGGACCGCACCCGAAACGGAGAGGTTGCTGCCCACTTTCACCATTCTTGCCCATCAACTCGTCGCTTCACTGGAAACTTCCATCACCGTCGCAGTTCTACTTGCCATATTCCTCACTCGTCTCGTCAGGCAGCCGAGGATTACTTCAGCTACAAGCACCACACCGGGTATGTGACAAGTAACCGAGCAGATAGGTGTAGCCAGCTAACATCCAGACGCCAGTTCCGGTATCTCATGGTCCGACAAGGCCTACGACACGATTATACCTGAGGAAAAAAAGGACAAGAAATAGTTCTCCTTTTTGTCGTCTTTTTCCTTCCGGTCCAAGTCTTGACTTGTGAGGCATGGAAGCTCTCGGAGCAACGGAGGATACTTCAAGATGCCATAATTGAATGGGGAACTGGTTGATAAGACACCTGGTCACAATCACTTGTCTTGTCTTGTGTTTGGGCTGGATTGAGCCTCGTGCAATGATTATTGCAACTTTTGGAGCTGGACTGGAGTTCAGCTATGGTACACCAGAGACACAACACTAAAATCTTAGAAAAGCAAAAAAATACACAGAACAATTAGTGTCCAATTCCTTGACAAACAGCCTCTAGTAAAAGTCATTTGTTCCGTGCCATGAATCTCACGCCCAAAGTCCCGTATTTTCTGTCTTGACACCTGCAACCCACCATCAGCCAAAACTGCCACACCAAAGTTGGTCGTTGTTACAGAGCTACGTCTACCATTTGGATATCTCGCCTGGCCTCTTCTCAGCCAACTCTAGTCCGTAGGGTACTCAAATCTCAATATTCCTGGACCAACTCGCCAAAGTCATAAACATCTCCAAGCAACTCATCTCAAACACACCCACCAACACGGCTCTTCGCCCAGCCACTCCCGTAGCCCGCCTACTAACTTGATGCTCTCGCAAACTCCACTCGTCAGCTCACCTGGCACCTTCCGGTCCTCAGCTGCTTCCTCCTTCCTCTGACAGGCACCTCAGGCAACAACAAGTTGTTGGCAGGCACCAGCGTCGACGATTGCTTGGCATTTAGGTACGTACTTTCGCAAGCGCTTCCAAAAGGGGAAATGATTGACGAATTGGCGGGTCGTGGACCCATAATTACGGGGAAAAGCGGGCATGCACAGTCGACAGCGGAACTCCCAAGTGGGTCGTCGACGATGGTAAACTCGAAACAATGCGAGCAACCTGAACGACCCTTCCTTCTCCCTATTTACCTGCCAAGGTCCCTACTGATTCTGAGGAGGCGGAATCTGCGAGAACCTTGATGATTTCTCCAGAAGTGGGTCTGGGAGAGAACTAAGCAGATGCAAGATCCCACCTGGTGATGTCAGTGCACTATGGCATCATTCAGATGCTGAAGCTGAGGCATGTGAGGGAAGATATTCCAAACCATGACTGGCATCTTGGGCATGAGAAAAATTAGGCACACCAAAATTTGGATCGAGCCCGTAGGCATCTCTCAATACGTACCGTAGGAAGCGAGTGGATCCTAACGCTTGATATGCTCTCCAAAAATCCAAGATGACTGCTGAAATTCCGAGCGGTGGAGGATGGCCTCAACAGGACTGGGGCATCGATGAATGAGCTGGCTTGCGCACGTGGAATGATTGTCGCCTTGCAGAAGATTTTTTTGAAAATTTTATGACAAACTAAAGACAGCCAATTCAACATGAACGACGAACACCTTCGACCAATATTCAAGTTCCTCCTGTCTGCCTCTAAGATGTAAACTCCTTGCATGTGGCTCAGTTGTTATGGGAAGGGAAGAAAGTAGAGTGGCCTTGTTGTTACAGAATCCTTGAACAATACTATTGTGGCTACCTCACTTATTGAGAGTTTGGTGAGGCAGAGTGATGTTCTCGCTTCTGCGATTTCCCTTTAGTGACATAGAGATCGTCGACGAAACCTCCATCAGCTCTGGCCCCGTCTCCCTCGCGGCAGTGATGTCGTCCTGTTGGTTCTTTGGTACCAAGATCTCCCGACATTCCCAGGCCTTCGGAACTCTTAGGCTGAGGAAAGTGATCCTATCCTCTCGGGGCCTACGAGAGGCAAATCCTTTGTTGGCTCAAATTTCTCTTGAGCTACGCATGTTAGTTTGTACTATACCCATTGGTTCGAGTTGAGCCAACTCACAGCTCGGTAGATAGCCTAGCAGAGGCCGTTGCCTTTTCAATGAAGTCTCCATAGGCAGCTGAACAGCTTGGCAGGCATATTTATTGGACATCCTGGGGGAATCCGACCAGTTGCACAAATCCAAAGATATCTAGAAATTCTGTTATTATCCGCAATGGATAAAGATGGACGACATTATGGAGAAGGAAATACCTGGCGTAGCCATAAGGAATAGCGAAGTTCTTGAAAGCACTGCGGGAGGGCCTGCCGATCGATACGTCGTCGATCCACCACATAGTTGCCGGGGCCAACATCTGGAAATGGATGGTACTGGACTTGGTCTTGCCTACATCCTAGCGACTCTGCGCTCGGCAGTTGCTCGTCAGTCTGGGGAGGGATTAGCATAAGAAGTTCAATCAGCATGAGGGTACACGTAAAGCATCTGTCGCCTTCCGAGGCCAAAAGGCTTCTTTGCCCTCCCGGCCTAGTTTCTAGGCTCGGTGTGGTTAAGAACCCGCTCCGGCTCAGAAAGTAAGCGGAAAGAAGGGGAAGAATGAAAACAAAGGTAATGATAAATGGTGGTGGGGGGAGAGTAAAAAGTGAGATCCGGGTGGAGGTGGGGGGATTTTTGTATATGTAGAGGATGATGGGAGCGAAAAACAAGTGGCCAACGTGCAAGAATTGAGGAGAAGACTCGACGACAATTCAGGGTAGGGTGCTCCTCCCACACCTTTACCATACTCCCAAAATGTTTCGCTCGTAAGCTTTTTGGCGCGGACAGGAACTATAGCAACAAGACAGTGTCTCCCATTCTGTAAGGTAGGTATATGGTACTAATGCAAAGAGCCAATTCTGTTTGTTTTTGCGAGTTGTCATTTCTGATCGGGTTCCCAACCCTTGCTGCTTGGGGTTGAAGGGTTCCCCCTACCTATCTAACCAGTATTGCAGTTCATGGCTATGTAGTGTACTTTAGCCCCGTAGTCACTAGTTGGCTGCTGCTCAAATAGGTCCTCGTTGGACTTAGCTGGCTGGTTGGTGAGTTGGTCAAAGTGCTGGAGAGAGTGCGGTTTGTGCGAGCAATACTCTACCGCTAACTCTTCTAGTTAAGCACAGCAAGTTGAGTCCAGTGATTCCCACCAAGCTGTTTGCGATGAAGATCTAGAAAGTCATAATATCAAGCCCCTTCAATAGGATAATTCTGCTTAGGATAGGAAATCTGAAAGAAATCATGGCGGATGTGTGATACTAAAAATACGGTCTAGGGTAGGGACACTTCCTGGACTCGGGCCACCGTTAACCCTTGATTTGGTCTAAAGGGGGGCTGATACGCAGGCATTCGGTAAACCCGGCTAACCGCTTTGGTCGTTGAATCCTAGATCGGAATGATCTGTATCGATCAAGATCTCATATTAGAAGGAACATATACTAAAGGAATACCTGTATTCGATGCAATCGTCAAGGAACGAGGGTGTGAGTGCTGCAGGCTGGCCCCAGACGTGCATGACAGCGAGCCCAGTCATGGATGATGAATTGATTGCTAACGAGCTCGCTGGGCTCTGGTTCGTTGGGGCCCATCCGTTTCCCCACTCCACCCTGAAGACGTCGAGTGCCAAACCTAGATTTGTCCTAGATCCAATGACAAGGGTCTCGATCTTTACACCAATCCCCAAGCAGATTGATGCTCCATCATTTGGACCCTGGAATCCCGAAAGTCCCGTCAAGTTAAAAAAAAGGGCACACAACATTCCCCTCCTTTCCCGGTACTCGCCTACCCTGCGTGGTTGTTGAAGGGGAAGTGCTTACGTGACCAGCAGCACGCCTGACTGGCCAGGAGAGACAACAGATCGAATCGCAATCCCCGGACGCGGCAATGTCGGGCTCTTCGGAGCTGAAGCGCGAGCGAGAGGTTCAAGGGTATGCCCAGAGCTGGAAGGCTGCCCAAGGCTCCTCGCTCAACGTCGCCCTGAACGTCGACAGCATCGAGCTGTATGAGCTACGCGGCAATGGATTCACTCCCCGAGCGTCCCGCGACAAAGCCCTCACGGCCTTTGCGCAGCTGGCCGTCTTTCGACTTGGCGTCACTCGAGGCATGATCTCGCTGATAGACCAGACTGCCCAACACGTCCTTGCAGAAGCTACACGAAACTTGAAGCTGGTAGATCTGGACGGACAATCCGACCACAGCCCCTCCTCGCGTGCGCCCAATGTGAGCGCAAGTAGTAGTCCAACCGTGAAAAGCCATGCCATTGCGCACAATGATTTGTGGTGTAGGTACTTCCTTCTAGGTTGGGCTGGAGTTGTTGTCTGTGGTTCAACTTCTTGAACTACTGGTATCAACTATCCTGAAACTTGAACGAATTGGCTAACAGAAGATGTGTTTCGTCATAGTGGGAGCGTCCATTGTCTCGCGAGGCGATGCCATCTGCGAGCATGCGTTGACTAGTACCTGCACGGGTAAAGATCCTGATTGTGATCGGACATACACAGCGGCCGGTCTTATTATCCCTAATTGCCAGGATGACCCTCGGTTCTGTAACCGCCCGTATGTCAAATCGGAACCTGGTATTCGTTTTTACGCCGCTGTACCCATCGTCTCTCGAAATGGCCACAAGATCGGAGTCTACTCCGTCTCTGACGAGAAGCCGCGCGACGGCCTGACCATTGATGAGTTGCAGTTCCTGCAAGGAGTGGCGCAAGCTGTGATGGAACACCTAGAGTGGGCTCGGGATCGTGTCGATCGATTTAAGGGAGAACGCATCGTCCGTGGTCTCGCCGCCTTTATTGAGGGTTGCGCCCCGATGTGTGACGAGTCGAAGGAGCAAGTTCCAAAGAGCCCGTCGACGGTCCGCCCCCCCGAGATGAGCTTGGTTGCAGCTAGACGCCCAAATATGGCGCGGACCAATTCCCAAATTCGAGGTGGTGCTGTGAAGCTGAAGGAGGTTGACAAGCGCCGGAGAGCATCGTCAGTAGGACCTACACAGACTGATACCGCTGCTTCAGCAACGCCATCATTGCCCGAGGCAACGCCATCACCACGAAAGAAAGCAAGCAACAAGTGTAAAGCTGATGGCTTATCCCGCATGTTCCATCGCGCAGCCGAGATCTTGAGGCAAGCTACATTAGCCGACGGCGTTATTCTATTTGGAGCCACTACTACTGACAGCAAGGAGATGCTACGAGCGTTACGGTCAGGTGGGCATCGGTCCGACGACGACGACGATGACGGTTGCTCGACTACCCAATTTAACACTTCTGGGTCTGAGAATGGAGCTGGTCTGGATAGTTCGGATTCTGACACATCTCCCTCTGCAAGACCTTGCCAGATTTTTTCGTACTCCCTTGCAGACGAGAAGGCTCGGGCTGGTATCGAACAAGGTACTGCCTTATCACTCGGTGCCCTAGAAAAGTACTTTCGTCTCTTTCCACGAGGAAAGACCTTCTCGTTTACCGACGAAGGATCGGGTCTTTCTTCCGAAGATGATAGTGCAAGTGACCGGGAGCCTCCACTTACCCCTGGCGACAACAACGAGCAACAATGTGGGCAGAGCCGACCAAGCCGTAAGGTTAAGATGGACCACCGGGAACTACTGAAGAAGATCCCAGGCGCTAAGTCTGTTGTTTTCGTGCCTTTATTTGATCATGTGGATGATCGTTTATATGGCGGCTGCTTCCTTTGGACGTCGGTCAATGGTAGAATCATGAACCTCGACGCAGACCTGTCGTACCTCCGCGCCTTCAGCAATGCTATTATGAGCTCTGTCGGACGAACCAACACACACAAGAACGAAGCAGCCAAGACGACCTTCATAGCCAGCATTAGCCACGAGCTTCGCAGTCCACTGCATGGTATTCTAGGCGCTGCCGAGTTCTTGAAGGACATGACAGGTGACCCCTACCAGACAGCATTGATTGATTCTATTTCTATCTGCGGCAAGACCCTTCTCGACACCCTGAATCATGTGCTCGACTACAGCAAGATCAACCGGTTAGGCGGGCTGCAGATGCGAAGAGGCGTGAGGCAGAACAAACTTATAAATCTGAACCCGGATTCACTGGAGAGCATGAACATGACCGCTGCTGTTGACCTGGCAGTCGTCCTTGAGGAGGTAGTCGGTGCGATTTCTGCGGGTCATACTTTCAAGCTCCCTGGTAGCCATATAACGGGAACCACAGGTGGCATGGCGACGCTCCTGCCTGTAGGGCCTTCAACCCCCGGTGTAGAGGGATCGGTTTCAATTATCCTAGACATCGACCATAAGATCTCCTGGATGGTGCGAACACAGCCTGGCGCTATACGAAGAATCATCATGAACCTCTTTGGCAACGCATTGAAATACACATCAACAGGCTACGTCTTGGTATCTCTCCGAGGCCAACTGAACGCCGACAAGTCGAAGATCAACGCCCTGATCCGTATCGAAGACACTGGAAAAGGAATGTCGGAAGAATTCAAGCGCAACCGACTTTTTGTTCCGTTCAGCCAAGAGGACTCGTTCCAGCCCGGCACAGGCTTGGGTTTAAGCATCGTAAAGCAGATTGTCGATTCTCTCCACGGTAATCTCGAGGTCAAATCCGAACAATACAAAGGAACCGAAATCGATGTTCGTCTTCGGTTCACCCCTGGACCATCTGGAGACTCAGCTCCTTCGGACGAGACCATGCGAGCAGTGGCCAAACGGACACAAGGGAAGCAGGTGGTTTTGTTAAAGGAAGAGCAATACCCAGAGACCCAAGGCAGCCCACCCACGTGCCAGAAGCTGACGGACAAGTTGTCCGATACGTGCAGAAACTGGTTCGGCATGAAGGTGGCTCAAGAAGGATCGCCCGATGCTGCTAACCCTGATATTTTTGTGTACTGCGAACCACCCCCTCACGAGATTCTCATCAGACGTGTCCAGAAGCTTTTGAAGAGCTCGTCATGCGAAAAGATTCCCATTGTCCTTGTCGTCTGCCCGAATGCTGAGCAAGCTGTCCGGGTAAAGCAATGCCAAGGAGCGTCTTTGAGCAGCCTACCAGTCATCGTTGAGGTGATCCCGCAACCGTAAGTTGCAAAAGCTTGCTTCTATTGCTGCAGGAATATTCTCTTTCTGAAGTTGACTGACTTGATATTATAGATGTGGACCTAGGAAAATAGGGCGGGTGATTACCCACTGTCTCGACACGGCTGACAAGATGGCTCTCAACCTTCCCCTGCCCCCTGAGGTCAGATTGCCGACGTTCCCGCTGCCGTCCCCGCCGCTCCCCGCCGTCCCTCCTCCGTCCCCGCTCCCCTTGAACCCCGAGACACCATCACTCGCTGTGGAAGTCCCTGCCCCGCCGTCACCCCCGGGCCCGAAGCCGGGCAATAAGCTCCACCTCCTGCTGGTTGACGACAACAAGATCAACCTCCAACTCCTCGTGATGTTCATGAAGAAGTGTAGGTTCACGTACGAGGTGGCCGAGAACGGGCAGGAGGCCCTCGACAAGTTCAAGGCCGGGTGCCTCAACGGGCCCGGGGGCGGGAGCGCCAAGCGCTTCGACTTCGTGCTCATGGACATCTCGATGCCGGTCATGAACGGCATCGAGGCGACCAAGCACATCCGGGCGTTCGAGCGCGAGAACAAGCTCTCGCGTTCGAACGTCATCGCCTTGACCGGCTTGGCGAGCGCGGATACCCGGCGGGAGGCGGATGCCGCCGGGGTGGATATCTACCTCCCCAAGCCGGTCAAGTTTGCGGAGTTGAAGTCGTTGCTTTCTACGGAGTAGTGACCTCCTCTCTTCTCTTCAACTTCATCTTCTTTCGTTTTTGTTTCCTGTGCCTGGTAATTTTGGTTTGTTGTCTGTTTCTTGCCTTTTTTTTTGGGTTCGGTTTTGGTTTCGCTGTTTTTTAATCTGTGCCCAGTGACACATAGCATGGAGAAATGTAGATAACATGTACGTACTTGCTTTGCGGAGTTTCGATACAATTAATAAGAAAGTTTAATGGACAGACTTCCCAGCCGTATTTTCTATGTCAGGTAGTCAATTAGACGATGCTTTCATATTCTTTATTGAAGGCTTGTAGTCACATACGTGCTGGCGTTCTGTCGCACAGACGGCTCTTAGGAAAGGGGAAAATGCATCACTAGGTTCAAATTCTGAATGTCTGGTCCGTTTGGCTCGCCTCGACGGATCGTAGGTTGGCGCTGGGGCACCACCTAAACCTTTTCTAGGTATGTTGCGGCCTGTGCTGTCTACATCTCGAATTTGCCCGGCGCTGTTTCTACGTTTTGTGCGAAACGAGTCATGGGTATTTCGTACTCTAGTTCTAGATGGCTAAATTGACATAGCAGGCGCTACAGTATAAAAGCTTTCAAGAGATTTCTTGACTGGTCAAAACTTGCCACCATTCTTAGAATGGGAGACTACATCAATGTTTGAGTGTCCCACTAGTCTTGGACGGCTGGGAAGGCCAGAGAAGCACAAGCCCTGTTTTGGGGTGCTTGGTTCCATCGCCGCATCTCGCCGTGTCTCTGCCATTCTAGCCAAGTCGCTGCTGAAGGTGGCGCTGTAAGAGCTTGGTAGGCTAACGCTTCGAATCTGCTTGCTTCTTCTCGGCGAGGGTCTCTTCGTGACTCGAGGTGGATCTGGGGTGTCTTATACATCAACTCTTGTTATTTACGTGGGTACTCCGCACCTACCCAGCACCCGTAAATGATCATTTGAATTGCAATTGTGTCGCCAAGAACGGCCATCGCCAAGCCTTGCGTCTGGTGGCAGGTTATTATAGAAGTCCATCACAAAGTTTTCCGTGCCAGACAGGCGCTCTGGAGTCGCCTCAAACATTCTCGGTGGGTTCGAATCAGCGTAGGAATAATCTTACAATGACATCTAGGTAATGCACCTAGCTGAAAGGAACACATGTGGCATGCCGCTTGAGATGGACCACTCGTGGTGAGCATATTGTCTCGGCCGGGTATGCGTCCGATACGGAGGAGCTTGTCAGATGCGTAGCCCACGACTGAAAAAAAAAGAATAGAATAGGAGAGGATGATTAGCCGAGTTCCATGTTAAGATTGGTTCATGCGTATTCCGAGGTGGAGAAAAGGGGCTCGACTCACTTCGTGCCCAGACTTGGTTTGTTCGCGCGCTACTATTCCCCCCTCTCAAATAACGTTGCATGTATCCTTCAAAGTAGTTTTGGGCACGCTCAATGAAGTCCCCATCATTGAGATTTCCATACCAGTCCTCTAATTTCTTCAAGTACATCCTTCGAGCGTCTCCAACCACAATGTTTCCGTTCGGGCGAGGAATGAGATAATCAAAGTCCTACTGGTTGAACCGGATGGTGTCCTTATCACCTAGCGGCAATCTTCTCGTAGTAAGATGGAAAAGACAGGGATATTGGTTTGCAGATTGATACTCTTGGCGGTAGCTTGCGAGAACATGTGATGTATCATCTTGTATGGCCACATGTGGCCGGCCGTGTAAGTGAACGGCCGTATAAGTGAATGCACCCTTGCCACCGTTGACATCGAAAACCTAGTTTGCAGCTTGTTTAGACAATGATTCTCAGTAAGGTTTCTGAGATAGGGGGTGAGTGGCGGAGTTGATTATGGACCCCCTCCTGGGCCGGGCTAAACGGCCCTTGTGCTTACCGTTTCGGTGTTTGTACCTTGCATATAAGTACACGCTTCGTGAACACAACATGGGCATTAATGAGGCGATCGTATGTTGCTTTGAGGGATAAATTGTCGTCTTCAGACAAATAGACATCAGCAGCGCGTGTGAGAACGAAATCACCATAGGCACCAGAAGCCTTGGCGGATACTTCGACGGTTGTTATTAGCAAGCTCAAAGTCAGTCACCTCGGCACCGGCAGAGATGACATAATTTAGTTCGAGGACAGACGCCGTCTTATAAGGGTCCTTTTTTCAATAGCCTCGTAAAAATGAAGGGCCAGGCCAGAATTCCACATTCTTAAAACCTTCGACGAGGAACTGCCGGAGCAAGGTATGACACTGGCCTAGTATGGGTACTGACCGTTTCCCATGGCTGCTCTAGAGCATACCCCGTGACCTTCGAGAACTAGGATGCTCTTCCCTTCCGCCTCAGGCGAACTTAACAGGCAGTTAACGAGAGAAGCACCAAAAACCCACCTCCTATGATGGCAATGTCCGTTTCAGTGAGTACTCCTTCCGGCGAAGGGAATTGTCAAGCTCACCCGGGGTCGACCGCCAAAACGATGGTCCCCTCTTCGGATATGGAAATGGTTCAGTTGCCATAATGGAGTGAATGCTCACGAGCTTCAGTATGAAGGGAGGGCTGAGATGATACTTTTTGATTGGGCCCGGGTTCGTCTCGGACTAACTCGATCAATTCTATTAGTAATGAAGACAACTCCTAAGGGGTTGATCGAACGAACCTGGATTTATATGGAATCAAGTTCGTATTCCTGAGAGGCGAATGCTGGTCTCATCGGCTTGTTCCCGTCGCATCGTACCGCGCAGGCAGATAGCGAGTCCGGCGTGTGCATAGCCCCAACAAGCGGTCAAGTCTGGCTGTTTCCTAGATTTAGTTGCATCAGTCAAACTTACATCGTGAAAGGAGTTGGTCAATGCCTGGTTTGGCAGAATAATGAAGGCGGTGGCAGCGGAACGATAAGAGATTAGTGATATCGGCTCCGGCCTGGAAGGTACGAAGGAACCTCAGGCACACCTTCCGCTTTGTAATTCGCTACGATTTTCTTCACTCGTTTGATAGGCAGGCGTTCTTATCTGCCATGATCCAAGTTGTCGACGGTCCAATATGCCCAACTCGAGACGTTTGAGGTGGGGGTACGAGACATGCCAGTCTTGGTTGTTTTCTCGCATATATGACCCAAAACTTCACTAGCTAGGTGTCCTCGTTAGTATTCGGGTAATGCGGTTTCAGTGTGAAGGAGCTAATAGTAGTACCGTCCCTCGCACAAGGTAGGGCAATTCGATCAACATATGGACGTCCACTCAAGGCTATAATAACAAGAAGAATCGTTCAGGTCCAAACTAGCCCCGATCATAATTTTCCACACATCCGACACATTGCACGTCTACAATAACGCACCCATGAGTCGTTAATTTGTCAAGCATGGCCACATCCTTGACGCAAGACCTTACTGCCCCCAATGAGGCCAGCCTCGATGAATAATATATTCGACGACGCCGCCAAGGCCGCCCGCTAGGCACTCCATGAGCCCTGCTCCGACCTCCATGGCACCCAGCGTGACGGACTGATGTGGAGGCCGGAGGTTATTGCCGAAAAGCACACAAAGACCATGGCTGTCATTTACACTTGAAATAACGGTAAGCTGTTCATTTGGGGCACCCTTTTCGAGCTTCCCGGGCAAGAAAGTGAATCAGATGGTGAAAAGCGAGGACTCTCCTCTACTCGTTATGATATTAAGGAGCTAATGGGCATTCTCAAGGACCACGCAGGATTTGCCGACAAGATTCATGGCGAAGGTGAGTCTGCGAAGTAGCTACGCCGAGAGAAGTTGAGCATCAAGACTGACAAGTGGGTGATTTCAGTTATTACCCCTACAGCACAAAAGCCAGCTTACACGCTCCGAGAACCGATCGATGTCTGCAGCCAAACTACCCCGTGGAACTATCTCTGGAACTTGCAGTCTAGAAACTTGGACCAATTCTGGCAACAGAGGGTACAGTGATATCGAAACCCTCGAAAACACTCCTCTATCTATCTTGTATTTTGCCGATCTCTAGGAGTGACTAATATCACTAACGGCAGTGGCAGCGTTGCCGGCCCCTCTCGCCAGTCACATGGACGCAAGTAACGTGGCATTAACTGGTTCGATCACCACTGGGCGCGAAAGTATGAAGCTTGCCGCGAATAACCTCAAGAGCGTCACTCTTGAGACTAGCAGGAAGCTGCCCCTAGTAACTTTTGAGGCTGCCGACTTAGATCAGGTTGTGAACTGAAGTTATTATGGTATCATGGCCAATCAGGGGCAGATTTAGCAGTCTGTCTGTTCCAGCTTCCGTGGAGAAAGTCAAAGCGATCTCTAAGATCGGTGATCCTTTTGCTAACGATACGTTCTAGAGCCCACAGGTGTCCAAGTTCCCATATGAACGAGTGCTGTCGTACATTGAGAAGGGAAAGCAAAAAGTTGCAACAGTCAAGCTTGGAGGGAAGCCCTATTAATTCTCGACAGGAAAGGAATGGTTCATCAAGCTCACTGTCTTCACTGACATTATAAACCAGATGGCCACTCACCAAGAAGAGATATTGAGAACTTGAGTTGTCATCAGTTCGTTCTTAACAGAGAATAGGTTGTTTACAGAACTATTAATACCACCTACGATCTTGGAGCCGCTATCATCGCCCAGTATATTACACATAGTCATGCCGTGGCTAGGAAGTCGCAGCTAGAAGTAAGTTACGCATCAGGTGCAGCCCCGCCGAGCTCCAAAAACTGCTTCTAATGCTAATTTATCTCTTTCAAGTGGTCTGGAGCAACGGCAATAACGACTCTGATTCCCGCATTCCTTTTGGTGGATAAAACGAGCCAAGTATTGGATCCGAGCGAATTACCGAACAATTTTTATTTTCTCAACGGTGGTAGGAAGATACTCTTGCCTTTTCAATGGGTGTTGCGTTGATAATCTCGTCCCCTATACACATGAGACATTGAAAGGATAAAATCACTTTTTTTTGGAGTACAATCACTGTTTCGCTTTTCAGAGCGTCAAATTTCAGTAAATATTTGACACTCTATCGGGAAGAGAGATGATCTAACTTGGGTATACCCAATTTTACCAACCCCTTTTTAATTCAGCGAGCCACTCTAAACTGCTGCCTGCGTGTCACCATCGAAAGCATCAAAGATTCATCATTTCTCTTGTTGCTCTAGCTGTTCTGTGATGCCCATTAGCTCCTCCTGGATGTTGTCTCTTTGGGCGACGATCTCAGCAATGTAGGCTCTCAGCCATGCTTCGTTGCTCATGACTCTGTCTTCGAGCTTGTTACTTGCATTGTCAAAAATATCAGCAACCATCTCGGCGTAAGAGCATTGATGTTGACCCTCTCCTGACACACAAACTGGACAGGGAGGTCCGTCCTGCTCAAGATTCAAGGTATGGGCAGCCATTGTACACAACGCTGCGTAAAGAATCTGATCTCCTGTTAAATCATAGTCGAATATTGCCTCGATTTCAGACGCTAAAAAGGACAGCCTCTGCACAAGAGTCTCCTTCAAATCTTTAGCGCAGTGAAGCTCTTCAGCCTTGAGCTCCCGCTGGTGCTGTGCGTCGCGAATCTGGCCCTGGTACATGATTTGAGCATCCATTGCGTCGACGCTGCAGATACAGAATGTGTAAAAATTGATGGAATATCTGTTTTGGTGATGCAGGATGAGGATAGATTTGAAGACAGGTAATTAAATGCGGCGTCGTGGTATTTATAGAGCTTGTTAGTCAAGCTTTGACCAGCTTTGACCAGCTTTGACCACCCCTGGATTCCCCTCATTCAAACATACACAAAGCAGGCAAGTCTGGGATCACACGTACTTTTTGTTTCCTTCTGCTTAGTTCTTCCGATTAATTCTGACTTTGGAGATTCCCCAGCCACATGTTCATTCTCCGATACTACTGAACAGCTACGAGAGACAACGACAAATTCTCCCATTTCTTAACTACGCAGTGTTGTCTTCGAATCTTTGTCTTAGTGATAGACAGGCAGTTGGCGAATTCGGACGTGATGTAGCTGAAAAATTTCTTCCCTATTTCTCCAACTTGGAGCCAGCGAAACCTGCGAAGTCTGTCCGCACCCATATATGTAGAGTCTGTAGCCCATTTAGCACTTAACCATGATCCTAGGAACTTAGCCGTCTTGTCCTGGGGAGTATAGTGTTCACTCCAACAATACGTCAAGGCACTGCAGCAGGACCAAGCGTAGAGCATCATCGGAAGTTGATAAGCCCAGGTAGGAAGCTGAACACGCCAATGTTGAGAAGCCCACTGGCCCAGGGAGCAACTGAACCAGCCTCCCCCCCGGGGGCAATGGCACCGGTGAGTCTGGGGTCATGAGAAGAGTAGATGCTGCCGACAGCGAGGACTGGGGTTGACCCTAATCCGGGAGATAGTCATTTTTGCCACGCTGGGGATCGTCTTGCGGGGGTTGCGGATTTCACCAGCGAATAGAGCGACGATGCTAGGACCGGTGACGGTGAACACGGCGCAGCAAACAGAGATGCAAAGTCTGAGAAAGTCACCGATAGAGCGTTCGGCGTAGTATGAGGGCGCGGAATTCCCGTTAGACCAACTGCGGAAGCCGTAGGCGTCATGATGAGGATTTCCTTCGGACATGGTGATGACTGCTGCGAACACTAAGTTGATGAGCAACAGTATCTTCGTCGAACCTATGATGAATTCGGCTCATCATACCACCTAATTAAGAAGCAAATACTTTCCGAAGTGGGAGGATATGAATGTACGCAGCAATTCGGGAGAAGACGAAGTTTCGCATTCGAGCTAGCTCGACTGAGCATTGGCCAAGAGCCCGGTCATGACGATACTCATCGTGAGTGGAAGTAACAAAGTCAGATGCATCTCGACGAAGCTCGCTGGAAATGGCGACAAGGATGAACGGCTTTACGCAGTGTGTAGACGGTTTGACTGGGATCTGCCATAACTCCCCAACGATACGCAGCGCTAGATTCTTTAGCCAGGTATCCCTTTCTTCCTTGGAAGGAAGCTAAGCAATCCAGTGTAGGTCAAGATTCGAACAATCTCTCTCGAAATACCCGGGAAAGGACAGGGCTGAATCTGCCTGGCGCTGTCGATTAGGCCAGCAAAGGCGCCTGGCGACGTAAGTATTTGCTTCGTCAAGAAACACAATAGCATTGACGCCTCCCAGTAAAAATGAAGGTTAGCGTGTTCTGTACACTCGGCAGCCCACGGGTCTAGCATGGCCAGGGGTGGCTCGTAACTATCTGTAGCAAGGTTGTTGGAGTTAATCCAGCTTGTCGTGTGGCCAGGTAGAAAGTTGGCTAGCATTTTACCTTCAACAATGGAAGACAACTCTCCCAGGCATTGAAACGTTTTCGATTGCTCTTTGACGGCGAACGTCTTGAGCTCGGGAAATATGTTGGCTTAGCATGCAGCAGCCATGCTCTGAATAATATGACGATCACATTTTATCGACCGAGGATGGGATTAGCTGAATATCCAGTCGACCAATCTAGCTAGTCCGTGGTTAGGAATAAAAGGGTGCCTACCCTTTTGGACTTGCAGTTCAGACAGCCATTCCAGGACTTTCGACGAGGAGCCCTGGTTGGCATTACGACGACGATTGCGGGAGAGAGTGTCCGCTGAAGAGAGGCACAGCACCGAGAGTAATGCGTTGATTTTGATCGTTGAGTGTCCAGAGTGTGGATAAGGAAGCGAGGTCGGAGACTGGGTGAAAGGAGCAAGATGGGGGGATAATGTATATAGGCAGGGGAGTTGAGAGTAGCAAATTGATGATGGGGCAGTCCTACCCGTGCTCTTGGGCCTTTATATCGCCCCTAATCTCCAGTGGGCTACCGCTATCTCTGCCTTGTAGTGGCAAAGACTGACTACAGGCAGAGCACAATGTAACCCCTCCATGGTCGAGAACAAAACATGGCCACGCTGAGGGCCTGAATGCTAGAACAGCTTCGAATTCGTCTCACCGCCGACTCCCGCACTCGAGAGACACCCTAAGTCGGAAGACGAGCACATTGAATAATACAAGTTACCTGGAATCGAGCCGAGAGCTCTAGGAAAGCTGAATCCACGGACGAGAGTTTTTTACCTCGTTAGGGCGTACCAAGTCTCCGGGGTTAGAATGTCACAAGTACATGGCAGGAGGTGAAGGACATGCTCAAAATGCACCGGCGCACGTAGGTTATGCAAGCGCGTAGTGAACCAGTCATTGACGGGCGTCATTATGTAGCCAGAAGCAAGCTCAGCTAGTGGCTCGCCAAGGAGGGCAAGGATCTGTGGCCGGGACGACCCGTAACAGCATGGGCTCAATCTCGACAACGTTGCAAGCCGACAGCGCTATTACTGTGGAACAAACGGCAAACACCTCGCTGGGTGCTGGGCGTCCTTCGACGGTCAAATTGGAACAGGCTAATCCCTTATCTTTGCTTGCGCGTATACATTAGCCCATTGCTAGCAAACTACCTATACTCGCGGCAGAGTGGACATAGGCAGCTGGCTAATACCGCTGATGCCGTGTTGTTTTCTTGAGCTTTTGTTATGCCGGCGCTTATGTTGGAATGTTACCGGCCTGCATGTGGTGACGTCGTCCATCTGCATCACCAATCAAGCCCGCAGATGGTGGTTCTTGGAATGTCCATTTCACGTCCGACCCCTCTCCCTTCATTTCTACCCCTCGTCCTAATCAACACTCGACGGACCCCCGATGATTGACAGACATCCTGTTCAGCATCACAGCATCATCCACCATGGCGGCTGACACTGCCAGATGGCATTTTTCCAAAAATCTTTTCCTCTTATGGCTCAGCTTCGTCCTATTGCCGCTAAACACAACAGTAATCGCGGCAATACATCTCTGGGGCCGACTCCGACCGTTCAAGAGACACCATGCCCGCCTGGGATCAGCGTCACGACCGGCGCTCCCTAAGACCGTCCTGGTCACGGGCTTGAGCATGGCGAAAGGCCTCGCGCTCGCACGCCAGTTCCACCGCCGAGGCCACCGAGTGATCGGTGCAGACACCCGCCCGCTGTGCATGGCACGCGTCTCGACGGCCGTGGACCGCTTCCATGCTCTCCCTAAGCCGTCGTCTACTTGGTGCCAGGCGGATCCGCATACTGTTGCCATGCTGTCTCTGCTACGCGAGGAGAACATCGACCTTTGGGTCTCTGTGTCGGACGTGCACGAGGCTATGCATGATGCGCAGATGCGGGACATGATTGAACAATCCACCAACGTCAAGTGCATCCAGCTTGGCGAATCGGACACCCACAAGCTGCACGAAAAGGACCTGTTCATGAGCCATGCTGTGGAAATCGGCCTGCCGGTCCCGGACTCCAAGATCGTGCACAACCACAATGCCATCATCCATTTCCTGAACAAGAGAGACGCACTTCGCTTTCGACCTGGATCACCCCAGTATCTGGTCAAGCAGATCGAGCAGGACGATCATGAGAGCAGATTCGAAATGACCCTACTCCCACTGCCAACCGAGCAGGAGACGCTCCAGCACATCCACAGTATTCCCGTGCAAACTTCGAACCCCTTTCTCATCCAGGAGTTCATCAAAGGTGACGAGTATTGCACTCATGCCCTCGTCGTCAAGGGCCAGGTTCGCGCATTCCTGGCATGTCCTTCTGCTTCTCTCCTACTCCACTATAGCGCTCTGCCTCCCGAGTCGTCTCTCGCGCAGGCTATGCTAGGCTTCACCGAGAGAGTCGCCGCAGCCGGAGGGGCCGACTTCACTGGCCATGTCAGCTTCGATTTCCTCGTCAAGCCCCGTCACGCCGAACGGGAATCACCCAAGGATATACTCGACGTCGACTTGTTCGCGATTGAGTGCAATCCGCGTGTGCATACCGCCGTGCTGCTGTTCAATGATACGCCCGAGGTGGTGGACGAGTTCTTCACTTCCGACATTGATGAGAAGCCGCGACCTCCAGTCTTCCCGAGAGACCCCCAACGGTACTACTGGGTCGGGCAAGATTTGGTGCAGAGGGTCATATTCCCCCTGTATCAGTTCCTGTTTCTGTGGACGTTGACATTTACCCAGCTGCGGCAGTCGTTGACTCAGTTCGCTCAACGTCTTTTATTCTGGAAGGACGGTATTTTCGAGGTCTGGGATCCCTGGCCGTGGTGGTGGTTGTACCACGTATACTGGCCCGTGCAATTCTTGAAGTTTCTGGTGAGGGGGCGATGGTTCAATATCAACGTCAGCACAGGGAAGGCCTTTTCAGCTGAATGAGATCTCAGCCAGGGGTTGGGGGGTGTGTCTTGAATTTTCTTTTATATCTGATTCGCGAATCTTTAATTCTCCAGTAATTTGTTTAATTAATTATCTTTTGGGTAGTTTCCGGAGTCAATAATAGCCGGTTGTTCTGGGTGCGACTGCAGGTGGACAAAGGAGTTGTACGGGTTGAATTTAATATCCATATTCTTGCAGTTGGTGACTTATCAGCCAATTTCCAATCGAGATTGCTCTAGAGTCCATTGACACAATCCCCCTTAAACCTCGAACATCCTGTCCAGCTGAGATAAAATCCCACCAGGGAGCCAACCGCCCCGTTCCTCCAGAAGGCCCATAATTTCGATCACGAGAATGGCTACGCAAGCGTTGAAGGGCACCACAACCATGTCACTGTTTCCATTGCCAAGCAATTGAAACCAAGAAAGCTGCAGATAGCATTGTCCTAGGACTCAAGGCTTATATGGCCGATGACGCACTAGATGCACCTTGAGCCCCCCTGGCTTTCGTAAGTAGGCTTATGTTGGTACCGGTGTTGTAGCATCCGGTATCGTCCAGGCAGCGCCAAACGTTGGTTCTTGGTTCCACCAATCCATGTTGCTCTTAGAGACACCAGACTAATGAGCAGAATAATTAAGCCGAAGCTTATGTTACAATTCTATAGAAGGAGATAATAGGGGATATAGTAGTGCCTTGTAGTGGAATACGAACACCTGTTCCATGATATAGGGTACGCTTCAACAAGATGCCCGTCGGCGTCTCTCTGGAGGTGATGGTACCCGTCCGGCTTGTGGATTATGTAAACTTACCTGATTGGGTTAGAGAAGCATATTCTACCCAGTCATGTTCTATGTAGTTGGCCACATCATCCTTGCAGCATCCTAGCTAAATACCTAGTATAGCGCTTGGTTAGCAGCTTGATACTGATCGATTCCTCAACTGCAAGCTGTCAGGTGGAAGTTCAACATTGAAGGAGATGCCTATCGTGAGTGGTGAGCGACGGCTTGCCTGGTTAGACCATCTTACGTAAGCAGCCGCTTGCCCACCAATTTCGAGACAGATCTCAACCTCTCGTTTTTACAAGCCAAACTATTTGTTGACAGCCATAGAACCCACCCTCAGTCGACGAATCCTTTAAATACAGTTCAGAGGGTCGGATCCCTTGCACGGAAATGAATTCGCAGTACATCTGCAGAAGGTAGATTGACCAAAGATTGGCTATCGCATTTGCGGCTGATCCTCTGCCCAGCGATCAGTGGTATCCCCATCCTCACCATGCCACCGCACGGGGCGGCAAATATCACGAGACCAGTCGCGGTAGTAGGACTGGTCCATTTCTGTGTCCCAGGGGCTAGGGAAGCACTAGAAAAGTGAGTGAGAAAGGGTATATTCTAATTGAACCACATTTCTTCATGCTCATGGTTTGACTAACTGATTGGTCCAGGAATCTATTTAGACATCTAGGGTTCACCGTTTTGGACAATTGAGCATACCAAAGGAAGCCAACACTATGCCGTTTTTGGGGGGGCAATAGACCTTCATTTGGTGTTATTCCTAGCTTTGAGCACTGCATCTTGCTATTTGAAACAGGTAAGTGTGAGTGATGTCTTACCCGTACGGCCGATTACTGATCCTAATCGCGCCGGATTAGTACCCAACCGGATCCGATTCGAGCCGACGCATGGTTTAAAATTGCGACCTCCCACATACACCTGAATCATCAATGCACTCTTGAACAGCTCCGAAAATATACAGCGATCGCTCTCGGCAGTTAATTATTTGGCTTCGCTGTCGTCCATCGAGTACCCTCCTTGATTGGTTATGCACAATATTCGGAGTCACGCAGGGAACTAGGAAATTGAGATGTGAAAGAGACAAGCGTGGATGAATTATCAAATGGAAGGCTACCAGGAGCACAAGTTGCCCGAGAAATTCCGAAGGGTCTACCAAGAACGGCGAATCTGTGGTCTCCTTCTGTTGAAAACAAACCATGGCTTGCGAAGTTGAGGGGTTGCAATGCTCACATTCCTTGACAATCCCATGTTTGCAATCCCCATTCCCGAAGCAGCATCCGGACGCCATCCTACGGTTTGACTATAGGGGGGGAAATGGTATTGTAGGACACAGATGTGCTCATCCTCGCCTATTTCACTTTTGGCAGAACCGCGACCTTGCTCAACTATAAACTACAACCATTGAGCTCACCGCGGTGCTTGAGATTTCTGTGGCCACTATCTCCTGACGCTTCTTTTTGCGAAATTATTACAATCACTCTTTGACAAGGATTCTCGTCATGTCGCGGTTGTTGCGAGCGATGAGGTCTTCCCTCTACACTTCATCGATCGAAGCGCTAGTCTTCGGAACGCCGTACATGTCTCAACCTGATATTTTGAGGATGTTCTCGATGGAGACAAACTTTATCAATCACTGGACCACCTGCTTCACCTCGGCGACTGGAGGAAACTTGGCGGACGTTTTAGACTAGACAGTGATGGGAAACTCGAGATCCACGTACCAGAGCAGTTTACATCCGATCGACCATCTATACACTACTCGTACGACAGTCTGCCCATTAGAGCTGCGGAACATCCCCTCGCCAGCAAGATTCCAAAACTTTCATCGCGACCTTCCTTTCACCCAGCAACCGAGGAGTTTCTACTTCCATTGACCGTCAGGCCAGGAATGCCCCATGCTATGGAGGACTATCTTTCGTCCGATGAGCCACTTCTATCTCTTCGCGTCGTCGTATTTCTGGATGCTACTATTGTTTCACTGGCCTGGCCACACGCCGTGATGGACATGGTGGGCATGGCTACGGTGATCCAAGCTTGGTCGTTAGTTTTAGCCGGGAGGGAAGATGAGATCTTGACACTCGACGGCGTTAGAGACGACCCCCTTTACCAAGCTACTTTGAAACCAGCAGCGGAAAGGTTTGCACTTGAGCCATACATGCTGATTGGACTCCGTCTATTTCTATTACTCTCGCGATTTTTGTGTGACATTCTGTTCGGCGGCCTTAGAGAAAATCGAATACTCTACCTGCCGCAAAAGTCTGTACAGAATTTGCATTCTCAGGCGATGTGTGAGATCAACTTCCACAGGGAGGAACCGTTGAGAATCAGTCGCAGCGATGCGATTCTATCGCTCTTCTCAAGGAGCCTAGTCCTGGCACAGAAACAGCCCCTGCTTGTCATCGTCCCCATGGACTTGAGGTCACGGCTCAAGGATATTTTCCTCCCGAGCATGTCTTATCCGCAAAACGCCATCCAGGGCGGCCACTTCACCGTTAATGCGGATGAGATGACTACTAAATCCATTGGGCATCTGGCTTTAGCTTTCCGCCAGAATATCGTTCAGCAGGGGGACGTGAACAACTCCTTGCCATGCTAAGGTGCAATCGAGAGCTTTCGGACTCGGGTGGCGACCCGGCCACCGTGTATGGCCCATCCAATGCTATCATGATGGTGGCGACGAACCTGAACAAAGGAAATCTTCTATCGATACCCAACTTTGCTCCGGCAGTTGTCGGTGAAAGGTGCAGAGGAGAGGCGACGGGGGCTCCTGGAACACCGTCTTTCTTCAATACATCCCATTCGACATTAGCCTGGAGGCGAGGAAATGTTCTCATGAATCTTGGAATAGACCAAGATGGGGGCCAGTGGATTTCGGGGTCGTTCAACACCAGGACATGGAAACATGTTGAAGAGAGTGTGAAGGATCTCTAAGGGGGGATTGGCCATCCCAGTACTCACTCGAACTTGATGTAGGCAACAACTAATTGGATATAGGCCTTCACAAGGGTATCTTTTTATACCTTAGGTCTCGTAATTGTATTCTACTTTCTACTTCTGTTCATTTTGTCCTTGCTGCGTTACTTGCCGCATTAGTCTCATAGAGGCCGACCTTTAATGGGAGGCTTACTTCCTCTACCTAAGTAGGTAGGGTCAATGGGGGGCAAGTGAAAATCAAGGCATGTCTTGAAGCAAAGTCATTAAAATGCTCAACGTGGTATTATTACATATGCTGAAGACCTAGGCACCTGATTTTTGGTGCGGAATTAAGGGGTTGTTCGTTCGAGGAAAGTGCGGCTTCTCACCGCCCAAGCTCCTTCATCCACTTCCCAATATCACCTGCCAGTCCCTCCCCAAGACTGTCGTCATAGATTCCGGCCTGCCAACTAACATCGATGCACAAACCGCCGCGTTCAACGCCCACCGCACTCACACCAAATGCACATCCGGTCACTTCGGAACCCAGACTGAATTGTCCCTGCTCGATCTGCCAGTTTCTTGGCTCACCGTTGGCTGCATTGGCTTCCGCATGGTCGTTCTTCAGTACCCCGATGTTACTTACCAGCCAGGCATACTCCCTTGGCCGCTTGATCCTTTTCTTTTTCTCCGTCTCCCAGTCTGACACATACCTCAATAGGCCCTGCATCTCGTTCTTGAGCCCCCAGCTTAATCTATCCTTGAGCTGCTTTCGGGTGATCTTCGCTGCATCCCAGATCATCACCTCCGTATCTACCATCGTGGCTTCCTCCCTGAGAATCCGATCCCGAATCTTGTCCACATACTTCTCATCGAAATGATGCGGCATTACGCTAACAATATTATGCAGCAGTCCATGCGTCGACACTCCGTCCGGCGTCACTGGCGCGAACCGCCTTAGGTCCAGTGCCGACTGTCCAGTAAATCCAGGGGCCTCCTTCCTTCCCAGCCGGCCAGCGAGCGACACCAAGCACATGGCATGCATGAGAGCAGTGACTGTCGTTTCGTTTTCACGGCAAGTCTTCAGAAGTCGTTGCAGAGTTCCCGCGTCTGCTCTATTCGTCCTGCGGCGCGTTGTGGCTGGGCCGGGCTTCAGGGGCGCCCAGTGTGCTAGCAGTGTGTCACGCATTGCCACTGGTACCGGCCGTTTCTCCTGCCACACCTGTTTGAGTAAGAAGACTCCAGATAAGTTGAAGTCACATAGGACGTTCATGGCGAGTGGGAAGGGTTGACAGTTCTCCGGCCTGAGGTGGATTATTCGGCCTTCAAGCTCTTCTGGTTGAGTGCGTGATATGAGGTGCTTGAGAAGTAGCTCGTGGAAAAGCTTTGCGCCATTACCGTCCGTAATGGTATGATGAAAGATGAAATTGACCTCCACAAAGTCGCCAAGCGATGGTTTACAGATAGCCACGCGCCATCCGGGTACGGTTTCCAGCTCTTTGAACTTTTTGTCAACACCTTCCCTGATGCTGACCTCTTGAGCTTTTTGAAAGTCTTCATCGGCGACTTCTCGAAGCTCTAGATGATTTGCAAGATCGATTTCCTCAACGTGGAGGAAGACACTTCGCGTCGGGGATTCCGTCCGGGTCCCAACTTGTAGCATCGGCTGGTCGAGGACAATCCGAGCAACCGCTCGGTCGAAACAAGCTTGCAGAGCATCGAGTCCAGAAGGCAGGCCGGGGGGTATGGAGTATCTGCAGTTCAAACTCGTCCCTCGATACAGATCTTTCGAGTGCTGGCATTCTAGATAGCTCTCCCTTCGCGGTTTACGGATGAGCATTCGGTTAGGGGCGGATAAGCAAGCCAAGGTCAACTTACAGATGCCCGAGTTTTCTGAGGACCCTCGGGTGCCCGGTATCTGATTTCGTCTTCATGGCGGACGATGAGTGTAGATGAAAGTAAGAAATCCGAGAAAACCCGCCGCAAATCTGCTGGTTTTATAATACAAGCTTACTGAGACTTACTAGGGACCCCTGCAGATGCAAATGCCGAAACCGAATAATACCGTACCCAGCTTCTCCAAGCAAACTCTGTTCTTACGCCGTCTTGCTCCCATCTGGTATGGTGCTAACGCGATGCCTGCTTGTCTCATTTCGTGTCCCATTGTAATAGGCATAAGGGGAGGGCTTAAAATGAAACCAGCTTCCGGCATTGGCTTCAGCATGCGTCCCATGGCGAATAAGCTCAACCAAGGAGTCATGATCCTTGCAGGGTTCGGGCGTTCAGGTCATGCCCTTGCTAGGTCTTACTTTTATTATATTAAGTGCGCCCATTCGGATGGTTTCTCAGCAAAGTGTCCGGCTGGTGGAGTCGTAGACGGTTCCTGGTTTTACTTGGCTTGGCTTGGCGGCTCACGTACGCACTTCATGTGTCTTGGAAAGTAGTGTCACGAAACCAGGTGGTGGGTATTCTTAGAAATCACTTAAAAGACTATTATACATTCCCCCGGAAAAGCACAACGTCAAAAACCCCTGCCCCTCTTCTATTCGAACTTCTGGATGCTACTTGGTAGCATCCCGTCTCACTTCTTGTTGCCGTTGGTGGTGGCCTAGGCGGGGGCGAGTTTGGCCCTCTCGGCGGCGATGAACTCGGCGAGAGACTCGCCCGGGGGGAGGTTGAGAGCGCTCCAGTGGTCCTCCTCGGGACCCTGGGCCATCCAGCGCCGGATGGCAAGGCCACGGTCGGCCTCGAACAGGCCGAGGACGGCGGTGGTGCTTACATCCCTGCAGTGGTCCCAAAAAGTTAGCTTCAGATGCGTCGATGGCATGAACTCGGATGCCAACTTACCGCGGGAGGATGTGGATCTGGGTTTGGCCTGTTGAGGCCGACTTCACGTGACGAGTGGATGGCATCGTCATGGTGGTGGTGGTGTTGGTGGTGTTGGTGGTGTTGGTGTTGGTGATGGTGGTGGTTGTGGTGATGGTGGTGGTGGTGGTTGTGGTTGTGGTTGTGGTGGTGTTGGTGGTGTTGGTGTTGGTGATGGTGGTGGTTGTGGTGATGGTGGTGGTTGTGGTTGTGGTTGTGGTGGTGAGGCTTTGTTGGTTGACTTCGAGAGAAGTTGGGGGGGGGGAAGGGGGAGGGGGAGGGGACTCGAGAAGTGGGCGGCCGGGTACGAGGGAACCTGACGATTCTACGTGTCTCTATCAAAGGGAATGGCCGCCAGCAGCTGACACGGCAGGCTGCATTGTTTACTATCACACGACCCAGGCGGTCACCGTTTGCCGGGGCCTTTCACTCACAGCCAACATTGTGTCAATAACCTGGGACCTGTTTTGAAAATCTGTCACAATAGGAAAATTGGAAGGAAAACACAGCATTTTGAAGCATATTTTGGCCTCGTAATGCTGGGACTTTGACTATTCTGTATCCCTGGGACCAGTTTTGGGAGGCTTCCTATGTAATGGCAGCGAATTAATGGGCCGTCCTCAGTTAGACATTGTAGCCCTACTGCAGACGCTCAGCGCCCTCGTCATTTTGCCCTCCCATATTCACAGTGTAGTTTCGGACCACCACAGAAGGAAGTGAAATATTTTGCTGGTAAGTAGGATTGCGGCATTGTCAAAGGTACCTATATGGCCATGAATATCACAGTCTATGGCCACTCACCATCCATTTTCTCCAGATACAATGAGAGTTAATAATAATCATAAATATAAATTATTGGTCATTTTAAAGTAATCCATCTCTCTTTTGCTCGGGAGTAATGGACATCTGGACACTCGTGGGATAAGGCGAGCCCAAAACATTTTTCGAATGCACGATTTCTCAGAACGACAGAAACTTGTAAATACGACCCCCTTATTAACATAGAGTAGCTACCCTCTCAAGCAATGGCAGCTACTAGAGGTAAGATCAAACCAGACGATGCCATCCATTTTTTTGCCCTGCGGACGAGAGTTGTAGATGTGTCAACGCCATTTAGTGAATGATCACCCCAGTTCTTGATTCACGGACCATGCCCAGTAACCCAATCATGACAGCTACAGGAGAGAGAAGGCAGTGGACCAACTATGGAAAGTACCCAATGGTTGAGTGAGTCACAAGTTGAGGGAGAAGGCACTGATCACGCCTTAATGGTTTGGACAGGTACGTACTTGCAGGGCAGGGAATATCCTGCACAAGACTGAGGCACCTACTATGATGATTACTTGGATCAGAACTGGAAAGAATGTGACTCACAAGTTCCAGCAAGAAGTAGCCCGGAAAAGATCTTGGGATGGGGACGCTCCTGTTGCTACAGAGCATGATAAGGGGAAGACGGCTCCAGGGGACATGGACAAACGGGGGAAGGAGAAGGATAACAAGGATGAGGGGAAGGACTCGCTGAGAAAGACGAGCCTACCTAGCCCCGAAAAGCCCGAGGCGACATGTACTTATCGCTACGGTGGTCACAAGCACCTGACTCAGCAAGGCCGACGGGGAATTTCTGACAACCTCCAACCCTGCCTGGTTTCTGCAGCTTGCAGTACCCCAGAAAGAGGAACGTCACAGGACTACTATTAAAACTCCACAGGCAGCGTTCTCATCCTCAAAGGCTCAAAAGGGCTTGGACTTCTCTGTAGCCCATGGGTAACTCGTTTCTTGCGGCCTTTGACACAGGCACCGAGGCCAGGGGCTACAGGTATGGACCTGCCCCTGGAGGATGGTCAGAGCAGTCACTGTAGGTAGCTGTCGCCGTGAAGCTGCAATTCTATGAGATGCGTGCTTCCGTTCTGTTCATCTCTCGACCTAGAATTCAGAGTGGGCAGGGCGACCGAACATCAGAAGTGATGCAATATGCCCATCTAAGTGCTCACAGCTCACCAGTCCCAGCTGCCGTGCGAACCCAGGGCTGTTGGGGTAATTTGACTGTATAGCCACGCTGGATGTCTCTCACATGTGCTGGGAGAGCAGCTGTGAACATGGTGTTATCCGGTCCTTGCTCCCCTAAAGAGAAAAGGGGCAGCAGCTACGCAGGGCATTGTCTTGGCCGTTGTCACTTCCAAAAAGCTGCCTATCTCCAACCACGGGAAGGATTGAGTCGGTTGGCTGAGGCTTGCTCATCATGTTTGTTTACTTATGTTCTGTATCGTAAATATCTTCCATCTCCCAACTATCCATCCACTTATCCTTAACACATAACCATCTCAACTCCAGAGTGCACTCAGCACAAAACGTTATATATACTATATAACCCCCCCCTGGCCCTCCCATACGATTTGTGCCTTGGGGAGGGCCGGGGAACAATCAAAGTAGGCCCATCTTCATTCTGCCTTGGCATCTGGATGCAGAGTCTGACAAAATCACAGACAATCGATTCTCGCAATATCGTTACCATCATTATCGGTATCATTATCACCATTACCGGCATTCTTACCATCATTATTGGTATTTTTATTATCAATAAACAACATGACTTCCCACAAGGTTGCCACTTTGTTGGCAGCCCGGCACTGCAATCAGTCAGCATGAATGGCACAAAAGGTTTATCATCATTATGGATATCATTGCCGCGACCAAGATGTCCATCATTATCGGTATCATTAGCGATACCACCATCATTGTCAGTATAACATTTCCGGCAAAATTCACCCCTTTACTGGTACTGCCATCAGCTAACGCGAGTAGCATAAAAGATTTATCATCAATACCGGCATCCTTACCGCGACCGACACCTCCATTTCTCCATTCATCATTACCAGCGTCATTAACGGCATCACTATCGGTATTTTAGTCATGGCCCCTCCGCGTGCTCGGGCACAAGACTCAATACATGGTGAGCTTTATTCATTTCGGTCTCGCATGATGTGTACCCAGGAGCTGACAGGGCTGTAGAAACGATCATTCTAGCATGATGTCCCGTTTGTCATCATCATTATCAACAAGACATCATTAACAATATCCATGATTATGATTATGAGAATCATTATCAATATTGCTATCAGCTCACACTCTTGGTGTAAGACTCCAAATTCCTCTGTTGTGTTTGAGTGGCTGTTGCCCGGCCCCAATCGCCTGCCTCACCACGCAATTGTATCTTTATCTGCCAGCCTTCAAGAATTTCGTGAGTGCTTCCAATCCCATTGTTTCCTCGATAGGCTTTACTGACTAATGTATTATATGATAGTCAGTGATCGAGATATTAGTATCGATATCTTTACACAATTGGAGGCGACTTGCAAGATCAGCATTGGACTCGCATTCGGACTCTTCGTTGTTGCAAGGCATGTTTAGTAGCCCATCTAGTTTTCAACTTATTGTATGATTCCAAAATAATTGTGTCAAGGTGGTTACATCACATGTGGTCCAGGAGACCGTCCATTTATGTAAAGTAGTTAGCTGGATCAATCGAATATTAATCGAACCAATCTCCCGTTTCACTTATAGCATCACGGGTCGGTTACCCCCAGCATACTGACCAAGCCTTCGCCAGCTACCATTCCTTGAAGAAAGAATGACTATGAACGAGATTGAAATTGTTAACTACGATCTAATGTATATGATATGATATTCTCCATCACAATCTCTCGAGAAGGAGAAGCGCTGGGTGAAGAGAGGTGGGAAGAGCCATTTCTCTACACCGAAAAGGGGCGATGAGCACAGTAGGACCGTTTACCCAGAGAACGCAATCTCCTCATCCCTATGCGAGCCAGCAGCATCAAGAAAGAGAATGATTGGGCTGCCGTGAAGCGGAATAAGTGGACGGCTGACTAGAAAAGGGGTCAAGTTTTCGTCAACATAGATTCGAGAACCTCACTCTCTACTCATATTTTCTCAAGCAAGACAGATGAATCAGAAGCTCTCACACGGGCGTTGATTCTATGCATATCTCCCATTGATTTGCAAAAGTACCCAATACACTATCAACTCTAATCGGATACCCGGGTCAGAAACACAATTTATCCTGAGCATCCAAGGGAAGGTTTCTTTGATGTTACCATAGGTCTGGTTGCTCTTCTATAGGCCAAGCCCTTTCTCGTACGCTTTCCACTTGTCACCAATGGGCTGTATCAGAGTATATGCAGCCGGGCTGTCAAACTCCTGGACACCGTTCAAGAGATACAACGGTGTCATTTCTCCATCCTCGCTGAAGAAAAGCTTCGGCCTTTCTCGTCTGTAATACGTTATCTCCCCGCCGTCCGTAAACTGAACCGTCGTGTTGTAAGTCAGCGTTAGATTTTCGTATTTCCACGGCCCGCGCCAGTGCCTTGCAAAAGCGTGGGCCCCAACCCGCGGACCCTTGAGCCCCAGCGGGATATCGACCATATGATGTACAAGGAAATGCCAGTGCCCGCGCTTATCCCTCCACAGAAACGGGTCTTCGCTGCGGAGTGAGGGGTCGATCTCGATGTTTGCGGGCTCGACGGTGAGGTTATAGGGGCCGGCATACCCTGTGGGGCTATAGTATATATTGTTCTTCTCCGCCGCGAGGAGCATTTCTCCCGTCGGGTCCTTGGGCGTCCACAGAGGCCACGCGGTGGGGTTCGTAACGTTGACGACCAGCGGGATCTGTTCGGTCCATGTCTTTAAATCGGGAGAAGTAGAGACAGAGATGGTATTGTTCGTCTTCTTGGAGCCGCACGACGTGGGAGTCTCCCAGTCCTGCCCAATGAAGTGAATGAGGTACTTTTCCTCGTACGGACTCCAGACGACTGTTGGGTTGTGTCGGAAGGTGTCGAAGAGATCCTGTGCCCAGGTGAAGGGGCCTCGAGGCCCGGTTCTCGATTCCGCTCGAATGACTTTACTGAAGGGCCGCCATGCCGAAAGACCACAGCCGTGTGTGAACTGCGAAATGATGAGGTGGAATAGGGAGGGATCGTCGCGGTCGTGGATGATTTGGCCACCCCAGGAGGAATTGCCAGCCCCTTCCCGATAAAAGTCAGGGAGCGAGATGTTGGTGTAATTGTACCCTGTCCAGCGATCAACGGGCTTCAGATCAAGCTCACCACAATTGTATCCACGCCATCCCGGGTCGCAGATGCAGGTGTGGTTGCAGGAGCAAATGCCGTTGAGGCTGCAGTCTTCCATACTCTGGCAGCTGGTGGCAAGAACCCCGGCCACAAGGAGGCTTGCCACCACTGCGCAGCCGTTTAAAACGGTTGGAATCCGCATGACGTCAGAACAATACCGCGTTGTCCCTCCACGCGGATTGATAAGATATGAAGATTTGCTGGTATCAATTTCTTTCACAATTATTTGTACTACTGGTGATTCATACGAAGGATCCGGCTAATTATGAAGATGGTGTAGGCGTCTGCCCGGATGATTTCCAAGACCCCGGAAGAATCCAGTTCGGAGTATTTCAACCGCGAGACCCGAGGAAGCTTCCACGGCCGATAGCTTCGGCTTAGGCTCTCCGAGGCCATCATCGATTCGACGGATAGAGAGAGGCATTGTGTATTGTTGACACGAATACAAGGATAGAAACTATGATGACGGGAATGATGATATCGTTAGAGACTGCTATCATTGTGATAATAGGATCCATGTATAAGAGGGTTTGGAGATTTTGTAATGGGAGTTCGTCCCAGTGGCTAGCGAGCCTTGCTCAAGCTTGTTGGTTTTTTATTTCTGGTCTACAGAGCACTACTCAAATTTGACACTGATGGGTTCCATTTTCCCAAGGTGGCACCAAATCTTCTTGCTTATCTTTTTCATCCAAATAAACCAAATATACAAGTCGGATGGACAGGAACTTTGGTTGAACCTAACTTTCCAGTCTCTTCTACAATTTTTATCTCTTCTTTCCCAGTTCAATCTAGATCCTCAAACCTGGAGGCGATCCATTGTAGATCCCGGGTTTTATTACAATATCATGTTCCCCTTGTCCTGGTGCTCGAAGGAGAAGAGCTTGAAACCCCAGTCGCAGTTCACCACTAGTGACTTTATACGACTCAGGGAGATTAGGGTTTGTGCTACCGAGGCTCCTTTAGGTGGTAATAGCCTGCGTGAGCCGCGGCTCTAACTGAGATATAGATGGTGTAGTGGTTGCTCCAACTCGTACTAGATGTCGATGTTCTTGCAAAGAGGTTGCGTTTTCAGTGGAGAACGAAGCAGTGGTATCCTTACTGGACAAACGCGGCTTTCAGGCCCATTTTCCGTTGTTCGTCTTGGGGTTCTCGACCCCGTCCCTTATTTCCCGTTTCGGCAATGACTTGTGTAGGTTGTGGGTTCAAATGAGAAATCGCTCGCGTAGTCGTAGCTCCAGTTCGTCTAGGCTGTGGACGTTCTTGCCACTTTTCGATGATCATGCTGCTTGATGGGCGATCTGCCTTGACGAGAAGAGCAATGCCCTTAGCTCTGCGGGACGAGCTGAAGTTGTCGGAAGGGCAACGAATCATTTCACGAATCGGGTTTCTGGAAGCCTAGCATTCGCCAAACTTTTCCCACGTTTCGAGATTTTTAAGCATGCCAGCTTTCTAGAAGATTCAAAATCTGTTGCGGTCTTTTCCCGGACACTCCGTTGAGCAGGGCCTGGGAGTATAGCATGAGATGCTTGGAGTCCCTTAGGCCGACGTGTCTTTTTCATTCAGATACATGGTCCAGCATCTAGCGATGCTCCCAGGAAGCTCATGACAGATAGAGCGGATATCGACATCATCTCGGAGAATGATATGGAAGTTCTTTTCTGCTCCAGAACGGCTTGAACCAAGGACCAGGGAACCGTCGTCGCATACAAATGCCTAGTCCTAGTAATTTCGAATTTATTAGCCGATAAGAATTTCTAGAGTATTTGAGAGGATACCATAAACTGATCATAGCGCTGCTTCTTACCATGAGGTGGCATCTGCTCGACAAGCCCTACCTAAGTCCTACTCCCGTTCCGTCTTTCTGTCGACGGAGGAAATTTTGTCCTTGCAAAATTTCGCGGTATGGCCGAGATAATCGACCTTGGTGCGGGTCTCTTCAAAGGCTGTTCGGAGCCCAGCCACTTCCACGTCTTGACTGTTAAACTTGACCATTACTGCGTCCGAATCAGCTTTGGTCTCGCTATGCATTCGATATGCCTCCACGCGGTTTGCCAAGTGGGATGGAACGTTGGCTTTTGGTTCAATTCTGCCGGAGACCATTAGTCCCATGTACATCGCCCATTTCCTCAGCTTGTCCTTGTTTTCACGGCAGAACTCGAAATTCTGACTCCTTGATCAAGTTGATTTCCGAATTCAGCGAGAGTTGATCTGGGTGTTCGGGATTTCCGACTTTGGAAAGAAAGCCGTGCTTGGCCAGGACTGCCTCCCTGGCTATCACGACGTCCTCGTGCCCAAGAATGCCAGCATCGTGGCAATCTGTCCATTGAAAGAGCGTGGGTCTATTAACGGAAAGGTAATGATTCTCCAGACTTCGAGCAACCGTCGGTTAATTCAATGATTGGTGAAGCTACCAGGTGTATGAGCTTCTACTTGAAGGTGACATCACGAGCCGCCTTCTAACGCTTGGTTGACACATGTTGCGAGCACGAGAGTAGACGATTGAATGAAAGGAAGATCGGGAGAGAGAGAGAGAAAGAGAGAGCTGAGGCTGAAGAGAGAAGAATCCAACCCTTATCCTGGATGGGGCATGGTGTGTGTCGAAGGCTGCGGATGTGTCAGTGTAAGTGCTCTGCCTAATAGGCTCCTAGTACTCACTGGGTCTGTTGGTATCTGAAAAGCCTCGAGCTTGGAGTATTGAAGTGCTTAGATTGGTGTAAGACGAGAAGCCAGGTGAAAGAGGGTATGCTTTATAGTCATTCGACGAGTGGCTCGTCCCGATGGCAAGTGAGTCATCAGTATGAAGGTTTATAGACTTTTCCTTCCGCATGACTGCAGCCTTGGGCTAGCGAAGCTTTTTTTACCTTTCGTATTCATTGTGTTGAGATGTCGGGCCTGGAATCTTCCATTGTTGTTTAACTTTATACTCGAACTCTCTTCCGCATCCTGGAAGGGGGGCTTTCTTTATAGGTCTGGCTGACTCTCGAGATCACTCAGATCAGTAACCCTTCCATTTGATGCATTATGCCGATTCAAGGCACATTTCCCCAGCACCTCGGGCCAGTCCCCCAAAATTGTGAGGAAAGGCCAAGCGTTATGTTCGATGGTTAAAGGAGCAGACCAGTTGAGATTAACTTAGCATCTTCAATACAATCTTCCTACTGTGAACGTAATCAATTGAGCGTTTTGAAGAGATTTTTTGTGTTGTATTTCTCATGTGCTCACCTGAAGACGTGGCTACTGGAACCTCGTGGCTCGAATCTTGTAGCCTTCGGCAGTGAAGTACCTAGGGGACTGGGTTTTGGGTTTCTAAGGCTTCAAATTGTTAACATCTCTAGGTTATTCCAATTTGCCAGCAGCTCGGGTCGTCGTGACCATTGACCGACGGCATGGTATGGAAAAATATGTGCAGCAAGTAATAGAGTGTGAGAGCTATGCGGGTTGTACAGCAGCTGTTGAAAAAAGCAAAGGGGGGAGCCTACCCGAACACCAAGAAACCGACAGAATTGATGTTATACCCAGCATCACAGCATTGCAATTTGCCCGTCATACCCAAGGTTCAACGCCAACAAATGGCTCGTGCCCGGCATGATGACTGTTTCGTCGGCATGACTCTTTCGAGTAGGTAGATGCAGTAAGAAAAAGAGGTAAAAGATTAAGTAGTTTCATACCAACCTCGACTATCATACTTTGGAAAGAACATGCCTCGATGCGCTCTGTGCCTTCCGTACCAGAAGGTGGTGATCACGATGGAATGTCTGCCTCAGGCATTTATTGGAAGCAACCGAAGTTTGTAAGGAGAAGTAGCAGGTGGGGCGAAAACGGTGACGCGGGCCGATAGACCGATTCCAAACTGTGCCTAACCTATAGGATCTGTCCCGCCTCGTCAGAAACACCACGCACGTCGTCGATGTTGCAGGCCAATACTTCATTCTGTCTCGAGCTCGGGTGAATGAGCAGGTACAATTCACCACAACGAAATTTCCGACACTGATTGGCATTCGACCACAAATAAATACCGAGATATGCGTACACCACAGCGACTTCAAGGAACCGACAGGATGATGATGGCGGAGTCGCAGTCGAAAGATGTCGACGATGCCCTTGCTCGACAATCGCAGGGTGATTACCTCCCGACAGGCCAATATCTTGCATGACAATGTAAGCCTATCATCTCCCTGCAGATCTTGATTAATCATCTAACCGGGAGGTTCTTTCAAGGCCAAGAACTCATCCCGACTTCACTCATTTTCTCGCTTGACAACGATCTGATACATCGTCCCATAATGCGTCTCTTCAATGCGAGAACCTTGAATTCTGAATTATACCCAGACCCCAAGACGCGACCCGACTATGCGATCTTATCCCATTGATACACAGGAAGGCGAGCAGGTCGCTTTTCAAGAGTTCCAACAGCCCACACGAGCCATCCGGATCAAGGCAGGCTATATACGAAAATCAAATTGGCATGCGAACAAGCAATCAAGCCTGGCTTGCAGTACGCTTGGGCTGATACCTGCTGCATAGACAAGTTAAGCAGCACCGAGCTGTCGGAGGTCATCAACTCCATGTTTCGATGGTACGAGAAGAGCAAGGTTTGCTTTGAATTTCTCATCGATGTGCAGCCAGGCGTCGATGCATACGATCTCGACTCGGCTTTTGCGACTTCGCAATGATTTGATCGAGGCTGGACGTTACAGGAGCTTGTTGCTGAAACGGATCGACTTTTCCAATATCGGCTGGGGACATATTGGCAGTCGTGACGAGTCAGCCGCCCCCATACAAAGAATCACATCAATAAATGAGTTCTATCTCGTTGATCACCCTCGGTGGCCGTCTAGGCAACATCTACTTTGCACAGCTAGTGTCGCGGACATAATGAGTTGGGCTGCTAGACGGACGACAGCCAGAGAGGAGGATGCTGCCTACTGTATGTTTGGTAGATTTCATATCAGCATACCACTGGTACCTGGGGAAGGTGCTCGGGCCTTCTAGAGGATTTAAGAGGAGATCTTAAAACATTCATTCGACCCGTCTCTTCTTGCATGGAATTTGGATACCAGGAATGCACCACTCGGCCCCGAAGCGAAGGACAGCCAGTCAACACATCGTTCGATGCTCCGGATGTTTATGGGCTTGCAGCACCCTTGGTACGCAAATACGCTTCAGACGTGGGACGGCTGTTAACGAAAGAGCTTGCTAGCTCCTAGTCTTCAAAGCTTTCGGGATTCCGGGGACATCGAATCAGCAAGAATTACCGGGGATTGGAGAACTACAACCGAAGGAGTGAGCATTCTATTTCCTAAATCGGATGACAGGTACCCCTATATCCTATTACCATGCCGCCAAAAGCCACACCATGGGCGCTTCTTGCTATACCGGTTGTTTTCGACAGCAAAGGCCAGACTTATGCCAGGTCTTCCCGTGGTAAACTGACATCGATTGCCCCTCAAACGAATCACCCTTTTTGTTGGCACAAATTTGAATCGCGGCAATTCACCACGATACTCAGGGGGCAAAGTGCTGCTTCGACGTCTTCCAGAAAATCTTAGACTCTTGGAATATAGCATTTTTCGGAAATTGGAAGGTTTGGCCCAGGACCGAAACAAAATCTCAAGTACTCTTATCATTAATCCTACCCGGATCTGGATTTCAGATCATAGCTGTTTCTTTTCATAACGAGGCTACCGGGAAAATGCTTACCGTCATCCTGGGATTTAGTGCTAAGAATGATAGCCTCAGCACTCCTCAACTTACGTCACCAGATACCTCAACACCGTGGCTCAATTGTTCCAATGTGGACTCCTATAATCTTTTTGGGATGTCGAAGACTGATATTTCCAATTTCGTGGAAGATTTTAGAGGTAGTAACAATGACGCGGGACTGAATCCAATTCTTCTTACCAACGGTCACTCGAAAACACATCATAACGGACCCCTTGGTGTGAAAACGATAGGACTCTTACCAAATGAATTATCGACAGATACCCTTCTAGCTGTCAATGTGGCACAGGATTTGTTGCTAGACCGTCCCTGTCTATGACGTGCGGATCACTCAAGCCGAGGAACGTTTTTTAGGACCCAATCCGTCACATACTCGGCTTCGCATGGACCTTTATACAAATGAAGCTCAGTGACTGGATGTACTGGATAGGCGACATTGATCCACTATTTTCGTGGACCTTGTTTATCATCACCATATACAGCATATCTGAAGAATTCATCGAATATCTCTCCGATACACCGAGCATCTACTGACATTTGTGTGTTTCCCTTGGAATCCGATCACCATCAGAGTTCACGAGCATCCTTCTACCATGGAACTTTGCGCTTGACATCTAATCGAGTTTCTGAAGTCAAATTATATAATGCTCTTTTATGTCCCCGGTTTCCAATTCGGAGCCACTACGTCCGAGCAAATAATTCCGGCTCGTGCCTTGCTTCGTCCCCCTTAGCTTGGCTTCTTTCCCTACACCAAGTATCGCATAATTCTCCCTTTCTTGACATTCATAAGCGAATGAAATTAGGAACTCTATCTACCATGATTTCTACGCGCAACGGCTTGGACTTAGTGGCAGGTAATGTTTGGAGTAGCTGAGGCGGAAGTCAATCCAGTCATGCGAATATTAGCAATTCTGTACGTGGCAAAGACTCTCTACTGTGTTAGTACATTTACATTCTCCTCCCCAGAAAGGCGACGTCACATTAAACCAGATGCCCCTGTTGCGTTCAAGAACAACAGCATCCAGCGACAGAGAGGGTGGTCAGCTCATTGGTACGTTATCAAATATAACGCTGCACCAACTAACCAGGGTCTCGCCGAGTCTTCGAAGCGCTGTTTGGGGCACCTCTATCATTCGATATCGTCTAAATTGTCTCAAAAATATATTTGAGACGAATGAAGACGATAAGAACACCACTTTTTCTTCCAAATCTGTTCTATGTCTTTACGATACGTCGATGCGTGCCTTTCTGGCCAACACCCTTGCACGCCAAGCAGCCGCCGATAGAAAGAGCTACAATGATGCAGGAAACTCTCTTAGGAATGATTACTTAGCCAGTGGTGCTAGTGTGATATGTAGCGTAACGCTGACCAAGCAAATCTTTTCCATCCCCATGAGTTGATGTGTTTTCATTGACTACTCTTCTAGGTAGGATGACCGACCAATATCACACCAACACGTTCTATTACTACCTTGGAGGGGGGCCCAAGTACTAAAAGCTGACATATGGCTTGGCGTGCATCAAGAGAAAGAACCACTTTGCCCGGGGCTCTCAGGGTGGTAGCTAGAGTGGAGAAAATGCTGTCTTACATCGTTAATCTCGACCTCCCAGAACACTTATAGATCTTCTCATGCCGCGACCTACGTATTCATACATTACTTTTAGACACCACAGTTAGGGATTCCTGAACTCTGATATACACCATAAATCAGAAGCAGCCTTGGCTACCTTATCAGCATCGAAGAATTCCTCAATGTCTTCATCTTCTATACTAAGTCTTGAGGGCGCTTGGGCCTACATCTCACTCAGTAACGCACTTCTTCTCCTTGCATTATGGCTCGGACACCGAGTGGTCCTCGCGCTTTACAATATCTCTCCACTTCATCCCCTCTACAGTATACCTGGACCTAAGATGGCCGCGGCTTCGTATCTGTATGAGGCATGGTACGACTTAATCAAGGTGGGAAAATACACCTGGGAGATCAAAGCTATGCACGAGAAATACGGTATGTAATTACAGGGAAAGACCCTTGGGAAAAGAGTTCTAAACCTTGCAAGGGCCAATTGTACGCATAAACCCGGATGAGGTTCACTGCGATGACTACGGCTTTGTCGAAGAGATTTATCCCTCCGTTGGTAACCGCATACGTGACAAGCAGCCTCATTTTCTTGCAGCATTCGCTGGACCACTTACCGAATCTTCATTTGCAACCCGATACCATGAAGTATGTATTCTTGAATCAAACCTCGCCGTTTCATAGTTGACAAAGGTTGAAGACCCATCGTATCCGAAGAGGCGCTATCAGCAAGTTCTTCTCTCGACAGGGGATGCTCAGGTATGAGCCAGAGGTTCACGAACTGGCGCAAAAAATGTGCAGTAAACTTTTGAGATTAACAGAATCGGGCCAAATTATGAATCTCGCGGACCCCTTTAATTGCTTCACAGCGGATACGATTTCTCAGTACTGCTTTGGAGAGCCTTTTGGTTGTCCTCACCTGAAACCCATTGATAATCGCATCATACAGGCAGCTAACGGTCAAATATTGCAGGATTTCTCGATAGACCTGATTTTGAGCGGAGTTTCAAGAAGGCATTTCAAACTATTGTCAACACTAGCCATGTCTTCCGTCATTTTCCAATCCTGCGGCACCTGATCGGCCTAATGCCTGCAATTGGCCCGTACCTGGGATCTGATATTGCCTTCATGGTCGAGTCCATGACCAAGACGATCCCTAACCACATCATCCGAGCGCAGCAACAAAAGTCTACCAGCAGCCCGCGCATCTTTACCGAGATTATGAATGCTCCAATACCGGAAGAGGAAAAGACTATTTATCGCCTTTCTGGCGAGGGCTGGTCCTTGATTACCGCTGGCTCCGAGACCACTGCTGTAAGCAAATACGGCATCCCCGGCTGCATAGCTTACTGACGAATACTTAGTCTACACTATGCGCCATCACATACTTTCTCTTATCTCAGCCCGAGAAGCTCGCACGTCTGAGGGAGGAGCTCAAAAATGAAGATCCTCACAGGCTCAGCTGGGTTCAGTTGGAGAAGTATCCATACCTTCATGGAGTCATATTTGAAACACTGCGCGTCGCCATGGGCGTTACTGTCCGCACTACGCGCATTGCCCGTGAGGAAGACCTCGTATACAACAACCGGGGATTTAGCTACGTCATACCTCGAGGAGCTACGATGGGGATGAGCGCTTTCATCAACCACAACAACCAGGAAATCTTTCCTGAACCAGATAAATTCGAACCGGAGAGATGGATCACTGCGCAGGGAAAGCCGGACCATGGGATGGAGAAGTACATCCTATCCTTTTCTAAGGGATCGCGCCAATGTATTGGCATGAAGTGAGTACGCATAACAATGGTTATCAGCTAATTTTGCTAACTGGACGAATAGCCTTGTGTTCTGTGAGATATACCTAGTCACAGCAGTTATGGTCCTCCGAGTTTTACCATATCTGAAGCTTCATGACACTGTTTATGAGGATATCAAGTATGATCATGACGCTGTCATTCCACTACCAAAGAAAGGAGCTCGTGGGGTTAGGGTTACAGCTATAGATGCGCATTCAAATTGAAAGCAGGATCAGGTTGGCCTGGCGCATTGATCTAGCTAGGTCAGGTTCATGTCAAATATACGAAATCTTTAGCAGCTGCAGAAGTGTTTTCAATATCACCAAGTGACGTCTCTTGTCGAGTCCTTCTTGTTCAAAGTAACGCTGACTCTTTCATTGTGTTGTCATTAGTCCTAGAGCTTGCGACCAGCATATCGATGCGAGTACATGGAGAGGCTAAATTAGAAGAGGAGTTGCAAAATGGAATTAAACCAGAGTGGGAGGTGAAAGTCGCAACCGACCATCCCTTAGCGGCCAACATTATTATTAGGAACAAGGCGACAACCATCGATAAAGGGTACCACGCCTATAGTGGATGAATGGCCTGTAAGGATGACTGGTTGTTTCCGGCAGGAATTGATCATCGCTCGCTGCTTTCTGCAGGTCCACACGAGGCAGGCAACCTCCGATTCCATTGCGAGGTATCCTTTTTCTCCGGGTTTGATCTTACGGCTGAGAAACATAATTGGTTGGATATCTTTGATAGGTAAGACGTTTTCCGTCCCATTCATCTGATGCCAGATGGAAGATGAACACACCCATACCCTGCTTGCTGGAATCCGGTTTGGAATAGTGTTTTTGCTGGGTCATGGACCGATTGTTGCATCCACACTGAGCGTACGCATGTGCGTACATCGATGATATTCTAATTTTCAGCAATTCATTCGAAGAACATTGCCAACACGTGGAAAAAATATTGTCAACCTTTCAAGAAATCGGACTCGCGTTGTCACCTCATAAATCATTCTGTTGCTATCCTTCAGTCACACTTCTTAGTTTTAAGGTCGATGCTTTGGGCATGGCCACAACGGAGGACCGAACCGCAGCAATAGCGAAGGAGGTATGCTGCAATTCCAGATGGAAGTACGCCATCACCTGGCTGTGGTGGGGTCGAGGGATGCCAATTGCGTGAGAATAACTTCGGATCAGATTGATGACCTCGAAATTTAAGCACTCCAGGTCGTAAACGAACCATTATCTCGCGCTAGAATAAATACATCCAGAAATAAAAGGTACTGTTGAAAGAGAAATGTTCGACGGTGACTGTTCAGTGCTCTTGTTCGCTAAGCTGTTGGTGACAAGCTCACTCCAGCAAATATGGCACTGGAACGGCTCACTGCAATAAAGGAATATGATGTTGAAATCAAAACACCTAGAGGAAGTATGTTTACGTAAATATTGTACGTAGTTGCAATCAGATCTGTACTCCCAGGTATTGGTGCCCCAATTGCAGCTGTTGACGGACCGTTGGGAGGGTGGGCCGACCTCCTAGACAATTCCTGGCTGTATTTACGCGTATCGAATTGTTTACGGCTCGCTTCCCGCTCCCAAATAGTTCCATTCTCCATTCAGGCACCAGAGGCTGAAAATAAAATGTAATGGCGTATTTCAGTGAACTGGACCGCAGTAGACACCAGCCAATGTGATGACCATTTGCATATGTAAGAATATGTCTCCCAGGATAGACAACGTAGGGTTGAATAACGGCATGAGTCTCCATTTTGAGAACAATAAAATCTATAGCAAGTTACTGGCCACAAGGGCATGTGCTAGAGTTACTTATCTTGCTACGGACGGTGCACGGCTGCTGTCGACTGGTGCCACCGTGCCCTAGGAACTTGGCAAGTCCCCAACGTAGTTGTAATTTCAGGGCATCCTGGGTGCTTCTCAGTAAATAACAGTGCGTAGAAACACGACTTGGTATGCCGGGTCGCTGGTCTGTCGGGGGATTGGTTATCTCTTATCCTGCAGGCGAAGTGAGGACTGCCCTCGCCCATGTCCCCTCCCCAGAAACAAGTACGACGCACCATCCCTCCCTGTCCCAAGTTTCTGTTCGGCCACAACATTCTTCCAAAATGTTAATGACACGGAAGAAGATCCTCGATAGCGTACCACGCTATCGAGCCGTCCTGTAAGTAACTTGCCTTTCGTCCTCTATTCTAAACCTCATGATGACTAACGCCTCATTCTACCTGGTAGGCAAGACGAGCCGGAGTATTTTTCGGTTGGGCACGACATCGGGATCCCCTTCCTGATGACGGACCAACTGAAGAATGACAAGGATGTGGCCGTTCTCGCCTGCGGCATCGGGGATGCCAGGCTCCTCTATGCCACCATCGTCCTTGGGGCGATGCTGGCCCCCAAGTCCACGAGCAAGAAGTACCACTTCACGCTCGTGGACTTGAAGCCCGCCGTCTTTGCTCGCGATCTGCTCGTCTTCCACATGCTAGTGGCAATGCGGAGCCAGGACGACGAGAAGCGGGAGGAAACAAGCTGGGCAATAGCCTACGTGTTTGCCGGCCAGGTCATGCCGCCCTGGGCTTCTGAGACCGTCCATGAGAGCATGTTGGCCCTCATCACCGCGTTAGAAGATGTGTCCAACAACGTTATGGACATGTTTTATGTTTCTGAACCTGCCCGCGAGAAAATCATCCATGTCCTAAAGCAGTGGCGAGAGCCTCCTGAGGAGACATACACGGTTGCTGCCATCCGACGAATGATGGTAGAGCAGTCAGACGCCAACGATGAAGCCTACGCCGAAGTGGATGGAGATGACATGGCGGAAGCACTCGGTCCCAAGTCACCTCCCGGGTGTCGAAGTACAGACAGTGACGCACGACTCTTCAACGACATCCATGTCGCGTTGCCCTCGCTGCATCTACTCGAAAGGCATGAGCCACACCTCCTCCTCGTTTCTGAAGCGTATCGTGAGAGTCGCAGTCCATCTGACCGGAAGGCTCTGGACGACTATATCGATTCCACCTGGAAGCCTAATCTCACCGTCGTCGATTTCGACTTTGAACGCAAGTGCGAGGATCATGGGACACTGTCTGGGCAACCTTTTTTCAACTGGTCCCCTTGCACCGTTGTTTCATCTCTCTTCATGATCCTGCCACACCAGATGTTTCTGTCCAAGCCCGGCGTGTTTGAACATATCTCCGCTTTCTTTCGCAAGGTTTCATCCTGTCTCACTCACCTCGGCGACCGCATTGTAATCGAAGTGGTTCCTGGCGAGATGAACGACGTCCTTGAACGCCTCCGATACGGACTCCTCCGGTTTGGACAAAAGACTATCGGAAACCTAGACCCGAGCAAATTCCCAAACAGATTCGACAAGATCGACATGAGCAACATCCCGTAAGTCTTCCGCATCTCCGGGACCAAACGTCAACTAACCGTGTGCTTCTTAGTGATTATGTTGGGGGACCCTTCACTACCTTCATCCACGGCATACCCCTCCTTCGAGAGGAGCGACGATCCCTCCTGAGATCCTACGTACTACGAAACCTTTATACTTGGGAATCTCACGATCAGTTCCTAGCGGAGTATCTTGTCCTTGGCAACCGCAACGTGATTCACTCACATTTCCGGACGGCCCTCACACAAAACTCCTTGCGCCTGGAATCTATGAACGCAGGTCAGACCACATCTTCTGGCAGTACAGCCATGGGCGTCGCATTCGAGTGGGAGCGCACCGCGCCAACCTCGTCCTATATGCCCCTCCAAGAGCGCATGCCACGGTCAAGACTCGAAAGGTGGCTGCATTCTCACTTCCTCAAGCTTTGCCTGCCGTATCCTCGCGACCGATCCTCGAAATTGGGTGTAAACGCCCCCCTAAACTTGACATCCTTCCTCCATCTCATCACCCACGTCGCCTCTCTCGGATATCCACGCGACTGGCTCTCTCACATACTGCACGAGCTGTGCACCGGCATGTTGATTCAGACACAAGCCGCCCCTCCCATTGATGAGGTTACGTGCGAGAACCTGGCCGAGAACAGATTCGAGCCAGCCGACTTCTCTGTCGGTCCCTTCGCCGCAGAGTTCCGAACCCTCGTCGCCATCTGGGAGCCGGTACTTGGCGTGCCCCTGGCTTGGAACACTCCCGTCGCGGGCAAGAAGCTCCTCCCTGAATCCAAGATGATCCGAAAGTTCACCATCCGCTTTCCGAAGAAACCGATCGGGGATACAGGCTTGATGAGTGTCTGCTTCTCTCTGGTGATGAAGAAGAAGTCGCTTGAGACTCCAGGCTGCTCTCTCAACGATCTACTGGACGACCGAGTCGACGAATGTCCCGAATTACCTGATGCCAAGCGTGTCCGGAGGGAGCCGCATGTACACATGATCTCGGCATGCAAGTTCACGCCCGAGACGCTCGAGGTGGAGTTTTGGCTCGATGAGAGAGAGGTGGACTGTGTAGTCGCTGAAACCGGCTGGGAGGCATGGATCTGGCGCACTGACGAGTGGGAATCGGTGATGGGCCCTGTTTCTCTGGACAGCTACGGTGACTTGGTCAAGGGGGAAGCTTGGTCGGAGACGACCTGAACAACGAACGAGACTCGCAATAAATGTGGGGAGATGGATGATTGAGACGAGAAGCTCTGTTGAGGAGAGACTTTCGGAATGGCGTAACAGATAGAATATTGAAGGCATGGATCACTTAAACGGGCGCTTAATACTTTGCGTGGATCGAACTTTACAGGATCGAGAGGATTCTAGGTGTTGTAATAATGCGCGAAAAGGAGAGTGAATCTTCGGATAGGACTACATTCAGAAAGGAACAGGGAGGGGATGTTCTCGAATCAGTTACACAGAGGACCGCGAAGCTGCGGTGACTTAATTCAAGGAAAGAAATTCAGCCCGATGATGCACATGCCCATCCTCTACTTCAAGCTCGAGTGAAGCTGAATGTTCTCTATTCCGATGTAGGTATCCTATTTACCTCATGTTTAATGCTATCACGACCCGTCTGCATTACTTAGAGTTGAAACATCAAGAAATGACATAAAACTTACATTATTGTAGTGTAAAAATGCATAACCCTTATCCAATCCATAAATACGCCATCTATCCCATAACCAAACACATGATATATACAACATCCTCAAGGCCACTTATCCTTGTTATAGACGATGCCACAACTCACAGACTTCTGACCCGTGGCAGCCTTAATGGCCTTGGCCACCATAGCTCCGGTACATTGCGCGCGGACCTCGAATTTCCACTTCTTGACTTGCGGATCATTGATGTCGTGCTTGCACTCCTTGACAATCAGAAGACCGCAGTTCAGGTTGACCGCCTTTCCCTTCTCTTCCAGCTTGGGGCAGAGGCCGGCGACGGTCAGATCGGGCTCGCGGATACGGGCCTCGTAGGTCCAGACGAAGGGGAAGTCGGAGTAGTATCTGCAGGCCGTGGTGCCAATGTCGGCGGGGATCTGGCCGCGGGTGAACAGGTCTACATTGGCAGATGTGCTCAGGGGAGCGGCCGCCACTAGAGGATCAAGGGCCGTGAGGAGGGCGAAGGAAAGAGAAGCGAGGCTGAAACGCATTTTCTAGGTTGTGCCTTCACTTGGCTGGATGTGATGGGTGATAAGGCTCCGAGAGACTGAATGTATGCAGATGAGGGGAGTTGGTATTCTCGTTCTTTGATAGGTCGTTCGAAAATGATGATATTAGTAACAGAGGATATAGAGATTTATTGGATACCGACATCATGGCCATCTTATACTTGGTGCCGCAAGGAGAAGAGGAGCTATGATCGATGTTTCAGACACAATGCCAGTGTCTTGGTTTCAAGCTAAGCTATGGGTAACACTAAACCCCAAAACGGCAGTTTGGGATTTAGCCTTCTCCTTCAGTAAACGTCGGTGGCAAAACGGGGGAATACTGGACTCAACGGCTCCAGTTAGGCTTGTCAAAAGGTAAAATAGATCGGATCAGCATCCACTGCGGAGCACCGACCAGACCGTTGGGAATCGGCCTCTTCAGCTACTGGGGGCAGCAGGCAGCAGCACACACGGTCCACCCGTATGTGTGTCTCGGTGCCGAATTAATATCTGCCGCTTTTGAGCTAGGATAGACCTCCTGGGGCTCTACCTACTTGCAGAAAGTCCCTCCTGAAATCGCCAAGATTCTTTAGCAAATCAGACACTAACTCAAAAGAAGAAAAAATGGAAAGACGGCATTTTGACGGGAGATTATACGAGGAGAGGTTTCTTTTCGTACCGTCGAACTTTTGGTGGTGTGGACTTTTCAACTGCTCTGTTTGCGGGTTGAGTTCAAACTCAAGGAGAAGTAAAGCCAACGCCGGTGGCGTGCAACGAGGTCTGGCAAGGGCCTTATACCGCCCATCTAAGACTTTGCGTGTAATAATCTAGGCTTCAAAATCAGGTCATCAATATGCATCTTTTCCCTCTCTTCATTGCTGTTGTCTGGCGATCAGTCATCAGTGTAGGGTAGGCTTCTTGGCTTGATGAAATATCAACGACTCAAGTGCCGGCCGTTGGCGCACGGCTTATGCGGGACTATCAAAGCACGGGGAACGGGCCATGTTCAGTGGAGGGCCTCGGGAAACGACCACTTGAATTCAATTCTTTCTAAAGTTCTAGAACATAGGAATTTGCCAAGCCAAGCCCTTCGACACCCTTGTAATACTGCACCTGTGTAGCCATTTCCAGGTCCGGTGATTCGGGATTTGCTGGCATTCGGCTCTGTCATGCAACAACGGACCCGGATCAATATAGGACCTCTTTCCACAAACCCCACCTCTGCTTCTCTTTGCACACCTCCATCCCCTCCTGGAACTTTGTAGCTTGATACTTCATGTCTGCTTCACGAGTCATCAACAGGTCTCGTAACGGAGGTCATTGAAACCTTCAATGTCTCAACGTGAATACTTCAACGGCAAGCATCGTTGGTGAGAACCTCGGTGCATCGATTATCGCCACACACGTCCCAGCAATCCTGTCCCGGGCGCACCATAACACGGTGTGTCTGGTCGCCAAACGAGTTGACCCACGAAACGTGATACTGCTTGCTCGTGTCCGTATTGCTCACCCCCGACGCCTTATACCCAGCCTGGCAGAAGCAGTACGCATTGCCAAAGTTCGGAGCCCCGTTCGTCGGATTGAAGATCTCGCAGGTAGCCCGGCCGCCGCATTGGATGGGAAGCCCAGGGGTGCAAGTCGGGGCACACGTTGGATTGGGCCCCGAGGGACATTCCCGTGCGCTACCAAGGCCCTGGCGTGCAGCCGTGAGGAGGAACTCCATGTATCCCGCGCCAATCTCACGAGTGTTTAGGTGGAAGTTGTCCGTGGTGGGGTAAAACTCGCACGGCGCTTCCGGGAACCCGAATTCGATCGTGAAGCCGTAGATCAAGCTCTTGGCGCTGTTGACAATGTGACGTGAAAAGGCGTAGTCGTCCGCCGAGCCTGATGTTGGGTATAAGCTGTTGGACTCCTTGGCATCGTAATGCCGAGGAGGGTTTGCAACTCCCGCCATTCCACCTGCCACATGGGTTGCAGCGATGATTGATGCGTCCCAGTCGGGAAAGGAAATGTATTCTCTGTACTCCAACCCGGGAGTGTCTGGGATCTTGCCTCTCTTTCCATTGTAGGCAGGATTAGTGAATGTTTGGCTGGGGTCAAATGCTTGGTTCTGATCTGATCCCCAGGGATACAAGACGAGCCCTGAGAAGGAGTGCAGATCGACAAACCAGCGGAGCTTGGTGAATTTATCCATGAGCCATCTGACATTGCGAGTCTCTGGTTCGGAAAAGGGGGCTGTGCCATGATATGTCTCAGCGTTGACATTGGACGTTCCTGTGGTGCTAGAGATGCCCGGGTAGAACGCCGTGTTCACATCCCAGAGAAAGTCAAAGTTGCGGTTGAGGTCAACAGGATTGGTGGGATTCCGATTCTTCCGCCAACAAGAATCCGTTGTTTGGTCATAGCGGACACCGTCGGGATTGACAAGAGGGAGGAAGACGATACCAGTGGATAGGGCAGTTTTAACATCGCCATTGGTGTACTTTTTACCGCCATATATCAAGCCCGTGCCCTCTCGCTGGGCCCAGAGAAGGTCGGAGATGAAGTATATGAGGCCGTCAGGCCCGCCACGCTCTCGGGCATGAATCCCAGCCTCGAGAAATACGCGGAACGATGCATCACAGCTAAGGCCATTGGGAACCTTTACTCCGACCATCTGACGACCCTCATGTGTGGCTTCGGGCATATTGAAGACTTCTAAGCCGAATTCATTGACAAGTCCTTTCACGGCCGAGGTAATCTCGTCGACGTTCATAACACTGCTGATCACAGTGCCATCTGGCTGAGATCCAAGACCTCTTGGAGCAATAGTTCCACCAGCAAATCGGTCAGTTGTACTAACGGGATGCCTGGGAACTCGGCTAAAAACATGGCTGCGATCATAAATGTAGGTACCGTCACCCGTTTCGTTCCGGGTAAGGCAGCCCGTCACGGAACAAATGAGAAAGAGAATTGACAGAAGGGAGAGTGCCATTGCTATTGAATGGTGGGATAATTGAATGTGATCTGTTTTGTCTTTGCCTTCTCATAAAGCGCTGTTGATAGATAGAGGTGGTATTTCTTTCTAATCTGTGGAATATAGCCTGGTATTTATAATTCAAAAGAAAGCCCTTTTCCCACATATAGACAGCTCTTATTGAGGAGGCAGTGCTGAATTCAGTCACACTTAGGCATTTAGATGAAACACTTTGTTCGAAGCCATTGATACTTCGTTTATGCCTGGCGAACACGAGCGAGCGCCAGGAGGCTACGAGGGCGGCCAGGAAAGAGTGTATTGGCTATTCACATTGACCAAGTCTTAGATCAAGAAGCTATATTTATTCTAGGGCTGAGCTCCGCCACGAAATGTGCAGCTGACGCATTTGTTGTCATGGACGTTGCCTCCTGATTGGACGCCTCCCCGCACTCCAACTCCCGACTCACAACACCACGCATATTTCTTACCTCGTATTGAGGAAGCCACATTTTAGGCTGCTTCTATCGACTCTTTAAATAGGATTAGTTTCTTATCTTCATGGTAATTTAGCAAATCATCTCTTTCAGCTTTGCCTCCATGTTTAGACGAGTGTTAGTTGAAGCATACCTTTCATGCAAGGATAACATCGAAATTAGGACATCAATGGATCGGTACGCATCATACGTTCAATTCCTAATCGAGGAGCTAGAGTTCAATGAGGTCACTAAAGTTGAGACCTTCTTCTGTCCTTCACGTGCGGTCTTCAAACTCCCTCTCAGTATTCTCCATTTCAGTATTTGCCGCATCTGTAGAGTGTGCCCCAGCAAGCACATGACCATTTTCTGAATATTCATTCCGTACCACGCATTTGTCCATTTTTTGTTTCTCTCTGGAGGAAATATTCATTCCGTGCCATGCATCTGTCCATTGCCTGTTTCTCTCTGGAAGAAATATTCATTCCGTACCACGTATCTGTCCAATGCCTGTTTCTCTCTGGAAGGAAAGTACTAGCCCTATGGGCTTCAAGCTTCTCCAGCTGGCATAGCTGCCAGCAATCTCTCTATCTTCCGCTTACTTGAGCGACGAGGAATGTTGTTCCACTGCTCTTCGCACCAAGCCTCGACATTCTAGGAGCGAGTTGGGGCAGTTTCGCTTGGGAGTAGTATCAGCACAGCTCTGATCAACCCAAAGACTTCCGCCTTGGACAGCCCAGAGGCGAGCCCGAGCTGGAAGCGACGGGCAAGGTCATCTGCCGACATGGACTGGAGTGCAGTCTGGTTGCCAGCCTCCCGCTGCATCCTCATCATGAGATGGTCGTCGTGGGTCATCCCAGGTGTGCCGCCGTACAGTCTTCCGATGCTTGCGGTGAAGAGACTGGGGCCAAAGGCCTCCTCCGCCGGGACGAATCTAGCCAGCTGCCAGTTGACGATCGCCTTGATGTTGTACTGGAGATCGACGCGGATGTGGTCTCCATTGTCATCCATGTGCTTCAGGAAGAACTTGCTTTCGTCTCCGGATCGCCTTGCCAATTCCGGGGCAGCTTCGTCTCGGAGCAGTCTGTAGAAGACAAAGGCTTCCTTGGGATACTCGGGGTATAGTTGGCCGTCGGCGATGAGCTCGAGATACCGCTCCGCTGTGGACGCAAAGTAGTCTAGAGGCGTGCCGTAGGGCCCGTGTCTTCCGAGGTGGGTGAACCTGTCGCTGGCGATGGCGTCTTCGACCTCCCCTGCCTCTGTGTCGGCCAGAGAGCAAGCATAATCGCGGGGTCCCCGCCTGCGAATCCTCTCGAGGATCCTTGCATACTGGCTGTAGACTCTGGACTTTTGCTCGTGAGTCGCATAGAACGCGTTGAAGGGGTAGCCTGGTATGTCCTCCGTGAATAGATAGCTGACGCCCACGAGGTTGGATGGGTCACTGGCAACGCCATATCCGTAGGCTCTGAGGGCAGGGATGTTGGCGCGCCTGAGCCATCCGAGAGTCGCGTACTCGTTCTGGACAAAGGACTCGATCAGGTCCCTTGGGAGGTGGCTCAAGGCTGTGATGCGAGGAATACGAACAACCCAGGTGACGCTGTCGTAGAAGTAGATCCAGGCATCCATGTAGATGCCCTTGATGGTGACCTTGCGGAAACCGAAGTTGTCAGCGGCAAACCGGCATGGTATTCCGCCGCGGCGAGCGGTCGCCGCTCGGCAAAGCTCCTCCACATTGACCCGGGCAAGAAGTGCCCTGACCTCGTTTTCGAGGTCCTCGTCCGGACTGGTATCGTCAATCTGGATTTGTGTTAGCTTTGAAGGGGGCTGTGAGCCACGAGAGTAGAGCATACCTGGCTGGTGAAGGGGCAGGCGTGCTGTCCTGGGAGCAGGTGGACAGCACACATTGGCCTCTCGCAAGAGGCACAACTTCTCCCTCGGACGCTTGGTCTCGTGCATCCGAGGGAAGAGCAGTCAGCAAATCTTGGGATCATGGTGGGATCCCTGTTGTTGTGTTGTGATGTTGGTGCTGCTGCTGCTCTAAGGGGGGAGGGGAGGTTTGGAAATTTTATGGGCGGCAGAAGGGCCTGTAACTACTCTGTCAAAGCCAAAATTACTAAGCCATCCGTGACGTACACTTATTGTCACTGTGAGCTGTGTATTGTTGGCTGCATTACATTGAGAATTTCATGGAAACTAGCCCTGTGCCAGCATAATTTGGGCGAGGGCTGGTCTCAGTGCGTCAATGCCTCAAGCATCGGACCAATTTCCTACAATAAGAATATTATTCAATGACTCTATCATACAAAGCAGATTTTACTATTACAAGGTTCAATTTTCGTTGGTGAAATGGGGCACATGAGAGTGACAGACTTGAAGTGGGTTGAGGGGACGACTCCAGGTTGTCAGCTCCCCGTAAGGGCTTGCCCCATTCCGACCTTATTGGCGGAATAAATTACACCTCATCCATCATATGAGAACATATTGCACGATTATCTCTGAATTAAGTGTTGAAAGCCATGAGAGATGTGTAGGGGGTACTCTTTGGTTCAATACATCGTGGTGTGGTGAGGCGGTGAGTGGGTCCAACTGTCTGTTCTCGACGGCTGCATGTTATGACAGCTGCCACCAACTGAGACGGCAGCATCTCGGCTCTGGCTCTGCACTAAAGTATGCAAGGTAGAGTATCTTGCCCCCACCAGAGCCGCCAGACTCGTCGACAGTCTGGTGTTTGGCTACGCTCCTCCCCCGAACCACGCTCCTCTTTCCCCTCCTCCCCCCAGACCCCATGATCCCTACAGGGCCATGGTACGAAGAAACTGATATTCCATGGTAAATGAGGCATTGGAAATTTTCACTTTAATTCTTCTCAATTTCGATATCCATCCATTCACTTCTTACGTTCTTGATCCTCGACTACCAGGTGACTCCATAGCATCCTTGATTCTGACTGCCGCACTATACTCAACACCTGTGAGCTGATGAACGAGGACGCGAACATTTTCTTCGCTTGGATCAACTTGGTGTTGAACTTTGGGCGAGTCTTTTGTGTTGTGTTCTGTTGAAAATTCAGGCCGGTTGCGATCAACAGTCCCAAATCACGATCAGGTGGGTTGGTCCGGGGTACGTCGTCCATGTTCTCGAGTTTGATATCATCACCTGTCATGTCAACCACATTGCCAGGTTGAATGATTGGTGGCCTAGACCGGACAAGAATAACCTTGTTATCCGGGAGATCGTTCAACGCCCATGATGTGACTGCCATTCACTTGGCGGGAACATGCATGAAGACGAACGATAACGCGCACAACTACCATTGAATTGGCGAGCGTGCTCCGGATAATGCAATACTCGACCGATCGAAGAAGACGATAAAAGGGGAAAAGGTTTTGGCGGGATCATGACATGGGAGGTCAATCGGAATAACGGGATGCATTTTGCTATGGATTATTTTACTTGGGATACACTATCGGGTTGCAGATTTAGACATCATCCAATGAAAGACCTTGCGGCTATCTTTAGAGCTTATTTTCGAACCAATAAAAAGGACGAACTATGCAGACGACTCGGTGCCCACTCACGTACAATCATGGCATGGGCATAGGGATGGAGAATCTGGTCGAACAAAGCAAGTGTAAGACAAGGTCATACATGCGATGATGAAGCGCTTAATGTTCTAGATGAATGTGCCCCTGAGAGCCATCCCCCTCGGGCTCTAGTGTGGAAACTATCATGTGCCTATTCCTTGCTATCATTCCTCGGTATCTATTGGGCCACTTTCGACTCTGGGACCCGTACTTTCCTCAACGACGGTTCCTCAATACGGGCTTGAGCTTTGACCTTGCCAATGATCATGGTTTTATTCCCTTTCAAAAGAGCTTCGGATCCAGGCTAGGATATGAAGCTATATCCAGCAAACTGTCGGGGGAACCGAATTATACACACATGATAGATGCCACCTCAATATAGAGGTGCTCAGGTGAAGCTTTCAAAGGAGGATCATTCATGCTGACATCCAAGAGGCCAGTCTTCGCAAAGTCCTGGAGAAGCGGCGTGTCGAAACACTTTTACTTGATGAAGCGCGCCAACCTCGACGAAGGTATTCTTCCAAAGCGTAGGCGGTTCAACAGTCGACTCTCTGCTTCGCTACACGAACGCCGTCGCAAATTCAACTGGACCCTCCGGGATGGCCACGTCGCTGGTTTTATCTTGGCCTCGGATGATGAGGGCCGAGGCTTGGACGTCGAATCGATGGGGGCGTCATTTCGATCTTGCGCACAAGGCAATTAAGATCTCCCGTTCGAGATGCTAGGCCAACCGTAGATGGCCGGCCGGGCATTACTCGTTCGTCTGGGATGTCGGGGGGGGGGGATTCTTGCAAGTGACGACGAAGACCAAGACCGCAGACGAATATGACCTCATCCAGATTAGGAGGCCCGTGCCTTCTGTGACGGTACTTCGTAGATTGAATTAAAGCCCTTGGTGGGATACAACGTATCCTTCGCCAGGACGGAACTAAGTAGTCAGAATATTAGTTCACCAAGTCTCCATTGCTTTGTAGCTAGGATCTCCCAAGACGGCAAAAAAGACTCTCACGAACAAGAATCCTTCCATATCCAGGATTCGGCCGTCAGGCGTCGCTCTTGCTACAGCGAGGTAGGAACCAACAGTTAGCGGATACATGTCTAGGATAGGATTTGTGTTTTTACACACCTGAATATCAAGTCGAGACCAAGTCCTGTTGGACTAGTGGAAATTTCTCTCCCAGTCAGCCAGACTGTTTCCCCAGGCTGCTGAGCCCCCTCATCTACAGGCTCCCGTACGATGGCGAACCGAGTCCGCCGAATCGCCTCTTTAACAGCCTCTCCCTTCAACTGACTGTATTCTTCCCACTCTCCAGTGGGTCTCCAATCCACTTGGAGTCTCTAAGCCACTGGCGGACGGCTTGTCGTTCTCCTCCTCAGATTCTTCATCCTCATCGTCGTACTCCTCCCCAGATCCTTCCTCGTGTAGCTGCAACTCACCCCACAGGTCACGTTCAACTGGCTCTCCCAACGGTGGCCGCGGTGTCTGCTGTAGAGCTGCTGCTGCTGCTGTGGCTCGCCATCTAGACCACCAATTCGAATACATCAACGCCATACAACGGTCGATTGTGCTCGTTCACAGGGGGCTTGCCTCAGCCCCCTGGACGGAATCCTAAAGAGCCAATTGGAGGACCTGGGGCGTTGAGTCGCCCAGGATGGGTTGTCGCTAGGCGGAGATCTGGAATTGCTGTTTAAACGCGTTGGCAGGGTTTGAAGCTGATGTTTGGTGAGAAAGAAAAACCGGTGTTTTACCTCGGGTATGAGAGTTCGAGTGGTTTGACTCACAGTCAAAAACAGCCATAGAAGATGCCAGACCCGACCTCTCAACACACTGAATAGCTGGCTGATCTCAAACGGCTAGAAGGATGTATTTTTGGGCGACATGCAGCTTGGCCTTTGAAGATGATGTAGTGCATTGAATTTTGGCCATACGGAGGCTGATACGGAGGGTTTTTGCGATTCGATGGAAGGTGGGGGAAAAGCAGGGGAAAACGAAGAGGAAAGAGCTTAAGAAAGTTACGGGGTGGGTCGACAGGAGCGACTCGCTGTGTGGCGTGCTCTTGGAGAGAAAACTCGGAGGCTTACCACCTCAACACATTCTAATGCGCAATGTTGACTCATACCAACCCCTCAGTGTTATTTGGGGGCATCAATCCTGAGCTGAAGTATGCTGTGATTAACATGTAAACAAATTATCCTCTTAGATACCACAAGCCACGCCCAATTGATTTTGTGTCCAAGCCTAGATTCCCCCTGGATACAAATTGGACACAGGTTTTGTGCTCCTGCATGGAAATCACGGAGAGTTGGGGTGTAGTAGACTGGCTTGGCGTCTACCAAACCTATTACGAAAGCCAGCATCTGACGAATTCAACATCGTCCGCTATATCATGGATTGGGTCTCTGCAGCGAGCCTTGTTATTGACACTTATGCCAATGTCTAGATCTCTCTACCGCAATATTTCCAGCCTTGGTGAGCTCTTGTTATTGGAATTGCACCAAGGGGGCCTCCCATTGTGGGTATCCTGATTCTCGTCTGACTTGGAACGATACAGCCGGTCCTCAGTCTCAGGTGGACAAAGGTCCATCTTGATGGCAGCAAGTGGTGACACAGGAAATGGAATTGCATACCCAAATGAAGACTTAAATAACCAACTAAGTAGGTACCTAATTGTAGATAGAGATTATATTTATATCTCAGGCGTGAGATGTAATGCAACAGCTTCAACGATTAATGGAAAGATGATGCTTAAGGTGGATGAGCTCCTTAGAAAGTAAAACTTTCATATAACTATGTAATCCCTCTAAATGAATAATGTATATTTGCTTCTAAAGTAGCGAAATTAAATAGTCAGAGAGATGCGGATCAATTTGCATCTTTCACTGCTGTTTTTAACTTTATACTCGAACTCTCTCGCCTGCTTAGACGTAGTCTCAACCACCTCACTAATACGTAACTAGCCACGGGACTGCTCAGGTACGATGATTATGTATTTCCCCCTCTCCAGGTGGTCCATTACTGCCTGGAACGTTTGGCTTTTGGGGTCTTAGGGACTAGAACTTTAGACATCACGAGATTAACTACTGAATACTGTATCTGTAACTTGATTCTTGGCTCTACTGAGCGAACTGTTTACTATCTCATCTTCAGCTAATGAAAAGGGACAAAATGAAAAGGGATCTAGCCACTCTCATCAATCATTTCCATGCGGGATCGTTTGTACTTGCTGCTGCCAGTGATATCGCAAACCTGGTGAGGAATGATCATCTGGGACGGCCCGGCACCAACCAACTTTGTCAACTGCACCAAGGATTTGTTGTGGGACTTGATATCAAAGTTAAATTCGACGCCATGGTGAAGGTTTTCAAGCTTTTCCGCCATCTGAGCAAGGAAGAACTTTGTATCACAGCCAGGGTAAAGGCTGCCCAGATGCGACTGGCGAATGCTGTCCTCCCACTCCAACATTTCAAACTCTTCAACATCGAGGTCATCCATAATGGTAGGTTTCTCGTAAGAGGATGCACAGATAGCAAAGACAGGTCCTGTTGCGTAACCATTTCTGTCCAGCTTGACGACGACGCTGTAGCCGGTCTCCTGCCATGAGTCCCACATGTGGTAGACTGGCTTGTCCTGGACAGATTTGTCTCGAACCTCCATCCAGTCCTTCCCTGTACAGTACCGCAGTGTTCCAACTTGGCAAAAGACATCCGGCTCGGTGTCAAGAAAGTCGTCGCTATTGGCGCTGCGCATTGAGGCAGCCGAATCCTCCCCAGGGCTTCGATTCTCACGTCGGCGTTTTTGTGAAGTTGACAGAGCAGGTAGGTCAACGGAGGGAGGAGATGGTCGAGACGGAGTGGTATCAATGTCGATGGCCACGATAGCGGGATCTAAGGTGATGGCGGTTTCAGCGTCACTGATCTCGTCGAATGGTTCATCAGGGTGGAATGCGCGTGGGTTCACTCGAATGGCGTATCCTGTCAGGGTGCCACCGAAGCGGCTTTCGCCTACAAGGAAATCAGGGATGTTGTCCGTCTTGATTGCTGAGATGGCCTGTTGGAGATGCTGAAGATCCCGGCACGGAGTCTCTCTGATGCGAGTGAGGAGCGAGCTGCGTGAAACTGGTGCCCTATCTCGCTCGTGTTCTCGGCCGATCCACTTATCAGTGAAAGTCATGAGGGTTTCGTGGACGTCTTCGATGTCGGGAAACATGGCTTCCAAGCGACGAATCAAATTCCCTGATGTAAACTGATTTAGGCCGCCGTTCTCATACCATTCGTGCAAACATCGCTCATCAGGTGTGAAGGTGGCGATGATTTCATCGTCGGTCAGGTGCGGATCTAGGTGTTCTAAGGAGATGTGAGTTAATGTTCAGTAGGTGGTTGTTAATGCATGCATGGTGTGAGGAAGGAAAAGTGCCATACCTGACATGTTGGCGAAGTCTTGATACTGAAGGATGTAGACTTGATTAGGTGAATGGTTGGTTTGTTGTTGGAGTAGGAATGAAGAGATCGTTGGTTTCTACGGTTCCAAAGGAGGACGCAGAAATGTGAGGAGTTTGGGAAGACGGCAGAAATGCAAGGAGTAATTGGGAAGACGTGGATGGGAGTGAACTTAAAAAAAAAAGGTTTGTGGCGACACAGTGTGTGTTTATATTGAAGCACTGTACGTGTTGCGGGAGAGGGCAGTGAGAAAGGTACCTCTCAGGTGGCTGTCAGAAGAACAGTGACTGCAAAGTCGCCCCAGAGAATAATTGTAGTAACTTAATCACATAATAATGCTTCCTCACTCTTGTGTAATATGAAGTAGATAATATTGCTTAATAATTGCAAAATAATTAATTATTATTGCTGTTGTCTTATTATGAACTAGGTATTGTCCTTTGCACTCTCTGTTATTCTGACGCCTCTGCCTCCCACTTGCAACCTGAACTGTAAGAAAACAGGTGACCTACACAGGTATGTAAGTACCTTGGCTCCGAGGACCACTGGGAACGCACAGTTCAATACAACGCGCTGGATTAACCTAACCTTGATGCAAAACAAAAAAAAAACGTTGAAACTTTTCACTTTCCACGTATTTCATCCAACTTGAGCATCTCGTTCGATCAATCTTTGCTTAAGAATGAGAGTTCCTTAAGCATCATCGTTCCTTCGACATCACCGTCGCCTTCACCAGCATCGTCACCTTCAGCATCGTCGTTGAGCAAGATGGCTTTGCCTCCTCCCAACGAGTACAGAACCCTGTACGATCTGCCCCTACTAGACGAGCCAAAGCTATCCAACAACCCAAGCCAAGCGTCCCGGCAGTTCACTGAGTATTATGTTGCGCTTTACTATCTTTCCGCCAGCCTAAATCTTGACGCCACGACTTTCCTGAAGTCCAGATGCTAGGAGGATCTGGACGACGTTGGAAATGAACTCCTGTACGGCCCGCGAGAGTTCTTGGCAATTCTTACTCGATATTACTCCCTCTGCCGTCACCAGCAAGAGGTGTTGAACAAGACACTAGAGAAACGCCCAGCTCTGGAACTGCACCTTCATCGTTCAAGGGCAGTTATCAAATTCGAAGGGTTGAAATCTAAAATCACGGCACAACTCGACAGGGTTATGTCCAAAATACTATCAATTGCCAAAGAGCTTCGAAACCACTATGAGGACATCCCTGAAGGTGTCCCAGACTTGTCGCAATCAGAGTCCGCTCCGCATGTTGCCAACATCTCTGTCAGAGAATGCCGCCTTTGGTGTCAGCTCAATACCACCAAATTTCGACAGCGCCTTCAAAACGCAAATGACACCGCCGAGCTGCGTTCTGCCATGGACGCGATTTCCGACATGATCCTCGGAGACGTCGCGAAAGTACCAACACCATACGTTTTCAACCTCACTAAAAAAGACAGAGGCATCGTTACGCCGCTCGTATACTTTGTCTGTACCGGAATGGACAAGGAAGGGAACCAACTTCACGACTTAGTGCATGTCGGCTGCACTAAGGAGCAATTTCGCATTTGGGAACCATTCCAGGAGCATCGTAACAAGGCCAGGGATGACCTTATCGGTCAGGAAGCCATCGAGGCATGGAAGAACTGGCACGGCCAGCTTCTGAGGCTAGGCGCGGATGATTCTAATGACACTCGCAAGTTGAGAGAAAACCTGATGCAAGGCAACATTGGAGAATTGCCGGATTGGGCTCACTGGTTGTCTACGACTAAGCTGCGTGCCTGCGAAAACCATGTGGGCCAGTCATTCACGCAAGTTGGTTGGAATCATACAGCCCTCATGGGCTGTTGTATGATTTGCAAGACTGCGATTTCCTTCCAAGAGGTGATGGGGAAGGACTTTCAGGAAGAGGCACGCCTCATCCACCCAATGAAGAGAAGACATTGCCCCCATTCCTGTGCTGAGGTTGTCACTAGCGGGGCCTGTGACTTTACAACTTGGACACATTGAGCTTTAGGGAGTTTTCGTCATTAGGTAGCTGAGGGCTGCGAGGGGCCGAATGGAGAATCAGGACCTTCGTTTAGATATGTAAGTAAATTAATAAGATAACGAGTTCTAATTTGAAGTAAAACGAACCCACAATCGCCTGATTCCTGAATTGGGAAGATCGGAAACATCACGCGTCCATTTGAACAGTGTACTGGTGCTGTTGTTTCTCTTATTAAACAAGATAATAAGAAACTAATAGATTATTCTACAGTATTTAGCTTATTACTATGTCCATTACTAAGTTAATTGTTTTGGTATTGTGTTGAGATCCAACGCTGGACGTTCTATGTGATGTACGTATGGTTCATGTCGGGGCCCCTTCCAAAAGTACACAACCCTGTCCGATCATGTGCTTGTGATGCATCGCATCTCCGCTCTCGCGGTGGTTTTCCATTCGACTACAAGATCTCGGAGGCATACAGTAGCCTGCGATTGATTTCTTTACTATCTCAAGTGGGGAACTATGCCGTGCTGGTAACGAGTATCCCACAACGAGCACGACCTCGAGATGTTCCTGTTCAACATACAGGCTCGAATCATTCTATCTTTTGCCTGAGATAATTCTAATTGCACTACCTTCCTCCAACCTAGAATCTCGGCTCATTAGCTTAATCATGGTGCTTTTCCAGCAGAACCCAACCAGTCCATGCGGAGCTCGATAGCCTCTTGCATCGCCTGGACTCCTTGCTGGAGGAGTTCGGTTAGTGGCACCTTGCCAGCCCTCTCGACCAAGACTGCAGTAAAACGACTATTCATGGCCCCATTGATATTCACCTTAGCCATGCCCCTCTCGATACACATGCCGTACAGTTTCTCGTCAAAGCCAGCAGCGCCGTGCAATACGAGCTGGATTCCCCTTTTGGAAGTTGTCTCATGTATCCATTCTAACCGCTCAAGGTCCAATTGGGGGCCCTTGGGACCGTACTTGCCGTGGACATTCCCGAATGCAGGCGCAAGCCAGTCAATTCCCAACGATATGAATTCTTCCGCCTGCTCCGGGGTGGTCAGAATCCCCTCGAGATCCTCCGTGTCCGCTACACCGTCCTCGCCCCCGTTGATACGGCCTGGCTCGGCCTCGACAATGATGCCCTTGGAGTGAAGGAAAGAAGTGAGCTCCTTTGTCTTGGCTAGGTTCTCCTTCTTCTCATAATGGCTCATGTCTACCATAATACCATCAAACCCGCCCAGCTCGGCGGCACGGCGAATGAGCTCGGGAGACTGCGCATGGTCCATGTGGACGGCGACTGGCACACTGGCGTTATCAGCAGCCTCCTTGGCGGCATGGATGAGTAGGCCATCGGCGAATTCGATCGCCCAGGGGAATAATTGGATAATGACCGGGGACCGCCTCGCCTCGGCAGCCTTCACTGTCGCAAGGATGCCCTCCAGATTGTAGCAGCACATCGCGGGCACAGCATAGCCACCTGCTGCCGCCGCGTTGACTATGTCCAACGCCCGGTTCTGTTCTGTGAATGGCATGTTGTCTGGTCAGATTGGTGGTGGCGTTGCGATGCGGCAGGGAGATCGGAGATGACGAAGAAAGGGTGGCATGGCCCATTTACTTCCGTCGGATAACGTTTACTATTTCGGGGTATCAGACGCCAGCTTACCGAGAAGCGTGCCTAGCTCTCTTTAGTAAACGGATAAGCACTCAATTGTTGGAGTCCTCCGGCAGACTTGAAAAATTGCCCGATACGGCAAGACCCAGAACTCTCCACATCCCGCTTACTTTGACTACCTACAGGCAGTCCAACGACATCGCTTCCGCCTCTTGCAATGTGGTCGGAATTGCAATTAAGACTTGCGGCGGTAGGATTGGTGGAATTACGGAAGTGGAATGTTTTGAAGAGCGACAAGCCTTGAAGACCTCGTCACTAAGAACAAGCAGGCCATTCCCCAAAGTGAAGTAGACAATTCTCACCACCAACGTCAGACCTCGCACAGAATCGATCGCATCACTTGAAACCACATCCTCACTTCAGGCCAACAAGTTCTTGCAGTTGTGATGCTTGATGGCGGGTAGGGAAGCAACGTGGTTGTATCATACCAGGCAATATATTCTAATTGCCTTGGTGTTGGGTTCGGACATAGCAACCAACTCTTCGGTAATTGAAGCCGATTGCTGTCACAGAGTACATACAGTCGTATTACCCTTGAATAGAGCAACGGATGTCCCTTTTGGCCTAGAATGCCAGCTTTTGATAATTGTTCTCCTCTTCCATCTTCTGTAGCCCGATCAAAAGAATGCAATGACGCTATCCACTCTCACAGGTTTAAAAAGCCTCCAAACCACGTCGTATCCGAGCTCCACGTCGGTACGAATAGCTCCAAGATGAGAATCTGAGGACATTTTCCCAAGAGTTTTGTTGGAAAGTGTGTAGAAGGATGGTGGAAGGAGAGCCAGTCGTGCCTCCCTCCACATCAAAATTTGTGGACCCGCCTTTCGGCGTGATCGGCGTAAAACGGCCGACCAACGACCTCTCAAGCTTCTCTCACAGTGCCTCGAGTTCACGACACAGAATTTACACCGACAAAGCCGAAGCCTAGGATGCCAGGCAAGACCTTACCGCCGATTTAAACGTGCCTGCAACCACAAAAAGACCTGTATGCGGCCGATGCCGGGCCCGTGGAGCAGAGGACAACTGCAGATGTCGAAGGCGACTTTTAAAGCGACGGGGGATGCTAAGCGGACGATAGGAGTGTCGAGAAGAGATGGGTATATCTTGTATCTCTTTGATACTGGCCAGAAGGCATACCTCGCCGGTAATACACGTCTTAAGCCCCATTGAGTTCCCAGATGTCTCGCAGGCGAAGGCGATTAGACGGTTATGAGAAAAGGTTTCCACGGCCTCAAGCGTCTGGCTTACACCGATCTGGCTGACCAATTAATTGTTAGACCTGGATTCGTCCTGTCCCGATAAGCTTCTTGAAGCTTGCACATGTTAACAGCGTCCACTCAGCTTTATTACCTGCTGCACTAGTTGGGTGGAAATAGTATGGACCAGTTTGTCTCCGATCACACCGAAACCCCACAGACAGCAGTCTCTTACGCCCTTGCCGGCCTATATGATCCATTGGTCATTAATAATCATGCTTGGTACTTTGACTCATCCTCTCTTTAAATATGTTCCCTGCTGGAGTATTTTTGGACCAAAAATTGCTCTTCTGTTAACAATTGCAGCTTCTTTCCCTACGCTTCAGGCTCAAAATGGCCTCTCACAAGATTTCTTATAGTAAGTGCTTCACAATTAGTACACCAGAAGAATGATGCTAATTTATAGGGACCCTTGATGTCTTTACAAACAAACGGTCGGGATGCCCAATATCCTCCAAACAATCGTCGAAGAAAATCCTCTGATTCGTCCCCTTCTTTTGCAGGTTTAAAGGAAATCAGTTGGCTGTCCTTGATGTCGGAAAAACAGTCCTGTCGCCTCAACAGATGCAAATGATTGCACGCGAATTCAACTTTTCCGAGACCGTCTTTCTACGCCGAAATGACTCTGGGGAGTTCGCTGTCAACATCTACACGCCGGTAACTGAAATTGACTTCGCCGGGCATCCTGTCATCGGCACCGGCCACGTTATATTTCAACGGCTCTTGCCTAGCCTCCGAAAGTATCAGATGTCTTCCGAGATCCGTCTTTTCACCAATGCGGGAGCTGTCACTCTGCATCATAATGCAGAAGAAGCAACAGTGTCAGCCCAAGTGCCTCACAATATTCATATCCATTCACGACCGACCACCAAGCAGCAAGTCCTTAAGACACAGCCATCCCTGCATGGACACTCCTCATCGTTGGAAGAAGGATATCCCGCTGTATCTATTGTCAAACGTGTCACTTATACACTGGTGGATTTGACGAGGGATCCAGAGGTATTCATGTGTTTGAGTGCTGGGCCTAGTCAGGTCACCGAGCTGGATGATGGCTGGTCTCCCTCATTCACTGGTGTAATGTACTACTTAACATCAACACCTTACGTAGAGGATGGTTTCGTGATGCAAAGGCTTCGAGTCCGCATGATTGCAATCGATCTCGAGGATCCAGCTTGCGGCAGTGGCTGCAGTTCTCTTTGCGCCTACCTGGCCCTGCAGCGGGGTGGGCCTCGGGCGCAGTTCAAATTTCTCATTGAGCAAGGAAAGGAGATTGGACGAGACAGTTACATTCATGTGGGAGTTGCGCTGAATCAGAACGGGAACGGTGTAGAGACTATTTCTCTCACCGGCCAGGCGGCAATTGTGATGGAGGGCACCTTATTGCCGCCAGAGTAAAAGGTCAGCCCTGAGTTGACATGAGGGATCACACATAATCCGCGTTAAAGCATAAGAGAATCTCTGAGACATATTATTAGAAATCCCTCCTAAATGAGACCGACCCTTGATCAGTAGGGGTTCTGGTTATGTAACATGTCGATGTTCCCATCTTTTGAAGGCTTTCCGTAGTTTTATCGCCACTAGCTTCAGCTACAGCATCCTAGAACAAGTGGGTTATTTAGGTAAAATTAAAGGCCAACACGCCTTGAATGTAGGATATTGCCTATGAGTACCTCAGGATACCTTAGTTGGAGTGATTTCCAAACACCGGCAGGAATGCCAGAATGAGATGTTATGATTGAAGCCATAGCTTCACTGATCCAGACCAGCATCACCTCAATTTCTACGGCTTCTATCTTGTTGATCTATTTTCAGGCTAGAGCCCCGGCTACGCAGATATTTTAGATTGAATAATTCCAGTCGGATGTAAGGTACCGTGGAGCAAGGACAGACGTAACATTGGGCACGCACTTCCCCTTTAAAAAAGGGGTTACCTGGAGAGAGCTGAACAAGGGACGAGCCAGTATTACATGATACATGGACCTTTAGAAGGCCTGGGCTTTGGCCCAATTTTCCCACATAATCTTTACGCATCCTAATGAGAGTTCGAGTATAAAGTAAAAATAAGCAATGGAAGAGGGCAGACCCGACATCCCAACACAATGACTACAAAGGCAGAAATAAGCTCTGCTAGCCCGAGGCTGCAGCCGTTCAGAAGGAAAACTTTACAAACCTTCATAATGCACGATGACTCAATTGCCGTCGGGACGAGCCGCTCGTCAGACAACCTTCACGGATGAAGCCTCAAGTGGGAAACTGACGCACGAAAGGATTCTTGTTAGTTCTTCGTCGGCAGCCAACACCCTTCCAACGCCGAAGCATTGATCTACATCCTATATTGAACCGCCTGGGGCCCTCAGGAACCAGGCGCACTTCGTGTCAAATTTCACGGCCGCAAATCTTCCACTTCCCAGTCCACCTAGAAAAGCAAGCATTCGATCCCAGATGAAGATGGGCAGAATTTCAACTGAACAACGACCTTGGCAACATCTTGCCTTGGCTTGGTCAGCCATGCATGTACTAGGCTGCTCATGACTTCTTGTTCTGAAACTGACCTCACTCATGCGGTTTGTAGGAGGCTAAAACGGATGCAGACGGAGCGTGGCAATCAACAAGACAGTCCGGCCTCGGTCCACAGTCGCAGTGCCTTCAAAGGGCTTCTCGGTCCCCATCAAATCTCTTCTCTCGGCGATAAACATCGTAATGCATCAAAACGCGAGGGATATTCACCGTTGGTCCGCTCGGAGTATTTTCTTTGTTTTCTTCGCTCTCCTTGTCGGGGAGAGTGCCTGTATGAAAGACTCTTGGTTAGAACCAGCGTCAGGCGTGAGGCGGAAGGAACATGGATTGTGAAATTACCGGGCTCATCTGAACTTTGGCTCTGTTTATTCATCCTTTGGCTCCAGAGCACGAACATGGCAGCCTGTGCAGCAAGAGCCACGCCAACGATGGCGGCGATGATCCTGGTCTGCAAGGGCATTTTCCAAGTGCAGATACAATTCTCAAAAATCCTGAGGGATCTAGTACCGTGGAAAGCAGAGTAAAGAAAATTTGAAGCTGGCGAGGTTGAGATGAGGGATTGATGGGGAAAGCTCGACTGGGAAGACGGCACTGCCCTCTGTTGACAGTTGGCTGGCAGGCCTCGGCCAAACTCTTGACACCGAGCTATGGCTTAGGTACTTAAGTTAAGGCTTTTACAGTGATCTTTGCCCAGTCCATGGGGGCTTTAGGCTCTCTAGGCACTCGGAGGCAAGCCAGCAACTAAATACATAGGTACCGAGCAAATTTCTTTAGCGGAGGCGTGACATTTCTCTGCTTTCTTTTTCCAACACAACACGTCCACCATAAACAGATCGATACGACAATTCACACACCTATTTAACTCAGATTCTTCTCAGAAAATAGGTTGATGCAAGAAACAAATGCAGGCGCATAGAGGCTACGCACGATCCCTAGGAGTATCTATCCTACGTTACAGATTGAAGTATGCTTCATAGACCTTGAGGGGAATTATATTTTCGAGTATCTGAAGTGTCCAACTCCTGCCACGAGTCAATCTTGTCACTTTAGTCTTCGACTAATCTGAATTCGACAGGATGCCTGTGCAAGTAACCAAACGGCGTGCAGATTTTCGCTCTGACAGAAATATCCTCCGAGAACTGCCACCCATCGAGTCACAGAAAGGGGGCCTCGGGCATTTATGTCGGCAACGTATGTTGGCAGAAATTATCTACCTATTGACCTTCATTGACAAGCCTAACTTGATGGCCAGGCGTCGCACGAGATGTATGAAGTTTACGCGAGAACGCCGTCGCCGGGCTTTGTATGAAACTACTCTCAGGAGAGACAACAGTTGAAGGCAGACACCACACCAGTGACCAGTCGTCTCCATGGAGATCTCTCCTGCAGGTAGGGCAGTGCAGAGAATCCATCATTTGTATAACGCGAGAGTACATCGGTAGTTGCCCGGAAATGCTTGAACCAAGCACTTCGAAGCCTACGATATACATTACTCGAGACGACAGCTACGAGAAATCTCCTCAGGTCCAGACGTTGGTAGATATCCACTAATGCCTTCCAAGTTTCAAGCCTCTGTTGAAGACACAGCAGATGATGCTGGCAAATCCATGGAATTCATCACCAATACCACAGCGCCCATCCCCGATATTGCTGAGAGCCGTGAGCAACACAAACCCTTTAAGACAAGCTAATTCAACAGGAGTCATTGCTATGGCTTGTTGGTTATAATATTTCGGTTGGACTAACATTCACTCAACAACGGCAATATTTGCGAGTTAGGAATCCTCGCTTCAAATCTTTCAGGCAATCGTCGTCGCAGTTATCGTCTCCGTTACATGCCGAACTAGGTTCCTGATCTGGCCTGGGCCACTGGTGACACGCAAATAGGTCTCAGGAGAGATTATGTGGAACGGTCAGGCGATGTAGGAAGCCCTGCCTTCGTAACCGTTTGGGATGAGACGCTTCTATCTGCTTTGGCATACGGTTTAAAGCTATCGGGATGATGTTCTACGAGAAACGTCGATCGACGGGAACAAAGATTCCCGGAACTAGCACCCAAATTTTACGAGTTTGAAGGACAAAGTGGACAGCCAGGCTCAGAAAAGCTTATGCGAGCTTACTATGGCAGTGGTCCGGTCTCTACACACCATCATAGTGGTCGATATTTGTTCAAATGGACATGTTCGGGATAACCCCTTAAACCACGCTAGCTATCCGACAGTTGGACAGGGGTTGGGAGACGAAATTCACACTGGCAAGAGAGTAGGGAGCCCATGTGCACATAAATTACATAAGGCCATTCAAAGAAGTTACTTGCATTACAATCTCAATCTAACAAAGTACACACTATCCTCACAAATACGAACTAACACTTGACAGGATACGAGCCGGTGTAGTGCCCGACGTACATAGGACGATTTGTACTCCATCTCCCGTGGAGCGTTCTTCCTCTGACAAGGCATAGCAGGTTGAAGGTGAAATCCGGCGTCATGAAAACATCAAGCGTGGGCCGTCATCTACTCGGACCTTCGGTTAGAAAGATCTCACCATTGTAGGCCAGATGATGCCGTACTTCTTGCACTAGGATAGGACGGATGAGTAGTACGAGGGAGAAACAAAGGATTGTATATTGAGGCAGAATCTACTTTTCGGGGCCAGAGCCAATAGCCTATCCAGTGATGGGACCAGATCAACTGCCTGGTGAGGCTGGCGTAGATTAGAAGTTGATATGTAGTAAGAGAGTTGTATTCCAATTACTATGGAAACAATAAGCCAGTCATACTCGCCCCAAAAAGCCCGACCCGCATGTCAGTAATCGTGGAGCACCGTGTCATTCTCATAAAGCGAGATCGTGTTTCTCGGCGGGTACTAGGTGATAAAGGTCATCATGGATGCGTTCAAATCTGTCAAATTCCATGTGCTTTCTCGGGGGACATGCGTACCTAGGTACTCGCCAAAAGGCACTTGTTGCTTTGGTGCGTATCCAGGCACATTATATAAGGTAGGTATATAACCGTGACATGTAGTAAGAGCTTCTTCCTCGGTGTAATAGATTATGTACGTGCCTGCCTACCTACCTCCTTAGTAGCAAAGGTGTCGTATAACAAACAGGTAGAGAAGGAGCAACCATGCCGCCGGAGTCGGCGGGCTGCCCAACCAATCGGCTACAGTGGAACCAACTGTCCTACCAAGTAGGTACCTTAGTAGGCAGGTATCCCTACTAAGGTAACTACGCCTGCTTCCCCCCTCTTGCTAATATCTTCTTCCCTCTTCTCTTCTCTTCTCTTCCCTCTCTCCCCCCTCTCCCCCCTCTCCCCTCTTTCTCTCTTCACTTTGCTCTCTTTTCCTACACACACCCAACGCAAAAACGCAAATCAAAACGTAAGTGTCATCGTTCTTACAGTCATATCCCGAATCTTGCTCCCACTATCGAGACTTGGATTTCCTTTCTCCTCTGAAAATACTCTATGCCCAGGGGGAAGCCTGGTTCTTACCCAAGCCTACTCATGGGTTTCTCCCAGCCGACTCATCACTCCGATCTTTGAAATTTTGTGTCTCTTGAAGTCAAGACGACAGGGTCCCGTCATCTCCTACAAATTTGTATCTCGCACGACTGAAGGACTTTGAATGACTGAAGCTAACGCACAAGCAGCGGCGGCACTGGGGCAAATATCACATCAACGGGTCCCCATCATTGCCCCGGTGCCGCCTCAACATCAACCCTCACGCTATGACAAGTTGGGCGAATTCTGGCTCCGTCCGGATCTCCCCCCGAAGGGTTTCTTTTCGGCAAGGAGCTGGAATTCGCCCAACTCCAGGAGGACGAAAACGGTAGGTAGCTGGCCTATATGAGTCCCACAATCTTAACTCTCCTGCTAATATTAGACTCGTGTAGCCATCGTGCCTCGACTCCTCGCCGGTCGGCAAATGGCTCTACGAGCAGCATGGGTTCAAGACAGTGCGGATTAGCTGGTTCACGGAGGACATCATCTCCTATCATGGGTGAGAGAGTTTGAGTACAAAATAGAAAACAGCGATGGAAGAGGCCAGACCCGACATCTCAACACAATGAATACACATCTCCAACTACATGTTGCAAGTAACATGAACGCAACTTTACATGTAGTAAGTGAGATAGCTATGCAGTTTATACAGCAACTACTGACAAAAAAAGGGGGAGGGGGGACACCCAAACACCAAGAAATCGACAACCTAATACTATGTCCAGCATCACAACACATCAAACTTCAGCCTTGTTGCCCAGCCATGAGGCTTGCGCCCGGCCTAACAACTGCACATGCAAGTGGCTACACTAGACAGGTGGAGGACGCCGGGGTATTCAGCCCTAGAAAACCAATCAACATCAGCAGACTTGATTCGTTGTCCAGACGAGCCACAAGCTACCGTTCAAGAAAATTCCCAACCATTCTCATCTTGTATCGCACTGCCTCAAGGTACGAACTGAGCCCCTCACTCTACATCTAGAAGATTTGAAGCTAATCAGGTCAACTCAGAGCAAGCAATTTGAAATAAGTTCTATTTGCAACAAAGAAGCGACAATTTATGCCTGGTGAGAGACTTATTCTCAAGTGCCTTCCATTTAATGTTTTGTGCAGCTAACTGAGGTATCCTCAATGTGATATAGGGCCTCAAGTGCCGCCATGACCGTGACCGACCGACACCAGGTTCTGGGTGATCTACCGACTTACATGAAGCAAATGGGTCCGCCTCTTCCTTGCGGGTCCTTTCAACTTCCTCGATCCACACTATTCTTTCAAACGAAGGTTAACTCCAAGGTTCGTTCGCACGAGGGTTCGCTCCAGTCAAATGAGAAAACTCTCGGATTGTCGCATCTAGGAACCTAGGCAGGTGTGCCTTATAAGATGAACCACAAAAAACAAGAATGCGGTCACTAGCGTTGCGCATGCAGTTACAAGTCACCAGACCTCAAGTCCATTCAGCGCCAGGTGCGGCATTCTCATGACCAACTGTGGGCCGGTAACCTTGACAAGGAAGACGGCTGGAATTCTCTATCATCGGTCAATAGAGATATTCAAGCAATGAACTGGCAGGATTGCATAAGAGGGGAAGCAACAGTGCATGCGCACATAGTATGTGCAAAGAAAGGGGGAGAGGGTCATGGATAGAGAGCAAGGCAAATGCGAACACGAGAAGATTTGGTCATGGGAAATCTAGCAGGCAAGCACACAGCCTTGAAGGGTCAAGAAGATGACGTATTAGTTGATTTGAATAGAATCTGAATTTATCACTTCAAAGGGATTTATCTGCCGACAGAACAAGTAAGAAATGCACTCCAACGGGATGAGATTCCTCCCAAGTTCCAGCACCAACTGAATGGCATCCGTCTGTATCCGTATCCGTATTGGAGCTACTCAGGCAGGGTCTGTTGATCTGCTGGTTCAATGGCTGCATGAAGGGTCTTTCAGGGAGTCCAGGCGCTGCCAAGCCCCACACTTAGGGGCGTCCCCACCAAACCACTTTCCCGTTGGGGCCTGGGTACGCCGGCTTAGTGGGCGGAGGGCGCGTGGATTAGTCAGTGCGGCCACTGTCAGGGCGCTAGAGCCAAAGGCACAGCACAGCGCACCTGGCCAATTTCCCCGTGGCCTGGCCTAGTGACCAGGCTAAAGCAATCATTTGTCCTCCCCTCGCATCCGAACAAGAGGAAACAAAAAGAAAGAAAAGGATGGGTTTTCCACGCCTGCCCGGCCAGCGCCCGGCTCCCTCCAATGTCCGCATCAAGACCAAAGCCAGCCGCGACAGAATGGTGGACAGAGAGAAGCGAGCCGCCGCCGGGCGACAGAGTCGGGAGGTGACGGACCATCTATTCGCCCCGAACCAGCACACAGAGACGGAGACGGAGAACGAGGACGAGCGGCAGCCACAGCAGCAGCAGCAGCAGCAGCCGGGCGCCCTGCTGGAAGACGGCGCGCGAGCAAATCCCAGTCCCAGCAAAGGCTGGCTGCCGCCCAGCAATGGCTTCACCTGGAACCAGATCTTCTACATCTTCATCTTGGACGGGCTGGGAGGCATGATCCTCTCTGGCGGCATCAATTTCGCCATAGCCTACGGTGCGTTTGTTTTCTTCCCCTCCCCCCTCTGCTCCCCTTACCGTCGCCCCGGTGAACTCTCAAATGGGTCGACGGATTGATCGTCGACCCCTGTCGTGTTCGCTCTTCACTTACACTAATGCTCCGTACTGACCGCCTCTGCTCCAGTCATGTACACCGTCCCCGACCTCACAGGCAAGCCAATCCGCCTCTTCGAGCTGCCAAACACCCTGGCGGGCGACGCAGCCGTCACCATCATCATCCAGTGCCTCATCACCTGGTTCATCGAGTCCGTCCTCGTCGCCACGGACCTGGCCAAGCAGGGCGTCCAGCCCCTGTACCTCTGCGAGGCCCCCACCTCGCCCCTGCTCCGCTGGCTGTTCCTCCTCGACCAGCCGCAGCCGCCCAAGTTCTTCCCCAACCTGCTCCAGCAGGCCCTGAGGGGCTTCATGATGGCCTTCCCCAGCTTCGTCCTCTTCTGGCCCCTCTCCGTCGGCGTGCTGACCGAGCTGGGCACCCCCAGCGGCGGCGACTACGTGTACGAGAAGAAGTGGGTGCCGCAGTTCTTCAAGCTGCTGCTGGGCGGGCTGCTCGGGCTGGTGTCGACGCCCGTCATGGTCATGTTCTGGCTGGTCAAGGCCGGGTGGGAGAGCAACTTTGTCCACGGGCGTCCCTGGGTCTGATTCCGGAGGGGTCGGCTTGTCCGGAAGAAAAAAGGAGTTGGGGGTTGTTTTCATTGCGCCGCATTGCTTTTCGATTTCATCTCTGGGTCCCGGCACAATTGGCATTTTTGCAAGCGCAGCATTGTTTAAGCGCCGCTGAAGGTTATTTGGCGGAAATTGGTTCAGCATTCAGGGGGTTTGCGGGGGTGCAACTTCCAAGTCATGCACCATCATCTCATTTCTCAGCCTTGCGTACGATGAACAAAAAAATCATGGGTAAGGCGAGAATTACGGTAGAAAATAGATCATATATAATTCATTTTTGACCTAGTAGAATGTTTGCCAATGCAGAATCACACTGAAGCATGCAATGCCGCGATATGGTGGCCACTGAAGGTGAACTAATCCCGGCAGGCGATCACTGGTAGCACACGCTCATCCGGTACTGACGGAACCCGCCGCCCAGCCCCAACAACCTCTCCATACTGAATCAGCTCTGAGGTACAAAATTATATCAGGGAGAAGTAATAAATCAAACACCACAATCATACGGTATTTCCAACCACAATCCAGACTCACGACAGTTCCACCTGCAGGAATATTTACGCTGAAAAACCTAGCCCTTCGCAGAAGCCTATGTAGGTACTTCATTCTCATCTTATCTAATCACCAACAGCTGCATGGTGAGAGCACTGACGAGGCACATGAAAATACTACAAGGAGACATCTTTGATGATAGCCGTGATGTAGTAGCAAGAAGGGAGTAGGCAAAGCTAATTGGAGAGTGCGAGGTGGAAGTTAAGAGAGAAAGGAGGGGCGGAGAGGGTGGGATGAAAAGAAGCAAAAGAGTATGGCTGAGGGCGCCGAGGAAAGGGACAAGTGGCGCGTTAACCCTGTGCACCTGACAGAATATTCACGTCAACGCACCTTTCAAAAACGACGATTGGCAACTGGCCTGACTGCTGTCACTGTAGGCTCACTATCCAGTTGGCCATGTCCACACACAAGCCATCAAGGGCGAGCAATGGGGACGAACTCCCGTCCCTGTCGTCCCAATGCAAGACGCGAGCTTGGCTTCTTTATGAACCTCTATCAACCTTGTCGTCTTAGCAAAGATAATTGGCATCGTTTAAACGGATAATTGCACCTTGACAAGAATCATGAAAGGTTCGCCATCAGGTGACGACTCAGTGCCAACTCACCAACCACAACAGGCTGGATCACTTTACGAATTAACGGGAATCTTTTGCAATTTACGAGCCTGCTACGCTATTCGATGTTGTACCATATGCTTTGGAATCCAAGCGACATCCCGAAGGAATAGCTTCATGCTTATTCCAGCGTCTGGGGTGTGTCGGTTTTCTATGGTCATTCTATCCAATCCCATTCGTGGGTGTAAGGCGAAGGGTAAAGTGTAATGTACACCAAGAGGTCCCAATATCCAAATAATAAGCCAAAATTAATATACTGCTTCTTAGCCTGCTGAAGCGTACATCTTAAGCAGGAGAAAGACTTTGACCTGGTGGCTTGACTCGCTAAACAACCACCTCATATCCTCCTGTAAGTGAGCTAAACGGTGTGAATACCCGGCTTCAATAACGAGCGTAGGCCACTTTCGTAAGCTCTGTTCGCCAGGCCGGAATGGGCCTCCGCTTGAGTCACCTTCTTCGGCATTGGGAAAAAAGGTGGGATTGTAATAATGAATAAACCACGATCTGGTTAGTACCTCGAGATCGGTAATTTAAAGTCAATGATTTCAAGTCAATGGCACCTCCTTCTCACGGAGCGATGGGTAGTGATTTCAAATAGGCCCGGCATTGCCAGGTTCAGATTCAGACTACTCGAAGTTCAGGAAACAACCGTACCAAACGCCCATTTTCCCCCATCCACGTTCACCGTGTTTCCACTCTCTCCCCCACCACGTTTCCATCCCCTTTCCAACTCCACCAAAATCCGACCCCGTTTCGGAGTCGAACTTTGCGCACCCTTGGAATCTTTGGCTGGTCACAGCAGACAGCCAACCTTGCTCGTGTATTGAACAGGGGGCTGTCGGCAGCAGGAAGAGAAATATCTCTTCCCTACGTGCCAACAGCCCCCTGTTCCCAGCAGGCACAGTCCTACTCAACCGTCTAGAACAGGCCAAGGGCTATCATAAGAAGGAAGTAGAGCTGCATTTATCGTAGCCCGGTTAGCTCGAGGTTCCAAAGCTTGAGGTTCTAAGACAAAAAAAAAAAGGGAACGGTATACTTGGAGACACTTACAAATTCGGCGATGTTGATCCCCATCTTAGAAAGGATGGCGAAAATAACCAGTTCGCTGATGCCATGGGGGTCACGGCGAATTTGAACGCCGGTGAGCAGCTCGGTGAGCGTGAAGGACACGAGCACAAAGACGAAGAAGAAAGCCGAGCAGATGATGAAGGCGAAGGTCTTCGTGAGGCAGCCAAGACCGGGATTTGTGTTGAACCCCATGAGGACGCTGTGGAACGCGTTGGATCGTCGTTGAGGGGCCTAGTTGGGAAAAGTGAGCTATGTTCGAGTGAAGGATGGAAAATGAGTCGAATTGGAGAGAAACTTACGCGTCGTCTGAGTGACTCGAAAAAGCCAAGGACGTTGTAGACCATCCAGTAGTGGACGAGGTAGGCATGACGGGCTCCGATCAGCTGGGGGATTCCTGTTCCTGACGTGTATGCACCGAGGCACAGAAGGTGAACGCCAGCGGCAAGCTTGTAGGAATTGTCGGCCAGTTCAGTGGTGGGTTGGAAGAAGACAAAATACAGGGAAGCCAATCCGGAGATTTCCGACAGTCTCATGAACGCCATGGGCTTGAAGTTGAGGACCGAAGATAAGACGTAATAGATGACCGCAAGCAGCATGGAGACCACCCAATGGTCTTGGTGAAGCTTTGTGGAAAGCATCTTCTCGACTACAAATACGATGAGAGGGCTCAGCGGCTGGTTGGGAGGCTAAAGACCCTGATTTGTCGATGGAAGGAGATGAAGTGGTTTGATAATCCACACTTGACGATGAGATGAGGAATTCTCTTCTGTAACGCAAAGGAACTGGAAAGATCCGGATGTGCGTAGAAGGAAAGAAGTAGGGCAAGTGGAAATCTGGGTTGCTTTAGACAAGAGGAATGAGGTGGGTGCAGATGTCTTCGAAAGTTCAACTTCAGGTCGGCTAGAAGTTTTTGAAAGAGTGAAGGACAATAGAAGAAGAAAGTGAGAAGAGGTGAGAAGAGATGTGGGTCCTGGAAGTGAGGAATATCAACAAGTGACAGTGTCGTCCAACGCGGGCACGACAAGTCGCGGTTGGCTTAGGGCAGAAGAGCAGAATTTTCACCGTCGACGAGCCCGCCCTCAGCATGTGGCCATTGGCAGCTGACTATAACGTCGTCCCCTATGCAACCACTGCCCACATAGTACCTACCTACCTATTTACCTTCATTGTCATCATACTCACGTGCCCCCTTTTCTATCCACATATCTACTAACACATCGTGCCGAGTCAACACTCATTGCACCCCTAACCATTACTTCTCTCTCGCTTTATCATAGTCAAGTAGTAAAGTTGGATAGGCTTTGATCTATTTCATATTGTGAGTCAACCTAATTCTCCTCGGAAGGGCATAGGTAGTCTGATTTAGGAGCGAGATAGGCAAACTACCAGACGTTCCATTCCAGGCCGCACCGATGCTCCCGATCGAGAACATGATTTCACTCAAGAAATGAGTGAATACAAAGCGCCCTTTGATTCTCCTAGCCACACCGCGCTGTTCTTTGCTTGAGCCGGCATATCAAAGTTTGTCAGGAGAGTACATGTATGAAAGCCAGCACGACTACGACAGGTCTAGCTTTGGACTCGGACACTTTTCCACCATATAGGTTCAGAACACTGTCTCAAGTACCCTGAATATTAAAAGCAAGCATCAGTGGGTTCTGCATTGAGGGCGAGCTGAGGATTAAGATTTCGGGGGTGACGGAAACCACCAGCGTTCTCTCACAATGTTGCCGACCCCCAACATTGGCAACGTTCTTTACCAACTTGAAGGAATTCAGTTCACCAAGGGCTCTGGTATATTATACCATCCTGGCGTGTTTTCTCCTGAGTTGCCGCCCTAGTCCATGGAGTCATGCAGGCCGCACTTTCAGACGGCTGGTCCTAGCCACCTGCGAGCGAAAGGCACCACGAACCCCCATCTGCGCCTATAGTGGCTTCAGCGAGCATCAAAGGAAAGGAGTCAATCTTGGTCGACAAACGGATGCAAGTACTTCGTAGCCGGGCTCTGTCCACGGCGCAGTCTTGGAACGGTGGACGGATCCCATGCTGTCTTTCGACTGTGTGGGTTTTTGCAAGTTCGGTGCAGATCACATTGCCGCGGAGCCTCCTAAACTTACAATCCTCATTGACGAGCCATTGTATCACGTGTATACGATATACGACTTGCCATGATCACCTCCTCTCCAAGGAGACATATGGGGTGACTTGTGCAGAAGCTCCCTAAGGATAGCACGGCGGAAATATTGTTAGGAGGAGTAAGAGAGTAGCAGTACTGGATCAGTCATGTCCTTCGAGTGGTATGCCCCACTCTGAAGTGTCCCGTACGACATCTCTGCAAGCCTTCGCTGTTGGTGATGTATTGTTACCGCTCACGGTGTAGATCCGCAAGAGGGAACTCGGCCACGTTGGCATATCAGAGTCGAAAAAGCGACTTTTGATCTATTCAGGCAGGATTTAGTGATAAGAGGCCCTTGAGAGCCGATTGCCAGGAACGGCTGACCAGCGGAAGATAGGTCTAGGGTGTCATAGAAGTATTGGCACAAAGAAGCGCATGGCACCACACAATCAAAGTTGAATTGCGACAGAAAGTGGGCATTCCATCTCCCACTACCGCAGCGGCCTCTTCGAACCAATATCCCATTGCTTATGGAATGGTTTACGCCTGTGGTGTGCAAGAGGGAGATCCGAATCATAGCAACGAATTCAGCTGAACCCCCCTTGCCAGCCATCTATCTATCGTCGATGGCAAACATCGTCTTTTATGACCCTATTGGGACTAGCGAGTACTCTCGGAGGCTGAAGGGATACTCTTACTCATACGACGGCGCCCATCAGAGCCAGTCTCACATTTTAACCAAAGTACTGTATCTTACGCACACCGGGCTCGAAACGCCGGTTATTGCCATGTCGGGTTTGCTACCCAAAGGGGCGTCGACGACCATGTGGCATGCACGCGCAATCCTTCACTGCGACGTTCTTCATGCGAGGATGCTACATGCTCGGTAAACGAAATGTATTGACCCCCGTGGACCTTTTTTTATTTCGAGCCGGCATACCGAAGGCACCTAGTTGGAAATGTATGAATAGGCCATGCCGCCTGTCTCCGTTTCCCGCCTCAGCTCTCCACGTTTCATGCCGATTACCAAGACTCCAGCGAGCGATGAGTAGTACCGAGTACATTGGATGGCGAATCGACGTTCTCGCCGGCGTGCTCACGCCACTGCAGATTCTCTGCGTCGGCCTGAGATTCTACTCACACCGCCTGAGCGGGAAGAAGTACGATTGGGATGATTGGTTGATTTTGGCTAATCTCTTCACCCAGCTCGTTCTGGCTGGGATGATCTTAGGTCAGTACACCGTGTCGGTGAATGCTAGATGTCATCCAGACTAATGTTCTTCTAAGGTGTGGTGCATCAAGGAGGAGTCGGATACCACGTCGAATACCACGCCGAAAGAGACCCCGAGACACTCGTCATCTACTTCAAATATCTTGCGGCTATCCCGATATGGTACAGCGCGACCATCAATCTTTCCAAGCTGGCCATCCTGGCCGTCTATAAAAGATTGTTTCCACAGAGAAGGATGCACATATGTATCTGGGTCCTGGCCGGCATTCTTGTTGTGCATAGCATCGTCGGAGTCATCCTCCTTTTCACCGTTTGCAGGCCGTTCTGGGCCAACTGGGGATCGCTAGAGGTCCAAAATGCGCACTGCTACGACCGTATCGCCTTATTTCTCTGGTACAGCTTGCCAAGCATCATCACCGACGTGATCTTGATTCTCCTGCCTCTCCCCGTCGTGTGGAAGTTGCAGTTGACGAGCAAGCTCAAGATCGCCTTGACGGTTACATTTTTGATTGGAGGAAGGTATGTCTACCAACCCCCTCCTATTCTTTACAGTGACTTTCATATGCTAAGTATCTACGGAAGTGGTCTTCTCGCATCCATCATGCGATTCCGGGGGTTTGCGGAAAACAATCTGTTCCCCGACTTTACCTGGACCGCGACCGTGCTCATGACCTGGACGCTGGTAGAGCCCTCGATCTATCTCATCTCGGCCTGTTTTATGATGTACCGCCCGCTGCTCGAACGAGTGGTACGCGTGGCCAAAAACTCGACGATTAGGAGTACTACAGGGGCAAAGGGAACATCAAAGAGTCTCAACAGCACGGACGCGATAGAGATGGGACATAGAAGCCAGGTCGGCAGCCATGGTCATAGATTCGAGCGGCTCTACGGGGAGGGGGACGAGGAGGCCCTGAGGCCGACATATGACCCTGCACATATTCATGTTAGAACGGATATTGATGTATCCAAGGCATAGCCACCCACGCCACTCGGCACGTAATACTAGATAATACTACAAACCACACGGCCTAAGGATCCCTATTGATGAGCCACTGTGAAAACTTGGAATCCAGTGCGTGCCAACCCTGTCCTTTCCGGTATTACAAAAACAGGGACAGATGCAATAACCGCCATACAATCCTTGCACGTTCGCACATGTTCCAATGAACTTACAGGAGAGATGCGGCACCAACCTGCAGCTGCACAATCCTTATCGGTGAGGCGGCCATGCATATCAACCTTGTAAATTGGCAAATGTTACAATATCTACGGCAGGGAGGGTTGCTACAGCAAAATGCAGCCAACATGTCGATACGGACTACCGAATACAACCACTCAATATCAATGCATGTATGAACAACGTTATTCTTAAACGTCGACGAAAGAACCAACAGGCGTCCCATAAAAGGCGGGTCTCCGGCTACCACTAATCCGCTTACGGCGAGCGGTGGAGCATTTGCGCCGGCCAAAAGGCAAATCCTATTGGCCAAGACTGTGGGTCAATTCTTGGTCCAATCATAACCGGCGACGGTCTGACGGCAGATCTCCCCTGAATTATTGACAATTGTGCATCCGAACAGGTGATATGGCGCGGCGAAATCAGGTTGCGAGCCCGACCGTCTCACTGTCGACGCCCCCTTTAGACCCTTTGGGTAGGATGGATCGAACGACACGACTTCTTCCTGCCGCCACCGTGCATAAGCGCTGACCAGAAGACCTGCCACGCGTGGAAACAGGATCTCGTCAGACCTGTTAGCAACAGCAGCACAGCTGCTCGGCGTTCATTACCGTTCGAGGCAACTTGTTTAGAGTTGCAGCACCGGGTGCTGGGGACTCGGACGGTATTTGCACGGCAGATTTTCTGTGCGGCACGCGGGTTTGGAGGTAACGGTAGCCTTGAGATCATCTTCCTCCCACACCACGTCCCCCAGCGCAGCACAACCACGCCATTCTCGAACATCAGGTCGCCGTTTCGTATCCAAAAAGCATCCTTTGTCACACTAGGGCCGGCTCGGGACCCGCCGGATCGTGCCAGTAGGGGCATACAGGGGCGACGGGGCGACAGGGACCGGCACAGGGGCATCAGGCAAGGCGCAGTAGGATCGTGATCGAACATGATTTTTGTCTTCCTGCCACCATTTCGCAGACCGGCAAGATTTGGGTCCATGCCGGTTTTTCCCACGTCGAAAATCTAAAAAAGAATCTCTGCATGCTTGGCAAATTTAAACACTGGGCCGGGTTCTGTTCCTTCCACGCCACATCGTTCGATACCCCGCCTCCTCCTTCTACGAATTTCCAAAACTTGGTTGTCTTCTCCCCACACCAGCCAAGTTTTCACCTGGCAGGGGTTTCTGACGACTTGAAACTCTTATCTCGAATCTCGAAGTGGTTTCATTTCGTCATGTCCACCGTCGGCACTACGAGAACGTTGGAGTTGAAGGCAGGCGAGCAAGGGCCCTCGACTGTTTTATGCCACTAATACGTCTAAATCAGGACAATCAAGATGCACAAGCTCTCTTATACACGGACCCCAGCAACGATCGTGGATCGGGTGTAGGCTTGGCCCATACCCAAACCGTCCTTGGCCGGAGATCTTATGATTGACCTGTAACCCATGCCGCAGGATACTCAACCATCTAGTTGACCGAGCCGGTATTACCAGCATGGATTCGAAAGCTATTCTCAATACCTATGTGGGTAAGGAAACCAGAAGTGAGACGTTGGTGGATGTATCTTCGCATCAAGGTACAGCCCTGATGTATATGCCCCAGCCAATATTAACAACAGCCTTAGCGTTACTTCTGCAGCGTGTACCGGAGGTGAGTTTTCCTAATACATACCTAGACAATCGCCTCGCCGTTAACAGTACTTTTACAATGTACAGTCTTGTCATGAGCCAGACTCAGAAGGGACCCCGCCGGGAAAGTCTTTCTGAAGGCTTCTCTCTTGGAGGAGCAGCCCGCCCCTTTAGTCAAAATCTGGGCAAGGTCCCGAAGAGGCTAGAAGCCTAGTATGGAGAGCGCAACTCAGGTTAGCATACAACGGGGGGCTAGACTCCTGAATGAGTTGTCGATGTCGAACGTCATTTGTCAATTCAGCCTTGCTGAGCAATCCATGGGCCTACAAGACGCATGAACCACTACCCTCGAAAGTGGGAACAACAAAAAAAACCGGTTATCGAGTCTTGGTTATGTTGAGGCTCGTTCACTACAGTGGTCACTGTACGTAATCACAGACAGCATTGACTGTTAAACAGATGGTTGGTACCAGGTGCTGATTGGGTGAAGCAGCCATCCGGATCTGCAACTCTATCTGGTCCCAGGACGATGGTGGCGCACCAGACTTCGCTCATAGACTGGCAATGGAAACCTTATAGAAGAGTCAGTCAGGACACTAGACTTAAACGGCCGGGCGTTTGCGCATGTCCGGTACAGGCAAAGCCGCGGAAGCAGACCTGCGGCGGGATCATCTACGCCCGCGGCCATCCATCTCAACGACGTCTACACCATCACCACGGGCGCAATCGCAGCCATCACCATCACCTGCACTCGAACAACTGCAATAGACATGTCCGATAATGCGACGATATTTTTCGGTCCCCACACGCCTCTTCATCACCATTCCCCAAGTCCCACCAATGAGCAAGCTTAATCTGGCTTAATGAGCCTCGCCCGTTCCAACGAGAAAGTCTAAATGCTGCCTATCTCAGCATTTCAAGTTCCAGTCGTCTTCAGGAGGCTTGCCACAGTCTGGCGCCTTTTATTCATCGAGCGGCCGATCTCTGCCACTGGTTCGCCGCCTTGAGGCTAATGGCGCTGCCTAGACAGGCCATAGAAGCCAGAAGGAATCCACGCGTTCCTCATGGTTATCGTTTGCACGGGGACGGACTGGCTCCGTACTAAAGAGTCCCAGCTCCATCTCTGAATGCCAGTGCCTTCTTCTCTTCTTCTCGAATCGATTCCCCGCGTCTGCCCACCCCCCGGCGCATTGTACCTCCCGCTTGGATGTTTGATGGCCGCACGCGCACGCGAGGAACCTCGACACCATGGCCGACGACGGCAACAAGAGGCCAGGCCTCATCGCTACCTTCTGGATACTCGCCGTGGTCAGCGGCATGATGATGGGTCTGAGGCTGTACTGCAAGGTGTGGCGGAGCCGAGGTCTGTGGTGGGACGACTACACGATGCTGCTATCATGGGTATGTTGAAAACGTCCCGTGAGCCTCTGGATGTCTGTGACGCGGGCGGTTAATTTAATGTCTTGTAACCCCGACAGATGGCCCTGGTGGCAAGCGTCTGCTTCGGCACAGTCATGGTCCTGCGAGGGTTCGGAGACCACTTCTGGGCGATTGGGCCGGACGACATCGTCGTCGTCAACTTCATGACCTTGCTGGTAACTATATTCTCGATCGTGGCCACTTCTGTGAGCAAGACCTCGTTCGCCTTGACGCTGTGCCGGCTCTCGTCGGACGTCTACCTGCAAGGCATACTCGTCTTCATCATCGTTAGCGTCAACGTCCTAATGAATGCTATTTGGGTCGCGGCACTCGCCATGTGCGCGCCGACCGAGTCGGTGATGAACAGCAAGATTCCTGGAGAGTGCTGGAGCAACCCGGTGCTCTTCAAGCTTTCACTCGCCAGTTCTTGTAAGCCACTCTTCAGATCTCCTCAGTTTCTCTCCTCGCATCATTCGATGGACTAATCAACGTGTTCCAAAGTTTATTCAGCGGTCCTAGATTTCATCCTTGCGATTCTTCCCTGGGTCGTACTCAAAGGCATGACGCTGAGCACACGGGAAAGGCTCGGGGTCTGCCTCGCCATGAGCTTAGCCGCCCTGTAAGACCGCCTCGACCCATGTCATAACTTGAAGAGCCACAGCTAATCATTCTCCCAGTGCTGGTGGAATCGCCATGGCCAAAACATTCATGGTGTTCCACATGTCGTCAGCAGACTACACCTACTCTCGCGCCAACCTGGTCATCCTCGCGTTCGCCGAACCTGCCATCTCAATCGTGGCCATGTCCATCCCCGCATTGTAAGTCGGATAGACCCAACACCGGATCTAAAGGGCACATGCTGAACTTGGAATAGCCGGACCCTATACCGCGGGATCAAAACCCGCCGCCGAAGCGAGTTCGGCAGCAAATCCTCCCAAGCACCCCTGCGCCAGCCGACATTCTGCAGCTGGACCTCCGTGCAGGCCTCCTCGTCGCGCAGATCCACGTTGGGAAACCTGTGGAAGTACGGCCACCATTCCGTCATCGTCTCGGCCGGCAGGCAGGGCTCGGTGGCGCCGCTGGACTCGGGGAGCGAGTCGAGGAGGCAGAGCACCAAGATCGTGATACCGCCCCGGGGCGTGATGAAGACGGAGGAGATTGTCGTCCGCCACGAGAATAGATTTTCAAGGGGGGATAGCATCGCTGCCATGACTAATGCATCAAGCGCAATTGAGAAGTCATGGTGAATGGGACCGGAAACCCATCGCAGTATGAAAGCTACGGACGTCACATGAAGCATAGTATTATAGAAACTAAATAGCGAAGATTTGAACTGTTTCAACCATCCTCTGTTAATTTATATATAGATATATGTTAGTGTATCCAGACAAGATCGAATCAGGTCTATTCACCACGGTATATTCCAACTTCCAGCTATAATCCAAATCCACACATATATAGATCATTCCACCTGGGCCCACTGCCGCCTCAACATCGCCATCCGGGCCGGGCCCGACAAGCTCATGGCCTCATTCGACGCCTCCTGGGCCTGCTTCGCCATAGTGGCCCCGGTCAGCAAGTAGTCGTTGGCATGCCCGTACCCCGCGTACGAGTTACCAACGGTGTAGCTGTGACCGATCGTGTTGTCCACTGAGTGGCCAAGGAAGTTGTAGAACGTGGACGAGGACCGAAGCCGGTTGGCTTGGAAGGCAGCCATCTGCATGTCCGCCTGGATCCGGTCACAGACGGCAACCGTGGCGCACCAGACTTCGTGCCGCTGGTTGGCGATTGCTAGAAACCCCTCGAGGTCCCCAGTCTCGCAGGCCTCCATGTAGAGCTTCCTCATCCGCGGTGAATACATATCACACATCCGACCTTTGGGATCTGGATCCCCTTTGAGGGCGAATCTCCCCTCTAAGGCAGTACCCTTTGCAAAGGATACATAACACTCCTCGCATATGGCCGAGACACCCCAACCCCAAAATTTCCTGTTCTTTCCGCGCCGATAGTGGTCACCGGGGCAGGTGAGAACGTTTCCATACGTCCCGGCGTATTCCCCGATATATTTCGGATCCCCTGTTAACGCACTCTGGACGAACCGGGCCATGTAATTGCCAAACCGCCCGTGGTTGGAATTAAACCCGCATAATATCTTCGGTTCAAACCATGGATATTTTCCTTTGTCGACGAAGAAGTGCTCTGCTCCCATGGGTTCAACGACAGCCGCGAAACAAGCCTCGCATATTCCAAACCCGGGCGGGTTGTTGGGGAGAGTGTACCACTTCCCCCCCTGGATCCCTTCAGTGGTGCAGGGCTGGCTCCTAACAACCGCTGCAGCTTTCCAGAATATCTCCTCGTCGTCCTTCCAAACGGCCGTGTTTGCGGCAATCTCCAAGTACGAATTCCCTATGTCGCAGTGAGTATCGTAGTCTCCGCCGCCAACCTGGTTAAAGGCCTGGGCATCCGGCTTCCCAACAAAGTAGTCAAGATAACAAGCTACACATATTTGCATACTCGGACGACCTTCGGAAGTTTGATACCAAGGAAGTCCTTGCGCCTTTCTCTTCCCTCCCTTTGGGCAAGGGGGCATCGAAATACGAGCACTGACACCCTCCACAAAGTTTTTCCATTCTTCCATCTTCTTGGTCTCCTTCAACAAACGATCGATAAACGTGCAAGCTAGATCGCAAGTACATCCATTGGGAATCGTCTGCATCGTAAACTTTTCCCGGATCGCAGGTTCGATGCCGGCATCCTCGAAGCACGCCGGGCACATGGTCGATCCCGGGATTTCCGAACTGACATACCAAGCTCTGCCCTCAGCTGAAGCAGCCGCGGGACACGGCGGGAGGGCGGCTCTCGTCTTCATGTACTCCAGTACCGGAGCAAGGTCGCCGGAGGAGAGGGCCGCGGGCCAGAGCTGCTCTTTCATCCGGCGGGACGGAAAGCTACATTTTGGGCTTTCGGCCGCCTTGATGTGGACCCTTTCGAAGGACTGATGGAACCTGGGGTCGTAGACATGCTCTGCGTAGCATCGGGAACAGATGTATAATGAGGGTACGGCAGGATGGTGAAACCAATCCGCATCCAGACTAATACCATCGGCAGCGCACTCAGCGAGGGGGGTAACTCCGCAGGGGTGTGGTTTAGGGAATTTCCATGACACTGAAGCCGCCTCAACCGGGTCCGTGGGCTTCAGATTGGGGGTTTGAGATGGCTGTTCGGCTTGGGGAGGAATGGGAACAGGTGGTTCCGAGATACTCAGAGACTGTTTGGCCGGAGGGGCCCAGTTCGGAGGCGGCCCTGGTGGGGGCTCAAAGTCGGTATCCGGATCATTGGTCGGGATTTGAGTAGGGCCAGGCAAGTGAGTTGAACCCTGCCGGTGTTGTGGCGGGACCTGCCCTTGGGACTGCGCTGGTGGTTTATGGTCCTGGATACGGAGGTTCTGCAGCTGGCTCCCTACTAACTCCATCTAAGTATTACACATAGACCAGGTTTCACCTCATAACATGGGGAGGGATATAGAGATCGGATGTGCGGGTGGGTGGTGTACTCACGGGCGTCTCCGCCAGCGGAAGAGTCCTGTAAGGAGAACAGTGGATTCATGAGATAGCTTTATCACAAAGTGAATATCAATACCTAACTCAAAGCAAGCGTCGATGAATATGGCCTAGGGGAGGATGAAGAATTCTATAAGGTCTGAGGATGATAATGCAGGTTGCTCCCACGCCAAGAAGAAACAACGTCACTGCCGTCGCCCACAGCACCGTCTATTACGAATTGCCTATTTGGGGAACGCCGCAGGGTCTGTTCCGTTTGGCTAGGCTAATCCATTACTAATCCGTCCAGCTTGCCTCACAAACCAACCGCCCGTTATTGCCTACGGTATGAGATGGCCTGCTATGGTAATACCTCCAGCCCTATGTAAAAGGATTACGACAAACTACCTAAGTTAGTGCCCCTTTCTATAGAAGCCTTGTAATTAGAAAAGACAGCGAGCAACCGCTTAAATTAGTGAGCAAGTATCGACCAGAATTATCCACGCCGATACAACTTACATAATCATGCTTCACGTCAGGTCCCAAATTCCTGCACACCTCTAGCCTACCCTGTATGCCCTCCAGTACATCAGCCCAGCCGTCAAAATCGCACAAAGACTACCAGCAGGTGCTCCGGACGTCGTTCTTATTTCATACCATCTTAGTACAAACTTTTTTATGTCATAATTGTAGCATACCTACCTTGTAAAACACAACAGTTTATCGCAAGGATGGGGACAAGTCTGTCCACATTTGCAGATCAACATCATCAGCAACCTACCTTTGGCCGCCTTCATCCTGGACCAAATCGACAGACCGTAAGTCAGAGAGTAACCACACCCTCATTCACATACGACCATACCTATTAGGAAGCACTGGATCCCGTCTGCTCTCCGAGCGTTAAGCTAGTAAGGGGCCGATTAGTAGCTGGGTCGGTGACGACCAGCGAATCCCGGCTGTTGTATGTATTTTGCTTTTTGCCTATTTCTTCCTCAAGTCTTGCTGGTTATTATGGCGGTTAACAAGTAGGTGGGGGGATATTACAGCCCAGTGTGCCGGGGAATAAACCAACAGGTGACCTTTACGTTCCGGTTTCTTTGTTAGGAACAGTATTATTGACAAACGGCTGAGACTACCGACAACAAGGAGCCGTGACGGCTTCTCGTCAGCCTCGTGAATCGCTATACTGTCGGAGTCACCCCGAGAGAGGCATGGTGGACTTAGGTATAATACCTTACGATCCATTTCTCACGTCAATTGCAGATCCTCCCTCAAGAAGTGGCTGGTGGGGCGTCGACTGAATACGACTACTACTTTGTGAAACCAGTATCGTTCCACCTCCTCTGATGGGTATATAGGCTAATTGGATATAGCTACTGTTCTGTCAATAAGTTAGCAGAGTTCTATAGGACCGAATAGAATTACGCAACATCGAGTGATGGGTTGAGATGGGAAGGCCGAGTTACATTGACAGCTTGCTGCCGAGGTCTGGCAGACACCATTGACACCTACGACGCCGACAAACGACCTATCAGATACGGCCGGCCAAGGCCTCTCAACTTCTACCTAATCTAGGGCAGCGGACGGGGAAGTCCCGGAGTTAGATCCACATAGGTTGCATGACTTGTCAGGAGGGAAACGGTTATCCAGCTTCCGATTCAGGCCGCTGCTATGCGACACGCCTTGCCAATAATTGCACTGCTCGCACATTCACATGTGGAATATCTCAACTTATTTGAAGAATGAATCCCGCCTCCCTCCTTCGACTCCAATATCACACCCTCTATACCGAACCGATTCCTCCCTAACAATCCAGTTAGCAGTCATGTTGCCAATACTCTCCACTATTGCCACGCTTCTTGTAGGCAGTTCCTTCACATTTGCCCAAACGCTCCAAGATGTCACCGATTTTGGGCCCGTGTATGAAACCAGTCTTACCATGAAGATCTATGTTCCATCTGAGCTGCCATCTAACCCAGCAATCCTTCTTGCGGTTTGTCCTACCCCAATTCCCCCAACTAGCCAAGGACTCTCTATATCGTGGCTTCTAAAACGTACTCAACTAACGTAATCGACCCTCCTTGACCAGTTGCACGGATGTGGTGGTAGCGGTCAACAATACTTCCGCTCAACCAACTACACTGGTCTGGCTGATGCCCACGGTGTCGTCCTCATCTACCCTTCCACCCCCAAGGACAGCAATTGCTGGGATAACCACAGCAACAAATCTCTTGCACATGGCGGCCACGGTGATACCGAGGTTCTGGTTAATATGATTGACTACATCGTCGACGAATACAACGCGGACGCCAACCGGGTCTTTGTCGTTGGTACGAGCTCCGGTTGCATGATGACGAATGTTCTCTCAGCAACCTACCCTGACCGCGTCGCAGCTGTTTCCTGCTACTCCGGAGTTGCCGCTGGCTGTCTAGCTGGCCAGAAAGGCTCCAGCCCAATTTCTAGTGATCGCGAATGCAGCAACGGAAATATTCAGAAGACTGGTGAGGAGTGGGCCGAGCAGGTTCATTCGATGTATCCGGGATACGGCGGGAACTACCCGCGATTTTTGACCTGGCATGGCAATGCCGACACACTTGTGTTTTATCAGAATCTGATCGAGCAGCTGAAGGAGTGGTCGACCATCCAGGGAGTAGAGTTCTCGAAGAACGAGACAGACACTCCTGAGCAAGGATATACGAAAATGGTGTACGGTGATGGTACAAAGCTGGTTGGCATCTCAGCCGATGGAGTTGGTCATGTCGTTCCCAACCATGAAGAGGAGGATTTCAGGTGGTTTGGCCTTATTTGAGATCAGTGACGCCCGCGGCCCTGTCTTGTATCAAATCTGACAGTGGGCAGTCAGTATGATCTGGTAAAAGAAAAGGGATAACCGATTTCTAGAAATTACTCATCTTGCTTTGTCTGGTTTTACCCAGTCTTGGTCAAGACAGAGACTAGAGACTGTCTCCGGTAGTTCCAGTGTTGTCTCAAATCTTGTCAATCCTTAGGCCAGCTATCGGGATTTCCCAAAAAGAGCCACTAGAAGTTCCGGAAACACACCCATCGCGACAGACTGGAGTTGTATTAATGTAGATCAAGATGAGGCAACTTCAAGAGTAACTAGCTTTGTTCTCCAGATGGGCAGTTAGCGGTCTCGGATAACCATCTGCGACCGTAATCAAAGATCGATTGCTTACGTTAAGTGTGTTAGCGACAAGATGGAGCGTGCGGTTTTAGGAGTGTCCCGTATTAGTGGCTTCAGCATACCATCGGATATTTGAAAACCCCTCGTAGTAACTATCCGTAAAATTAGCATTCATTGCAAGATGTGAATCTACATAGAGGAATGATGCTCACTGGGTCGAGGGGCGAGAAGACAGTCTATGTGGTCATTAGCTTGAAATATGACCAGAAGAAAACCCTTCTGTAAACTTTAGGAGAAAGTTAATGTCAGAGGTGTGTCGAGATGGTATAATTGGGCGACGTACCACATAATCTTTCATCCTCTTATCAAAGGGTATTTTCGTTCTTGATGAAGAAACGCTATATGCCGAGAAAGTTATTGGGCAAGGGTGGTATATTCAAAGGAGAGAGAGTCATCTGGCTTTAGTAAGAAATTACCTTGCTATGAGTATAAGGGAGAACTTACAAGTTGAGGGCTCAGAAAATTATGAAAGATAGGTAGGGAACCGACGGACACCAGATCAGAGCATGGCTTCTCTTGAGGAGTATTCGTTGGCAAGGCTGGCAACTCTGCAAGTAGAGGAATGTTTCAGAAGGAATCCAAGCGGAAGTATCTTGCAATGTATCTATGTGACATGTTAAACTCTGCGTTCGGTGTTTTGTGATGTCGGACGTAAAAGGAACGTCGTTGGGAGGAGATTCCGGGGTTACTTAAGATTATCGAACGGTCGAAGAAGTCAAGTAAGCGTTGAAGCATTCGCTTACCCTTTCGACGGCGCTCGATCGACTTTCGCTGGTCTTATTGCATGATGGTACCGACATTGCTCAGGAGCTCTTTCCACAGACAACAAGTGAAATAAAGCTCCATGTTTCGTAATTCCAGGCGATGTGGAATGTGTGATTGTGTCCCTTATTTCTCTCACTGCTCTCTCGACATGCTATCCTCCTCTGCATGTTGCCATTGCCTCCGGTGTAGATAGTATATCTCGTCTCTGTCCCGATGAGAAATATCTACACGCAATTAGTGGTCTCAAACCATACTTACTTTCGACTTCGAGGGAATCCTGATGATATTTCGGACCCAACTGAATTCGTCTCCTCCTCTCCTTATTGGGATGGGTTGCGACCATTTCACTGTTTTTACCCCTTTTTGCAATTTTCGCCTCCCACCGTTATGACCTCCACCTCCCAGATGCGGCTGATTTTCGATCGTTTAGGTTATGTCTTCGCTTCGGTGCAAGCCCGTCTTCTTCAGCTACTCACACGCCCCGTCTTTAGGACAACAGCTTCTCCTTTTTCTTGTTTCCAACGCTGTCCCTTCGTTATGCATCCTACTCTTGTAGTTGCTTGCCTTCGGTCGTATACGTAATTCGTTTTGTCTCTTATCATCTGGCCTGGGTTAGCCAATCCTCCTGCTCGTCTTGGAAGATTCGAGGTTGCTATTCTTTCGGGGTCCAGACCTTTTCTTTTTCTCAGTGTCTACCGTCGTCTAGTAGAACTCAAGATCCTTTTCGTTGCAGACTCTGTCTCCCTGTTTCTTATTTTATGACCTCCTCTTCCCATAAATTCCTTCTGATCATGCTCGATTCTTTCGTTTACGTGCTCGAGATGAGCTCGACTCGGTTTCCTCTTAGTTTGCAACATTTTCTGCTGCCTCTTCCGAACCGCTTCATGTGTAATTTTACATCCTCCTCTTTCAGCTACCTGCTCTCGATCGTATGCGGTTCCTTATCGTTGAAGGTTAATGTTCTTTTGACATTGCGTCATGTGCGTGGGCAGTACCTCTTCCTGTTACTCCATCAAATTCCTCCCATCCTCCTCCTCTTGATCTCAGTTCTCTTACTCGGCCCCTTAACCTTTCCTCTCAACCAGAAACCCCCACTTGTTATTATATCCTCCTCTTTCAGTTGTCTGCCTCCGACCGTATACGGTACCTTGTCGACAAAGGTTAGGTTTACCTTGTAGGCTGGTTCTTCTTGTAGGCAGCAAACTAATCCTCCCCTCTCTCAGATACTTTCCAACCCATTACCACGTCCTCCTCCTCCCCCATACTCTTAGACTCTTTAATCTTTCGCGAACGTAGGTTGCTTTCCTCCCTTCTCTTTGGTTCCCTTCTTCTCCTTGCTTTTATCATGTGGGCATCAACTGCTCCTCCAAACCACCAAATTTCTGTTATTATATCCTCCTCTTCCAGTTGTCTGCCCTCGATCGTATGCGGGACCTTGTCGTTAAAGGTCAAGGTTGACCATGCAGGTCATGTGTTCATGGGCAGCAACTTTGGCCTTGGCCTTCCCCCTTTCCCCCTTCCCTTCCTTCTCAACCTCCCCCGTTATTGTTATATCCTCCTCTTGCCAGTTGATTATTGCCCCCGGCCGTATGCGAGGCATCGTTGAATCTCTCCCAGGAGAGTGTTTCGTGCTTTCTCTTTGTGGTTTGGTTCTTTACATGCGTGTCAACTTCTTGCTCCATCGTACTTCTCCCCTTGCAAGAGTAATGTATCCTCCTCTTTCAGCTAACAGCCATCGGTCGTATACGGTTCTTTCACGTGGAGTTCTTTCTTGCGTACTTCTTTTGCCCCTTCTTCTCACCATCTCTTCTTGCGGCACTTGTTCTTTCGTGTGGGTGTCAACTCTATCCTCCCCTCTTCAAACCCCCTCCCGTCATCATTCCTCCTTTTTCCTCCCAACCAGAAACCCCCCATTTGTTATTATATCCTCCTCTTGCAGTTGACAGCCCTCGATCGTATACGCAAATTGGTCGGAGGGTTTGCTTTTCGTGGGACTCTTCTTCCTTCTTATGATTCTTATTCGTTCGTGTGGGTGTCGACTTCTTTCCCCTGCCTCCCTCGACCGTCGTCGGTAATATTGTATCCTCCTCTTCTTTACATCTACCATAGGCAGTATTACTACATCCTCCTCTTGCAGTTGAACACCCTCGATCGTATGCGCATCGGCCGGAGAATTTCTTCTTCTTGGGATTCTTCTTCCTTCTTAGGATTCTTCTTTCTTCTTGGATTCTTCTTCCTGCTTGGGATTCTTCTTCGTTCGGTTGGACGTCAACTTCTTTCCCCACCTCCCTCAACCGTCGTCGGTACTATTGTACCTTCCTCCTCTTATATGTGGCTATGCCATGGCAGTATCCTCCCCTTTCAGTTGAACGCCCTCGACCGTATGCGGTTCGGTGGTTTTCTTCTGAGCTCGGCCAGGGACGTCGTCGAGCCTTGCCTAAGCAGCGTCGACGCCACTTATTCGTCGACGAATGAAGCGTTACTTCTTCGGTAGCCGGCCGATGGGCTTAAATCTCTTTCCTTTCTCTTCTTGGGTTCTTTTGCAACATTCTTCCCGTTGTTTTCTCCAGTCTCTCTCTGAGAATCCTCCTCTTGCGCTTATTTCGATCGTATACGGGTCACGTCGTAGAAAAGGGGTGGAGGGATGTACCATCAGCTGCTCGTCCCAGCTTGGGCTGGCCACCATTCTTCTTGGCCTCTTAGTTAATTATCACGCCGTTCCCTCCCAGTCATTCGTTCTTTGAACTTACATCATCCGATACGGTATCGGTCCCGACTGGATGGGCATGCAGCCCGATCAGCTTGCTGTGGTAGGTGATCGAGCCACGCTGAAAAATACCCGTAGATGCGTTCTGTCTATTCTGTTAAGCTAGTTAGATGCTGTGAGATATTTTGAGATGTTCTCATCCAGGGATGAGCAGTACCAGCACCAAAAGTAGCTGATGCAACCCAAATCTTGGGCTTTGGCGTACCTTTTTGAATCACTTTGCTCACATTCTCATCCTTTGATGAACGTAAGGCCCCAGTAGAGGCATCTCCTTTGGCATTCCTCGTGGAATCTCGCCTCGGAACGTTATGCTCGTCGTCGTTCGTCCCCGTCGCTCGTCGCCGACATTCGACAGATTGAAAACTCACGACACAACCCAAGTTTTTTGGGCCGTTGGGGATTTCTTTTTGCTAATCCTGCAGAGTTTAGTTTGATCTGTACTTGAAACCCGTCTGAAACAACGTGAAATCACAGACCGGGTGCGGTGAGATGGGGAAGACTGACCTCTCAGACGTCAAGTTGATCCCAGTGAGGATGGTGAAAAAGACAGCCACAACAGAAAAATACGCAAATAGGTCATCCTCTATCACGAATCATCGGCCGTCAGCATCCTTTTGATGGAAATTTCATTGCATCAGAGGTCCCAGGCCCTCCAGAAAATTTGATCGTGTAACTTGGAGGCGTTGTGCAACTACGCCCGCTTCATCGACCAAGTGAGGGTGATGCCCAAAACAATTTCAAAAATGGCAACAAATAAAATTAATTCTGCATACTTACGACCAAGAGGTAATTCTGAACGTCCGGAGATACTTTTTAGGTCCTGGGAAGCCGTTTTGGATGTGGTGTTGGTCAGTGTTGTGGGTGAAGAAATGGGGTTGGGGGGTGAGGGCAGGAGCTTCTCAGCTACATGCCAGCTCAGCTACCCGCCAAATAGTGTGGAGGGGACATGCACAAGGCACCAGTTCCAACAAAACAAGCTTGCAGAGCTTCTACGTGACATGCCTGCATGAAGGCACTGTCAGAGCTGCTCTGTCGTCTTTTGCTTCCACCTACATATTCCATGTGTACACAAACTTGATCCTTGACAGCAGAACCCAAGATGCCTGGTATAGAACTGCATACCCCCTCAATCACATGGCATTGGACCGTAAGTGCACATACATAATCGTCAGTGAACCTTACAACGACCACTTTCGTAGATCATGCCCCTGGAAGCGAGCTCTAGATAGCCACCTCTGACTTAGCAGGCCACATCTGTAACATCCATGGATTTAATATGCGTCTCTAAACAATATGGAAGATTAAACATATGCTTAGATACCTTCCGTAGAACCAGCCTAGGCATAATGGCATGCACATGGTCTTGAGCCTTCGACAATGGATCGTATCTGCAAGAGTTTCGCTTGCAAGCATGGCAATCAAAGGCCATCTCCAACGATCTCCTTAGCAGGCAAAGACACTACGACATATCCCACAATTCACACAAAGTGCACAATGCGAAGGGAAGAAATTTAAGCAAAATGGCTTCCTTCATTTGAGGCTGATACATCAAACGCCATGCCTATGGATGAAGACTGCTTCAATACGCTAACCTTACGGCCCAGTCAGCAACTAATGAACAGGACGATTTGAGCTTGCGAGTATATGAAGCAATGGCCCATGCATGGAGATTCTGCCCCCCTTCCTTTCTGTCGCCAAAAAAAATATCACCCCCCACGCCAACGTGGGCCATCCAGTTGAGGCACCAATGTAAGCAAAATCATCTTAAACCTAGGTCAAATAGACCAAACCACCCTTCATGCTAGTCCGCTCACGCCTAACTCTCCCAATGATCAATTCAAGTATAAGAGTAAGCCGAACCTTACCAAGTAAGGTCTATCGGGACCAATCCTCCAGGGAAAAAAGCCAGCCTCCATTGCCGCCTCAGCAAAGAAAAATGAAGCACAATGCAAGTAAAGAGAAACGAATCCGCTTGGCGTCAGCAGTGACCAATCCTCCAGGAATGACAATATGGTCATTGAAACGCAGGTAGGGAAAGCACAAGGAAAGCAAAATGGCCGGATCCGAGGTCTGTATTGACCAATTCTCGAAGAAAGAAATTTAATCTCCTACGCCAACTTTTTGGCGCTGCCTCTGACGGGAACTTTTAAGGAAAAACCGCGAATGGGGTGTCTTGCAAAAGCTCAGAACAAACAAAAGAAAGATTGCGTATCGTAGAAACCAAGTAAGCAAACTCATCCATCTAGACTCCTAGCCAACAAGCTGCGTGAAGTCGTGAGGAAATATTTTTGACCAGAGTAACCACCGTCCAAATCCATCAAATCCAATGAATTGCTCTTCGTGCTCGCTTAAGAAGCGAGTTTACTGTGCAAGTTAGCATGCCAAGGCTCGACACGTCGGACGGGAACAAAGATAAAAAATAAAGATCATACCTGAGGGCCTGGACCCTGGGGGCCAGGGTAGTGAGGACCACCACCGTATGGGCCAGGGCCGTGGCTGGGCATGCCGAGATAGTGAGGTGGGGGAGGAGCAGGTCGGTAAGGAGTGCCGACTCCAGAGTTGTTCTGGCTTCGCCCCCAGCTGAGACGAACGCGCGAGTTACCAATGGGGTAGCCCTGCATCTGGTTGATGGCCATCTCAGCAGCGTGGCGGTGGACAAACTGAACGAAGCCGCAGCCCTTTCCAGGGGGGATCTTGACGTATGTTATTTCGCCAAATCCTTGGAAGAAAGAGCGGAGCTCATCCTCGGTGACATAACCAGAGAGACCACCAACGAAGACAGTGGTGTTGTTGGGGTCAGTGAACTGGTTCATCTGGGTGCTTGGGTTATAGTTGCTGTAGCCGCCGAAGCCCTGCTGCATACCGCCGTTCCACATCTGGGGCTGGGGCATACCACCGCCCATCATGGGGTTGCCACCGTGATGACCATGCGCGAACCCGTGGTGGTTGTTGCTAGTCAAGTTAGTCTCGTTTCATTGTGAAGTAGGTTCCAGAGGGAAGCCTTACCGGTTCTTGGGAGTGGCAGTCGAGATACGCATGGGGCGGTTGCCACAGTAAACACCCTGCATCTCGACAAGAGCACGCTGCTGGTCGTTCTCATCAGAAAAACGAACGAAACCGTAACCACGGCTCTGGCCAGACATGGCATCCGTCATGATCTTGGCGCTCTTGCAAGAAGGGAAACGAGCCTGGAAAAGCGAGACCAGGACGTACTCGTTGACTTCGGGGCCAAGATCTCCGACGAAGATGGAATACTCAGGACCACGGTCCTCCCTACGATGAACTTTTAGTGGGGGAAGTCCAAACGACTTAAGTTTGAGGGTTGGTTCGTCAGTGGGAGGGTTGGGTCCAAAGCCACCAGGTGGCCCAGGAGCAGGGAAGTCAGAATCTTCAGCGAGATGGGAGAACCCGGAACTACCGGGGGGTGCGGAACCACTGCGACGGTGAACTCGACGACGCCTTGGGGTAGGGACATAGTCTGCTAGTGGGCGAAGACTCGTCCCACGCGCGTTGTCACCATAGGTAACGAATGGGGAGATCTTCTCAATGGGAGGAGTGGAAGGAGAGAAGATCGACTTGCGGTAAACAGGATCCGTCATGACGACGCGGTGCGCAGGAACCGCGACTCAGATGGGGAATGTGCAGGAAATGGACGAGGTCAATGGCAAAAATCGAGGAAGCCGGGGAAGGTGTGAGGAGGAAAGCAGGAGTGGGAAAACAAGAGGAGGTGGGTGACGTGACTGGGGAAAGGTGCAATGAGAGATGGGGGAAGTACATTGGGAAAAGTGGGTGGGGGGAGTGCAGGAAGGTGCACAGCTGTCAACAGATCGAACAACAACAACAACAACACGTACCGTCGGTCAACAAGGCCACCACCTGACGCCCAGTTCAGCTTGAATTGGCGGGAGCTGTTAGGAACCGGCGTGCCATTGAGCGCCAGGGCCTTGTTGGCGGAGTCGGGAGTAGGGAATTCGACAAAACAGTAGCCGGCATTACTGATTATGAGGTTAGAATTGTCACTCAATCACAAGACATGGCACTGACGAGCGCCCATGAGGATGTAGCTCGGTACTTACCCAGAGTTCTTGTCTCGAATGACCTTGACATTCACGGCCTCAGCGGCAGAAGACAGGAAAACGCCCTTGATGAAGTTCTCGTCCATCCAGGGTTCCAATTCGCCCATCCTATAGAAGTAAATAAGTCCCTGTTCCAGCACGCATGTGGAAGACAAGAAAGTACGTACCAGAGGGTCGTCTTCGGGGAGTCCGGGGAAGCTCCACCAGCGGGAGGGGGGACCGCACCCATGTCGTTAGCAGGAGGCGTGCCGTTGGCGAAGGGGTTTTGGTTCGGGGCAGGGCCGCCATTAGCGGGAACGCCAGCGAAGGGAGCGTTGTGTTCCATCTTGAATTGAATCTATAGAAGCATCATGATGGTTAGTATTCGGTGTCTGTACATATCAAGAATAGAGAGTTGAGAGGCGACCCTGTCTGGAGATGTGCATGGCAGCTCAACTACAAGCTTTTGCCATCTCCATGGCCAAAACCAATGACCCAAGGGTTGGGCCAAAGTGTTGCGGCAATAACGAGGTGTCAGGGAGACTAGGCTTTAGAGACTACGATGATATGGTGAACTAGGGAGAGAGTGAATCCAGGCAGGTGTATCGAAGGGAATCGGATGTCAAAGGATTCGACTTACAAGTGAACAAGCTGCGCCTGGAAATAAGATCCGTCAAGCTAAAAATATGTGGAAGCCACACTTGATGAAGATCGTCGTCAGCAAGCCAACTCAGCAAGGAAAAAGTGCGAGATAGGTGAAAAGCGATTGCCTTCGTTGAGTAGTCGAGGCAACTGACAACGTATGATAGTGATATTAAGGTAATAAAGGTGAAGAGGGAGCTCCAAAAACTTGAACTGGCAAAAGGCACAATCCAAAAGATGATGATGATAAAAATGCAGAAACCAAATGCGTATGAAAGGAGGAGAGTTTCACACAGAAGTTTGATGTGTGAGTGTGCGGTGAGGTGGTCTTGAGTCATGTGAGGCAACGGGGGCCGGGCACGATGGCTTTTGAATGGGGAGGAGAGGGGCATCGGGACTCGGCGCCCTTCGCCCTTGGGGGCTGAGGGGGGAAACATGACAAGTCAACTCACCAATAAATGATACGTTGCTGAATGAACGTAACAAGAGTATCCTTCAGGTACCTGGCATGTCAAGTCAGCGATATCCATCCAAGCCAGCTATTAGAGATCATCCACCGCCGGACCCGTCAACTGCAACCAGAACCGTGAAGCCCCAAAACCCGCGAGGGCGAACAGTTTCCCCTCCAACACACATTTATGGACAGCCCTCAATCCCAAACAAGCCGAGAAAATGTTGCGTGCGGGGTCCAAATCATTCGTCAAGCAGCGCCAACAGCTTCGAACATTCGCATTGCCCCCAAAGAAAGCGACACGCGGCACTTCAGGACAGAAGAGAAAGGGGGCAGATCTTGCAAAGCATTTCCCCTGGAATCCCAACGAAGCAGAGAGAGAAATGATAAGAATAATGAAGAAATTCTTACCTAGAAGGATGGAATGGAATGCAATAAAGCCCGCCTGAAGATCACAAAAATTTGAGCCTATGGGTTACCGTTAATATCAAGATGCATACCCTCTCAACAGATAGCTCACAACAACACAAGCCCGCAGTTCGTACCTCAAGGTGAACACAGCAACACAAAGCTCAGTAAAACGTTTCGTCGTCGTTAACGATATCGTAAGACCTAATGAAGGGCAGGTCAGCCAACCGGTCAGATCACCTCTCCTTACTCTCGCAAAATCAGAACCCCATCTCCCCTATCGCTCATCCCCGAGACCAACGACTGCCAAATTAAAATTGACCCCTCAAGTCGCTGACAGGCAATAATAGCAAGACAAAGGACGAAATTGCAACGACGGAAGGGAATCGAAACAGCAGCGTACCTTCTACGCCCCGAAAAAGGATACAACTCCGGGAGATTGGAACGGAATCAAATCAATGGTGACTGGTATCCAGACCCTGAGCTGAAAACTCGAAATCAAGCGTGCAGGGGAGAATCTCTCAAGACGCCGTCACGCCCCGTAACAAAGTAGAAGAACTTCCGAAAACTGGGAGAGAGCGTAAATGCAGAGTTGCGACGTTCCTAAACAGAGACTGCGAAGTCGTTCGTCTTGATGCTGGTCCCAACTAGTGGTGCGAGAAAAAAGTAATGTCTGAAGAGACGCAAGAAATACGGGTAGGTGCAGAAATGCTTTCCGAAATTACGACAACCTAATACTGATGTTAGTCTTCCAGGTGCCTGATCATGAGTATATCAAGTTGTTGGTCCTCTATCGCAGCTCGGCCACACGGTTCCGATCATCAACTGGCTCTCGAAACTCAATCCACATCCTCAAAAGCAACAGCATCGCTGAATAATGCGCTAGACGGGCTGTCTCAGCTCTCTTGCCGGAGCCATGCCTCCCCAGTCGACGGCGAAATATGATCTCGACTTTAGCCCCGGGGGGACCTCGTCATGAGTGACAAGACTCCTTTGAAACCTAAGACAAGACGCCCAGAGATCTATTCAACTGTCGATCTACCGCATCGTTCGAGAGCCCGGCAAAGAGGTCGACATGCGCAGGGTAGGATCTAAGCCAGCCATGAATTTATTGTCGCTTCGAAATAGCAATGTCTTATGCGCTAGTTTGCGTCGCCATGGCATAACCAGATCACACAGGACTCGGAATATATCAAGAAGGCTCGTGAGAAGCTGATCCGAGATAAGTGCCGAAGGGGCTTCCAACATGTCGCAACTCCTCCGAGGTCTGCAAGGTTCCCAATTCCTGGCAATAGCGATGCTCTTCCATTTGGCGATGTGGTCGAATGAAGAGAGAATGCCTGATTGCTCCTCGCTCAAGGAATTTCGGTGCGGCAATGCATGCGACGGCCTTGGTTGGACGGCTTCGATATAATCGCAGAATGTCGGACGGGCTTTGGACCATGACGGGGTCGGAGGACTTGCGGCAGCAGCGCAGTCATAACGATCGAGAACACAGATGTCGAATATCCTGGCTGGACGATACCGAAAGGGGGGGCTTATGCTGAGGATACCCTGTCGTGATCGAAGAGCGATTCATCCCCCTCCCTCGAGCCCAAGCCCGAGTCCAGCCTAGGCCAGGAGAGTTCAGGCTAGTGCGGAGGGACTCGTACAGAAGGCCAACTATCGCATACGGGGTCGGTTGAGTTCGATTTGTCGCATCATTCCTGTTGCTGCAGATGCTGAACGGCCGGGGTTGCGGAATACTCGGACTCCGTTGACCAGCACCGCCTCGATGTGTGCAGAGCGACGTCGAAAGGGAGGCCCGGCCGAGTGTGGAATGGGCGTCGCGCAAGGCGAGGACGACTCGAAAGCATGTGCAGAATGGTCGCGACAACGTTGCGCAGCTGTTGTGGCGGTCGTTGGGGTTCGTCGTCGTCGACAGCCAGCATATGTCGCCTCTCGGGCGTTGCGTCCAGGATCCCGCCCACCCCGAACCACACACCACTACCACAGCAAATCCACCACAACACAAATAGGCAAGGCGAAAGAAAAAAAAAACACAGTTACAAAGGTTACTTACTTTTTTGCGCCAGAGGAAAATTCTCAGCCAAATATCCGAAACACGCGCAAGGGAATAAACCGTAGCAGCCGTGAAGAGGGAAAAGAAGACAACAAGAGGAGTAAGTGGGAAAGGTTGAGTAAGAAGTCGCGCGAGGCCGACGACGAGCGAAGTTTTTTTTTCTCCCTCCCTCTTTCTCTTCGGTACCACTAGGTTCGCTGCTGATGGTCTCGGACAAGCCACGATTCAATAGGCGGGTCTGCGCGCGGGGACTTGTTGGACGAAGGGGTGGAGACAAAATTGTCGACCAGGGGGAGGGGTGTGTATTGGCCTGTTGCCGACGTAAGGGATCTTCGATCTCGGAGCCTCTGGGTGGTACTGAAACACGAGGTAGGCGAATGGCCCAGGCTCAACCTTCCAGTTGCGTGGAGAGAGACAAAGACTGGCAGCGGCTTCCGGTGCCTGAGAACGTCAAGTCAGGCAGGGCAGAAGACAGGACGAGAAGGAACAACCACGGCGTCGATGCTGCGAGTCGCACAAGACGATCAGAGGACACGAGCTGGGCGGTTACAGAATGCGAAACGGACTCGGGAACAACGCGGCGGCAGAGAATCAGATTCAACACAAGTCAAGTCACGGCGAAAAGAGAACTTGTAAACCAGATAAATTACTACGACGGAAGAGGCAGGGATACGGGACTGGCAATGGACGTCCTGGACGGCCTAAATATGCTGCGGGGAGGACTTGATAGAAATGGATGGATGGGTCGACATATGGGTTGGGCTTCGTCGTCGACTCTGGCTCGCCCCTCGTCGTGAACAGACAGCAGCGCCCTCTGCCTTCATCCCATCCCATCCCAGGCCAAGCCAGGCCATTCCGTGCCAGCCGTCGCCGGTGCGGAGGAGTTGGTTGGTAAACCGACTTGCTGTTAGTGCCACAATATACTTTGGCGCGGTTGTCTTTGGCCTCCCTTGACGCGGGGACGTGCAGGACGGTGCCATTCACATCCATTGATGGATGAATCGGTTCCGGCGAGGTGACAAATGGGCTGCTCCCAGGCTGTCAGAGCAGCTCCTCTGAGGCCGGAACCACCTTTCCTAGTAAACCAGCCCAGGCCACCACTCACTGCCTGAGGGGAACACACTCGCATCCGCACTCACGCACACAGCCTTCTTGCTTGGCAGGGGGGAGTGGCGATAACAGCCAATGGGCAGGTTGTGAATGGCCGAGCTGCGTGCTTGCGTTTTCATGACGATGGCCCATCCACGATCCAGGCAGAGCCGATGTGGTAGGGTCGCAGCAGTGGCTACGGGAAGGATGGAGAGAGGGCCGGTTGGCTGTGGTGAGAACCTCCGTTGCCATGGCATGCCATCCATGTACGACAGTAGGTAGCAGCAGCAGAGTTGCCTGCTGCTACGTGGTTTCATTAGGTACCTACCTAGTACTTGGGCAGTGTGATGGAGAATCAAAATCACCAGAGGCAATTGACTCGCTTCTGGGTGTGTCTCGCACACAGGCACCTGCCAATTGCCATTGTGTAGGTGGTACCTGCCGTCGGCGAGGAACGAGGCCTGGCAGAGCAGGTGCTACCCCAGGCCTGATTACATACTCACACATATACAATCACATTGGTAGGTTCACCTTCTCCTCCCATCCATTGCATTCCTCACTGCCTACCCTGCCAACCTGTTAGGTCGGCAAGGCCAAGGTCAGGCCGAGGCCGTAGTGGTGGGTTGGTAGGTTCCAGGCAGGCACACACCTCTCCTCTCCTCTCAAGCTAGGGCACAATGGCTCGATAGCTGAAGAGCTGCAAGTGCGTCTGAAAGCAGCAGTCCTAGCGACCATGGAGGACTCGGGAGGCGCCCTTGCGTCACGTGTGGTTAAGGTGTTACCAGCCCAGGCAGAGGCAATGTACAACCAATGCGTGCGTGTGCATTGGTCCGTTCTCAGTCGCCCCCGTCAGTTGATCAGGGGTTGTTGCTATTCCGGTCTCATCGAGGATAGAGGCATGACATTGGCCATGCCGAGCTGCTTCCGTCGATGCCCTGTCGCTGCTGATTGGGGTGCCCTGCCCACGGCCACTGGCCACTCAAGCCACGGAGCTGACGGGACCATTGATGCCAGGGCCAGACGAGGCCAGCAGCGCGTACAGTGGCCCAGGGCGCTGTGCAAGGTGCGAGGCAGCGCTGATCCACTGGCTGTCTGTTGGTTGGGCGGGCGCTGTCGGCCTCTGCTAGGCTGCTATTATTATGCGCTCTGCGCAGCCCTGAGGCGACCCAGCAGACAGGACCCGGCCCAATGACGACCTGACGACCACATCAAGGGCAATGATCCAATGCCATGCCTAGGGCAGGGCAGGGCAAGCCAAGGCAGGGCAAAGCCAGCCAGGCAAAGGATGGGGCTTCTCAGCCCAAATTCCAAATCCCGTTGCCGTCGCTCGTCGCTGCACCACGCCGGGCAGCCCGCCAAGACCCAGGCCAAGGCAAGGGGACAGGGCAACTGGGTCAGGGCCCCATCAATGCCATCATGGACGCACCATTTGTATGCATAATGCTCCTCAGAATCCTGCTGGCTGACAAGACCAATTGCAAGCCCTAACTAACCCGATTTTCCGCCAGGCAGGTACGGCGGCCAGGCCACATGTAGCTGTGCGGTGCGGTGGCATGAGTCCTCCGCTTCACCTTGCTCACCTCAGGCGCCCTCACCACCGCTGCCGACATCCGCCCGTGGCTGTCGTGGCCCGTGGATATCCGTCCGTGCCATTGCCGTGCCCCTGGCGCTGTCCCAGATATGTTGACGGAATTGTACATCGAAACGCAGAGGAAGAGGTCTACGTGTAAACCCACAGGGCCAGGGGCACGCATAGCGTCACACCGATCGCACCTATTTCGGGGCAATGGATAGATTCGAGAAACCCGATTCTTCTGGGCTAGCGGCGCCAGGGATGCCAATCTGCACACGAAGCACAAGGAATGAGACGAAATGGCCAGGCGAGACAATCGACCAGCTTGTAATCTCTCGCATCTGCCCCAGACAAACAGCAGGAGCCGATCCCGTGTCTCCATTCACCCGGCCAATTAATCCCAATGCCCATCACCGCGTCCTCCCTTTGCAGAAATGCTGGCCCTGAGACCTGAGACCAGCGAATTACTGCTGACCTCATCTCACCTCGCCTGGCCCTGCTCCATGTGGGCAAATTTGTCTTGTGCCACTGTGTCCCGTGACCACCGACATGCTAAACGGCAGCTTCTTTGGAGTCATTCCCCATTGGTCATGAAACAGGCAATAATTTCTCCAAGAGCACTGACGGGCTAAGCTCTTGGTCCATGGCCCCTTGGATACATACTCGTTCACACCCCGTCCGCCCCCCCAGTAGCCATGACGTTGTACAAGCCAGATGTTCAGATGTTGAAGGTTTCCCTGTTGATGAACCAGGCAATTGATTTATGTAATGTCGGCCACTGCGAAAATGAAACCCATGTACATCTGCATGTACCTCAACAACAGACGAGGTGGTACTCAGCTAACAGCATTATGTATGCACATCATTCACACGACATCTGCACGCGCTCCACGCCCCCTGGCGAGGACGAGATGGTGCCCTACATCGTAGATACAGAGGGATACCTTGGGTACAGATGCAGCTACATAGCGGGAGCACACTTAGATCTGCCAAGTCAGGGGTAGAATTCGACACCCTGGATGTACTAACTTGTCGATCCCATTTGAGTGCACCACCTGGGACAGAGTTTGACCATGCCATGGCTACTCGACACCGTCGTTTTCGCGACAGCAAATAGGAGCTCGTCCAACCAGGGAGACACCATTTGGCAGCTCTCTAGTGCCATCGTGGCCTGAGGAGCTCGTGTGAGAACTTTTGCCATACTCCGGTCCCCAATGCTTGGCCATTCCTTCTGGCCTCTGTGCAATTCGTCTAGTCACCCAGCAGTGCAGTCAGACATGAGTCCAAAACGCGCATGCAGTGCACTGGAATATCCAGGTGCCGATAGTGGCGTTAATTGGCGAGATGTGCGTGGGCCTACGGACCAATCCATGTTTCTTCGATAGACGAGGATTTGAAATTGCTTGCGGCAACGGTTAAAGGTTCCCCCACACAACACGGCCGGTTTCCTCCATATTCCCAATCGGCGAAACGACTGTGGCACTCAGATTGGTGACGCACATGCCTATTGCCAGGGACGGCAGAGTAAGGTGGACGGACATGCGTACAACATTGGATCAGCCCAGCACCGTAGCAATCTTCAATCCATCCCACCGTACCCCGACTACGAGAACTAGCAATACCACCTCGATGAAGAGCGTGCTGGGGACTTCGCCGTTGCAGGTGTGTGCCTATGAAGCCAATTGTGGGGAGCTCTTGGGCAGGAGAAAACCTTTTCAATAAGCCCTCGTTCTCTCTGGTTCCAAAGGGCTAGGGGCCCTGTCTAATGCTACTCTCCCCTCACCCAGAAAATCAAGATAGGACCCGAAGCCAGGCTAAACGGTTACGTAGGTAGGGTAAGGTGGTAGCTTCTGCTCTCTGCCCTCCAGCTACATACACCATTCGAGAGGCCTGCCTATCACATCTCATTTTTTGCCACTGGTAGATAGGATACGGAATTGGCCCAGTTCCACCGAGATGAATGCGAGTACATGCAAGTAACAGCAAATTGAGTTACATCCCCCCCAAGTGAGTAATTGTCCCAACCAGCCGGTGTCGGAAAGTGTTGGAAGGCTATGATCCCTTTGCCAGATGCCCGTTCCCACTCATCGGGGGGGCAGAAAGGGGGCTTGCCGAAGCTTCCGACCTTGCCCGGCATTCGTTCCGTGGGATCGAGGATTCGGAGGTGTCCGTGATCGAGCAAAAACTCAATCAAGTCCAATAAACGGGCTCGTCCTGTGAGTTGCAACGGCTGCCCTGTGGGCGATGGCCGCTAGTCAAGACCCTATTGGAAGGGCTGGCTGCCTTGCCACCAACGTGTTGTGGGTATGGCGTTGATGCTCTCTACCTTATAATAGGACCCATGACCTAAAATCTGCGGGTGTGGCCCTGATCATGCAGTCTACGATCGAAACCATGGCTGCATTCATTCGAGACATGCGGCATGGCTGAAATAAGGCCTGGAGGTTAATGGCCAGGCCGCAAGCCCTTGGAAGCCCAGCCTGTTCCGTCCCGTCGTCTGCGAGTGCAGGGCTCGCTGGGGCTGGCGGGAGTTTGGGTCACGTGATGCGAGCACCTCAAACCGCGTTAGTCAGTCGAAGCATCGTTCAGTTCGGACAGCTTCTATTGGCAACGTAAGACGTGGTTGACTGGAGGTTCGCGAGGTACTCAAGAACGCCACTCCAGCACGCGTATTTGTTTCTTTGTACTGTTGTCTTTCTTAGTCTTCTTTTTTTCGGCCTTGGTAGAACTGATTTAATTCGATCTGTCATTCGTTCTCAAGTTTTCTCCGCTTCTATTTGATATCTGGTAGCCAAGAGGGTTCCAGCTCCCTCACGAGCCAACATGGCGGCCCCATCCACGGAGGAAAGGGAGCTCAAGCTGCTAGAAAGCGTCGAGTTCAAGATCCTCGCTGTTGCCAATAAAGAGACGAAGCTTCACGAGCTTCTGCAGCGATACCTGGCCCCCGTCATCTTGAAGGCAGCAAGTGAAAACCAATCAGTGAGGCAGAGAGTAGGGCAGCTCCTATTCCACATATTTGACTCTGATAGCTGCTTATCCGTGAAACTTTGCAGGTCATTCAGATATTGGGACGTCTCAAGACGTTCATCCAACCACCAGAGTCAGTCAAGCTCATGTTACTGAATCATAACTTGGTAACATCCAAACTAACTCATCGCAGGGTTGTCCTACCAGTCAAGGCCCTGCTGGAGCAGTACAAGTCAAATGACTCTGCCATCATCAAGCAGCTCGACTTGAGCTTTATTCAACACAGCCTAGAGAGGATTGACGAGCATGACCGGAGGGAGCTTATCCCCATTGCACTAAAAGGATGCGCAGCAGATCAGGGCCAGCCAAGAGCTAGCGTATTCGCCCAGGCTATCATCCGCCTCCTGCTCGATGCCCGGTTTCCCCCTCGAGGGGGCAAAGATGACGAAGCGCTCAGAGAATCTCTAGGCTTGTCTGACGCCGCAGATGCTTGGTACCTGCAAACCATCATTGCCATCTTTCTCCGGCTGAAAGTACCCAACAGCAGGCAGAATTGGGCTCAAGCAAATCCCACACTGAGCCAAGGGGAGCTGAGCCTCTTCTCCGTGGAAAATGCGGACTCGCAAAAGATCTTCCAGAGGCTATCGGAAGTCAAGGCTAAGCTAGTCGCCTTGCTCGCAACTGCGGCCCTTACGGACGATGAGAAGTTTCTCCCGGTTCTGTATGGTGCCTCCAGCTTTGACAATCGCGTATCCTCGGCTTCCGAGGATATCCTGAGAAGGACGTCAGTGTCATTGGAGGATGAGGGGCTGGTCAAACGGCTGTTCCAGGCCCATTCGTCACTGCCGGTAGCATATCGAATCCGCATCCTGGGCATGCTCTCCAAGTCGTCCATTTCGACCACCATGGCGAACAGGATCCTAGGGGTGGTCCATCTGGACCTGGGGCTACCGGTGCCATCGATAACCTCAGCAGAGACTTTTCTGGCTTTGCAGCCAACCAGTGTACTTGAAAGCACCAAACTACACAAGGCTTTGTTCCAGTACCTCACCTGGGTCGCTCGCATCGGGCCCTCCAAAGACAACTTTACCATTGCGCCAGACTTGATCCGATTCATGAGGTCGTACATCGAAATACGAGGGTGGCCCATACCAGCAGGCGCAGGCTCAGCTGACGCTATCGAACTACGGTCCAAAGCTTACGAGACCATTGGCATGTTATCTAGCAGCGCTACCATCCCCACTGCAGAGCGTCTTGAGCTTGCACAATGGCTATTTAGATCACTATCAGAAGATCCGACTTCTGAGGCGGTCGTGAGCATTGATAGTGCCTTATCAGGACTTACATCCACCTTCCCAGCGGAGCTAAAAGACGAGGATGAAGCACTCATGGAGGTGCTCCTTGGCTTCATGTTTCTCGCCGATGCACCTCCTGCTGTGCGGAGCACTAGACACGCTGTAATGAAATGGGTAAATCAGTGTTTACCATTTGCCAACATATATGCACGATGGATGAACATCGTTGCCATCGGGGGCATTCCCGGTGAGAGAGGTGACGTGATTGAGCAAGGCCAAAAGGGTCTTGACCCTTGGACATACCATGCCTACGACAACAACAAGTCTGCCCTAGAGATCCCGGATTGGCACGCCATGGCTGCCGCCTACTTTAGCAGCCTCATTACTCCTGACAACCTTTACAATTACCCCACCGTGCAGGAGAGCCTGGCGAATATAGACTCCAACCTCACGTTTGGCAACTTTCAGGGAACGAGACTCTTGGCATACCCTGTTGCTCTGCGTTACATCCAGCAGCTGATCTTCTTGACGGCATTGGGCGACGATGTCCAAATCCAGCCCAATTGGAAGGAAGCCCTCGATGCGACCATCAGGACGAACATCCAATCCCGAACCAAAATCCGCACTTACTTGGAAGCTAACGATAATAACACCTTCCACCTAGGCTTCTACCTCAGGGCGTGCCTCGGAGGCGCCCTCCTTGCCGGTTCCCCTATTGTCGAGCAGTCCTTGAGATGCCTCGTTGAGGTGGCCTCCCTGAGCCCTCCCATCGTGACTCAATACTTGGCAACAAAGAGCTCTGGCCTTCTCGACCTTGTCAAGTACAACAAGAAGGAGATCCGCTCGCTCGCTGCCCAGGCTATTGGAATCTTCTGGGCCCATCCCGTTCACAAGGCTGACAACCAGGTTGATCAGTTCCGGGTGAAACTGCAGGATTTGTTCGCCAATGCGGAGAAGGTAGTTGGCTCCGAATTGAACGCAGCCGAGGGAGCCCTTCTGGCGTTTGGTCACCTCTGCTCGCGATCTGTGTTTTACGACTACGACCTTGGCTCGGACGTGGAGTTTCCCCTGCGTTTCCTCACCAACCAAAGCGTCCAGCCATCCCTTTTCGAGGCCGCGTTGGAATGCTTCTCGCAGCTATGGTCTGTCGGGCTCGGAGTCCCAACAGCCGAATCACTTGATCTGATCATCAAACGGATCACCGACGAGGCAAAGAAAGGAAACGAAAAGGCCATCTTCGCGCTCGGGAGGCTTGCGATCGGCCTAGGCGAGGATGAAGCCGCCGTAACCGCACTGGACAGCATCATCACTGCACTGCACGGCCTGCACGAAATCAAGCAGGTTGAGGTCCAGTTCACCGTCGGCGATGCGCTCACGGCTGCAATTGCGCAGTGGGACTCCGACTTTGTCAAGCTAACGCTGGATGTTGACCTACTCGGGAAGGCCCGCCTGCCAAATGGTTCGAGGAGGGCACTGGTCACACGCACTTTGGAGAAGCTGTTCGCCGACTGCAAGACGACGAAGCCCTCGCTCCTCAAGGCGTCGGGCATCTGGCTCTTCTGCGTGATCCAGTACTGCTCCCACCTCGAGGAGGTTGGGTCACGTCTGCGTGAGGCGCAGACGGCGTTCATGAGGCTTCTGAGTGCGAGGGATGAGCTGGTTCAGGAGACGGCCTCCCGCGGTTTGACTCTTGTGTACGAGAGCGGGGATGCTGCTCTCAAAGGCTCGCTGGTCAAGGACTTGGTCTCGGCGTTCACGGGGTCCGGCACGCAGTTGAAAGTGGATCAAGATACGGAGCTGTTCGACGCCGGAGCGCTGCCTACCGGGGATGGGAAGTCCGTCACCTCCTACAAGGACATTGTCAACCTGGCCAATGAGGTCGGCGATCAGGGGCTCGTGTACAAGTTCATGTCACTGGCGGCCAACGCAGCCACTTGGTCGACGAGGTCGGCATTCGGGCGCTTTGGACTCGGTAACATCCTCTCCGACTCCGAGATCGACCCGAAGCTGTATCCGAAGCTGTTCCGTTACCGCTTCGACCCGAATCCGAACGTACAGAAATCCATGGAGGACATTTGGAAGGCGGTGGTGAAGGATAATGCAGCCATCATGGATGCATACTTTGACGCCATTCTGGAGGATCTGTTGAAGAGCATCCTGGGCAGGGAATGGCGAATGAGAGAGGCAAGCTGTGCGGCCATTGCTGATTTGATCTCCGGGAGGCCATTCAAGCAGTACGAGGCTCGGTACAGAGATATTTGGACAGCCGCCCTCAAAGTCTTGGATGATGTCAAGGGCAGCGTTAGAGAAGCAGCCTTGCGTCTCTGCATGGCTTTGTCCAACGGCCTCGTCAGGCAGCTCGAAGAGAGCAATCAGGGGGCGGCGGCCAAGGCAATGATCCAGGAAGCCCTGCCGTTCCTGCTCTCCGATAAGGGTATCGAGAGCTCGGCCAAGGACACTCGGCTGTTTTGCACAATCACGGTATTGAAGATTGCCAAGCAAGGAGGAACGGCTCTAAAGCCTTTCATCCCAATGATGGTCCCGCAACTCCTTGGACTTCTCAGCACGATCGAGCCAGAGGAGATTAACTACCACTATCAAAGAGCAGGTGACGATAGTCGAGACCAGATCGACCAGCTGCGGTCGCAGATTGTGAATCGATCGCCCATTTCAGAGGCTATCGAAAACTCCATGCGGTTCATCGATGCAGACGTCATGGCCCAACTGGCACCCAAGCTTGAGGCTACGATCAAGAGCGCCATCGGCCTTCCTACCAAGATTGGATGCAGCAGGGTCTTGTCTACGCTTTTCACTCGCCATACTATCGACATTAAGCCTTTCTCTGCCAAGTTTCTGCGGTTGATGGAGAAGCAGGCCATGGACAAGAACGATGCTGTCAGCCAGGCATACGCCCGCGCGGCAGCGTATATGATGCGAGTCGTGCCTGATGCCGCCAAGGAGCGCTTCTGCAATAACATGGTCCAGAAGTATCTCAAGTCAGAGGAGGAGGCGCATCGACAGAAGATCGCCGATGTGACAGTTGCATTGGCAAAGACTTCGCCGGACCACTTCTCTGCTTTCGAGGCGGTACTGCTTCCATTCTCATACCTGGGAGCACATGATACAGACGAATATACCCGGAAGGTCTTTGGGGAGGTGTGGAGCCAGCACGCAGGTAGCAGCCGTACCGTTGTGCGATACGTGGCGGAGATTGTCAAGCTGGTTGAGCAGTGTCTGGACACGTCGCAGTGGGACCTTCGCCACACCGGCGCCCTCACCACCGCGGCCATGGTGGAGGATGTCGTGGGCGCGAGCGACACCACCGGCGAGATCAGCGAGAAGAACCTCAACATCATCTGGCCGGTCCTTGACACGACCCTGGCGCTCAAGACCTTCCCCGGCAAGGAGAAGCTCCTGGAGGCGTTCCCCAAGTTTGTCGAGAAGGGCGCGGCGCTGTGGAAGAATGACAAGCAAGTGGCAGAGAAGATCAAGAAGGTTGCCATTAGAGAGGCGAAGCGCAACAACGACGAGTACCGTGTCCATGGGTTCGTCTGCCTGTGGAAGATTGCCAAAGCGCGGGATGATCTGGACCTTTTGCAGGAGATTGCGGATATTGTTACGCCCCACCTAGATGAGTTCATCGACGAGAACAAGATGGAGGTCGACGGCAAGGAGGACAATTTATCCAAGGCTGCAAGCAACGGGTTTGAGGCGATTTCCCGCGGCTACAACCGACAGAAGCTACTTGCAGAGCCGGGAACGGTGCTGGGCAACGTCTTGAAGCTCCTTGGCAAGTATCTCGAGAGCCCCAAGATGAGCGTCGTCAAACGAGATGTTTGGTACGATGCTGTCTATGATATCATGACTGCCGTTGGTACTATCAAGCCGGCCGGCGCCGCATCGCCCTCTTCGGCTGACCGAGACTATCTCAAAACACTGGACCTCGATCAGCCTGAGGCAGGAAGCGAGCCGCAGAGGATCAAGAGGGCCAAGGCGCTGTCGGCGACACTCGCTGCCAGGCTGTCTGGGGCATTTGGCGCCGGCGGGTCAGATCTAGCCGAGGTTAAGCTGATTGTCGACCAAGCAGTCAAGGAGGAGAGGTCTCTCAAGGTGCTGGAGGAATTGAGAGCTGCGCAGAAGCTTCTGACGCAGATGTAGAGTGGGCCTGAACGGCTGGTGGCATAAAGCAATTCAGAGGCAGGTTAAAGTCAGAATATAAATATAATTAAAGAGAAATTACGGTTCTATTTACTCTTAGTCTCTATCGTGTACTATCACTAATTGTTGCAGCAACACAAGGTCGTTCGTTGACGATGATTCATGAATATCCTGACAGTAATTGAGTCGTACTAAGCCTCAGGGATCCATCACAAATGGTTCAACGGTAGCGCACACACGCAAACTGAGATTCGGAATATCTATATTTGCCACCAGATAGGTGACCCTAGTTTCTGCCTAGACTTTGTAGAAGCTACTAGATGATGTGCAAACTTGAGGATCAGACTCAGGAGCAGACTGCGTAGCACGAGTGAGTGAGCTCTAGGGTAGCATGCCCACGCCACCAGATTGCATCATCTGAATGATGGCACCGGATTATCAATAACCCGGCAGCCGCCCCCCTTAAAGCACCGGGATTTACATGCAGTGGGCAGGCGTGATGGAGTGTGTGTGCTGGCGACGTCACCGACGGTGCCTTCTGGTAGCGTGTGTGATTTGGCGCTGTCCAAAGAAATAAGCAACCAGAAGCTGCACCTTCCTGGCCCGACATTTAACTCGCCCACGTACCCTTTTTTCCAACACACCGCAAGATGCGCTCGAGTTTGATTTGGCTCGATCTAGATCCGAGGTGATTGAAGTCTGCATAAACTGGCGAAAAATTCTCTCCAGCCCTACTACATCTCGTTGCGCCCAACCCCCGGTGGCGGGGCTGTTTCCAACCTACACCGAACGGGCCTCGCTTTGGCGGGGTGAAGTGATTGCCAGTCAACTACTCACACCAACCTCACAAAACCACCACCTGCTACCGGACGGTCCCTGCTCCGAACGAGCTGCCCTCGCTCGACATTTGCATTTACCCCCGAGCTCTTCCGCATACGACTTTTTGCGCCTTCTGCCCCACGAAACACCCTTTTCGACGGACCGCTCATAAAGAGGTCAACCATGGAGGCTGAAGAGGCCATCTCGACCTTCGCCGGGATCACGGGTGCGAGCCCCGAGGTTGCCCAGGGCTTCTTAGCCTTGACGGGGAACAACGTCGAGCGGGCCATTGAGCTCTTCTTCGAGAACCCGGACCTCGTTTCCAACGTCCAGTCAGGCATCTCCGGCAACCCCCCTCCCGTCCCTACGTCCACGAGGCCGAATATTGGGCGACAAGACTCGACCGGCGTCATTCACATTGATAGCGACGAAGATGATGTTATGAACCTAGTTGATGATGATGATTATGACGACCGAGGTCAGGAACGGCAAGCCGCTATCCGCACGGCTGCCTTGGCCCAGGAAGAAGAAGACGCCGCCATGGCCAAACGACTACAGGAGGAACTATACGGTGGCCCTGGCTCTGGGTCCGGGCCTGGTGAGGATGTCAGAGCACCCATTGCGAGAACTACAGAAACCCTCGTTGCTCCAGATCTTTCCTGGGCGCCAGATGATGGGATGGAGTCGGCCATATTAACCCAGCTGAGGCAACAGAGGCAAAGACGGCGTGGTCCCCGTAAGTCTTACCGCTCCTTCTCTGCCATATATACTTGATTTCTATTTGAGACAAAAGGAGAAAACTGCTGACCTGATAAAAATGATAGCTCGGTCTGGCGGGCCTTTCGCGCAGCGGATATGGGGCGAGTCTTCAGGTCCGGCGGTGAACAGGGAGGACAGCGATGGCGATGGCGCCGGGAGTCACGCAAGGCGCCTGGCAGATCTGTTCCGGCCACCCTACGAGTTGATGGAGAGAGATGTTTCGTGGGACGAGGCCCGTGAACTGGGCAAGGAGGACAAGAAATGGATCATGGTCAACCTGCAAGATATGAGCGACTTCAACTGCCAAACGCTGAACCGTGATATCTGGAAGGACGAAGCTGTCAGGAGCCTGGTAGCGGAAAACTTTGTGTTTCTGCAGTACGACAAGGAGTACCCTGACTCACAAGAGTTCATCACTTTCTACTTCCCCAATCAGAGCCACGAGAACCGGGACAACTACCCGCACGTCTCAATTATTGACCCACGAACAGGCGAGCAGGTCAAAGTATGGAGTGGAATACCGTTCCCCAGTGCCAAGGAGTTCCATGCAGAGGTTGCCGAGTTTCTGGATAGATACAGCCTCGCCGCGAACAGCAAGAACCCGGTGGCCAAGGCGACCGTACGGAAACCACAGCCTATCGACGTGGAACGCATGACTGAGGACGAGATGCTTGAGATGGCACTAAAGAATAGTCTGGCTGGAGCGGAAGGGAGCAGTGGATCAGGGTCCACCCCCAACTTACACGATCCGGACGCTCTCACCAAGTCACCCACCGCCGGTGCAGATACTCCGGAAGACAAGGGCAAGGGCAAGGAGCCAGAGTCAGTGGCTGAAGAATCGGCCTTTGCCAAGATTTCGAGCAGCAACCCCCACACTGAACCAGAGAACGACCCGAAGACGACAACGCGCATCCAGTTACGGCACCCGAATGGCCGTGTTATCCGTCGGTTTCAGCTGCAGGACCCTGTGCGACGGATCTACGAGTGGCTCAAGGCGGAGCCAATGGAGGGCAAGGACGGAGTGGAGTTTGAGTTGAAGAAGATGCCCCAGGGCCAAGATCTGATCGAGACCCTTGATGCAACGATTGAGGAGGCTGGGCTTAAGCAGGGAACAGTTATGATTGAGTTTATCGAGGACTGAGCGGACGCTCTTGCCGGCAGGTAGTAGAGGCCCCTGCACGATGCGGTACTCGGTCTGGCGTATTGGCTAGACATGTGAACCAGCCACTTGGGTGATCTGGCCTAGAGATCTGGAACGGAATAGTGGCATTTGCTTGAGACAGGTAATGGGAGAAATTAACACGAAGTGCCGCCGGATATCATTTATCACACGGCATGATGAATGCAAGGAGTTTGGCAGAGGACTGAGGAGGCGGCCGAACAAACTCGATTCAGACAGCGGAGGTTTACGAAGGCACGGGATGGTACAGCTGTTGCTTCCAGCATGTATCACGGAAAGGCGCGGGTGATTAAGGTCCTGCTTTCTCATACTGCACGCGCCTGTCTATAGAGCTAGGGAAGATAGATTTATCTCGGAATGGGAGATGCCCGTTTGCCTGAATATCACATTTTCTTGTCAAGTACGTGTCTGGGACTGCCGCTCTGCCGACTTAAATGAGTACTTAGCTGTGCTACGATCACTGGAGTTTCTGAGACTGAAGAGTGGGTAAGTTGGTAGGCAAGGATAGGAAGGGAAAGAAGAGCAATACGGTGTCAGATTGCCAAGCTGACGACAGCCAAGCTGGGATTATATTTGTTGTTTGTTGTCTGCGCCGCTCAGCCCTGGCGGCTGGTTGCTACACAACGAGGCGGTGCTGGTACCTGTCGACCCCGCTGGACCGTCTTCTGGTGTTGAGGCGCGGCGTGCCAGACCCCTGGGCTGGTCAGTTAGCGGGGGACAAGAGGGCATGCTGGGAGGTACCGGGCCTGGTGCGCGTGCGTGTATGTGTGGTCCAGGTACTTCCGGCGCGGTGGGCATGTACCTTGATCGCTCAGCGAGATCACGTCCCCGCCCCCTCCTCCAATGTTGGAGGGTACGGTAATTATCGTATCTTCAGCCAAAACACGGCCGACGTCAACAGCAGCCCTCCAGCCTTAGCGCAGCTCGTGTAGCGGGTGCACGTGCTGATGCGACGGTTAGGAAGTTAGGTCAGGTCCCTGAGTGAGTAAATTGCCCCATGCAGCCGCTTGCCTGGCGGGTGGGAGCGGTAGTAATAATAGTTCCTGTTTGGTCGGCTGGTGGTTGTTGTTTTGTTGATTTTCCCTCCGCAGACAACCAATGGGTTACGTCGTATTTTACTCCATGTCTCCCCTCCTGTGTTGATTGACGGATTGATTGGCACCGGCCGGCCAGCCTCTCGTTTCACCTTGGCTCTATCGCTCCACCTCGCATTGTTTTTGTTATTTATTTCCCTTCTTCCATTATTCCCCCAAAGCTGCCCTGACCTGACGTGACCGAATTGCCTGCCGGGTTGGAGGCTGATGCGAGCTAAGCTGCCTACCTGCATCATCCTGGACTCGGATTTGGTGGGGTTCACCGCCCACCCTGGCTAAGCACCTACCTTACTTCACGACTTCCAAAACGACCCTTCAGGCCGCCAGACAACCGGCCAGAACAACAATTGGTGGATGTTCTGATCTCTCCCAAGATCCTCAAGTAGCACACCACCCGCTTCTGTCCTTGCCCTGTCGTGCAGGACACCCGGCGACCACCAGGCCACCTCGAGACCGCAGCGAACGTGGCCCCTCCCTCGAAGAGAAACGAACGGTACCGGCGCCAAAAAAGCACCCAGAAGACCAATCATGGCGGAGCGAGACCGTGTGGAGGAGGGCAACGAGGCCTTGGACCCGGAGTTCTTGTTTTCCAAGGAGTATTGCATTGGTTGGTCGCCTTTGGGAGAACCTGCGCCTGGTGGACGAGCTTGAGTGACTGACCCCGTTGTTTGTAGGAGGCGGTAGCTTTGGAAAAGTTTACAAAGGGTACGCTCAGGATCCTATCACATCAACCCTCTTGGGATCAGAGTTATACTTGATCACCTTTTCTTGTCATTCCTGTGCTAACTTATTGCTCCCAATCAGTGTGGACAAGCGAACGGGCGAGGCGGTTGCCATCAAGGTTATCGATATCGAAAGCGCCGAAGACGAAGTCGAGGACATTATCCAGGAAATTGCCATTCTCTCAGAACTGCAGTCTCCCTACGTGACCAAGTACTATGGCTCCTATGCCAAAGGTGCAGAGCTCTGGATTGTCATGGAGTTTTGCTCTGGTGGAAGCTGTGCCGACCTGATGAAGCCCGGGATCATTGGCGAGGATTATATTGCTATCATCGTCCGCGAGCTGCTTCTTGGTTTGGAATATCTGCACTCCGACAAGAAACTACATCGAGATGTCAAAGGTAAGGAAGGGAGGGAGGTCTTGGTTGCCCTCATGATTTTTTCTATGCTAACAGGACTTCCAGCTGCCAATGTGCTCCTCACCGCCAGTGGTCAGGTCAAGCTGGCAGATTTCGGTGTTTCCGGCCAGCTCTCAGCGACCATGACGAAGAAGAACACGTTTGTCGGCACCCCCTTCTGGATGGCACCCGAGGTGATCAAGCAGTCAGGATATGATCACAAGGCTGATATCTGGTCTCTTGGAATCACCGCTCTGGAGCTTGCCAATGGCGAGCCTCCATATGCCGACATCCATCCCATGAAGGTTCTCTTTCTGATCCCCAAGAACCCCCCGCCCAGGCTGGAAGGAAACTTCACCAAGGCTTTCAAGGACTTTATTGAGGTCTGCCTGCAGCGTGACCCCAAGGAGAGGCCCACTGCAAAGGAGCTCCTCAAACACCCTTTTATTAGAAGGGCGAAGAAGACAACATATCTCACGGAGCTGATCGAGCGGTACACTCGCTGGCGTGCAACGAACAGATCCGAAGACGACAACTTTGACGAGTATGATGGGCCGGCTCCCATCGAACCGGAAAAGGTGAACGACGACATGTGGGACTTTGGAACCGTCAGGTTAGTTGGCGATAAGGGCGGCCTTGTAAACCGGCCGGGTCTAAACGCCATGGACGAAAGCTCCGCCAATGCTCGCGCGTCGAGATCAACGGACAGCATGAGTGATTGGGGTGAGAGGAGACGGGAGGTTAGCCCGACCAAGAACAAGGACTTTGCTCTTCAGTCGAGCGACACCGTCAAGGCGGCCTACTCTAGTGGTACGTCGCGACAGTCGAGCCCGCAACGGAAGCCTGTCGCAGGAGGACAGCTCGGAGTGCCTGGTTCCCCAACAAGGGTCCCTCTGCCGCCTAGCCCGCAGAAGCAGCACCACGGATGGGATCCGGCCGATGTGCCCCGACCTCTAGAGACCACACCGCGGCCACCTAAGTATTTGCCCGCGGCACCCAGCCCCCAGTCGTCGGAGTATGACCGTGAGTTGCAGGCACAGCTTCAGCGCGATATGGGCGGGCTGAACCTGAACCTGGCACCATCGATGCACCCGGACATGTTGGACGGCTCCTTCTCAAAAGCGCCCACGCCACCACCCCATCAACCACAGTCTTATCCATCTAGCTCGAGAATGTCGCCACTTGAAATTCCCGAGATCCCTCCGTACAGAGGCGGATCTTCAGGACAGCAGCCACGAACACCATCAGACCGTGGAATGCATGCGCAGAAGCCACTGCCTCTGCCATCCAAGGCCGCTAGCCCTGTGCCGCCAGACTTGGTTGCTCCATCCGCTTTCCCGGCGCCTGCACCAGCTAATCCTAACGGGGAGCTGGATGCTCTCAACGATGTGATCTTCCCGGCTCTGGAAGAGGCTCTTAAGCGGCGCCAGATCCGGCTGCAGCAGGTTTGCAAGCCGGGACTGAGCCAGATGCTGACGCCTCAGCAGCAACGTGCAGAAGCGGCCCACGAACGCCTGCGCAATCTGGTATTCAAGCTTGCGCATGTGTGCAAGGAGATTGATCATTATGACAAGCAGGAGCCTGTTGGCATGGGGAGGGAGGTGAACAGCTTCCTGGAAGGTCTGCTAGAGGAGATTTTGGTGCGGGTAGAGCCACTGGATGAAGAAGAGGTGCAAGCATTATAGAGACGGCAAGCGATTGGAGTTTTCTAAGTTTCATTTGTCTTTTTGATGCTTTTTTTATTTCAGTTTCCTGTTATTACCATCATGATACAAGGCGTCTAGACCAATGAGGCTGCCTGGAAGAGAATCGCTGCCATGGCAGACCAAAAGAGCGAAACCCAGCGCAAGGCACTCTGACCGCTCACTGTTGTTGCTGTTTATTCTATTTTTTTTTTTTGCTGTTACAAGTTTTGAGGATACGGAATCAGGCATGGAAATCAATTGGGGGTAGGGAAAACCGGATGTGATGTGCTGTTCTCTCTAGGAGTTTTTTTTTTTTCTCTTTTTCTCTTGGTGCAGAAGAAACTCTTGCATGTGGTTATTTTTAGCTTTTTCAGATGCTAGAAGGCTGAGAATCAGGAATGTACTCGAGCGCCAAACCACACGACAGCGTAGATGAAACTGAGTGATTTGGAAGGCGAAGTGATTCTAGGTCAAATTGCTTAAGGTTGCACTGCGTTATCGAAGCATGCTGCATGCCATGTAGGCTGTTGTGCAGCGATGCAGCGATGCAGCAATGCAACATTACAACAATGCAACAATGCAGGCAGGGACACTTCTGAGTGATGCATTGGAAGCATGGAGCGTTTCTAGAAGAAAACTACAGATGCTGGTTCATGGCGCTAATCAAGAATCATGATGGCATGGTGGACCAGATTTCAATCCGCTAGACTCAACTAGGCTCGCAGTCCAGAGTTTTCAGTGGACTTGGCTCGCTCGGCCGAAGGGTCGCTCTCCGCCCGCTGTTACGAGATGGCCGGCGCCTCCAGCAGTGGCAAGTGCTCGGCAAAGCGCCTGTTCCCCAGTGTTACAGGCTCCATCATTGCCTCGTTTGGCAGGAACCTGTCCCTGCGGCATTTGCCCAGTAGAAACTCTAAGCACACCTTGTTTTTTTTCTTTTCCCCTTCCAACTTTCTTCACCTCTGTCCTCCTAGCAGCCTGCTTTGCTTTCTTTTTTGTCTTTTCTGCCTGCCAACTGGATACCTCTCCCCTCTCCGCGTCTATCCTGCACTCTGCCCAACATGATGTCCCGTGGATCTCTTAGAACGGCGCAGGTTAGTGGCCCTCCCTAGCTTCCCTTCACATGCTTGCCTGATGCCCGGAATGGCTGGAGACGAGGCGTCGGCTTCGCAACAAATGACGCGCATACAATTGGAAGAGTTGGAGTTTAGGGACAAGACGCACACATGAGAACATCACCGAGGACCCAAGTTAACAATTGAACTTCTTTCACAGGCCCTCCGCGCTGCCGCCACCCAGCAGCCCCTCGCCGCCCGAGGCTTCGCGACCGTCCAGTCCGACATCTTCAAGCCCTCCAAGTTCGGCAGCAAGTACACCGTCACCCTCATCCCCGGTGACGGTATCGGTGGCGAGGTCTCCGAGTCGGTCAAGACCATCTTCAAGGCCGACAATGCTCCCATTGAGTGGGAGCAGGTTGCCGTCTCCGGTATCCAGGATGCCGGCAGCTCCCAGGCTGCTTTCCGCGAGAGTGTCGCCTCCCTCAAGCGCAACAAGCTCGGCCTCAAGGGTATCCTCCACACCCCCATCGAGCGCTCCGGCCACCAGAGCTTCAACGTCGCCTTGCGCCAGGAGCTCGACATCTACGCCAGCATCTCCCTGATCAAGAACATCCCCGGCTACCAGACCCGCCACAAGGATGTCGACCTGTGCATCATCCGTGAGAACACCGAGGGTGAGTACTCTGGTCTCGAGCACCAGAGCGTCCCCGGCGTCGTCGAGTCTCTCAAGATCATCACCCGTGCCAAGTCTGAGCGCATTGCCAAGTTCGCCTTCGCCTTCGCTCTCGCCAACGGCCGCAGCAAGGTTACTTGCATCCACAAGGCCAACATCATGAAGCTGGCCGATGGTCTCTTCCGCAACACCTTCCACGCCGTTGCCAAGGACTACCCCACCCTCGAGGTCAACGACATGATTGTCGACAACGCCAGTATGCAGGCTGTCTCCAAGCCCCAGCAGTTCGACGTCATGGTCATGCCTAACCTTTACGGTGGTATCCTGTCCAACATTGGTGCTGCCCTTGTCGGTGGACCCGGCATCGTCCCCGGCTGCAACATGGGTCGCGAGGTCGCTGTTTTCGAGCCCGGTTGCCGTCACGTCGGTCTCGACATCCAGGGCAAGGACCAGGCCAACCCCACTGCCCTTCTCCTCAGCGGAACCATGCTCCTGCGCCACCTTGGTCTTGACGACCATGCTAACCGCATCTCCAAGGCCACCTACGCCGTCATCGCCGAGGGGTAAGTCTCCATCTAATCTTAGAGTTCCATTTTATTTTATTTTGTATGAGAAATGGAGGCTAACGTCCGAACAGCAAGGTCCGCACCCCCGACATGGGCGGCCAGTCCACCACCCACGAATTCACCCGCGCCATCCTCGACAAGCTGGAGACTCTGTAAACAACTCCATCAATGAAAATCACCAAGAAACCATGAAACCCTATATATAGACTGCAAACACCTCGATTTTATACCCTACCGTACTTACTCTCTTGGTCAACCTCATTGTCATCGAGGAAGATGACACTATCCTCAAATATTTATACATCATACTTTCAAAGGGCCATGGACACAGTATCGTTTATGGCAAGACAGTGGTAGCGGCAACGCTTCTGGAGGACATTGGCATAGACAAGCCCCGTGCTGCTTTGCAATTGGGCCGGAACGGGGAGATATGAGACACAAGAGGGATCAGGAGTTGAGTGGTGACGGGCTGTTCACCACAGGGTTAGGAAGAGACAAGAGGACGAATTGTACGTCTAGCATTTACTCGTTTATTTGTTAAAGTTAAAAAGGCATATCAAGAAGCATTTCCCGTTATCTTAAGCGCATGCGCATTTGATAGAGAGAGAACAAAGATGGTGCACGCTTCGAGATCGATCGTGTCGGCCATCTGGCGCTGGTTGATGATGGGCGCTCGTACTTTTCTCAAAGGATCATTAATGAGACGGACCCATGGAACTGCTGAGACAGTGACGCGGCTTGGAATTCGCGACGAATCTTTTCTCAATAACGTACCAAGGTCTGGATGCGACTGCTTTTATGTCTGGTGTATTTAATAGAGCACAGTGGTTTACCAGCGATGCATGAACTGGCCTCTAAGTGAATGATTGCACTGGTAAAGAGTGTGCTTGTCTTCGCTTACAGAGAGGCTTAAATTACCAAAGCGAGTCTGCAGGCACTGAATTCCTAGACAGTGCCGGGGCAATTCGTGCAGCATTGAGTTAACATATGAGGGGATAATTTGCCATTTATTTATAAATCTCAATCTATTAATAAGTATTTGATAAATTATGAATTCAATATCTGATGCTGAGTGTTGTTTCGGTGCTGCATTTTCATGAGTAAATTGAGCAACAGGGTAGGTCGACTACCCCGCGGTACGTACCTTTTGCTCGAGTGAGCGGCATGGCGGGGTCCAATGAACCTTTGCGATCAGCCTTTTTCACCCCGCGACCGCAAGGAAGTTCTTGTGTGAGTCGAAACTGCAGCTCTGACTCAGGCAGCGGTGCCTTTATTTTTCTTCTGCTCCTCCCACCTTGGCCCCGTATCAACAACCACTCGATACACCAACCTCACATCGACGCTGCCAATTCCTCGGCCGACCCCGCGATTCCAATACTTACCAAAAAATACACATTGTTCTGGGCTGATTGACCCCCAAACACCATGCCCGACAACTCCCAAGCACCTGCCGAGCAGGCAGCTGAGGCCGTCGCCAACCTGCACCTCGACGACGTTACTGGAGAGATGATCTCCAAGACCGAGCTCAAGAAGCGTAAGAAGGCCCGCGAGAGGGAGGATGCCAAGAAGCAGAAGGAGGCGGCCAAGGGCCCTGCCCAGGAGAGCAAGAAGTCTGCCGAGGCCAAGGAGAAGGACCTCTCCCCCAACCAGGTGTGTGGCGTCCCCGTGAGGATTGCTTCGTTCCAGTCTCCCGCCCGCTGACAGTTGCACAGTACTTCGAGATCAGGTCGAGAGTGGTCAGCGACCTCCACGCCCAGGGCAAGGCCTACCCCCACAAGGTTCGTATCTAAAAGCGCTGGCCAATGTCGTGTCTGTTACCTGACTGGAATTATCAGTTCAATGTCGACTATGACATCCGCAACTTCGTCAAGGACTTCTCCCACCTCAAGAACGGTGAGAGCGACAAGAGCAAGGCGATCCAGCTGGCTGGTCGTGTCTATGTCCGCCGTTCCGCCGGTAGCAAGCTCTTCTTCTACGACCTTCGAAACGAGGGCACCAGGCTCCAGGTTCTTGCCCAGGCTGATTTCGCCGACAACAAGGCTCCTCCCTTCGAGGAGCAGCACGTGAACCTTCGCCGCGGAGACATCATCGGTATTCGTGGTTTCCCAACCCGTACCAACCCCGCCAAGAAGCAGGGTGAGGGTGAATTCTCCGGTGAACTGTCCATCGGTGCTATTGAAGTCACCCTCCTGTCTCCTTGCTTGCACCAGGTATGATATACACGTCTCCCCCCAATCTAGGTTTAATTGTCTTGCTGACCTGTCTCTGCCTTTAGATTCCCGATGACTTCTATGGCTTCAAGAACTCTGAGCAGCGTTTCCGCCAGCGCTACCTGGATCTCATAATGAACGACAAGGCCCGCAATGTCCTCATCACCCGTGCCAAGGTTGACACCTACATCCGGAGATGGTTCGATGACCGTGACTTCGTTGCTGTCCAAACCCCCATGCTCAACACCATTGCCGGTGGTGCTACCGCCAGGCCCTTCATTACCCACCACAACGAGCTGAACATGGACATGTTCTTGCGTATTGCCCCTGAGCTCTACCTCAAGATGCTTACTGTTGGTGGTCTTAACCGTGTGTACGAAATCGGACGTCAGTTCCGTAACGAGGGCATGGATCTTACTCACAACCCAGGTATGTGGCCCGCTCATCTCACCAGACGAGGGGCTAGGCTAACTGTTTGCAGAGTTCACTACCCTTGAATTCTATATGGCTTATGCCGATATGTTTGATCTCATGACCATGGCCGAGGAGCTTGTCTCTGGCCTCGTCAAGCACATCCACGGCAGCTACGAGACTAGCTACCACACTGCCAAGGGTGAGGAGATCAAGATCAACTGGGCGGCTCCCTGGAAGCGCATCGACATGATTCCCACTCTTGAGGAGCTCACAGGAGAGAAGTTCCCTCCCGCAGAGGACCTCCACACCGCTGAGTCTGGCGACTTCTTCAAGAAGGTCCTCAAGAAGACTGGCGTTGAGTGCAGCGCTCCCCTGACCAACGCTCGTATGCTCGACGCTCTCGTTGGCCACTTCCTTGAGTCACAGGCTGTAAGTAACGTGGAACGAAGATGACTCGCCGGGAGATGGCGTAACTGACAGTACCCTTCCAGACCAACCCCACCTTCATCGTTGGCCACCCCCAGATGATGTCGCCTCTGGCTAAGCAGTCTCGCTCCAACCCTGGCCTTTGCGAGCGATTCGAAGTTTTCGTTGCTACCAAGGAGATCATCAATGCGTAAGTTTGCCCGGGGCCCTTCTGACTTGGGATGTATATTAACTGGCAACTTTAGCTACACTGAGTTGAATGTTGCCTCTGAGCAGCGCCTGCGCTTCGAGGAGCAGGCCAACCAGAAGGCCCAGGGTGACGACGAGGCCCAGGGCGTTGACGAGACCTTCTGCAGGGCTCTCGAGCACGGTCTGCCCCCTACCGGTGGATTTGGAATGGGTATCGACCGTCTCATCATGTTCTTGACCGACAACTGGAGCATTAGAGAAGTCTTGGCCTTCCCTACCATGAAGCCCGAGCAAGATAACTAGATAGAGTAGAGATTCAGACTATAAAATGATGAACTTATGGGTTGCCTTCAAACTACCCGCCATGAGGCATTTGATTTCGTGATATCAACTGATTTTGGAGTGAGCTTCACTGGACTTGATTGAATGGCACCTCTTGAGGTGCATATATTTCATATCGGGTATCGGAAAAAAAAATTGATCTAGTTCTAATGAAACTCCCAACGCCGTACCATGAACCCCACTTTTGATATATAGGACTGTGCTCTTTACGCTTTTAAAAGACTGGTCGTCTCTTCCTGCCGGTGTATTTGGACGTTGCCTTGACGATACGGCCCTTGCGCTCCATACGTCCCTTCTGCTGCATGATCCAAGCCTTGCTGCCCTTCTTCATCGGCCCATCGCCGAGGTTCTTTGCTTTCCTGCGGATGTCCATGACGTCCACGCCCTCCATGCCCTCGACGACGCCGGTGATGTCGCCCTTTCCTTCGATCGTGGTGCCGCCGACAGTAAGAACGAGATAGAGCTTGACGTTCTTGGTGCCGGGGTCGTCCTCGAGCAGGCCGGCCCCGAACCCGGCCTTGACGGCGGCCTCGGTGATCATCTTCTTCTGCTGGTCGTTCTTGGGGTAGAACTGGCAGACGGCGCGGCCCCCCCTCTTGAGCGAGGCGTAGAGCCCGTTGAAGAAGCGGGACAGCCGCCCCGCGGGGGAGGTGTCGCTGCTCTCGGCGCTGCAGAGCCACTGGATGGCGGAGATGCTGATGGCGGCGTCGAAGCTGCCCGCGCGGAAGGGGACGCCCTGGCCGATGTCGGCGAGCATGAGGTCGCCCTCGACGTCGCGCTGGAGGGCGACGTCGAGCATGCTGGGGGAGACGTCCATGCCGACCCAGACGTGGGGGCCCTGCTCCTCGGGGGTGAGGGCGGAGAGGATCTCGCCCGAGAGGCCGGAGCCGCAGCCGACGTCGAGGATGAGGGAGGGGTGGGGGAGGTCGAGGAGCTCGAGGGCGCGGCGGGTCATGGAGGCCTGGATGTTCTGGATGCGGGAGTTGGTGGTGTACTTGCGGGCTTCCGAGTCGTCGTAGTAGACGTCGGCCGCACTGATGGTTGGGTGTTAGTTAACTGGTGAGGGAGGGGAGGGAGCGCGGGGTTGAGGAGTTGCGTACAGAGTATCCTCGGGGCGAGACATGACGGGGGAATTGGCAGCGTGCTGTTTCGGTTAGGAGTTTCTGAGCGAGAGGATAACAGTCGCTCTGGGGCCAATTTGCCTCGTCTGAATTGGGTTCAAGCGAACAGATCTTGGACCAATATACGGCGGTCAAGCTGTTGGTGTGTGTTGAAGTCAATTCAGACGCCGTTTTTTTTGTGGGTTATCGATAAGAACGGTGGACCGAAAGAATGTGGAGAGACCCGGATCGGAACTATATATATCCCGGACCACGCCATTAGCTTAGCTTGCCATCCACAGAGTCTAATGCTCCTTTGTAAGTTAGTAAGTTATCCACGACCTCCCGAAGAACGTGTCCTCAGCAGTTGGCCCGAGTTCCAACAGCAATAATTTCCTCCATCCCCTGTCGGAGGAGCAATCTCTGCCATTGCAGCATGCGACATTGAGCGTACTTTTTCTTTGCGACGACTTCCTTTCCATCAATCAACCAGTCGAGATGTGGATTCTACCACTGGTCGGCTATGCCGGGTCCATCCTCGGTTTCTGTTTCCTCACCATGGCCATCGCGTCTGGCCTGTACTATCTTTCCGAGCTGGTCGAGGAGCATACCGTGCTGGCGAAGCGATTCCTGACGAAACTCATCTACACTATAATCGGAGCTCAGCTACTCCTGTGGCTGCTGGATGGCTTCCCTTTCTGGCCGACTCTGCTCGGCGTGTTTTCGCACGTCATCTATCTGGGCAACATGCGGCGGTTCCCCTTCGTCAAGCTCTCGGACCCCCTGTTTCTGCTGTCGTGTGGTAAGAATTGGCTTGGCTACCCCTTTTGGCGCGAGTCTTGCTAACCAAAATCCTCGGCAACAGTTCTTGTGCTAGGTGACCATTACGTGTGGTTCAAGTACTTCTCCGGCAGCCAATCCAGAAGCTACCAGCGATCCGCCTACTACCAAGACGTCGACGTCCCGAGTTTCACCATGATTGCGTCCTATTTCGGGCTGTGCGTGTGGCTGGTCCCATTCTCGCTGTTCGTGAGCTTGTCCGCTGGCGACAACGTCCTCCCTACCATGGGCACTGAGCCGGTGCGAGGACCCGACGGCAAGGGGAAGCCCCAGGGCATGGTCAAAGCGCTTGTGGACTACGTGCGGAACGGGATCGGGGCGATTGCTGGCATGGATCGATCTTCTGGGTTATGAGCGTCGCCACCGACCTAATAGAACTCTTCTACCAGGACCCACCTTCAGATCGAGGAGAGAAAGTAGGAGAGGCTTCGCTGGTGGTTGAATAGACCCGATTTTTTGTGGGAATGAGGCTCTTGTTGAACCCTGCTGGTCGGGGATTTCACGGTACGTCTATCCTTTTTTTACCCAAGTCCCGACACGAGTTCATGATGAACAAACATAATCACGCTAGATTGTATTTGACAAGGAAATCCTTGTATGATCCCATTTTTCCTATTTACCCTGAATATTCGATACTCCCAATACTCCATACCCGTACTCTACCATCTATTGGTTCCCAAACACTAATTTCAATAGGCCACCCTGAATACAGTCTTGGTACACCCAATACATGTGTTTTGTCCTCGGACAATCCAACATTTTTGGTCGTCTTTCTCGGGGGATCGATGCCAATGCATAACGAGTCTTAGTCATACGACAAGACTACCTGATCAACTTTCTCGGGGATCGATGTTAGTGGGTGTTGGGCCGGAGATCACAGAAACAATGGGGGCTTACCTCGTGAGAGAGACAGCGACACCGGGTTCACTTGGCCGTGTTGCCACTTCCCTGGTTGGCATTGGCGCCGGTCGAACCTCCATGGGCTGGGGTCGTCTGGTTGTTCCCTGTGGCAACGGGCAACGATCCAATGTTATGCCATGGCATGTCTTTGTTGTCTTCCTGCAGCCAGTCGTTGAGCCTAGTGGAGCCGGCCGGGTCGGTGTAGGAGAACGAGTAGTTCCCACGGGGAACTTTGAAGTGACTTGGGTTGTTTGAAGACATGGTTGCGGGTGTTCGTGGGTCAGGCGATAGAAAGACGCGGATTCTTGGACGAGAGTGTCGATTGGTATTCGCAGCTCCTGGTGAAAGAAAGGGTGAATGGCTCTTAGCCTAGACAGAACGAACATGAGCTTGCACGCTGGGCAGCCATGATAATTTATACACCGGCGGCTCTTTGGAGGCTGCGGGCAGTTTCTCACCATTATGGCCGATCCGCGCAGAGCAGCCGCATTGGCATTCTCCATGGCGCACATGAGATTTATTTTTGTCGGATGGAGTTCGATGTGCGCAACAGTGTGTCACTCGATTTGGAAACAAGTCCCGGGGGTGAGGCCCATGCTGTACGGCATTGGGCCTGGGAGTGGGAGTACGTCCTCTCCTTCTGACGGTGGTATACCTCCCCTCCATGAGGCGTGTTCCCAGCTCGGTGGCTGGAACAAGACGGAGCGATTGGGTGGCCCTACGATTTACGATCGACGTAGCCAAGTAGCGGGTGTGCCAGGCGCCGACCGGTTTGAGTCTCTGCCCCTGGCTCCAATTCCGGAGGCTGTCTTGGATCGACTGAGGGCCCAGAGAAACATCACATAAGCACTGGGATCCAACGCCATGCATCCTATCTTTGTCATGGACAAGAATATCTACTATCAGCATGCTCGTGTGGTTCCCATCTGGTTGCCTGGCAGCCTGCAGCGCTGCAGATGCAGAAGCAGCTTAATATGGCAGTCGGTATGCATACATGGTCTTTGTCTGCCTGCTGTGACGGGCAGATGTACGCGATGGGTTCCCTCGTGATTCGCTGGTCGAGAGGCCTTCGGGCGTCGCAGCTTCGTCACCGCTCCTGGGTCGTGGAACGGGCCAACACCAGCCTTATGGCGCCGCTTCTCGCTGCAACCCTTCGGCCCCCAGTCCAGTTCAGCTCTTGTCGCGCGGGAGGATTAAAGACATGCGCCATATGGATGCAGCCCCTCATTCGGCTCTTCCAAGTGCTCAAATGGGACGATCCCCACCCCACTCCTCCCTTCTCGCAACGAGGTGTGGTACCAGCGATGCATGTTTAACCATCAAATCTGCGCAGCTCACAGCAAACTCACCGCTACGGCCGAGCTGAACTACGGCTGGTTTCTCCGCAGCGTGCAGTGTCCGCCTGCGTGTCCATATCAAGACGGCTGATGATCGGTGATCATGCAGCTAGCTGGCTTGTGCACACCATAAGTTGGAAATCTATGCCACCTCACACCGCGGCTGTAGATTCTACAGCCCGCCCGGCCCTAAGCCCGCAGCACACAGGGATTGATCGGCTTTAGGGCCTCCTGTGCCCATGTCTGGAGTTGATCTTCTTGTAGACATCAAGGGGTGCGTGCCCGTTGCAGGTGGCACTGCCGCCCGGTAGAAGAGACGTGGTAATCTTCTTCGGCGGAACCTTGGACGTTAGCCCAGGAGGACCGACCTCAATCTGCTCGCTGAATATTTCCCAAAGCAGTCCCGGGGCGTTTTCCCTCGGTCCTGGTGATTGTGGAGGTGGCGGATCGCACGCAGCCCGTAAGGCTCGGTTCGTTCCATCGCAGCAACGACTGCGCGATCGTGCCAGGAAGAGCCACAGAATCCTACCCTGCCTTTTTTTGGGGGCCCTTTGTGTAATGTGGCTTTCCGGAGCCTAACCCGGTGTCAGCCTCAGACTCAGAGGGAGACCGGCTGCAGTCTCGCCCATCGTGAATTTCATGCTTATGATTAATCTTGGAAACGCACACGCCAAAAGTTCCCTGCACACCGAGTCGCCTTCGTCTTCTGCTCCTCAAGCAACTGGCTATGTTATTTTTGGGTACCAGTCCGGCTCGAGGGCAGCCTCAATTGGAATCCTCCATCTCGGGCTGAGCTGCAGGTCTGGCAACATGGCCGACGATTGATATGGGAGATGTCAATTGATAGTTTCAACTTTCTTCGGCTCATCTTCTAGTACGGCTTAATGGACCGATAATGGGGAATGAGAATTACGAGGGGGGCGCGGATGTCTCTGGTCGGATGCTAGTGTCTTGGGGTTCTTAGTGGCCAGTATCCGGGATGAAGGGGAGCCATGTTTGAGATCTACCGGCAGACATGATTGACCCATCTGGCCCCTCTGGGCCCCTGGGCTCGTGCTGGGCTGGAGTCTGTTCGCCTTGGGGAAGGGGGGGCGGAGGGGAGTGGAAAGCTTCCGACAGAGGAGAGACATGGGGCGGGCACTTCGTCATAACAGTTTGATTATCCGTCTGCTTATTAGCACACACCGCATTTCCCTCCACGAATCAAGGGACACCCAAACAAAGAGGGTGCGTGGCCGGCCATTGACTCATTCACTTGTTCTCACTGTGGGATTCGATCTCGCCTGGCCCCCACGTGCGCCTCCTTTCGTAACAAATAAATCCTCTTTGGGAAAGACAGCTCGGGGTTTGGTGTGTCTCCATGTGTGCCCAGGTGCATTGTCACCTTATCGGCTTGGGGGAGATTTTATCCCTGTCTGTTCGTGTGTTGTGCGTGATACCTGCATCTGGCAGGCGGCGGCTATGTACGTGGAACGGCCAGGACGGAGATAACTGAGGACTGGCACCGTGGTGATACAGCCGGCTGCTCGTGTGGAAATTTACATGAAAGCAAGATGACCGTAGACAATGCAGAGCCAGCACCTGGGGGCGCGGTGAGTCTATTGTTGGAACAGGCCAATGAGCCACGTCTGTCTCTGAGACACGTCCAGCCTTATTACCAACATGAACCCAAGCGCGCGCCAAGGATGGTTCGGCAAGGCAACCATCGCGGTGGCGGCAAGGAACCATCTGATCTTGCGAGGGAGGGTGCATATACAGGGGCACTTTATTAATACACGGGAGGCTGTGCTGGGCCGTCCTGCACGTCAGTACTCCATTGTAACCGTCAGTCCTATTCTTACCCATCAGATGGTCTGTAGGTAAGATGCTTATATGCAAGTACCGATCTGACTGACGGCCAACGAGGCTCTGCCATCCTTCCCGCTCCCTGTGCCAGCAAAACAAAACAAACCACGGCGTGTTTCAGAAAAAAAAATGGCGAATTCGGGCGAACTGGTTTGAAGCAGCCAAGCCACCGTCGCATTCGCCCCCCCCCTTGCTTTCGTGATGAGATGCAGTGGCCTTTTGTGTGTAATCGATCTGCCGTCGGTCATACGTCTTCTAAGAATTGTGCCGACGGTTTCATTCCGAGATGACGATGTACAGCATTAGTGAGGAGAAGAGCATGTCAATACGGCGATTACGTCGGCTCGTATGTACAGACATTGACTCACCCGCTGGCACACCTGTGCCTCGTTACACACATCTTGGGCAGCTCTCGGCCGAGACAGGCGCAATCCATGGATGTCTATTTTAACTAGGGCTCTCGTCAGAAATGTCGGCTCCTCTGTATTCCTGCCTAGCCCTGATCTGACGAGTGTCCGAGACCCTGGCGGCCCCGGGGAAGACATGTTGTTCTTCTCCCACATTCCTTCTACTGCCTCCGTCTCACAATCACGACGCCACGGTTTTCCTTTTTCCTCTTTTTTTTCTTTTTCTTTTCACACAACAAGGGCAGTTCTCTCTTCGCAATTCTTTCCTATTCAAATCATGTTATTTTTATCAGCGCTGCGATCGTGTCGACGCTGCCTCACCTCATCCAGCGCGGGATGATCGCCACCCCCATCTCCCCCTCCTCCCTCCCTGCCCTTCCACCATCCGGTCCCCGTGCTTATCCTAAACCAGTTCACCGGCATTTTCGTTTATAGAATGGCCAGAGCGTTTGGGGGCGATCCGATGAGGCCTGGGTGGTTGAGCGGCACGGAGGTGAGCATGAAGGAGTACCGCTTCTTCTCCCTGCAGAGCTTGGACAGCTGGCTCAGATCCCACAGCTCGCCGAGGGGCATGCCGAAGCCGCATAGTAGTTGGGGGTGGAGGACTGTTTACCCTCACACGGTTCGTATGGTCAGCATTTGTTTTTTCCACAGCAGCGGGGTTTAGGGGAGAGTTGGACAATCTCGGAGGGGGGAGGGAAGAAGACAGGTGTTCTTTCAAGGTAAGGGGGATGGGCAGGGGAGACGTACCGAGCTCGTCGAAGCCGCCTGGTGAACCGTCGGGCTTGAGGGGGGGCAGGGCCTCGACCGAGTTGTTGTCGCTCGCGACGGCGACGAAGCGGTGGTTCCAGATCCACCGCGCCGTCTCCACGGAGCCGTCCACGCCGGACATGGTGACGGTGTCGACCTCGCCGGCGGCCCGCAGCTGCTCGGCCGTGAGGGCGTCAAAGACCTCGGTCATGCCCGTGCGCACGACGAGGACGTCGCCGGGCCGGAACTCGACGCCCTGGTGGGCCGCGCAGGCCTCCATGTCGGCGGGCCCGATGCGCGCGCCGGCGAACGGGTGGTAGGGGATGCCCTTGTCCTCGGCGTAGGACATGTAATCTATGAGGACGCCGCGGGCGACGAGGCCGCCGTGGGGGTGCCAGTGGTCGAGGGTCGGGACGGGCTCCTCGCTGGAGGGGGCGGCGGCGGCGGTGAGGGACTCGTGGGTGAGGCGGAAGCCGTTGTAGACCTGGGCGGTCGGCTGGTGGGAGAAGTGGCAGAGGCTGTCCCACTGGCTGCTGCTCTGGGTGTTGATGGACAGCTCGTCGTCCCAGCTCTCGCCGACGGCGAAGCCCATGGAGTCGGGGTTGTAGAGGAACTTGTGCTCGGCGCGCTTGCGGCCGGGCACGTCCATCTTGCCCATGCCGGTGAGGGACCAGCTGCGGGAGGTGTGAGGACTGGATGATGGAGGATTGGGAGTTGGGTGATGGCTTACTTGAGGGAGACGGAGATACCATCTTTGACCTCGGCGGCGGCCGCTTGGACGATGTCCGGGGTGAGGAAGTTGAGAGTGCCGAGGAGGTCTTTCTTGCCGTCCTTGTCGAACAGGCCCCAGACATAGCCCTGCGGCATGTTGTCGACCTTTGGGAGGTCGTCAAAGTCGGGGACCGAGCTGTGATGGACAGTCATCTTGGCGGATGCTAATATGGGAGGCTGCAAGTCTTTGTGGAGGGAACTCAAGACATGCCCGTGTATGGAATGGCTGATTTTGACGGGGCTTTGTTGTCTCGGGTTACTTGATTACTTATATTACTGATGAGCTTCAAGATTCGTTCAATATTTTCTCCTTCGGGTTATCAAGAGGAGAAGGACGGCACAGGTAGTGGATGAAAGGAGCCACGACTGGCACTTATATTTACTACAAATACATAGTATCGTACAGCCGAAATCGCTTGCATGGATGATGGCGGGGAAGCACAGACGCAGTTTTATCTGTGACAGCCACCTGGCATCTATATAAAGCCCGACCCCGACCGTATCTCGGGACTTAAAGCAGGCTTGCAACCCCTTGCCTGATGCTTCATTCGCTGGAAATGGGCTCCCGCGCTGTAGAAGGATGGCACCCTTGACTTGTGGCACCGTCGAACCTTTCACGAGGACAGAATGTGGAGAAGTCGAGGGTCGGAGTTATGCTGTTTGTGTTAGTTCAAACGTCGACAGGGTCGTACCGAAGTTCTCATGAGCTGGGGTAGGTCAAGTGCCGGTAGTGGTTGATTGGCTGCCACGATCCTCTTTCTGGATGCGGGCGTTTATGCATAACCTGTTCGTATGTAGGCATTTGAAGACGATCGGGATATAAGCGAGAAACGAGAACGACTAGCGATAACGAAAACGAGCAACACCCGGCGAGAGAACGAGATGGCCCTTATCAAGGCCTGCCCTGAATATAAGGTACATGTAGAGTGCATTACTTTCTAACCGTCTGCCGGCCAACCTCGCCTGACCAAAACCCCTTGTCCACCTCGTCGTTTGGTGCTGGGGATGCACGATCGTGCTTCTTGTCAAAGTCGCGATTGTGCTCTTCCACCTCGGCTCTCTGCTCCTCGGTCAGATGCGCCTCCTTGTCGACGGCGGGCATGCTGAGGTTTGAGATCTTGGGCTTGGGCGGCGCGTTGGGGGAGGATGCGTCGAGCTTCTTGCCGCCGCCCGTCCGGCCCTTGACGGATTTTTCGCTGAGCGGGTCGAGGGCGTCGTTTGCGCCGCCCTCCGTCTGCTTGAAACGACGTTGCGAGTGATTGGCAGCAAGGCGATGGTGGGCGGCTAGGACTCGGGATGGGGCTGTCCCCAGTGATCGAAGTGTGTAGCGGTTCATTTCCTTGGTTGAAAGAGGGCTGTATGTGAAGTCTGCGAGAAGTGTATTGAAATTGCAATCATAAATTGGTGATGAGGATGGAGAGTGGTAAATATTCCGTCCCCGAGAGCCGATCTCAGCCTTGTCTGTCGCTGGTAGATGATGAATATATGGATCTGACGTCAAGGATAGCGATGACATCAGATTGATCGCATCACTTCCATCATCGGCGATCTCATTCCCATCCTTTTATCGCCACTTGATTGCACCATATCATTTGCAATTGAATTTGCGCAGTCTGATTGGAGATAACTGTTGCCCGTGATGCCGCCCAATCAACGAACGGCAAGGCTGCGTGCCTGGCCTCTTGGAGCTCAAAGAGAGAATCCATTATGCCATATGGAGCCCGGGATTCTAGGTGACCCCTCATCTAGATCTATCCTCCGGGCTAAATTCTCCATTTCAGGAGAGTGAAATTTGTTGTCAATATATTCCTCCAGCTCTTTCCTCATTGAATGACTTGCAAGCACGATCGAGGTACTTAATTTGTCCCATATGCCGTCGTCTATTATCACGGGTGGGACAAGTAAACCGGCGACGCGCTGCTGAAAATCCCTGAACTCTTGGAATCCGTTTGCCCAAGCCTCCCGGTCCTCAAGATATCGGTGAATCAAGAAGCTATATAAGTGAGGGAACGGCCGTGTCGCTCCGCCTGGGGGAGTTCTTCGCACAGGCTGCCTGGATGCAGGGTCAAAAAGGCCGTGAACTCTTTGACCGGTTCTGAGATGCGGAGTTCTCGGAAGTAAACCCAGCATGGAAAGATTTGTGATAAAATCAATCCCAGCACCAGAGTCCCCCCGTCCTGAAGTCATGCCGAATCCGTGTTCGGTCGGGATACTTTTAGGAAACGCTGACTTCTGCCATGAGTTTCCGTAACTTGTACGGAGTTGCGTGGTCGAGAGTCTGGAGAACTTTCAAAAGTAGCTCCATGTCTCCGCGGGGGATTTTGCGCAGTAAGTCCGCGGGAATGTATTCCGTGACAATATCATTGACGTCTTCAACAGAATCAATACGTCTCTTGTTGTTATTAATTCTCTTGTTATGCTCTTGATGCAGGACATCAATTAGGATTTCGGCGCCTTCGACCTGTCCTTTGATAGCGTCGAGCAGCTGCATCTCTTTTCCGGACGGAGCACCGTCCAAGTGTTTATACTCCAAAAAGTGGCTTATGTTCGCCCATGCATCCATTAGGACAGATCGCAGCTGGACCTCGAGAGGCTGTGATTGATATATGATACTAGTACCTGTTATGGCATCGCGCTGGTAGTCCTTGAACATTTTGTAGTATTGAAGCTGCCCGCCCTTGTTGAGTTTGACCCAGACATGGTCGGCTGCGTACTCGCCAAACCTTTTGCGGTAGGCTTGGGGCCTTCCATAATCCCAATCCCGATCAAAGGTCGTGGTGGACTCATACACGAACGCCTCTTTGAGGAGGAGCTCGACTTTTGGCTGATCATCAGGAAGATATAGGGCGATGCGGAGACCAACGAAATCCAGCCCGTCGTTGAGGATCGCCTCGTCGTCTTTGTATGGAGCGCGGGAGTTCCTCTGCTCCAGCTTCGCCTTCAGTGATTTGATGTCTTTGACCCGACCCGTCACTTGCCCGCGAATATCCTTTTCTTTCATCTTGGCCTTGATTATCTCTATAGCACAGTCCTTGAGAACTTGCCAGTGAGCCTGGAGGCGTTCGTACTTTTGCAGGAATTTCTCAACTTCTGCGAGGCCCAGTTGGCGGTTATGCTCAACCGGCCCGTTTGGGAAGAGGAACGATTCCTCCGCCGATTGTGCCAGGTGTTCTTGGCCTAGCGGCATACTTTGTTGCCCGGAAAGACTAGACTGCCTGGCTGCAGTTTGATTTGCAGGCAAGCTGGATGAATTCGGACTTTCTGGGGGATTCGGCAGGTGAATAGAATGTGTCTCTCTGCGTGGCGAAAGTGAGGCCGCGGTTGAAGCATTAATGGAAACATGCTCTTGTGGCCGTGTGATCCCTCGAGCAGGACCCGGGAAATTCATCCGTCCTGCTATTTGGGGAGAGGTCCCGTCGTTCCTTGGAGCGTCTTGACGCGAGGTCTCTGTGGGTAGACGTGAGTGATCCGGACGCTCAGCGCGAAATCCAGGTTCCACGATATCATCCCGTCGCTGGGATGAACCCTGCCGGGCGGCAGGTCCCTGATTATGTACGGGTCTTCGTTGAAGCCCGTGGCGAGCTGAGGCGTCTCGCAATTGATTTTGCGACGGTGTAGCGGAGGCTGGCGAGCCGCCCATGCTACTTGGAGCATCCTGCCTCGGATTGTTTGGTCCTGAGCGCAACCCGATAGAATGGACTGACGCTTGGGTCAAAGTAGATGGCCGTCGATTCTCTAGACCAGATGATGCTTGCGTGCCTGGGAAGGGGCTAGAAGAATGCGGATTTGGTTCTACAGATGCCCCAAAACGTTCACGTTGGTAACTTCCTGCGGCTCCGGTTGGATCCAAGCCCGTGCTGGGTTGAGATGCAACGGGGGCAGAACTCGACGCTGGCTGTTGTGATGGTTGTCCATGAGCCATTGATGTCGAGAACGCGGATCCTTGATAGCCAGTTGGCCTCAGGGACGATGAATGTGTAGGCTCGGAACCAGCCGTATCTGCCCCGTCCTGACATCTTTCGCCTTGGTCTTGAGACGCATGGTCACCAGCACGCTTAGACTTATGAAGATTGAACAAAGGCATTGGGATTGGATTTTCACGGGTACAATGGTTGATAGTAAATCAAGATGAATATGAAAGGCGCCGAATCCGCAAAACAGTTGGGTAGTGTCGATATGGATGACTGCCTTTTATAACTGCCCGGTAAAAGAATGCTGGAAGCTTCGACAAAGAATAAGGCGCGTAGCCCGGCCAGCTCTACACCCCTTCATTCAGGAGCATCTTCAGCTAAAATGCCGCCAAGACGAAAATGCGACCGGTGTAGCTTGAAAGTGCAGTCACGCGGAATGACCTGAAGCATTCGTTGGCCAACAGTAAGCGCGTGGCTGCTTATGAATGCAGCCTCACACCAGTTACCGGGCCTTTTCAATAGTATGCATGAGCAAGTAACGTAGGAATGCATATGGCGCAGCTCAGCTTTAGAAATCGATTGGATCACGATCAATACCTCACGTCAGCATCCTCGGGGACATACCCTTGCCTAGGTATCCTGCTTCAGCCGGTACGTTGGCTTGATATAGCTGAGTTGACTGTTGTTCTATCGGTAACTTCTGCTACTATGTAATCGTGGTAGTAGCACGTATGATGTTGTGGTTCCGCCAGCTCAGAATCAGCCTTTCTATTCACTTCGTCGCCAACCCGATGTAGAAAATGGATGGCCTAGGAGTACTAGCACAGCAAGTACTCGGTGCTTATTCTGGTTTCCAGGACAAGCCCTCATTGACACCTCATGCTACTTTCGAGATCTCGGTATTTGCCAAGTCATATCACGCAGCGGGTGTCGAAAGCGCCAAAAGAGACATTGTGCAGCGCGAAGTCTTGGAAGCTGACGTGGAGGCATGGGCAACGACAGATCTCACCGATGCCACTGGTGCTGTCGCTGAAGCTAGTCTGAGGCTGATATGCGTCGATAGGGGCCGTGATAATACGATGAGCATGTCCAAGGCAGCCTTCACATCTCTCACAACCGCCGCTGGAGTCAATCCGGCAGCTCTCTATATGGTTTGCGGCCAATACGACGGCTTCCATTCGTTCAACAGCCCCGGCTCGCTTCAAACCTGGTTCTTCGGAACATCCTCGCACGCGGTGTTATGGACTTTTCTTCCCTCTCACAGAAGGACCGTCGGCATGTTTATGCACCGTCGACGAAGTCTCTTCCAAGACTTTTGCCAGGTGCTGTCCGTCTTCGCCCATGCCATCCACGCCCCCCATGTGATGCTTCTCAGCGGGTGCGTCCAACAGCAGCACTACTTTGACAGGGAGACCGCCTCCGAGCTCAGTACCATCCACATGATTGAGAAACGCACAGGGTTTGGGCCACGCAGCGCGGTGGCCGGCTCAGCCGCGTCGAGGCCAACTGGTAGCACGATTCGTGCCGAGATCGACGAGCTTACGGCCTGGTCGCAAGCCATTGGCGAGGTGGGAGGCAAAGTTACCAACAAGTTCCGTCACCAGAGGACCTCGGAGAGGATGCTGGGCGCTCTAAAGGAAGGGTTCCAATGCTCAGGGGCCGCGGGATTGCCTCCAGGCCGGGCGATGGATATGTACAGAGCCAGTCTGGATGAGCTGTGCGGCGTACTGCCCACAATCGAACAGCACATGCACACCTACGAGGAGTATCTGAAATATCTGAAGCATCGAACAGAGAGGCTTTCCTCCGTGGTGAGTGACATTGGCTATGCATTGGGCCCCGAGGCTGTGGACTAATCTCCTCTGAACAGCTCTTCATCTTGCTGACGCATGTGGATGCTCGTGCCAGCATCGGTCTGGCTGTGGCTACAAGACGGGATAGTTCATCGATGAAGACGGTGGCGATCATGACCATGGCCTTCCTGCCGGGCACGTTTTTCGCCGCCCTCTTCTCGATGCCTCTGCTTCAGTGGGATGGGTCGCGGATAGTTCAGGATGGGTTCTGGGTGTACTTGGCGTGGACCATACCAGTCACATTGCTCGTCTTTGGCCTGTGGATTGCTATCACAAAGGGCAAATCCATTACAGACATGTGCAGGCGCGTTTGGGAAACTTGAGTCCGGATAGTTTGGCCATACTGACTTGTATTGTATCACATATGAGCCAGAACCTTTGCAGAATAGAAACACCCGCCCAACATCGTAGTGGAACGTTCGACCCTAGTCCACTAATATACTTAAGAGATGGCATGAACTTCTCCAGCTCAGCTTGTTATCACCAGACTGTCATTCGGACGCCATGGAAAAGCTTGAATCTTCAGGGAGCCCTTGGCCCAGCTCAGTCTCCTCGGTCCAGCTCAACCCCAATCCGCCAGCTTTGGTTCTCTCCCACTGTCTTAATGTGAAATGATTCGCCGGCTGGTCCTTGTGGATATCGAAGATGCGATAATCTGCATTATCAAACCAGCATCCCGTCACTCCCTGCCTCAGAAACCCCGAGTGAGATACTACAATGACTGCCTTGGCCTGCAGGGAGTATAGCTCGCCCAGACAGGTCTGGGCGCGTGCCAGGATTGCCTGCCGATTGTACCTGTAGCGATCCGCTGCCTGTGAGTTCTTTTCAGGGAACACCGGATCCAGAGACGAATAGTCAATTTGTGGGAATTCTTCTTTGAGTGTGGAGATGGGAGTGCCCGTGTCGCAGGGATGGTCGGAATTTTCTGGAAGCAAAACACATCCCATTCAGAAAATGAACCAGGCTGTGATGGCTTTATGTTGTCTGCTCACCTTGCCACCCCGCACTGGCCTGTATGGGGACACCCTTATGCAGCAGCCAGTCCATCGACCGGAGAGCGGTCTGAATAGTCCGTCTCATGGGGCTGACGAGGATCAGCCCGATGTTTTCGACCATCTCCGCCGGAAGCTCTGTTTTCAGATGGGCTTCGAGTCTGGCGCATTGCAGTATGCCCAAATCTGATAGGCTTGGGTCGTGGATCGACGAGTCTGATGCAGCCTGATCAATTCCCAAGCGTGGATGGCACGGGCAACGAGAAAAGGGAACACACCCACCTTGTTTGAGATTGTGAATAGCCTGCGCGTGACGAACAAGTATTAGAACAGGAGCCATCCTGGACATGAGGATCGATACTGGCTTGGTGTACTTTCTTCTGTTTGGTGTTGTGTGGTATGATGGAAGCTCCGTTCAGCTCGTTTGGCCATCGCGGGTCCCCCTCCAGCTTAGCCCGGCTGCTGAAGTAGCATCATGGCCGAGGGACCAATAGACAGTGCTTCTAAGTCGGTTCTCTACTGCTATCAAGAGAATTTTCCCTTGAAATATAAACCCAAGGACGTTAAAAGCTTGATTAATGCAAAGAAGAACTGGAAAGCGAAGAATACATGACGTAGGTAGTCTCAATAATGCACTCTCCCTACCTTTCGGCATGTGGTTTTCTGGGCTGTCCGTGCATCCACTGGGACAGTGTTAGCCCTATAAATTAGCGGTCGCAGCCACTGACTGCTCATTGAACCTGGAGCCCAGCCAACGAGGCACCGCTCGCACATCTCAATAGCGAACAGCCATTGATGACAGCTTCACAACGATCACTCGTCTTGATGGAAGAAAGCTAAGTCAGGTCCCTGTGAAACAGCCGTCATAATACAGCCAATTATCTGACCATTATACCTTGGTAGGTACCTTGAGTAATTATCCAACCAGTCAGCGCGGTGGGAGGTGCACCTTGATGGTCTGCCTCGTGTGACACTATCCCGAGTCCTGTCCATCAAGGTGTCATGATACCCTTACTTTCACTACTCGCCTCGTCAAGATGGAGCTTTGGGGAAACAAAGCCTAGACCAGCGCAAGGCCATATGCGCTCTCGTCCCCGCATTGGCAGAGGGACCCTGTTCTGGGGGCATCTAGAAGGACAAAAGGGTTCTCATCTGGCCGGACTGAGGGTTGGCGTGATGGGTTCTGATGCATAACTGGCAGGCACAGGTTGGGATATACGTCTAGCTGTCCTTGTTACTGGGAGATAACTGTCTGCCACTTGAGGCTTGTTGTTCTCCTCTATCTTTTCTAGCACGTGCGTCTCCCCGTCTTCTCCGGTTGAAGTCAAGTTTCTAAAGAACTCAATTGAAGAGAACATTTCTATCCATCACATCTACTCTTTTGGTTGATACGGCAGAGATTATGGATACAAAGATACCTCACGATGACGAGGTTTACGATGCTATCATCGTAGGCGCCGGCCCATGTGGACTAGCAGTCGCCGCTCGTCTTCGTGAACGCACCCCCGCCGCCCTCTTCACAGACGAGGAGCATCGCCGCTATCACTGGATCGGCAAACATGGCAGCAAGGTCTCCCTGAAGCACGTCCGCAGCGGGAAGCTTTCGTCAGCCAACACGAAGCAGCGGAGGCCTGATTACAACATCACCATCCTCGACTCTACCGAGGATCGTTGGCTTTCTCGATGGAAGAGGCTCTTTGAGGCTTATGGTATCTCTCATTTGCGCAGCCCAATGCTATGGCACCTTGATCCGCTAGATCGAGACGCATTGCTGGCCCATACCTATCGCACCGAGAGGGAAGACGAGATCGTTGAGATACGCAATTGTGTTGGCAAAGAGGTCAGCAAGCACGGCAAGAAGAAGGGAGTGGGCTGCAACAAGGCCTGTGGGAACAAGTAAGCTGGAGCATTGCTTCTCCAACCCATCGTTCCACGCCTAATTATAGCTACTGACACAATATTGTCTCCAGACAGAGTGCCCGAGTGGCCATCAACCTACGAGAGCGCAACGACTACTACACCCCCTCACAGTCTCTCTTCTGTGACCACTGTGACGATGTCATCGACCGATACAGGCTTTCTCCTGAACTGATCCACAAGGAAACCCTGGAGGATATCGACTACAGCGTCGTGAGAGGCGTCTCCATCGACGAAGAGGACCTCTTCACCGTCAGATCCAACCTCCGGGTCCGTTACGCCAGGACGGTCATCCTAGCCGTCGGCCCCGCCAACGTGGCCAACATCCCAAAGCTCCCTTCCATGCCGCAGCAGCTGCCCCTCCCACAGGCCTGCCACAGCATGCAGATCAAGAGGATACCGGACCCCGTCGTGCAGAAGAGAATCGACGCGCACAAGGCCACCCACATCCTCGTCGTCGGCGGCGGCCTCACCTCCGCTCAGATCGTCGACCTGGCCCTGCGAAGGGGCGTGACCAAGGTGTGGCTCATCATGCGGGGGCCGTGCCGCGTCAAGCACTTCGACGTGGACCTGGACTGGATGGGCAAGTACAAGAACGCGAAGCAGGCGCAGTTCTGGACCGCCGAGTCCGACCTCGAGAGGCTGCAGATCATCAAGGAGGCGCGCGGCGGCGGCAGCTTCACGCCCGTCTTCCACAAGCGGCTGAAGAAGCACGTCGCCGCCAAGAAGCTGGACATGCACACGATGACGCAGCTTGTCGATGCCAGGTTCGAGGAGGACGGGGAGGGGGTCGGCAGGTGGACCGTGCAGACCGAGCCGGCGATTTCTGAGCTCCCGTCATTCGACTACATTTACTTCGCCACGGGGATCCAGACGGATTTCACGAAGCTGCCTTATCTGCAGAAGATGCTGGAGAAACACCCCATCAAAGGTCATGGGGGGTTTCCCTGCCTGAATGAGGATCTCATGTGGAAGGATGGCGTGCCCCTGTTCATGGTGGGACGTCTTGGTGCGTTGCAGCTGGGGCCTGCCGCTCCCAATATTGGAGGGGCCAAGATTGGCGCGGAGAGAGTGGCGTGGACCATCGAGGACCTGATCAAGCCTCCGGGGGCGGACGTCTGGAGGGACGATCACGAGGAGAGTGCAGGGCTCAGGGGATATCTGTCAGGTCACGGAAACATGTACAATGCTCTAGCTGTCGAGTGATCTGCAAATTCGCAAAGCAATATTTAAGAAAGATTACCACGTCATATAATGGAATAATGCTCGAGCCAAGAGGGAAAATCACAGACTGTTTATGTTTGATCACTGAGTGGACTTACAAAAGGGAGCGTTTCTTCACCCTCGTACCAAAGATGACGACGCATGATCCAGTTGATGAGTTTGAAGTAGGGCAGAACAAGGTAAAAGATGCGTTGAATTTTATGAACGAGAGTTAAACGCCAATTCTCGTCTCTAAAGTATGCTCCAAATCTCTTGTTTCTTGTATAGGTCTTATGTCGTGTATGTCTTTTCCATCTCAACGCCTTTTCCATGCTATTACTATGACAGAAAATAAAGGAAAAAGGGTGGTTCCCATCCCTGAAGACAACCAAAATGTCGAAGGCCACTCGCAAGGGGAGCATTAGTGAACCATTGACGCTGCTAATGGTTCATCTCAGCGTCAACAGCGTGCCCGCTTGGTCCAATGGCAGCATAGTCAGTCGTCACAAACGCCCTGTCAACTTCCCCAAGTCCCTCAGCACAGTATTGAAGAGTCTCTGCAATGTCGTGGGAGCGTGAAAGCTTTGTGTTCTCGTCTAGAAGGAGGTCGAACTCTACCCAAACGCCATCGCCAGCGTGGTACGCGGTTATCGACTTGAACCCCTCGACAACGGGGCAGAAACGATATGCGAGGTAGGTGAGCTTGCGCAGGGTTCGGAGGTCGGCTGCCTCGCCGGAGAGACGGGTCACATTCTCGAAGGAGGTGTGGCCCCAGTCGTAGATGATGTACAGGGACAAGAGACCGGCGCCGAGCGGATCAAGCCACCATACCTTGGCATGGTATCCGATAAGAGGAAACAGGAGCGAAAGGGTGTTGAAGTTGACATCTGTTTTGCAATCTTGGACAAGAGCCTGCACCTGCGTCGTCTTGATAGGTCGGCAGGCCAGGCCAATGCTCCCCTTGAGTACAATTGTAGCCACGAGAGATGCAATGGCGGCATAGCTCAGCATCTCCGGATCTCCATGCGGGGGCATAAGACGGGAGACTGATTCTTGTAAGATCTGTAGGAATGATATGACCATGATGACGGAGAAGACGAGGATACCGAGGGGCTCTAGCCGACGCCGTCCAACGGGGAAACGCTTCTGCAGCGCATTAAGCCGCCAAAGCACCAGCCGGTTCGTCGACCACACAATGAGCGTGCACAGCAGATCGAGGGCCGAGTCCACGAGCGAAGCCATCAGAGAGAGCGACCCCGTCGTGAACGCGGCAAACGTCTTGCCGGCCAGCAGCAGGACGTTGGCAGCCACGTTGACGTTGATGGCCCACTTGGCCTTCCTCGCCGCCCTCCGCCGCCTCGCCTTCTCCTCCTCGGGGAGCAGCTCGCCCACGCACCCGGCCACGTGCTGCAGCCCGCCGCTCCGCTCCTGGTCGCCGTCCTCGTCCGGGTCCGGGTTCATGGACTCGAGGACGTCGTCGGCCACGGCCATGACGACGACGTCCACCTCGAGCCAGTCGTTGAGCTTCTCGTTCTGGTCGCGGTAGAAGGCCCGGATCTTCTTGTTCTTGATCTGCTTGATCTCGTGGTCGGGTTTTCGGAAGCGCTCGAGGCCCTGCCGGTCTATGCCAGAGAGGAGGGCATTCTTCAGCTGGTTGCGGTGGAGGTCGTCGAGAGCAGTGCGGGCGGCGTCTTGGAAGCGGAGGATGCGCGGGGGGAGGCGGCTCCGGGCGATGCTGCGGCGGCTGTAGTGGTAGGGAGTGTGGTTGTGTTTGCCGTTCTCAAGGTCTCCATGGCGGTGGCTCTGGTCGGGCGCGACGCCGGATTGTTGATTCAGTCGGTAGTAGGGGACGCCGTCGTCGCGGTTTAGGGATCGTTTGCCTACCATGGGAGGCAACTAGGTCAGATGTGAGCAAGGTGGTGGTTGCGAATCGTATCAACAGGTGGACGGAGGTATTTGAACAACGAAAGAAGAGCCGGTCCTAGCTTAAGGTTCTACCTACCTCTGCTTGGCTCGGGAAGCTGGTGCCGGTTAGGCCTGTTGCCAGGAACAATTCCGATGACGTATGATGATGATGATGCTCATGCTGCTGATGGCTGCAGCTTCAAGCCCTGCGACACACATGGGCACCTCCCTTGCACGCTACCCTTGCTCCCCAGGAGCAATTGGGTCGAATGGTCATGTTGCAGCATGTTGCTATGCATCACATTCACTTCTTTGCCGACAGTGACCCCTAGAACGCGTCCGGAGGTTGACAGACGGATGTCATCAAGGCATGGGAGGGAACTAAGATCTGGCCAAGTCTCTAGCCAAGGGCGGAGAGATGCCGGAGGCTCCACTGGGATCGGCCCTAGACAGAATGATGACGACATCCACCAATTCCTGCTTACCCTACACCAGATATCTAACGAAGGTGGGCACCGTCCTAGAACCTGAACTGAGCAACTCCGTCGAACCATCGCAAGCCGCGGCTCAGTCGACCGTACGACAGCTACCTTACACCGCCATCAACATACCAAGGCTTGGCCGGCGGATCTTGCCCTGCTACACTAAAGGGTGTAACAAGTGGGAAAGGGGCATACTGCTGCTGCTGCTCGCTACACAGCGTCAATTAGAGGAGCCTTGTGCTCTCTAACAGGTCCCTGTGTCATACCTGCGCAATCCCTCACATGGCTATGCCGGAGGTGAGAAAGGATTCCGTGATGAAACTAAATGTCTCATTGACTGGCCCCTCGTGCTTGGTCGTGTATCAACTGGGCGCACGGGGAGACGGCCGCCATGTTCCACATCCGCGTGTATGCTCGTATTGCTTGACGACCCATAACACAATGGCTATTGACGGGAAGCTACAGCGGAAACCCGCGAATACGAAAATCGGGATGCTCTAGAATGAACCAACTGGTTTGCTTAGCTACCTGTATGTGCGGCTACCATCCATGTTCCCCGCCGCAGTCTGCCTGGCCGTGATAACACACAACGGGGATATGCTCTCTTTCTGGTTGTTCCGTTCGTTGCACATATGTATGTCTGTACACGGAAGCCCCGCTCCGGATTTTGGCACGCACACACCATCTGCTTGCGTTCCTCGCCAAATGGATTGCTCATGTATTTGAAAATATCATCTGTGAAGTGGAGTGCTCGCCATCTGCGATTTTGTTCTGCCCCTTGCCTTCCGTGCGCACTCCTATCAACTCCTACTTTTTATTGCGCCATAGATATATATGACACTTCAATTCCGCTTGGCATTGGCGTCTCCTCCAAGCTTTCCTCTTCTGAGGCTCTTCTTGACGATAATTGGTTTTCCCTGTCCCCAATGCCCAATGGGTGGCAGGGATAAGAGCACTCTGCTAGTGCCCGAGAGGTCCCTTCATTATTGAACATGTGTCAGTGCCCTATTCTTCTGTCAGGTATTTCCACTAACTATTTCGCAGTGTTCATTGGAGGGTTGGAGCTAATGTTAGCTCCCCGGCGCGGTGGTTGGCACTGCCTGCACTCCCTGGTGCGCGACTGCGGGAGCGTTGCAAGACTGCTTTTTGCTCTCATTGTTGCAATCATATGTTGCATACGCTGTTGTTGGCCACGTTGGGATAGTTGGAGATTCCACGACAGAGAGTGTTGGCATCCTTATGAATGATACTGCGCATCGCCAATGAGCATACATTGAGCGTGCCGAGGCACATATCGGCCGTGGTCGCTGTCCCATACAATGTATGGCACATCAGCAAGAGAAGTATATGCTTTGCTGAACGTGAGCGATCCCCTCCGCCCGGCTATGCTATATCGCGGTCAGAAGTGGACTTTGGCGGGAATTCCGACCGCCTGAAGCGCAGATTTCTTGACCGCTGATTTTGGGCAAATGTTATCTGCTCTGTATAAGAATCCCTGAATCGCCTTTGTCTCGGACCGAAAGACAGGTGTTGCTTATATCTTGGATGGTTGCCCTCTTGGCGTTACAGTTAATGCGATTGAGTATTCTGACACTCTTCGGCCTCTCATCCACCTTTCATTTCTACGCACTCCCTTGCACCCCGCAGGAGCATGATGGTCTCTGCGGTCCGATCGCCGCTCCATGGATCCGACAGACTGCCCGTGACCACATTGGACCTCGCGGCATATCAGCGGGCTTCTCCCATGCAGTTCACCGTCCAACCCTGACCACGTGTAGTCATCACGCTTTTCCAACGTGCGAACTTCGCGTCCGCGGCTGCACGCTTAACCTTGTTGACTCGGCAGAGCATGGGCTTGCCTCTTAGGGATGCTAATGAGCTATGTGTGCCATCGGCCTGGCATTTCTACGCTGGGCCTCGTGCATCAGGAACCTCAGCGCCGGCCCCCAACCCCTTCTACAGTAACGCCACATTCAAGCCTATCCCTCTTAAGGAGGATTGCCCTGCAGAGACATGCAGCCCACTACACAGACGTCCTGGTCACGAAGGCCAAGTCTCTATACCAATTCAAAGACCTGCTTGACCTTCTTACACGAGAACCCGGAGACGAATGACCTATTACTCACTATATGCAACGCTCTACAACGTCCCACCTTCATCCCGATGCTAGAGAAGCACGTTGATACTAAGAAGGTCATGCCTGTATGTATGGCCGGTCGAGATAAACGATATCAACCCCCTCACCTGCCACACCCTGCCAGATTGTAGCACTCCAGCTATTAGACTGTCTCCTTGATGCACACCATCGCATTGACATGTTGTCAATTCTTTCTCCGACGGTATTATACACTATCAACGTTGTCGAACTCCGACCTCTGCCGATCTCTTTGGGTCGAATATTGGTCCTAAACTTGAGCAATGTTCTCGGGAGTTTCATCACTTTGTTCTCGTCTGTCCTTGCTACTCTGTAAAAACCTCTCTCCTACAACCTCCACACATGGCATCACGAGCTGGAACAGAAGGATGGATCCAGACGAAGAGTTTAAGGCATTGTTTAATGGAGCATCTCGGCAATGACGAGTAATGCGCAGGAGCAACAGGAGCACGAATTTGGGTGATTGGAACACGATGATCTTGTTCTTTCCTACACTGGGGTAGGATTGAACCCAGAGACATACGTCTACCCGTGGTACCAGCTGCCTTCTACGAGCGACTCCGTAGTGGTCTCTTTCTTCATGCCTCTTTCATCTTTGCCCCTTTGACCCCTATTCTCTTCCATTTTTATGCCGTCTACGTCAGGATAACACTCCTCAATTGTTGTTGCAGAGGAGGCATGTACCTTTTACTCCGCCACCACTATAATGCTACGTGAGATATTCTCTTGCGTTAGGTTATTTTCAGTTGCTTTGAAACGCCGTCTATCGGCTCCCAAGAATCACCCTGAGTCCAAAATCAAAAGATGTCAAGCTCATCTGATCGGGCGAGCACTAATGATTCGAGCGGTTGGGGAGCCAGGCTCACCGATTGCCGTTTTAGCGGATGAGTCAAACGGCGATAATCGCCGAGAACAACCCGCACATAAACTAAAAGGAGGAAACGGAGAAGACGGCAAACACCTCGGCTGGCTCCTAGTCTAGATGAGTTCACAGAGTTCTCATTGCCTCACACCCTTATGACCAGCAAGGCGGTCTACCTCTCATGTTACGGGGTTGCCATTTACAGAGGATCTGTAAGATGCCGGCCATTTAATCTTTGTTCATCTCTCGGCCAACTCCCCTCTCTCCTGATTTGCACCTTGGAAGTCGGCCCCACCGATATGCAGGAAACTTCCAGCCTGGACATCACCCCTGGACAAGAGTATCCTTACGATATTCAGTCTCAAACATCTGGACTCTGCGTTTGGCGTTAACCTTATCACGCCTGCCACGATGGGATCCTCGCCAACTCTAGCAGCAGCCATTCCTTGATGCTTCAAATTGAGAAGGGGCTTGTCAGGATAAGCTAGGCATTCATTGTCAGGTGATGAATTGTCAAGATGAGAAATACATACCAGATGATACTAAGGTGAGCTACATTCATGGCGTCTTTCGAGCTGGAAGATTAGCTCCTGCTCACAGACCTGGAGAGAAAGCGGTCATAGACCAGGATCTCACTAACTGGATCAAGGTCCAGCCATACGCGCCACTCAAAGATGATACTGAGACTTGTGGTGGGTATGGCGGAAGAGTCTGTTTCCGCAGCTTTCCTGGTCAAGGAAAGACCATCATCACCAAGAGCTCCCTCGCTATCCATCTTCTCAGCTTCGCTATGGGCGGGCACACATTGCTGGAAAAACCGAACCTCTCTGTCCCTTCTCAGTGGGTAGAGAGTCTCACCCAGCAACTACCCATCAAATGGACCAGACTATCAGGCTCGATGGTTGCCAAGACATTGCGTGCCGCCTTGACTTTCGGAGTCCTGGGCAATGGGTTTCTTCTCTACGTGCTGGTAGCCTCTGCGAATATGTCGTTTGTGCTCAACACTGCCTATAGGATGGAAGAGGAACATGAGGTCCACCGCTCTCGTGGCTTCATTTGGTTGGCCTCTGCAGCCTCGATTTAATTGCCCTAAATCGATTATCTACTTCTTTGATTCCTGTTCATTTTTTTGGGGAATATCCAGTAAAGAATGGACGCCTACAAAAGGCCAAGCGGTATCCTTATGACCCAAAAATACCAGGCCATCTTTGATGGATGGCGCTACCAAGCCTGACATCAAGGCCTGGTGTGAAAAGCACTTTTTGGACAAGGCAGGGCTAGACGAGGCTTGCAAGATCCGCGAAAGAGTAGGGAAGTTCTTGAGCCAAGTGGCGCGACTGAAGCCATCACGCGCACCCTCCGGAAATCAGGTGGTTATAGTGAAGGCTTTAGCAACTGCTTTCTGTACCCAACATTCACGAGCAACGAATTCTTGAGGCAGAAGAGCTTACGGAAGCGGCCTACTGGTGGGAGTATCACAATATTTCACCAGAAGATCAAGATACAAGGGTTGATAAATTAAGTACACGGCCTAGACATCCTCACACTTCGAGGTAGTCTGCGCCCACGACGCAAACTTCTACATGGAGTCATAGCGTGCAATCCTGCTCTTCGACCGAGATAGGACATTCAGCGCCTTTCTTGGCCAGAGCGATGAATGCATCCGCCAGAGTCGCCCCAAACGACCAAGGAAGGCAGTCTGTGCGCAAGATTGATTTGTCACGCAACCTATCCATCGCTGATCGCATATGTCATCGCCAGCTCCAGCGGCCCCGTCGACGAAGTCATGGCAGCCTTACTCACCGAATAAAGCCTACAGCCGTGGTTCAAGGCGGTTGGCGCCTCTGGAATGCGGTACTGCCACATTCAGACTCCAAGACAGACCCCGATTGGGGGGTTTCTTGTTCAATTCTGACGAAAGAGCCGTGGTGAAGCGACGAAAACCACTGGCATTATCTACAAAGAGAATTCCGCTTTCTGTCTACCTTGCTAAGGATGGTGAGAAGCGGTAAACTACCATCCCGGTTCTGATTGAATTCCAAACAATGGGTTGAATTGGAAAGGAAATCATGAGCTCCTCTCACCTCCCGCTCATTACCAATATGCAGACGCTCCTGGCCCCCATGCACTCAGATCGCGCACTTTGGTATGGGTTCGATCTGGTTGATCAGATCCAGCGGTTCAACCCTGCATACATCACGGCGGACCTTGCATACCTTCGTTCCGTGTTTCCCGAGGCTCTTATCACCAACAAATAAAAGTTAAAGGCTTTCCTGGTTGCTCTTCATGGGTCCAGCAATCCAGTTCCGTGTAGTTGTTGCCAACGGAACTTGGGTGACAGCTTCGTGCGAGATACATTTGATATGCATCTGAACTTTATCGTCATAATAAACTAGGAAGATTGGTTGCTTTCATCATCTCTACTTACCTGGCCTTTGCCGCCATGTCCGGCAGCGCCTCGCAAAACAGTCACGAAGGAGTGGCAGCTCGTCCGTGAGGATGAGTATAACCAGGCTGTCTCTGACGGCATCGCTATCTGGCTCACGGACCTACGCTTATTCAGGCAGTATGCGGTGACCGAAAATTATTCTACACATGTATCACGGGATTTTATGCCAACCATCGTTTGGCAATGACGATTCCTGTGTTATATCATGAGCGAGCATGGCGATAAACAAAAAACGACCGATTCCCTTGCATTTAGTCTCTGGCCACGCTGCAGACCCAAAAACTGCGCCTTCACCACCAAGGCGGTTGGCAAGATGGCAGGTTTTTTCACGATAAAAGCCAGCACTTCTGATATATTAGAGACCTATAGTCTCAACATAACTCCTGAACGAGAATGGCATAACAAGCTTCGACCCTGGGGTGGCGAAGATGACGCTATGGTGACTTATGCCGGGGAGTCTCTGAAGCCAGACCAGCGGCTCCTACGTATAGACCTGCGGAGGAAGAGGTTATGAACCAGGATCTTACTCGCTGGGTTCAGGCACAGCCACCTACCATACCAATCCTTCGCTCATAGCCTCCTAACCGATTCTTTCCCGCCACGCACTTTCCCAGTCAAAAAGGTCTCGTTGATTGGGAAGGACCTGAAGAAACTTGGTCAAATCTGCCCAGTATGCGCTACATCTAGGGCACTGGTAAAATCCTCAGGGAATCTGGTCTCGTCTGTTCTCCAAGAAGGGAGATCTTCCTGCTGTTTTTCGAAGCCTACATAAGGATGTTAAGAAGGCTCGTAGGATCATTATACGCAGCTATCGTTTCGATGATGACTTCCATTCAGGCCTAATTTCCACTTGTTTGACCAAGCAATATGCACCTTTTGAATCAACTGTGGCTCATTGGCATTCTATGGGCGGTACACATGAGAGAGTAAACTGGACAATTCGTGAAAAGGCTGCCCCGATGATTCATATACCACCTTGCCACCAATCAATCGATCCAGTCCGGTCCGACCTATGGCCGTAGTACTATCATTCTAAGAAGCCAGTCTACTTAGTCAATCCGTTCCGGCCCGGCTCTTAGGTGGATGTATGTATCATGTACATCCGGCTAGGACTCCCCTGTGCCTACAGCCCGTGACCTGTCATGCCTCCTCAACTTCTACAAGTTCGCCATGAAGGTGGTCGTATCTTCTTCACCAGCCATCTAATATGGTACTGACGAAACTGGAAGCGCAAGACTGACCTAATCGTCTAGAACGATTACCGAGATGGCGATGCCGAGGAGGAGAGGCGGGCAGCCGAGCAGCACGACACCGAACTGGGCCCAGTCCGAGGAGGACCTGGCTGAGGAGGCCAGGATGCCAGCTCCGCATGCTCTTTAACAACTTTTCTACAATGCCGCTCGAGGGATGTTTTGCTCCGATGAATTAGTAGAGGGAAAGATAAAGCTGCCAATGTCAAACTTGGCTGACACCAATCAATCGGGGGGTTACCATGAGCTCCTTGACCCTCGCCCTGCCCCTAGGACCTGGGAGGTAGTAGCAGCAGAGCAGCAGAAGCTTGAGGATGATCCTTTAAAGAATGCTAAGCCAGCACAAATCGCCAGCTGCAGCACGACGCCGAGAGCTGACGCCATGGGCGACCCCCGAGAATCTTGATACCCCCACCACCGGTTGCCTTCAGTGTGCAGCCTTGGGGAAGTGGAGGACGATCATGAGCATCCAGTCGTGGGAATTGTGACTGCGACTATGAACTATTGACACCTTCTGGCATGCCGTGGAGGGCGCCCCGAAATGGATCTCATCTACGGCTCGCATATTGCACATTGTCCTGCATACTGGTTGGAATGGGACCCCAAGCATGCCTATAACAAAGGTGCTGAATTTCACCGGCTTGGTTGAGCGGTCGCCGCCATTGGCTTTTACCTTTCCACCTTGGGATATTCCCCTTCGTTCAACTACTGTGCTGTCCCAGACACAAAGGCTGAAGACAACTTATGTGCCTGGACTTCTTGCTATTGGATCCGACAAATGGTTAGGACTCACCGTGGGCAGCAAAACTTTGTGGCCAATTCTGGCATCCGCGCCTTCTATGAGACCAGAGGCCTCTGACCTGTCTTCAAGTTCACGATTGTGCTCGTGTGTCTGGAAACTGGGCAGCAAGCAGAAAGATCGTGAAACCCCTCGTTGTTAGCCATTTAACACACTCCCAGGGATTGCAACTCCTGCAACGAGGGAGGCCGGGTTGAACTCATCGTCGGCAGGTCACCGCGTCAGGGGACGGCCAGGCAGTGTTGGACCTGGACGAAGATGGGGACGAGGACGGTGACGTGAGCACCGAAGGTGAGTTGAGACGCGAGGAGGTTATCACTCACCTGGTCGTCATCGACGAGGCAACCACGACTTTGGACTCGCGGAATGGAATCCCCTGACCACCGTCCCCGGTACACAGTTGCGGCCGATACGCGAATGGGGACGCCCAAGACATGATTTGCCCGACCTATAGAATCTTGGCTCAGAGCGCTTCTCAAATTCTGTCAAGTCTTTGAGGGGAGGCAAGTTCAAGAGAGATCTAGTGTTGCGGATGCCCGGCTACAACAACTTGGTGCCAATCGGCAGCAAGATGGACTGGATGAGAGGAGAGGATGATGCGGTCCGTCACGCCCCACGGCTCGTGACCCGTATCAGACCTGCGCTACAACGACAGAAGATGTCGTCTCCTTCAACATGAAGACCGATAAGATTGCTCCTCACGGCATGGAAGCCAACATGGAAGATATCTCAGCGGTGAGGGGTCTTACCGTTAACAGCTCCGAGAACCCGAATCCATGTGATGGGCCTCGATTGGCAGTGACGGCACACGCCCTCGGCCTTGTCAGTTCTCTCAATGTCCCCTGCCATTTAATTGGTATTCCCAGTTAAACCCAACCCATGCGCATATACGGTTGCAACGAGCCGGCCCAATCCCAATGGAGCTTGACTGGGCCTGAGGCTATATGAGAACGATGACATCTTGCAGATTCACCTGCCAGGGACAGACATTGATACTGAAAGTGTTCAGACCCTGCTTCAGCCACTCCTGCAGAATACTGTAGGTTGACACCCATGCATGGTTTGAGTCTCGCTAACGATTCTCCAGTCTGCTGACGTTCAGGTGCGGGCAACGACCAATTGCGCCTTCGCATCCGGCCAAACGACCAGCCGTATCCTGGCATGCACCGTGTTCGTCTCATCGCTGCAAGCAGTTCTTTTTCAATGCCCTATGGGTGATACACGAAACGATGACGAGGACCTTGCTTCGGGCCGGGCTGTTTCGTGGTTCAGTGTGATATGAATTATTGGGAAGGATCACATCCCTCCGATCAATCAGCACGGATTGTGATGGAGGCAATGGGACAGCGATGGGCTCATTGAACCGAGAGCACAATGTCATGAAAGTCAACAAAAGTGCTGTCATTTATACAGAGTCATTGACCGTATCTTCAACAGTAGCCACCATGTTGCCGTGGCGGTCTATGTGCGCGATCCGAAATTCAAGATAAACAATACGCAACTAGGAAATCGGGATAATCGTTCATGTTGGCATCAAGGCGATGATAGAGAGAAGCTTTCCATTCGGCGATGACGATGACGTTGAGACGCAGCGGACCTCCCAGCCTTACCACGCATGACTACGATGGTTGCATCTACTTTATCGATTTCACTTCCCTGCAGAGTCTCAGTCTCGACAGCAACAGCATCTTTGGAGGCTCAGTCATCACCCCTTTGCCGTCCTCCGCAGAGTCGCCCCAAACCATCCCCTCTAGCTAGCACGCTAGCCAGGGATGCCACCTTCATCATCCGCCAGGTACACAGGGCATAGGAGGTCCTCGCCGACCCCCATTTCAGAGATGGCAAGGTCAGGGAGGCCCAAGAGTCCTGATCCCACTGCACCTGCTCAGCTATCTGGCCCCAGGCCCAAATAAGATCCACAATGCCGTGACTCTGGCCGCAGGCATTGACGATTGCAGAGAACTTACTCGTCGGAAAGGTTTTCCCCACACAGAGTACATGTAGGGTCAAATTCTTCTCTCGAGGCCGTCGCATCGATCTATACATACATGGCGATGCTTACATGCGCCCGATAGCGTGGTGATGGGGGGACATATGCCAGCACGACTCTAGACGCCTTACCGCTCTGGCGTCTCCTCGTGGCTCGCCATATGCCATTTTTTAAGCTTTGTTACTCGCCTTCAGCCCAGACCATCATACAGATTGAAGCACGACCTACTCCTTTCTCTCAGGAGAATGTAGTCGACTGGCGTTTGATCCACATGAAACAGAGCTACCATGACCATCAGGCCCGGGCGAAGAGGCTCATCCTGGAAGCAGCTTCTTCTAGGTGTCTGGCGTTGCCCGGCCTTCAACATGTTTAATTTCTCACCCCGGATCGAGCATCAGGATCTATAGTGCATCTCTATCTATCTGGCCGGCGAGTGACACAGGATCTCATGGCCAGCCGGCTTTCCAGGTGGATCACGAGAGCTGTCAACGTTTGAGATACCCTTTACGGAATGACTTGAAGCCAAAGCTTTCGATGGGTGAGAGTAGCCGCTTTTGGCATCGATGAGACTGGGGAGGAATATATCGCAGGGACACGTGTCCACGAACACGAGGGCGTGCTCGTCTTGAGTAGCGGAGCATCATCCCGATGGTGCGAGGTCTGCAATGATTTCCGCACTACTACAGAGGAATCCTATAATCGTAAATATTGTTGTGGTCGATGCGGCGGGAATCATGCCGGTCGATCCTCTGAAGCTGGTCCCTCACTGGACGTGGTGAAGGAGATGGACAACGTTGATCGCATTCATCCACTTTAAAATTCGAATCTGAGGAACCCCAGTGAAATCCCCAAACTATCTGAGTATCTAATGGAAGCGTGCGATCAGCTGATGATGCTCAGTGGATGCTCAAACATGCCATGGAAGCAGCCTGTTTCCGCCAGGACCGCCCCACTGCTCTGGCTTGGTTCATCGCCAATATTGCCTATGCCGACGCTCGTTTCTTTACATTACGGATACATGAAGGAAGGACGACAGGAGAGGTTGCTGCTCTTGTCAGCTGTATGGTGCTATAACTATGTTCCTGAGCCTCATTTCTCGCCTCGCTTCGCCTTAACCGCTATTCCTTGCACCGTTCGGCTGGGTTTGCTATTATTCAGGAGAATTTCGACGTCTGGTTCTGCACAGGGAACGCCCTTGACCACGAGCGTAATCCGGTATATGCTGAGATTCTCTATCGCCGCGACGATCAGAGCTCTTTGCGGGAGCGGACCGGTTTAGAATTGTGCTCCCTATCCCGGGACTTTCTCCTCTTAAGGGCGGGTGGAGGGCCAAGGATATCGCACACAAAACGTCCTAACGCCCCGATGAGGAAGACGCGTGGAGGGAGAACAAGGAGTCGGTCGACATAGAAGATTGCAGTGTTTAGTTGATGTTGGAATACGGGATCGGACCATGTTTCCCACCCATCGAGATGCAATTGCCGATAACTGGTGGCCCTCGCATTGATGAACAGGCTACAGCACCATGGGGGTAGTTGATGATGTTGGCAATAATTTTGACAGTAAGAAGCAGGGCCAGATAGTCGATCATTCCTCTTCCCATGGAGGGATAATAATTTGGCTGCCTGTTGTTTGACGCCTCCGGGCTTGCCAGCACACGACCTGTCAGGATGATCCTGATGGAACATATGAAAGGGCCCGACCGTGCCCGTCTCCCATCTACTGCACAAACTGTCCATTCTCCCAGGGCTGGCCATGCTGCCAAAGCTGCAGAGCCTGATGAACGGACCATACCAGGCGACAGCCATGAAATTCAAGCAGGTGATGGAGAGCATGGATGAGGATGCACTGGAGGCTACGAACAGCCCCACGTGCTCGAGATGATTGACGGGGGTCGAATATCTTAAAGGAAGACGCCTTACTCCGATTTATTAACATTGTTCATTTTGACTAGACGTTAGAGAACGTGCTACTGCGTGAGTTCCCAACGACCGATGCAGAGCGATCTACTGTTCCCTGTTCCGTGGGAGCAAATTTGCGTTGGACAAAGCCAAACAATCGGGCGTTGCCAACGATAAATCCCAAGCTGAACGTCCTTTGTCTGGAGTTCCAGCCCCGGTTCCATTCAGTGGTCAAAATCTTTCTGGGTATCACGCTGATACCATTCTCAGTTGCACTCACCTTCACCTGACAATGCAAACCCTTGTAACTAACCCCTCTGAAGAAGGCTTCCTCCTCAATGAGTCAATTACATAATGAGTCTGTGATACTGCTACGTGGCCCTGTCGCCGGACCTGTCTGTTTGGTGGACAGTAAGCCAACTTGAACATATTGAAGTCGACGACATTGCTGAGAAAGATTGGAAGGACCGAACTGAGAATTCAGTGATTGCCTGAGCTACCTTAATTCGCTTATTTAACGTGGGCCTACTTTGATTCGTCGCTATTCACTCCTTTCGTGCTTGGTTTGTTACACGGTAGCACTTCTGCGTGGTCATATGCGGCCTTGAGAGGGCGTTTGACACAGGCCACACTGGCTGTGTATACACAACAGGCAATGAACGTCGGCCGATAAAACGCATTGAATTGGTACTTGCGCTGCTGCCCACTGTGGCTCGGATTGATGCCACGACCATATAACGATCGTGAGATGGAGGATCGGACTCAACGGATGAAGGATTGCTGGCTTGATAACAAAGACTTCGATCCACCGTGGGTACTAAGGGATTGCCATGAGCCCAAGAAAATAGCTGACGACAAAGTCACTTGACTTAACCATGCTCTGATTCAGCTAAGGCTTACCTGATGCTCAACCTCCTGACAACGTCGAGGGTAACAATTCCACAAAATTCTCGACTCTAACATGCGCAATGTCCCTAAACGGGGTCGGAGGCGTGGAACAAGGGACGATGCCTACTTTGTCAAGCTCCAGGGTTCAGGCAAAGTGGCCAAGCCGTTTGTGACCTTCATTCGACTCGTACAGGATGAGAACGGAAAGAGAGTCCACGATCTGGTGCACATTGGCTGCACCAGCGAATATATCACCCAGTGGCCAGGGCTTTATGTACTTCGAGACGATGCCAGGAACGATCCGCTTGGAGAAGCAAACTGCAGTTGTTGGTACCGATGACTGGGTGTAAGCCTGGTATGCGGAAAGTTATCGAGGAAGCTAGAGGTAAGCGGCGAACCGGCCTACTTTGCTGAGCATAATACATTTGCAAGCTGTGAGGGCCTGGTGGATGATTGAGTGCTGCTGCAGAGGGTCTACGTCGGTCTCCCGGATGGTGATTTGGTATCATTTCCCTTCCTCAACAGCTCCAGGTCATACCAGAGGATGGTCTTCCGGCGGCAGCGGAGCATTGGGCAGATGGGACTGGTAACAGGCCTCTGAGACACGACGAGTGGATGACAGCTGCAGGACAAGACGCAGACTTGAAGCCGTTGAACTGATGGCGATTTAGAAGGATGACGCCTAGTTGGAGTCACCTTCAGTCAGAGCCACGCCGCAGCAGCATCTACGGGCTACAATAGATGTGCTCCTAGACCTTAATAATCGACGATGGCTGTTACGTGACACACAGAGTGTCCCACGATTAGGCTAAGCCATGAATGATGCAGCCAGCTAGAGAGACTCAACCAATTCAACATCTCTGGTACCAACGCTGACTTTGCTGCTTAGCCTACGTATCACTTGATTTGTTGTGCTTCGCTTTTTAATCTCATTTGCTCTATTTGCTGCATATCTCACCTTATTCGATCCGCCACAATGGCTGGCTAGCGACGGGATCCAGGCTCTGCACTTGATGGATTGAAGATTGTCATCTTCTGCTGTCTCTTACTTAGGGTTAGGGTTAGGGTTAGGACCGCAATCAAAAGTCCTACGACTATACGACTAGGGAGAAGGTGATGGTGAATTCCGGATTCCCCGTCTTCCATGGATACTTGCTTTTGAACAACGAAGTAATAAGTACTCCGGGCAAGGAGACCGCTAAGTCCATCAGACGCCCATCATCGGATTCTCTTAATTAGACCCTCTCCTGTCATTGCCGTCTTCAACATTTCGCATTTATTATTATTGATCTTCACGCCTATCATCGAATTCTCTTAGTGCATCGCCCACTTTTCATTACCCTCCTCAAGATTTCGCATTTGTTATCATTGATCTTCACGCCCATAGTGTGGGTTTAGGGGACGAAAAAGTTGCTTCCTTGCGCGTATGGGCAACAAATGTCAGGTCCTGGTAATAGCACACCTTTGACAGTCACAAAGACAAGGCCTTTCTATGCCGCGTTGAATCATGCCCACGGGTCTTTCCCCATGTAACCGCAGAGGGAGAGCTGAGCATAAATCCGACAATGATTCAGCGAAACCGACTTTCTCTTGCCCTTAGAAGGTGACTTGTTTACTCCATCTTCTGGCAAAAAACGGAGAAGAGGGGCGCGAGTGTAAAGGGGAAGACGGATGCAAGAAGATTTACAGACATGATTTTATCGAGCTGGTCTAGCTGGAGGATTTAAGGTCACAATATAGAGGCTCATTTCTTACCAGCCACACCCAGAGCTTCTCTCACTCCAGGCACTCCGCACAGTCAACCTGTCTAACTCTTGTTTTCCTCCTCCGCACGGAACAACTACACCAGGATATGGTTAAACCAAACACTACAGACGACCAATACTCCGACGTATACGGACTCACGCAAGCAGAACTCGAAGATCTTGAGTTTGGTATGCCAGAAACAACAGCGAGGCGCTTCTACGCTTAATAAGTATTGATAATGTCCACTGATATGACGCTGAAGGCACGAGAGTGCCCATGATGGCGGTGGCATCTTGAACGCTGCACGCAAGTCTGGGAGGCGTTGTTTTCTTCGCTGCTTAGGAAAAGGAGCCATGTTTGGTCCTGAATCACGCCCCCAACACATCTCGGTTCCAGCCCCTTCGAACCGACGATCCAATGACTCGACGGCCTAAGACCTCGCGAGAGCAGTCACCTACTGTACTCCCAATAAACCCTCGTCCTCCGTGATCTTGATCGAAATGCCGTCCTCATCTAGAGAATCCGGCGATGCTCTCAGCGAGATCTCTGGCGATGAATTTCGTCTTGGCTTGCCTGGCCCGTTTGTCAAGCTAGAGGTCCGATATCTCAACTGCACTCCTGGAAGAGATACCCCGTTACTCCACGGTTCTAGGGCAACCAAGAGAGTGATAGGCTGTAATTCATCGCAGGATAATTTAAGATCGGTAGACCTGGAGCTTTATATCGAAATTCAGAAGCAGATATCATCAACCAAGATTGGGTAGAAGCCACCAGGAAGATGTTTGCTGGGTATACCATCTACGTGTATTACGGCTCCTCTCTCAAGCTGAACATCAAAAGCGCCAAGCACCTGCCCTCCAGGTAGATCCTGTCCCACCTGGAATCACTCACTAAGACCGGTCTCAAGTATAAGAGCTTCACTGCCAGGACAATTATCATCACCTCGCCTGGTACCTTCTACAGCCAACTGTTTAAGAAGACCTACCTTCCCATCGTGTTCACCGACTCCGATGGCGACATTGAAATTGGCGACATCGAGGACGACCCCACAGACGCCGATATGATGATCGTCAAGGGTGGACAGACTGTGCAGCCAGAGGACGCCACCGAGTGGAGGAGGAACAAAAAGCGTGTCTATGAGCAGGACGTCGCACCACGGAACTACAAGGAGGCCAGCCGCCACACAGCCACGCACGTGCTGATCCAGTACAAGTAGGATATGGGGGACCCCCTAGATGGCTACCGCGGTCTAACCCTGTTCCAAATGGTGAATGGACGAGGGCCACCAAGGAGCTGACGCCGACATCAAGCTCACGTGGAAAATCGAAACTCACTACCTCCTGAATTCGAAACAGCCCATGCGAGGGCTCGTTGATTACCTCAGGCCGCACGATATACGGTGTGAGTTCCTTGGGTTTGGTTCAGGATTGGACTTCGGAGAAATAATTGCCTTGACCGACGAAGGCTTTTGCCTTAATTGCAGAAGCGAAGTTCGAAATCTCTGGGGACTACAAACCTTACATAGTATGTTAGTTTGTGGACCTGTACACATCCAACTATCATACGGTTAGTTGAAACGGTTTGATTTGCTTACTGCTCCGCTCCTTCCGTTAGGTTTGCTGTAACAGTAAATCTACGGGTTTCATCTTCTCTCCTTCTGCTTCTCTGAGGTTCATTAGGAGCTATCCTTGATCTATAAGAGGTGCCTAAGAGGATCTTAGTGAGTAAAGGATAGTAACTACTCATTCTCACTTAGTATACACTGCTACAACATGCTGTGACCGAGGCAAGGATACCAAGGACTTGGATATGCAGCTCGAGGTCATGGTCAGCGGTTTACTCCATCTGGCCAGCAACATACCTGTTGTGTGGGTGGACCGCACCTTGGGCTGTCCAAGAGAGCACAAGCTCTCAAAATGCTGGGTTCCAACTGCTGCTGACGAATACCACTATCAAGGACCTAGCAAGCAAACAAGAGCGCAAAATGGCCGAGGGTTTCAACGTGGCTTACACCAAAATGGGCGAGGCAATCAACTCCAACACTAGAGTTCACTAGACAAGAGGACATCTGGCCACAGGCCCCTCCTCGAGATTATCTTAGCTTCGTCCTCATCTGGCAATTGATCACCATCATCACATTTCCGTCCCTTCTGCTGTGCATAACTTTGTATGCCCATGCGTTAGCGCCGGCGGTAAATTCGCCAGCGCCACCAACTGCTTCGGCCTGTGGCGAGCAGTTTACGCAGTTCCAGCTTCTCTGAAAGTTCATGCCGAAACTTGAATTCAACGGGATTGGAGCCCTTTTGATGGAAGTTCTCGCTCACCAGCAAGGCTAGAGTAACTGGTATCGTACTGCCGTGGAACAACACTCCTCCTTAGGACTTACATATGGACATCAACTGCAGAGGAACCCTAGGGCCCGGGAGGAAGACTTCTTTTCGCGTCTGGAGGCGCCAAGCATATGTGAGGCGCTCGAAATAAAGCACCTAGTGCTGGAGATGATGGAGAATTATTCCGAGGGCAAGGAGGAGTGACGCAGAGTATAAATACCAGTCACCGTCATATAAAGGATTAAGAATACACTACAAGCGGCCACGGCCGGTCTTGACGAACACCGGGAAAGGGCACAGAAAGATATTCTCTCCCGTCGTGAAGTGAGAAAAGTAAGCATCGGGGTCGCATGAAAACCCTAACCAACCCCTGGTCATTCTCATTGAAAGCAGGCAGCGGACCTTCTTCCAACCGTTATGGGTCTTTCGTCATCGTGAATCAAAGGAAGTGGAGAAATATCCGGAGTATTTTTTGTTGAACATGAAGTGCACGATCAGTTACATGGTTCCGCTGGGCCCTAGACGGGCTTGCTGACAATGTGTTTATTTTATGATGAAGAGATGGCTAGGCCTAGAGTTATCCCTACGGCTACCCTTCTGGTATGGAGAGAGTGAGGAGACGGACGGTATGCCTACATGTACGCGGCCGGAGGCAACAAGAGGGTTTCTCTGAGTAAAGGGTAGAAGATATCGACTTGGGAGGATCGATGGGAACTTGATTCATCTCATACCGCGGGAAGAACTTGCGGATACGTGTACCTTAATGGAACACCCAGTCTTCTACCCTTTCCCTGGCAACATCATGCCTGAAGGGTTAGGAATCGCGGCTGAAAACGCGGTACTGTACCACAACATGTGCGTTGACAGTCTGAGCATCGGCGGGACCAAAGAGCTTCAACATTACCGTCAAGAAAAGAGAGACCCAAGGTATGATCCGAAGCGATCGTTTCGACTTCCCGCTTTACAACACAAGACATGGATCTCACCGTCATGTAGAAGGATATGGAAAAGATTGATCCTGTATCGAGTCGCAGGTCGAATAGAGAATCAGGGTTGAATGACGACTGGGATGGAGCGATTTCAACATTAAGTGAGTGAAGTCCTATCTCTCCCATTGCGTCATGCTCGTGGATTCGACGATGGGCCTCGTTTGATCAAGTGGAATCGAGCTGTCACACTCGACCATCGCAGCCTGCACCGAACAAACCTACAACAATCCAGAGTTCATATCCCATTCTCTTCTAACCAAGGTAGTTATGCGATGCCTCCTGCTAGTATTTGCACACAGTGCAAAGCGCTTTTATACCGGACGGGCGAGCTCTATTGTGAACCAGAAGAAGGCAAAGCATGCCAGACCTGCCGCGATAGACACAAAGGGTGCACCTAGGAGAAGCACCCCAAGTCAAGGCCATAGCTAGAAGATGCTTAGTAGGGTGTCATTACATCCTTTGAAAAGGGGGACCACGTGAATGTTCCTTTCCAGAAAGCCTCAAGTAGCGTCAAGATGCGCCGCATCAAATTCACCAAAGAGTACAAGAAGAAAGCCGACACCTTGTTATATCTTTTAAAGACACAATTCAACCAAGAGCCAACTACCAAAACCACCCCAACCAGGAGAGCAGAGGTAAAACGTCTCCAGGAGAAGGGAGACCGCAGTTAGGCGGAATTAGACAGAGGGACATCGTGAGTACACCCATCCCATCCGTGGGTCTCATACCCACACTGGAATCTTCCATTTACTGACCTATTACTTCAAGGGAGGTATGTCTCGGGTCGAGGAGACCCCATCCCGGCATAATACACAGCGCGCCGTCTCGCCCAGCATGAGCGTTTTTGAGGATGCCTAGATGTACTTCGAGGAGTCGTGCCTGGTAGCCGCCGATAAGCATAGGCAGTACCGATCTGATCCTGTCAAGCAGCAGGGCCGCGCCCAAGATATTTCAGCCCGTTATCTTGAATTGGCAAGGCAGGCGAGGTTGGCTCGCAACCGCGGATCCAGACGCTGGTAGTCGTGCGGCGGTCTCGGCTGGCATACATTGTGGTTTCCTCGCAGCCCAGGACGACCCCCTTGATGTGGTGGCGCCATCAGACAAAACTGGTCGCTGCATTGGGATCTCGTTATTCGTCTGCCCGATAAATCCGCCGATAGGAAGGCTAAAACGCGAAAGGGAGAGCGCATGGATTTGATTTTGGAAGCTTTGCTTTACAATGGTCAGGACTATGGCTCGAATGAGTGCTTCATGACCCTCATCTCATGGTTGACACCGTGACCGGAATACACGACGCCTTGGGAACGTTAAAAGTTAACAAATCAGCACACCATCTGGCGGATGAATTCGTGAAGCGCGAGACCGCCTTTCTTAACAAATCCTAGTGTAGAGGGACGGAGGCATTGACCAAGACGCCCCTTTGACCCAAAATCTAGGGGGAGTCTCTCGGAAGCTTGCTTTTTTGCATACATCGGGTATCTTTGTTTGAGCTTCGCACCTGTTGGGTTTATATTTATGGCTGCCTGCCACGGGCTGGCGTCTGCATCCACCGACCGCAACAACATCAGGGTGATCAACCTGAAGAACCCCATACTATCATGTTAAAAAGAAGGGCCAAGAGCATCTACCGATATCACATGGGTACAACAGTGAGTTCCTACACTCGTCTTCTCCGTTTTAATCGGGTGTGACTACAAAATTTCAGTTGCATTAGAATGAACCACCCCTTTCCTTCGTGTCTCGTGTACTGACAACCCCTCCAAGGTCTAGGCGTATTACATCATGCCTTTCTACAGTCGGATTCAACTTTGGGACCGTCCGATCAGCAGATGTTCCAAAGGACCGACAGAGGGTAATTAAAGAATTCATCAGCCAGGCATCTGGTATCCAGGTTCTGGTTGCCAATGTCAGCACCTTGGCCTTAGGTGTCAACCTGCACGCCTGCTGCAGCTATGGGGTGTTTGTCTGGTTGGCTCCCACGGCGCAGACAATGAGGCAGATCATCAGCCTCGTCCGATTCAACCAAATGCGAGTGGTGAACTGGATCCTGATTCGCCTCATGTACTCATACAATGACTACCAGGAGCGGTCTGTTTGTGGGAAATGGCTCGACAGATCGCCGCCGGGACAGAAGGACACGCGACAGGACGAACATATGCTCCTCGCAAGAAGACGATGGAAAAGTACCAGAGGCTGCTAAAAAGCAAGAATTTAAGGAGAAAACGGGAAACGGGCGAGCCCCCCTGAGAATCCATGTTCTGCTTGTAGCGAGAAGCACTGGCTTAAGGACTGCCCAGTCCGTAACGTTGAAAAGAAGAAAAAGAAGCAGGAGAACTTGGATAAGAAGCGTCATCAAACTGATTCTGCAATTGATCCACTTGTGGAGGACCCAAGCGAAAGAAAGACCGCGATACACAGTCCGTTAAATCCACAGGGACCACCACCGCTACCGCAGCTACGCAGAAAAGCTCGGCCTCAAAACCAGAGTTTATTGCGAACCTTACACGCAGGATAAAAGGGGGAAGATAGCGCTGGTAGTGGTTGTGACTCTTCTGCTCACGAAGTCGCGAAGTGTTGTGACGATATTCAGGAATTTAAAACCCCAGATCGAAACATCCCGTTGTCGTGCCCATTACTTCGAGCTGGCCTCTTAGTGTTGGGTTAAGCAAGGAAAGAATTTCGCCAAGCAAAGCTAACAAAACTATATTGAAGGGCCCTTCTTCCTTAAACATGCCGGCAGAGCAGGACACACTTTGTCCAACCACACATTGGCATCTAGATATTCACAGACGGGGGGCGTTGTTTATACTTGGTGGTCCAGACTCCATCCGTCAGCGTGGCATTCCGCCCATCCGTCGGAGAAGAGGCAAGTGGAATGAGGACACCCTTCAGTACTGTCTCCAGGCCACTGCAAGGATAGGGTACGAAATCTTCCCGTGCAGCTCCAAGCATGCCGCCGTGGAGGATTGAAAGCATTCCCAATACCTTCTTCCTCGGCCCGAGGCGCGAGCCACGCTCTCATTGCAACTCTTGCCACGATGCACTTGGTTTTCAGATCCCACCACCGCAGAACCAGGGTCAGGTCTCTGTTTCCTCCAGTACACAGAGTCTCAATCTCAGTCCTCTCACTCTTCAGCCCCGTTAGGTCGAGGAAGTCTTTACTGCGCTGGTGAATGATGCACAAAATGTGACGAAGACCTGGCTCTTGGCTATGTGAGTCCGTTTTTGTTCTCGATTGGGCTATAAAGCCGGGATATTTTGATGAATCGAAGAAATGGGCGAAGACTGGTGCACGCGATTATCGAACGGTTCCCGGTTGGCATTGTGGTAGTTGAGGGGAGAATAGTTACGCACTACAGATGGAGCCCCTGATGGAAAGAGAATGTATCAAGCAGTGAACAGCCCTACCGAATTCGACAAGAATGTGCCCTGATTCACCAGGTCTTGTGCAGAGAAGCTCATCGAAACGTTCATGAAGCTGGATTTCGCACTGGCTACCCCCGAAGCATTGGCGGATCTCAAGGGTCACTTGCGGAAATCTCAGGATTGGGGGTACTCGATGAAGCAGCCAAAATGCACGAATCACTCGCACTCATTCCCATGAGTGTGTTCATTGACAGCCCCATCGTTATGTTAGGTGGTCCACATCATCCTAAACCTGCTGAGGAGATTTCGAGCGATCCCAATTTTCCTTTCAGCAACTCCAGACAGAATGACATGAGCTTGGTGGAGCGACGCAACCTGATCAACCTTGGAGGCGGTCGGTTCGAAACAGTCTATGCGACGTTCGGGGATTACTCTTTGGATGATCTATATGGGGCCATTGTATTCTTCATCTATGTTGTACACAATCGAAAGGGTGCATCGAACAAGATGTGTGACCGCCCTGGCCAGGACACACCATTCGGTACCATGCAATACGTTCCACCCGTCGTATCAAAGGCAGCAGTACAAAAGGCAGCAGAGAAGCCTTTGGGATCCAGGCTAATCTTTCAATCTAGGCAGGAAAATCGTCTGTCCGCGCAGAAATGGAGCGTGGCAGGGAAGCCCTGATCTATAACACGGCTGGGTACTCTGAAGAGGACCATATGTGTTTCACAGACATCGTCGCTGTGGCTAGTTTCCTCCGGACAAGAAGATGATTTTTGATCACCTGACTCGAAATCACAGACAGGCATAAGGACCTCCAACGGTTATCGCTGATAGTTATAAGATCAACGTGGATATGGTATGCGATTTATTTCACTCTACGGCGAACCAGAACACCACATTTGGCAAAAGGAGTCAGTGCCACAAACCCGGGGCTTTGTGGTTATTCTCTGCACTCATCCGGCGTTTGGATGCCTTCGTGATCTATGCTGATCTATGCTTGAGACATTCCTACGAGGACAGAAGTTTCCTTGCTTTATCCCGTCCCCAACAAAATATCTCGGCATTGACGATGAAGTTTCCGAATATATGCTTCGAGGTGACCGCCATCCTGAACTTCCCACAGCTGCTGACTTTTCTCTGAACCGCCCACACTCGACCTAGAGACTGACTATACCGACTATATCAAACGTTTCCCGACAAAGAATGAGGGTTCCGCTATGAGGCTAGCCATACCATGCAGCCATAGCTAGAGAACTCAACCGACTCAGCATCTACGATACTGACGCTAACTTCACCGCTTGGCTTACGTATCGCTTGGTTGATTTCACTCATCGGTGTCAATTTCCTCGTATCTCAAGCTATTCGATCCGCCACAACCCGGAGACCCCACGAACTACAATCTCTACTGTATGCGCAAACACGCGACTTGGAGATGATCTAGCATCTTCTAGCGTCGCCGATCGCAATGCGAGAAGATGTCGTCAGTGAAACAGTCATTAGGTTCCCTTGGGATCCAAGCCGGGATGCCGGTGAAGTGATGGCTCCTGACACTCGCGATACGCCTTGCCCACCTCTAGCGCAGCTGGCAAATTCATGGAGAACCCAGTCCCAGCGACTGTTTTGCAGCATAGTGTCCTTCGAGGAGATTGATGGTCTTGCATTTAGGTAGGTTACAGTTGACGTCGACATCTTCTGGGGGGGGGGGCGATGAGCCCAACACCGGTATTCAGGGGTCACAAAATGATTGAGCCCCAGGAGGCGAACGCTCATAAGCGACAAACATGGCAGTATAGGTATGAGTGAGCGTGCCTACGAAGCTACCAAGGCCAGCCATTCGCTTCGCCTTCACCTGCGGCCTCATTCTCAGTGGCACAACTTAAGACGGGGATGGGGGCAAAGGTTTTCGTCTGAATGCTGAACAAAAAGGCCAACTTAACTGTCTACGACTATGCTAAAACTTTGATCAAACCTCCTTTTCAATACTTCGACCATGGACTGTAAGTCTCATCACTTTATTGTACCGATTCGAGACAAAGCCAGAGACCATCGTCTGGGGGAGGCAACCATTAAAGCCTGGAAAGATTGGCACCAAAGGCTCGTTGCGCTTGATGAAGATGCTGGCGCTAGAATTCAGAACGACAACAGACGCAAAAAGGCTGCCTTGGATCCTGGAAATGCACCCCCTGCAGGGAAATGCCGATATACGGGAAAGAAGCTGTTGGGAGAATAGCTGCGTGCCTGTAGCACGCACCTGGGCCAATTGTTCAGGTAAAGAGAATAGATCTTGGTGGGATCTTTCCCTTGCTGTTATATGTGCAAGACCTCTCAGGCTTGGAAGGAGGTTGGAGACCCTAAGATCTCTGAAGCAGCGAACACGTATGCTTAATCATTCTATTACCCATGGCCCCTATTCCTGGGCGGGACCAATCCAGATACGACCTCTTATTCTCGAAAGGCATATCCAGGGACCGGAGGGAGGGTCGGGCCTTTGACCTAGGCTATGAACCGGAGAGCAGCGACTGCATGGCCGCCCACTTGGGCGCTGTGGATCTAGACCTGGTTGGCGAGCTGTCCAACAAGGTTGTCTTTCAGGAGGCTATGGCATATATGGAGAATCTACTTGACTCTAACCTCATCATTGTGGAGATCATAGTCTCAGCGGCTGTTTGGTAGCATGGTGTCCTCTGAGGATACACACAGCAGCAGATGTCATTTCAGTATTATGCTTCACTCCCTCCCTTCACTTCCGCAAGGTTCCCATCTCACCCTCATCACGACTGCAGGAAACAAGAAACGCAAGGATACCAACACTCTAGACGCGAGAGGTGCTAAGAGGCACCTTAGCAAGAAACCTACAAGCAACGACCATCCAGGCGAAGGTTTATTAACAAGAGATGCACTGTGACACAGTCTGGTGTAACTCACCTCTATGTTATAGACAACCACCGCTCGGGCCTCCAGCGACGCTCGGAGGCCACCATCACCGCATAGAAGATCATGCTTGAGACCATGAACCTGCCGCGCCGGCTTCTCCTCACAGTTGTACCGCAAGTTCGACCTGACACTCGAAACTTGGCCTCAGCATGCCTAATATCGTGCGTGTCTGCAACCCAAACCATACACCGAGGGCTTGGACTTACACTCACCGATTAAATCTTGAGGCGTTTCAGTTCATGTGATTTGGACATCGTGGTATTGAAGTCCTAGAGAGAGAGCCGGGCACATCGACAATTCGGCGCAAGGTTATGGAGGGAAAGATAAGGGAACTATGATTCTTATGGTGCATCGGCAATGGCATATATGAGCAGCGTGCTGTAAGCTTGTTATATATCTCGAAGGCAGTTGGGACCAGCCCACGTCCCCTTGATAGCCCTGGGAGCTGGGATTCTCAAAGAGGACGCACATTGATTTGAGACCGTACAAGATAAAAGACAAGTTGGATTAATCTCTCCTAGAGCAATCTCTGAATAAGAAAATGGATGAGGCGACTTCGAAATCCTGAACGGGTTTCGATGGATTTCTTCGGCTCCTCGACCACGCGCGGATGGCCCTGCCGCCCACCAACAAGTGGACTGGGCGACAGCCGATGGCAATGAAGTACAGGTTTTGGGAGCCGGACAGGAAGAAATGCTCGGCTGTGGCACGGCCATCTCATAAGGCCGCAGCCTCGACCACGATGCGCGACACAATTCTTGAAGAGGTGGGGAGGCGATCGGTAGGTCTAATACACATTCGTTCCAATCTACCTATATTACATTCCGCTGATCAATACTAGGGCAAGGGGGTCCTGCCCCTCTGCTACCGCCCGATCTACCAAGGTCTCCAGCTATTCGAGACACAATAAGCCGATCGAGCCCGCAGTGTGTCGGAACCTGGCGGACCTATTCGAAAAATGCGAGCGCAACAGTGCCAGGACGGCAAGGAACCTCCGGTACGGGGATGGGACTGAGGCGGTGGCACTCGGTTTCCGGGGACATGTATCGAGAGCTCAACGGCGTCCTGCTTCGTTCTCACGTTTGCCCTTGCCTTCTCTACTATACACGCCTAAGGCAGCAGGTGACATACAGCTGGGGGGTATAACATGTTTTCTCAATTGGCTGTTACTTTTTCCACAGTCGGCCACCACCTAGACCTCTACTATAGTCCACCTTTACGCGGCCAGTTAACTACAACAGTCTCTCACATTAACGAGATCTGACAGAACGCTATGATTTGCAACATGAGAGCCATAGCTATGCAGCCTATCTCTTCCTTTTCATATCTTCGTCCACTGTACCAAGCTTAGAATCTCACCATCTCTTTATTAACTAAGCATCGTGTACTTCAGATACACCGGAGAAAACCAAGCTCCCGACCTTTTTACACCAAAGATACACTCGCCTGACTAATTTATCACTTATCATAGCTGGCAGTGGCGAGCGTAAGATTTTAGGCGGCCCAGTTGAGCGAGGTACCAAGAAACGCGCTGGTAAGGGGCACATAGCCTCTAACGTTTTCAACGAGGCAAGTTTCAGATCGTGACTACAAACTCATCAAACACCTGCTAACTACTCAGTAACACTAGAACAACACCACTTCATCTAGATACCACCATAGCAAGGGCGCGCTCAGGACTCCGACTAAGAAGGCTCAAGGAAAGCCTAACCAAATAGGCCGACTTCTCTTCCCCGCTAGACCTGCACAAGGAGTCTAAAGTTTGAGCATCAGCAGCTCCCTAGGGTCCGCGCGCTCGACCCTGATCATCAACGAGGACTAGGACCTTGATGAGGCTCTCTTGAGAGCCTCATGAGATCAAGCGGGGTCAGTGCAGCGACCTGCTCGGCTCAATGACAGCCAATGCTCCTGGCGACGCGCTAGCCGCAGCTCGGATATTTTATCCATTGTGCCAGCGGATGAGCATCTCAAGATTATTAACATACTCCTCCAATAGGACGAGATAATGTAAACTCTACAAGACGAAGATGATACTGGGAACAAATGGCGCCGGCAGCGGTTTATCGCGACGCTTGTCAGCGTGCACCGGATTGATAAGCAGTGCGAATATAATACAACTGTCTTCGACCTGGCGCAACAGAACGACCGCAGGAAGAAAGCAGACCGAGTCGTCTCCAAGCAGCTGTTCCTCTTAATTTTTCTTCCCACCCTAGCTTTGTTCTCTCGACGGCACAAGACCACGGCTCGGCGACCATCCGGCCGGTGCAGTGGATCGGAGCCGGCGTCTGGCCCGCGAGTGGGGCCGAACACTGACTACAGTCGGCCCGCCTTTCCGGTTTGCGGTCGTCTCCAGAAAACGGGCAGCACTTGTTTCCGACTTTAAACCAACATCGATACTCATTTCTGCATTACAAATATTAAATCACTTAAAGCTGGAAGTTGTGGTTGAGGCGGCGAAAGATCCTACGTCGGATATATTGCAAACCAAGTACTCGGTTTGTCAAGACAGGGTTGGCTGATGAGATCGTCGGCGTGGTAGAAGCCATCGGTGGACTTTGAGTGGACATTTAATCCGCGGCAGAGGATCTACCTGGCTTCTTCATCAGACACATGTGCACCCTCGGCGATCAATACTCGCGGGGGACATCAGGGCAACTATGATCTCAGTCTCCACAACACCATGTATAGGCTCATAGCCCGCCAGCAGGTTCCAGCCTATCTTCGTCGCTGCCTGAGAGACATGAAAAACTAAGTTTATGTCCCCCAAGCGACGTGTCATATCAATCGAGACGCCCGATCTCTGGCTTCTAGTGATCAGCTTACCGAGCTTAATTATCGGCTACACCTACATACTGTGGGCGCTACCGACGGCCAAGAATACGTGGGTGCATCACGAAACTATGGCTTTTGGGAGGTATGCAACAAAGATCTATCCTTCTTTTACCTATTTACCAATCCCACGGTGGAAGTGCACTTCCTCCTGTAACGATGAAGGAGGCTGGCTTGTCGCCATGCAGCAAATCGAGATTACCATTTATGACAAGATCAGAAACCCACTGGGCGCTGCTGGGCCAGAGGACTTTGAGGTCACCATCGAGATCATACAGGCGCAGTCTCAGGAGGATGATCTCTCAAGCGAACATACGGAGCCCGAGGAGGATGATTCCGCGAGTGATCAGGAGGGCCCCAGAAGAAATTGTGACAAGGGCAATTGGTGTGATGAAGATTTTATCATGGAATGCATATTAAGCATGTTTAGTTCTCTCGAAGTCTGCCAAATGCCCTCTTACAACCCTTCATTGGCTAAAACTTTGATTCGGAGAAAGTGTCGAGCATGAACAACCTCACGTCTCAATTTTCCCTCGTGGGGACAACAAATGGTACAAGCTTGCGTGTACACCATAAAGCTTTTCGATCAGTCTGAGGAATGCCTTACTAGGTACTAAGAATAGCTAATACGGGTGGACTGACCTGCACACACATCATCCGACCCTCAACCCAAGATTGTAACAATATTCCGTCCGTCTTCCTCTCTCTATCGCCACACAGAAACGCCTCGCGCCCCGCAAAATCAAGCACACAGATGCGGCTTTAAGCCGCGCTGCTCGTCTCATCATCGATCACCAGCTGCCATCATATCGAGAATATGCGGGTGTAATTTGTAGAAAGAAAAAATGGAAAGCGCCAAATTCATAATGATAGCTGAAGAAATGAACCATGAAATTCTCCCATTGATCCAATATGGCTGGGACGTTCCTGTCGCGCATCCAGGTCACAACAACGACCTGCAAAACGTCTACAAATGATACTGCCACCTCGAGCTATTCAGGATCAAAAAAGCCGAGGGAGAAGACGGGTGTTGAGATGATCCGCATGTGTCGAGAAACCTGCCGCTACAATACTTCGGCAACTCGTACGATCTAAAGGCGATGGTCGACAGAGAGTGTGCCCACACAAAACATAAGCCGTACACATGCTGGAATTGTGTCCTAAGGGGCCTGGAACGGAGACATCGTGCCAGTGTCAACGGAATCGTAGACACGCAGCGTTGACCACGACTTGTCAGGATGGGTTAGGTCTAACACCAGAGTCTTGGCGGCCATTGGCGCAGGCCTTGTCCAAAATCAATGCCAGAATGTCGTCTTCACGTAGTGGATGACATCTTGAAACTCGCAAACATCACCATTGCGTTTGCTGAGGTTGTCCAAGACCATCCATCTCTTTGACAAATACTATATCGGATGGCCTCCTAAGCCTCCCTGCCGATGTATTTTCAGGACCATATCTCCCTTAATACGTGTTTCTAGCAGACTTTGAAATCCCATATATCCTACACAGGCCACACAACCAACGGTTGCCATTCACGGGAAACAAGTAGTCAACCACCACACGGATTTTGGCGACAACGAGTTCTTCTTCACAACGATTCCTATCTAAAGCGCTCCCGCTAGCCACTTCACTTTACACCTCAGCCGCCCGAATGCAGTGCTTAAGATTGATCTAGTGAATACCAGGCTGGAGCGCTAACTTGCTACTTCAGGATATAGTCGCTTCACTCACAACCAAGAGCCGGTCATAGGGAACCACATAAGGGGGTTCCCATCAATCCAAAAGTTCCGTGAAGAAGCAGACAGAGAACGATTCATTGTTGGACCCACCCATTTCAAGAACGACGAGAAGGACTGCCACTGGGCTGGCGCAATGGTCGACAGGAGGCTTTGTTTTCTACTTCGACCTCCTCAAGAAAAGGGAGAGGACCTGTGCCGGGCTATAACGGCTAGCGAAGGCACTCCTGACCAGAGTCAACATTGCACACGAATTATCCCCCCTTCCTCGTCCACCCTGGCAGAGGGATGCCACCGATGAAGGCAGGCTAGAGACATATTCACTGAGTGCAGCACCAAGATCCTATGTGCCAGATCAGAATGGTTACACTTTGCGTAGCTGCTGGTAAATTGGTAGATCACCCGGAAACTCTCGCCATGTCTCGCTAATGCTTTCCGTTCAGGAACTTTGCAGCACATTATTTCACGAGGAATCGCGCAGATGGTCACCAAATATTGACCGATCGCCTGGATCCGCGGAAATAACTCTTAAGTCCTTGGGGAAGGCTGATGAAGGAAATGTGGCGTCGGCCTCGTTGTATTGCCATCGTTCTTGCTTCTCTCCAACTGTGGTAAGCTGTGAGATGTTGTCGTTGAAATGGCACCCATCGTGACCAGGCTTCGCCAATTTGACGTAAAGCAGGTCGTTCTTCTCCAGCACCGGGGGGGGAATCGTGTGCTTGGCGCTGTAGTATGAAGTCTTCGTATGAGCTTCATGGCATCATTGCAGTATGCGTTGGCTACGTCCTTGGCGTTTGATCTGTTTGTGATCTCGACTGCAAACAGAACGGCATGAGTTTGATAGAGCGAGCTGACAACTACGATGCACTGACTCTGCGCCTGACTACGAACTACCGGACACAGGGCAACTTCGCGGACCATGCAGTCGAGGATACAGTAAAACCCCTTATATAGGGGAAGTACAGCAGACACGTGTGCCACAAAAGCTTGAACAATAGCTTCGGATAGTTGGACCAAGCCGCAAGTTAGTCTTTGTTCCTGCCCCGAACATGTGTTCATCCTATACGACATGCGCATCAAGCGCCTAGTGAGGTCCGGCACTCTTTGCCTAGCCCCAATCATCCAGCAAGTCGCCAGGGGATCCCAGAAGCCACCTTTTGGCAATTGGGATCGGTTGCTCACCATCATGATCAAAGAAGAATCACGGATATTGCTCCATGCTTGCTGAATGGATAAGTTGGCCAAACTTAGACCTGAGCGCAACCTTGATCAAACGGCCAGGAAAATCCAACATGGCACTCGTGCCAATTCCGGTGCAAACATAGTCCTTGGACTTCTAAGATGGAACCTTGTGGGCTCGCTTTGAATGTATTCTACAATTCATCCGGGAGGGAAGATTGCCTATGGAAGCTCAAACGGTGAAATCAGAAAGACAACAAGACATAGCCTCTACACCCGTCTAACTATATAACTCCCGAGCAAACGAACAAATGTCTTTACTTAAATGACAAAAGACGAAAGTGTGGATAACCAATCATCCATATGGGTAGTCGTTGGTTAGGAACTCAGGATCAGAGCGGTCTTCTTAGCCATGAGCGCTCTGGAACCAGGCATATAACCGATCCAGATCTATAGCTAGGATAATTCAACAATTTCAATTTTTTCCTATCTACGGTCTTGCGCGTAGGCCTAAGAAAGTAACAGAAAGAGAAATTTCCTTGAAAGTTTCCGCCTACCTTCACGAAGTCTTGGAAATGAAGGCAGACCTCGTCTATGTCCACCCTCGCTCAGGTGATTTATCCTGATACCCCATGGCAAGCGATCCCTGGCTTTCATATCAGGATTCCAAGGGTTAACTTCAAGGAACGCAATGGCGGTAAGTTGGAAACAAGCAACACCACCGACGATTGGTTGTTCACGTGGTTTACATTGAGGGTCATTTTATGGCCTTTGTATTCGATCGTTTCCTGTTCTTCCAAGGCTAGCAAGAACAAATAAGGCCGAACTAAACCGACCACCTGGAAAACATACAAATTTACTGTTGAAAGGTCTTTACGAGAAAATGCAATAAATACAGGGCTGTGTTGAAAAGGGGGTACAAAAAGTAACTTTCACAGACAGCACCCGCACTTCTATTCGATTTTCCTCTCTACCGCTCATATCGCCGGATCATCAAAGAGACACGATACCCGAGACCAATAACTCTACGCACTCTGGAGACAGGAGGGTGGCGCATCCGCACACCTGTGTCGATTTGTCTCGCCCACATGCCGCAGAAAATCTTCGAGACGACGGACTGGAAGCATGCGGAACAAGACATATGGTTGAGTTGAGTTAGGGCCCAAATAGCTATGGACTCACATTCATGTTGAATATTTAAGTTGGGGCAGATGCCATTCTTTGTTGCCAATTCTTTCTTCTATTGGCTTATAACGGCACTTGAGGCGGCAAGGGAAGAGAAAAGACGCACCCGGCGGACATCCTCTCCCAGAATTGCATATATTTCTTCCGTGATAAGAGACGAGCCTGACGTATGAGCAATCATTTCGTGTGGCTAACTATCGAAAAGGGAACGTAGTTTGTCTTCGAACTCATTATCAGAATTTTCAGACGCGTCAGAAGGCACTCTTGCGCAATTCCTACGTCAACACATGCTTCAGAAAGATGCCCCTCTGAGATTAACAGCAAATGAATGATTGGAGTTTTTCGGACGTTCCGACACCGATTTTGAGAAGTGTGATTCTTTGATAGTGCAGTTTATTGTGATCGTGGAGGGTGAGGGAAGTCTTGAGACTATTCATCCTGGACGACGAACTTGACGTATGGGCGGTGGTTGGACCAAATGCCCATCACGGCCAGATGCTCACTCGGAGGGTAAACCGCTCTAAAAAAGCATGAGTTGACGACATTCAGCGATGGGTGCCTCGAGGTTTATAAAAAAGGCATCAAGTTTGCCTACAGCGAGGACCTGCCTTCGACAAAACTAGATCGCCTTGTTGGGAGTGGTAGCCGAAAGCCTTGGAGTCTTCAAGTCAATATCTGACACTATCATTCCGTCGATTCTGTTGCCCATGGAGTTAAGGGTACGCTTTGTGAGCAATCTTCTTGATGGTTTGTGTTTGTAAGAACAGAGATCGGGATAAATCATTGATTTTATCTTGGGAATAACCTAAAGAAGAGAAAGGAGAGGACCGAAACGCTTAAGGCTAGTGAGACCTACAACGTGTCACGTGGAGAGACGCCAGGTCACGGAAACAACGCCGATCCGTTTCAGCATACAGGCTATCAATTAACTAATGTATGCCAAATCTACTCCGAAGCCTAAAGAACACTGACGGCATGTTCTCTCTAACTATAAGAACCTCAAGACATCGTATTGAGTTACGAAGCCACCATCCGACGGCGCTGGGCTGAGAAGAAGAAAGACCAATAGCACAGCTTTCTAAGGTTAAACTACATGTACTCTCGGCCTTAGACGAGTAAATATTACCACTGTCCTCACAACATAGCGAGATTTTCCTGGAAAGAGCAAGATTTAGTTTCGATCTGACGGCTTATATCAGAACGAGAGAAACTTGTCGGCCATAGAGTTACGACAATCTTCAGAACCCTTGTGCTTCTGAGCTTCTGTAGCTCACTCTAGTGATGGAGAAGGAGCTCCTCCTGCCAACAAGACTTCGAGGGTTTTCAGATGCGCTTGCTAAGCATACGAAGAAGCTGCAACAGGAAGAGCTCCATCGCC